TCCTAGTAAGTTATATTTACTAACATATAATTATATTAGTTATTCTTTTAAGGCTAAATAGTATTATCCCATACTTTATTTAATTTTTTCTTAATAGAGTTTTCGTTTAATTCTTAATACAAGTTTTTATGAATTATTATTATTAACTTATTATCCTATAATATTAATCAAATATAAAGTAACTCTTCTAATAGAGATTTTACTCAGATATTCTTTATATTAAAATTTTCTATATTAATTTCTTCTAAATCAATATCTTTACTACATCCTTCTAATAAGTCTTTAATATTTTCAAGATAATATATGAGAAATACCTAGCTAATTAATTCTTTCTTTAAATTATAAGATTAGCATCCCTTCCTTATATTAATACTAACTTATTTTACTTATTTAACACTCCTTCTAAAACTAAATCTTTTTTATTTTTATTTTTCATCTTTATTATTTAGATTACTAAATATTTTCTTTAATTATTCTAAAGCTTCTTACTTTTTAATTTATTATATTTATTCTACTTAAATTTATTTATAGTTTATTATTTATTCTAATTATTATTTTTTATCTTTAATTGATTACTTTAAGTCTTTATTAAAATTAATCTTATTATTAATTATTCCACCAGCTTCACTATTATTAATTATAACTAGTAAAATCATTATTATGACTTGCTCTTTTAAACCTAAAGTAACTAGTTTCTAGTTCTTTCTTAACTTTCAGCATTAATTTATAAAGTGATCTGGTTTTCTATAATTAAAGTAAGCTTTATTCTTTCTTAATTTATCCTTTTCTTCTTTAAATAAGATTATATTTAATTACATTATTATATTTCCATCTTTATTTTTAATTTATTTCTAATATAAGTTTACTTTATTCTTTCTAAACTCTTTTTTTTCTATTTATTAAATATAAATAGTTAAATCAATCTAAGATACTACTTTTATTATTACTTAAAATATTTCTAGTTATAATGTTATTATTGAGATTTAATCTCTAATATTATTCTTTAGTCCTTCATAAAATTAGTCTCTAAATCCTTAATTATTCTATAAAAATCCTTCTAATATCTATAAAAATTTTAAAATATATTCTCTAACTAAGACTTATTACTTAATATATTAGATTTTAAGATTTTATTAATAGCTTTAATTTCCTTATTAATAATTCCCTATAACTAATTAAGTTTTTCTTTGTAGTATTAGTAACTAGAAAATATTATAATTATCTTAGAGTTTTTTTATTCTTTATTATTATATATATAATACTAGTTAATAATATATAAAATAAATTACTTTATAGCTTCTTTATTAAGGAAGTTTAATGCTGCTAGTATTTTATTAGACTTATTTATAATTTATTTATTATTATATATAAAATAGAGTTATATTTAAGCAAGATATATCTTAAAGATTCTATATTCTCTCTTAAATAATATTACTATTCTAATCTTAATTTCTTAAAATATTTAGCTTAATCTTTCTTTATTATTAATTATAGCTTTTTCTAGTTCTTTAATATATTACAGTAACACTGCTATATCCTTATTATTAATAATTATAGTATTCCCACTGCTGGTATTAATAGTTTATAAATTAAGACTTAGAGTTGCCAGAACTAGGGTTTAAGATATTATTATTATTTATTTTTAAGACTTCTCTTTCAACTAAGAGTCTTAAATTGTCAGAAACTTTAATTTAATTATTATTAAGTATAGCTAAGATAGTTATTAATAAATAAAGTTAATAAACTTCTAAGGTTAAAAGGTCTTGGTAGATGAAAGAAATAAAAATAAGATTATAAATATTCTAATTAATAGAAGATTATATACTTAAATTATTATAGTTAATTCAAGATAATAGAAGAAAACTAAATATATAATAAATAAGCATTTTTATATAGCTTTCCTCTATTATAGCTTCTATATCTATAGTCTAATAGCTATGAATAAGTCTTTATATCTTTGGTAGTTCTAGTATATCTCTCATTATATCTTTATCCTGATGGGTATAATAGTAATCTTATCCTATCTTGTTCTAGCATCTGCGGCATGATGCATATTCTGCTCTGTAAGTGTTGCCTTATCGATTGGCTGTGATGTTCTGATTCTCTGACATGCATAGATCTAGCTAATTATGTATATATAAGTAGATGGGTAAATAATATTAGTATAATAACTATAAACTATAATAAAAATAAGACTATTAAAAAGCTCTAGCGTGTTAATATTAGTGTAGACTAATAGACTTTATATTATATATTTATATTTAATAAGAAAAAATATTAACTCATTTATTTTATAAATCTGCAGAGTGATTTTACTCTTAATTTATAGTTAATTATGCTATAGGATAGTATAGTAATAAAGACTAGCAATGTAGTTAAATATCTAGAAATCTAGCTGGATTTAGAACTTATATTTAATATATATTAAAATAAAATAATGGTTAAGATTGATACTAATCTTGAGGCACTATAAGAACTAATAGGATCTATATAAGGAATTACTCTGGATTAAATATATTAAATCTACTAGATAATTATAATCTCTTAAATGCTTTATAGAGTAGTAATATGATATTAATTTAGGGTTATAATATAGGTATAATTTATTAAAATTATATAAGATTTTATAGGTATCTAAAAATGGGCAGTATATCTAATTATAGATATATTCTAAATCATAGTCATAGAAGTATTTAATATTAAATTAAATTTTATTTTAATATATTATTATCTAGATTAGCTGGTTAAAACTATAGTAATCTAGATTGGCTTAGACACACATCTAGATAGCAGCTCTTTAGATCGTGGCTAGCTTTAGCGGGTATATCAAATCTAACTAACTAACTAACTAACTAACTAATAGCTATCCTAGCTATACTCGACGGTAATCTAACCGAAGTTTCCGACATACTATACATAATACTATAAAGAGAAATTAAATATAAAGAATATCTTAACTTAGATTAATATAATCAGAAAAATTAGAAAGGATTAGATTTTAAGAAGAAAAGAAAGATCTACTCATTATTTATATTATGTCTTAATCATTTTTATATATGTTGTTCCTTATTGAAAAATATCTAATATTTAATTCTTTTTCCTTAAAAGTTTTATTACAAACCTTAGACCGTTAGTTAGTTCTATATAATAAATTCATTAGATTCTATATATTTCTAAACCCTAAACCTTAAAATATCTAATATACTTGCGGAAAAAAATTCAAGATAAAAATTAAGATATGCTTAAAAGTAACTTTAAAATATAATAAGTATCTAATCTTATTATTTTATTATTAGTCAAGTTAACAGCTTAAGATACAACCCAGCAGTCAAGCTATGTATACAGTATGAACTCTCGAAATGATGTCGGATGTAATCCCTGTCCTGCCATCCCCTATGTAATAGACATGTTAATTATATCTTGTGTAGACATGCCTGGTCCATAAACCCAATACCCAGTCCGGAAGTGCTTTGTTCTAAGGGGTATATTCATCTCCTGGTCTTCATGGAACTCTTTATTGTCTGCGCACTGCTGTCCAGATCGTGTATTGTAACGCTTTCTTGCCTCCTTAGAGCCCTTGGTATTGCTTGATTTTGGATTTTGATCACGCTTTCGTTTCTTCGTTGGTTGCTGAGAACTCGAGGCTTCTGACTGGTCCTCTTGGGTTTGAATCTCATCGTGAACCGGCTTTCCGGTTGTGGAATCCTGGGTTTTACCGTAAAGCTCTCGTAATTCAGTGAGCTGTTGGATTTCCTTCTCTGGTATGATTTCATCGATACGCAGAGACCCTAATACCGCAATTCCCCGTCGTAAGGAAGCAATCGGGGATCCATGCCACGACTTAAAAAACGGGATTCCTACTATCCTTTGCTGGCTGAAGATAATAACAGCGATATAATCCACCAATATCGCTTTCCAAAACCATGCCCTTGGATATCTGTTGTTGTTTATAATCTTCCGCTGAAGGGACATTTCTTGTAAGAGTCGGATCTGCTTGGCGGCTCTCTTCATCTTTTAACGCAATCTGAATAAAATAATCCAGATCTTCTGGGAAAAAAACCAATCCTGGATCTGCTGCCCGGTCGAATAACGCGTGACAGTTTGGACATAACCCAATGGCATTGCTCTCTGACGTTAGACCGAAATTGATCAATCCATTTTTGCGCCATGTTTTAACCTTATTTGACTGTTAGTCTCTTCCAAATAAGATCTCATGAAAAAGTAAATGAAGCATACTAAAAAATCATCATCTGCAATTACATGGCAAACTTGCGGAGTCACGGTGTCATTCTCACAAGCCCAGCACTTATCGTCAACATATTGTCTTGTTCTATCTTTGACTGAATCAGGGAAACTCCCTGAAGCGACACTCGGTGATCGTGACATTCGCTGTTGACGAGGTTCGTCAACTCCCTGGGCGAATCTCACAGATCGAGGACTTGCAGATTGCTTTGTGGATGTCATGGTTAGCGATTGGTGTGTATTTTGGTAGCTTTGATGATTGAGTACTTACATAGGTGCTTTAATGAATGCTTTAATCTATTTCTTCTACTATAATCTCGGAAAGTGCGTTATGAGGAAGGTGCAATAGTGCACATCAGTCTCTGTGGCTATACGCACTGTTGCCTACAGTACTTTCACCGCCTGCCAAGTTACCACCTGCCGCCCGGTTTCTTAAAATTATACTAATTTTTCATATTAAAGCGTTCAAGACGCTGGGTAAGATGTAAAAAGCTCCCCTTGCTCTTAGAGATGCCTGCTGCTTGAGAAAGGAGATCACTAAGGAGCTCTGAGAGGTGAACAGCTTGACGATGAAATTTTGACGAGATCGTGGCTTTTTGGGCTTGTTGACGAGACTCTGTTTATTTCTATATGCTAATCTTTTGCAACTGATGAGTTCATGGCTAATATATTCTTTGAGTCAATATGGGAGTCTATCTGTCTACATCTCTACATTCCGGTTGCCACCTTACTTGAGGAATAGACAGATGGTTGTTGTTTTATGAGAGGACCAATTTGACCGAAATTGTTCCATAAAGATCATTAGGATGGCACTTCGATGCCGTACTTTTTGTAGTTGAAATTCTCCAATTCGGTATGCTCTCAGCCCAACCATCGTCAATCTCACGTAGCTGCCAATCGTCTCCGATCTCAATCATGCCCGTCCTCCAAGCTAGTACATATTTCTGCCTCGCCTGATACTCAATTGCCACAGTTGGATGCGGCACCCAAACGACTCTCATCCCAGCCCGTCTTCCAGCCTCTACGCCGGCCACACTGTCTTCGAAAACCAAACATTCATTGGGCATGATGGCTTTTTCGCCCGGGTCTGCCACAGAATTCAATAACTGTAATGCGACTAAATATATGTCTGGTGCTGGCTTCCCCCGACCCTGTCGCACTCGTGGGTCATCACCTAGAACACGCCTGTCGGGCTGAAAGAAGTTAAGAAGCCGATTTGTTTCTGGTCTCGACGTTTTCAACTCGTAGCTATGGCTCTTGGTGCTGGATGCCAAGGCTAGCGCAAATTTCTCTCTAGAAGAAGCACTACGCGCGCGGCTGAGGTTTAATAATAGCTTCTCCGCGCCAGGCAGTGGCTCGGAATAATGCAAGCTCATTTGTTCACTCGATTCGCGAGCAAATTCCTCGCGGGTGATGGGCAACTTAGCCCAGTTGTGGAACACATGGTCATTTGTCGAATCTGGAACACCCATGAGCTGGGCTCGAATCGACGGAGTAAAGGCAGGCCTTCCATACTTTTCTAGGAGTTTGTTTTACGGATAGCGTGATCACGTCCTCGGAGTTGATGAGAAGTCCATCCATGTCAAAAATGCAGGCTCGCACTGCGGGGAAGCTGGGACAGACTTTGTGTGAGCGTCGACATTGGCAGCAATACCATTCTCAATAATTCCTACACATAGGAAGATGGATGTCTCTTTTGGAGGACTTACCCTGTCTCCCGAGAAGCCATGATCAGAAAGCAGCCCCAAAGGTAAGCAAGAAGCTGTATTGTCAACAATTTCTCCTGTCAGCTACTTGTAGAGAAGGGGGATAAAGCTCAGGCCGATATGTACAGCCACTCCCAGTGCATCTGATAACAATGCTATATTGCCTGGTATGGAAATCTATGGTCCCACTGGGAACATGACAAGTTAAAGTTTGAAGTTGTCCGCGCGTTCCTGTTAGTACCGTGGATCGGGAGCTGCAAAGTCTGGCTAGTGCTCGCTAAGTCTGAAAAAAGATATCCACTTGAGGAAATTAGCCCTGCAAATCTTCCAAGCAGGTGTTTCGTGAAGAAAAAATTTGCAACGCCAATCACAAGTGGGGGGCACTACGATTAAATCATAAATACTCCGTACCAATCCTCAATTGAAATAAGCTCCATCCCTGATTTTCTTTTGGAATACGAGTCTCGCCAGTCTTGGGGTCTGCTCGCCTGGTCTGGACTGGACCACGCTAGCAACGTCCTTTTCCAAGAATAACCCTAACCCTAAAGCATTCCGTTTTACCTGAAGCGCATAGTATTCTCAAGTGAAATCCGGGGAGCTGCTCCAAATGTCGGACGCCCAGGAGAAACGCACCTCTCCGACTCACCAACCCCCGATGGAGTCGTCTGGGCAGGGGAATGAGGACCAAACCCTGCATAGAAGTGACCCTGAGCTCACGGCCCAATATGATGTGGTCAGTGAACAGCCCAGCACGACTTTGAGTGGACGATGGAGGTCAGCTAGCCAGCGTGTCCGTCAACGGGCCAACACCTTGGCTGAGGCCCTCGGCCGACCACACGAGAGAGACGAGGATGGATTAGATGCTAGTTTTCTACCCGAGTATTACGGGGCCACCGACGACCTAAAGAGTTTCAGCGCACGCCAGAACAAGGACGAAGAGGACAATCTGCAAGACATAGATCCCGACGCCCAAGCTCAGAACTTAATCAAGCAACTCGGGTTTCACGGCCATGGTCGGCAGGAATCTTATGAGCCTCTCTCCGGAGCATCGACCCCGGAAGACATGAGCGGTGCGTCCACGCCTCTCAATGGAGGCATGCTGTCCCATTTGCTGCGTGTATATGCCAACAACATTGGTAGTGCAAGCAGAATGAGTCTTGCTACGACTCCAGCCGAGACGGACCCGGAGACTGAAACCCTACCACCAACTAAAACCGGACCACTGGGGAAAAAAGAAAAGGTTAAGTGGTACAACAACAATAATAATAACGGCAGTGGCCAGAGTGGAATCAAAAAGTTTAACTTGGACAATCTACACACCATAAAGCCCGGGAAACGAACCAAAACCTCAGGTCATCACTATACATCTTCTCTCGTCTCGGCGTCCCTGGACCTGGGCCGTATTGGCGTTCCGAATGCCCAAGGCCCAGCGCCCATGAATGCGAAAGAGAGAAAGAAGCAGAAGCGCAAAAGCAAGAAAAGTAAGAAGAATGTCCAGCTTACGGTGCATATAGCCCAAATTTTGGCGCGCCAGCAATACATTATGCAGCTCTGTCGCGCGCTGATGAAGTACGGCGCTCCTACACATCGTCTCGAGGAGTACATGATGATGACCTCCAATGTGCTAGACGTCAAAGCACAATTCCTGTACATCCCCGGTTGTATGTTTATGTCCTTTGATGACCCTCTTACCCGCACCGCTGAGGTCAAAATTATCCGTGTCACTCAGGGTCTAGATCTGTCTCGCCTCGCAGAGACTCATAATGTCTACAAGAACGTTGTGCATGATATCATTGGCGTGGAACAGGCCACGCAAGATCTCGATGATATTATGCTGGCCAAACCGCGCTACAACAAATGGATACTGGTGCTGTTAACCGGTCTGGCCAGTGTCGCCGTTGGGCCCTACTCATTCAACGCTCGTCCCATTGACCTTCCGGTCATCTTCATGCTCGGCTGCATCGTGGGATTCATGCAGCACATCCTCGCCCCTGCATCTGCAACATATTCCAATGTGCTGGAAGTATCTGCTGCTATTCTCACCTCATTTCTGGCGCGGGCCTTTGGAAGCATCAAGCATAACGGCGACTATGTGTTCTGTTTTGCCGCCATGGCGGAATCTTCCATTGCCATGATTCTCCCCGGTTTCGCTGTCCTCAGCAGTAGTTTAGAGCTGCAGTCGCACCAGATGAACGCCGGTTCCATCCGCATGGTTTTCACTATCATCTACTCACTCTTCCTTGGATATGGGGTTACTGTCGGTACCACCATCTACGGACTGATGGATCGCCACGCCACCGCCCAGGAGTCGTGTCCAACTGAAAGTCTAGATATTTGGGGCAACGAGTACATCCAGCACTTTCCCTTTGTCGCATTGTTCTGTCTGTTTGCCGCCCTCATCAACCAAGCCAAGCCGAAGCAGCTCCCCGTGACCATTTTCCTTGGTGTTTGCGGTTATGTAACCAACTACTTCAGCACCAAGAAGCTGGGCTCTAACCAGGTCGCAAACACTGTTGGGGCGTTCACCATTGGCCTCTTAGCCAACTTGTACAGCCGTCTGTGGCACGGTCATGCTGCTGCTGCCATAATTCCGGGAATCTTTACTCTGGTCCCGTCCGGTCTCGCGTCCAGTGGATCTATTATTTCCGGTCTGTCGTATGCTGAGGAAGTTGCCAATAACAATGTCACGAGCACTACAGGCGCGACATCTGAGAGCTCTCTTACGGCCCTGGGGTACGGCATGATCCAGACAGCCATTGGTATTTCCGTGGGTCTGTTCATCTCCGCGTTGATCGTTTATCCGCATGGCAAGAAGCGCAGTGGAATTTTCAGTTTGTAGGTAGCTACATCTACCAGTATTTTGGGGTCGCAGTATGATCGTTTGAAAATGAAGCCCAAAATTCTTCCTATCCCGGGGCTTTTATGTATCGTCTCGGATGATAGACATATAACTAATAGAGGGTCCATAACTGGACTCATTTCGTATTGGTGGAATCAGGGTCTCAGAATCATCTCTGAGGGGTGTGTTTGTTTTGATCACTTCCCATTTTGTAATGTAGGGCTGAGAAGGTAACGTGACTGACAAGTCCTAAACTTCAAGCTTCGTATTCCGTACCAGTTTAAATGATAAATGAAAGAACTGGCTGGGCTAGGTATGGTGGGCGGCTGCGCAAATCAATGTTAGCTACCTAATGAAAGTTTGTCTGGTTACATGTAGCGATAAAGAAATTTTCTTTTTTTTTTTAACTTTCTACTCACTCATATCTTCACTTGCTCACTACTGCTAGTTAGGGAGACCGATTCTCCTTATCATAACACTTAACTTCTTTTCGCGTTTTTTACAGCTATGGTGACCTGCATAGCAAATAGAATGAGAACCGAAGATTGGCCGATTTCTGACATCGTTCGAAAATGTCCGGATTGTAACGCATTCGTGTTATTTTGCTGTCCATGCAGCAAACAGCGAGACAGCAGGCGACGTAGATTAGTACCCTGCCATCACCTCCGCATTGTTTTCACTGATGGTGCATGCTCAAACAACGGACGCCCCGAAGCAAAAGCAGGAGTTGGCGTAGCATTTGGAAGCGTTGATGCGGCCCAATTCTCAGTGCCTATCACAAAATCGATGGAACGATTTTCCAGCGCGATCGAATCAACGAGCGGAAGTTCGGGCGAATCGTGGGGATCGAAACTCTGGCTGAATATGCCAGGTTAAATACTAAAGGACCCTCGAGCGAGCCTCAAGGGGAATCCAGTACTTGGATCGTTGCAACCGATTCAGAATGTACTGCTAAAAAATTAACCGAATGGCTGCCGAGTATTCATCTGCAAACACGGAAACATTCAGGGTGTCGTACCTATATCAAAACCTGTTAGCATGCATAGATAGCATCGAGGAACTTGACATACAGAAACTGATCATATGACGACTGAATTGTTGCAGTCATAAATCCCTCGGGTGTATCAAGATATAATCTAGATACTTCATGCAATCTACCAGCGTTACAGAGGTACGGACCAGATGGCAATTCCAGAAATGCCTGCTTGTCAACGGTTATGATCTGACTGCCCCAGCTGCTGATGACTTGATGGGCAGTTTCGGTCAAGTATATCGAATGGCGTGTTACAGAGGTGAAAATGCCATGCTGAAGAAAACCAGGGTTCCACACATCGTCGCGAGCAAGTTCTGCGTGGACTTTAGTAAGAATATCTGATGTAACCTGGCCATCCGTCATATAGATGAGAGTACATGGTCCTGAAGCTGACGATCATTCTTTGAATTGGCTCGATGCTGGAAGAGCTAATTATTACCATGAGTTTGCCTTGAAGATGTGATATTCACTTACCTTGGACGTTGGAGATACGAAAAAGCCGCGTTGTTGATATGGAACACGATAGGGGGTTGCCCACAAAGGAACTGTCTGTTGTCCCACCTGTCCATCGCGAAGGATGCAAGGCAGATGACGACTATGGCTATAAGCAACATAGCAAAGATTCTAGATGCCATTTTCAAAGCATGGGCCCTAGACTGGAGAGAGAGAGATGTAAAGCTTACTATGTAGGACACATACACCTACGGAGATACGGCCTGACCGACGGCGTCACTCATGGGGAGTCATTCCTAAGCGGGGAATGAATCTTCCATTTAGATCGAACTAGAAGGTTGTGCTACCCCTGGCTGTCCTCGATGGTTTGGAGGTAAGGTTGGATCTTTTCGGAATTTTTGGATTAGTATATGATCCTCTAAGTGGCAGAACATCTATACACGTTGTGATAGATATTCTTGAGAGTATCACCTGATAATCCCAAGCTAGAACCGAATCCGTGTTCAGTTTGCCTCTACATCTTCATATAGGATAGGGTTGGACGCTCAAGGTAGGTATATCTAGAAAGGAAAATCCGTTTAAGCATGGATGATATTTGTCAGTAATGTTCTATAATAAAGTACATATGTATATAGGGCTCTCCCTTCATGCTATTGGTTACATTGAACAGTATCAATGTATTCTGAGTCAATTATTCTTCTCTCCGGTAGTACTAGCATCTCTCTAGAATTCGTCTTGGGCCAATTGGCTTTTTATTGGACCATTTTGTCTTTCAGTGGCAAGCAAGTGTACCTTATGGTAGTGACACATGAGTAACCTTAAGCTTCCTTCTGTAAGTTTTTATAGAGAAATCGTGACTTCTAAATAGAATAGAACAGTGAAGTACCATAGGATTGTCTACTCTTTAATGGTGAGATTCCTAAGAGCATCGCATAGAAAGCCCCAGCCATTGTGCCATGTCTAAAACGCCGTGATTCGTACAAAGGACCGTGTAGCTCAGCGAACCAAGGGAGATTGCGCGGGCATCGTCGCCACATTGTGATTGATTGGGTTGGGGATTCGCGAGACTCGAAGAACATGTCGGTAGCCTGTTGGGCCATGACCAACTTCACAATGCTGCCGGGACTGAGCGATACTGATAGCACAATTTCGACTTTGACAGGTGGTCCGAACGAGAAGATGACAGAAAGATGGAAGCGGCGGTGCTGGAGACGATCGCTACACGTGACCCACCCTGGGGTTCGTGGAGATAGACCGGGCCATCTCCCACTCTCCCTCCGTCACCGCCGGTGCTTTTTCGCTTCGTCGTGATGCTGCCCGTCTAGTTGCTGGAGCCTTGGTCTTTCTCAACTATAGCCCGTCGTCTCTTCGAGCAATCGCAGGCTCATGTGCTTGATTTTATCGTCCTCCGTGCGGTCGGTACTCCGCAATACTTGATTATCGATCGACGTCACTCACTCATTATACTTCTTCCGAGGTACGAGACAACCATTCTCTTTCTTCGCAATGGCATCGCTGTCGACCTTTATTTCTTGCTCCACTAATAAACGATGACTAGGCCTATATCCACCGAGACAAATCACCGTTATATGAACCACCCTTCGCTTTCCGCTTGAACATGACCGAGCGCATTTATCCTATGCGTTGTTGGACCTCATGCAAGTGAGGCACAACGGTAGACGCCCTCTATAATAGCAATTTTTTTTGGTTTCTTCCTATCAACAATGACAAACGACCGCCATTCCGGAAATGAGCGGAGGTTCAGGCCGGAGTTGATCGAATCAACTTCTCGGTCGAGCAGAGCTAAGAATGTGTTCAATTTAGATTCGCAGGCTCCCAGCATAGATCAGAACAGACCGATTGAAGGCAGCAGTACCGCAACGACTGCAATGGATGCCGAGAGGCCTCGGCGGATCTTGCCGCAGCCCACAGAAACATCTTCCCGATCATCTAGGAAGAACTTGGTAACGCAGACCGGCGCTTCTAGCAGTGAAGATTCGTCCAACCACCCTCAATCTTCAGCCTCCCAGGGTCTAGATTCAAAAAAGCCCAATCGCCCGTTGCCTCAACCCTTTGAAGTCAAAACATCGAACGGCAAAGGATATTCAGAAAACATGAAACATGGTTCTGAATCCGAGAAAGAAGATAAGAGGGGCTTGCATACGGCGAATGCTATTAGGAAATTTTATCCCGAGCCTATTGAGACCGTGAAAATGAGCAGGCGGAAACCGGTCAAGGCGCAAAGTGGATCGAATTCTTCGTCCTCGCAAAGCACACCACCCCGCAAATTCACACCCCAGTTAATCGAAACTGGAAAGCGTTCTTTCCGCCAAGCGGAAACACTCCTGACTCCAGGAGCCTCTAGAAGCTTTGACGGTGCTTTTGGTAATAACGGTCTATCCCGGCCAACCTCGCCTCCCATTTCACGAGGTCAGCAAATGACTGCCGCAAGAGAGGAGTCTTCGTATCCAACAGAATCACCGTTCTCCTATGCGAGCCTGTTGCAACGTCAAGAGGGCAGACGGCATTCTTTCCGTGTACCGGACCTACCCGCCATTCCATCAAACAGTAGCGAAGGCTCAGACAACTATGATTTGCCACCTTCTCTGTCTACCACGCCATCAGCATCATCTGAGGAAAGTGCAAACCGACTTGCAGCAAAGAATCGGTTCAGGGAAAGTTGCGATGAACGCTTTTCTGGATATCTACTCTCACTGGCAGCACGCAGCGCAGAAAAGCAACTACAGGACCAAGCTCTGGCAGCATTTCCCAACGAGCAAGATCATCAACCTGTCTCCCATTTTGCCATTGATGGCGATGAAGAGTTTGGGGATGAGGACATTGACGCCGTTGCTACTACTATGCCACGAATCAACAACCGAGGAGATGAAATCTTCCGGCGTGAATCTCTTACCGATTTAACGTGGGAATTAGATGAGATGCGCCGCCACAAGGAGGTGGCCGAATTGAAAGACCTTGGCGTCCGGAAAAGCGATGCCCACGAGTCTAAGTTTTCTGCTGCTGCCATCGCTGCGAGGCAATCCCAAAAACCGGAGGATAAAGCCTCGCTCTTTGCTGGCTGGCGGAGAGACCTTGGTTTGGCGCAGATGCGGCATGCAGCCAGTCCACCAATGTTAGGCGATGACATTGTCTTTACTCTGAGCGTCTCTCCGCAAGGAAGCGCTTCTGAGACCGACCAGATGGTCTCTGTCAGTCAGGCAGAACCAGCGCCCCCTGGAGATATGCATCAAACCGGTCTATGGACCACCGAGGCGAACGTGCAAGATATACAGAGACCAGGGTTATGGATGGGTCTATGTCTCAAGGACCAAGGAAACGAGCAACAATTTTCTCCCCTTCACAAGGCCAGAAATGGGATTGCCACTCCGAAAGCAGATCATGGTACCTTTGACGGGTCATATTTCGACTTGAAAATGGATCTGGACGACCACAAGAACCACAACGACTCAGACGTTCAATCTGTCAATATGTCTACCGACGAGACCGAGCCCCTCCCTACGACACCTAAAACCGCAGCACCGGAAACAAAACAAACCGATGCTATGGAACACGAATTCGATGATAGATTCGTGACCCAGGTCTATAATTACCTGTCTCTAGGATACCCATCCTTAGCTCGCTACTATGATTTGGAACTGAGCAAGATTTCCGGCATCCCCGTCGCAGAACTGAGGCAAGATGACCTCCGCAGAGAGGCCAAAGGCTATGTTGTAAACGTGCCAAACGGTAACGGGCCAGAAAACTGCATGCGGTGGAAGGCATTACGACTATATATCAAAGAATGGACCACACAACGGCCAGAGATTGATCTCAACAATGACGAAAGCTTAGATGCCTGGGGTGTCATTGAGCGAAGAGGAAGTTGGGCAGTTTAGCCCTTTATTTATTTATTTTATTTCATTTTCTATGCCTTTTTAATATATAGTACATAGAATGGATTACTGCCAGGCATACGGAATGGTTGTTGTGACGTACCGGTATATACATATATACTTATGAGACTAATGAAGAGACTTATAATTTTTGCCTATGATCATGTAAATCCATGCAACTGCAATACACAGTGTACATCCATTAAAATATAAAAGCCCGATACACGACAGGAACGAGTTCCTTCCAAAGCAAAGCAAGTGAGTAGCGATACGGAACCGAAATGCATCCATTCATCTAAATCATTTAAATAACGCCATAATCATTCCCATCACTATCACGCTGCTTACCAGGAGACGAGTGAAAATCAGCGCGAGCAGTAGAAGAATTCGAATAAGTACTTCCCTTCCTAGTCCTCTCATGCACCAAGCCAGGAATGATTTTCTGTTCGGGCAAGCTGCCAGCAACCAAGGGGATTGGCGAAGATGATGGTTGTAGTAGGTCTTGCGATGCTGGCGCTGGTGAGCCGGAATGAGACAAAGCAGACTCGGGAAGAAGAGTTTGGGAATTTGATAGCGATGCTGGATCACTGGCTGGTGGTGCAAGGCTAGATGCCCGGGTGGCAGGGGACTTGCTTTGGGACGGGGATTCTGTTGTGATATAAGGGATGTGTGTGTTGCTAAATGAGCCAATGGAGGCTGTTACTGGCATTGCTCGATCTGCTGCTGTCTTCGTACGAAAAAGGTGTTTAGGAGTCGAGTATCTCTCGATCCTAAAGTGAAAATACGATGAGCACCTTTCCTATGTGCACTAGGTGATCTAAGGAGGAAAGGAGACAGCAACTTACAATGACAACTCAGCGAGGTATGTTTCATGTCTGAAAGCCTCCCGAAGGTCAGGCACATTGCTCTTAGCCACGTTATTTCCTGCAACTCCTGGTAAATAGCACTGGGGACCGAGCCATCTCTGCTTGAGCGCGAGCTCGAAGCCGCTCTGATCAACAGAATTCTTAGCCAACTCGCACATATCCACAGCACTGAGCTTGTAAATCTGAGCTGCAACGGCATATTCTTCCATGAGAGGTTCTTTGGTGAAAGCGAACTGAAGTGGGTCGTCCGTAGAAAGGGAGACATTGAGTCCCTTTCTGAAGAAACTCGCAAACGGATTTTTATCATAGGTCAAAAACAGCGCATTGTTGCTTAGTGGTGACATTGCAATGCCGATGCGGTCAAGGTAATAAACATACTGCAGCAGCGGAACTTTTCGAAGATGGATTCCGTGACTGATACTGTGACAGGCCAGAAAACCCGCCGCCAGATGATCCGGATCACCAGCTTCACCGCAGTGAGGTCGTAAAACGAACGTGTTGAAGCCACGGCGCTGTCTCCAACAATTGAGCGATGCCATATTTGCAAACATGAAATAGATCCAATAACTATAAGGCGGGTTTTGTTTCGTATTCCAGTCTCTTGGGATGGGGTATTTCTTGTATAGCCGGCGCTCTGCCTTGCTCTCATCGTCGACACTGTCAAATCCTATAACACGTTGTAGGAACACATGTAGTTTGGGATGACTGGAGGGATCTTGCGTCACTTCGAATAACGGCTGAAACAGATTCTTGATGACATCTTCGAAACTCTGTACCATTCCGCTTGATTTATACACGTCGTAAAGCCGAGGCACCTGTATAAGCCAGCGAACATTTGGCGAGAAAAGCTTGTTGTCGACCACCCATGCTGCCAGCTTGTCCCATTCTTCCACTGATCTTCCATAAATCGAAATGCGCCATTCGACCATCTGGTATTTGCTCGATTCCAGATCGGAAATGACTTCTTTCGTGATTTCAGCAAGGTACCTCCCTTGTATGAAGTTGTCCGTCTTCAAAAAGATCTCTCGAAGACGAGACTCTCCAACCGGATTGTACTTCAAGTTGAACTTATCAAACCGATGAAACGAATCTTTGTGTGCATGCATATCAAGTGTATCGATACTGAGGTCATACGCAGTCAGATTAATACTTTCAAACACTTCCTTCAACGTCAGGTGCTTTCCATCTCTGAAGAGCACGACCTCATCCGGAGATTTCTTCATTTTGCTCTTGATAAATCTCAACAAATGCTTCTGGTTCATGCACGCTGAGTGATGAACGTGAGTATCCACTTTTCTGACATTGTAAAAGTCCCGATGTGGCACTTTCTTACTGTCTGCGAGTTCCTGGTACTCATTCAGTAGAGTGTGAAGCTGAAACTTCCCCTCGAGATAAGAAAGACGCTTGAAAGCAAAAGACTTCACTGGCCCGTCGGTAGAAACCTCTGTCAGAGTATCCAAATCCATATAGAAATCCCGCAACGAGGGGATTTGCACAATGGGACGATTTGACTCTTCGCCTTCATATACCTGGTAAACGCTAGACGAATCGAGTTGAAAGACGGAACTGGATGGACCCGGGAGAGGGAGCAAGTCCTCCATGTCAAAGTCTTCTCCTATGTCCTGACCCATCTTGCGTCTCTTGCGAGTACGTGGCTCTGAAGCCCGCGGCTCCTGATCTTCTGGGACAACTTTGTCCTCATTTTTCGGGCGCTCCTTCTCAGCATCCCACACTGGCTCGGGTGGAGACGGGTAGATCGGCCATCTGGGAGAATCCTTGGGGTTGCAGTCAGGCCCCTGTAACGACAGCTGCATATATTTGTTCCTTTGTTCCAGAATGTTGCGAATTTTGCGACACACAATCTCCAACTCTGCATTCACGGCGTCGTCACTTGGAAGGTAGCCCTCCATACCATGATGCACAGCTATACCAGCCCCTACTCCGTAGATACTGTGTGAAGCAAACGAATACGGCGCGGTTTCGGAAGATGTTAGACCCGGCTGTAGCACTTGATTCCTAGCAGATTGATCGGCCGCCTGTAAGCTCTCGTGCATTCGCGCGTATGCCGGATTATTCGACGTGTCCGCTGCCGCAGGGTCGTGAATACTGGTCGACGAAGTAAAGCCCGCGCTGCTTTTGAGGGATCCGACACTCGCGGCCATACTAGAGAGCGCATCGTCCGTCCCGGCAGTCGTGGCCGTCTTCACGGGCACAGAATGGTGGGACAGAATGGGGCTTCGGGAGGGGTCAGCTCCTTCATGAGCCCGTGATGCTTCCTGGTGCCTTTGGTAGAAGAGTTTTGCCTCGGCGAGGCTCATGGATTTCTCGTAGGCATAATTGTAGCTGTGCGTTCTTCTCTGTCTGTCTCTGGGGAGCATTTCTTCGTCCGAAGACACGAACGCAACATCGTTGTCTTCAACGCCATCTTCGAGAGTCGCAGTGCCGTCTTCAACGGGGTTCATGGCATGGGCTTGTTGAGATTTGGAGTATATAATCGACTGGGTGTTGTATTAGCCCTCTACAAAGAAAGCGTGCTTGGTGATGGCCGGGAAAAAAAAAAAAAAACAAAGCAGATAGAGAAAAGTGATGATATCGCCTGCAGCAGCTAAGCCTGCACTAAACGGCGCCTAAGGTTGACCGTGGCCGCTTTAAGGTTAAGCCGGGTGGGGGTTCGTCTGGCTTAGCCTCAGGCACTAACTTCGTGGATCAACCGCATTGCGCTTGGAGATCATTGGGTATTATTGCTTGCTAAGTATCATTATCTATTGGGATATCATTCAATCACTGGGCCAGCACGCTGTTATCTTCTAGAAGAACACACTAGAACGCCAAAACAACTTTGAGGGATACGTAATACTCTCTTGTATCCACCGCGTCAACCTGCCACTGCCCACCGCTAGTTGTTCCGGGGAGATATATCTCTCTGGCAATCGCGCAACGACTCAATAATCAATAGTGTCATCATAATATGCCGGCTCACGAATCACTCCTGCGGGCCTATAACCGGTCGCATTCCGTCGAGCATTGCTAGACATAGAACTCTCCCTTTCTAGCCTCGAATATCGGTGAGCAGGGTCACTGATGTGTTGAGGCAGTAAGCGAGACTGCTGCAATCGCGGGTCTTGATCTTCAAAATAGAGGACATCGCGGGGTATATCTTCCTTGACGGCAGAGGGCGGAGACCTCGATCTGGGCCGAAGGGATTCTTGCCGCAAAGCCTCATATCTGTCAAATCGACTTGGCGGCAGTTTGGACTCCATAGCACCAGACAGTTTGCGTCCGTACCGCAGTTGAATCACATCAGGAGATCGCGTACGCTGCGCGGCAACCCATTCTGCTCTGCTTTCTCGAGGAATCTCATGCGCTCTGACTATGCCGGGACTACCCCATCGCTTCCATTCATCTGATCCGTAGTATGTCAAGCCGCCACGCTCCGACACATCGTCGCCTGCCCCCATAGGGCGCCAGTGACGCTCATGTTTCGAAACAGACACAGAGTCATTCCTTGTATCCGAAGCCTGCGATTCCTGGCCTGGAACGAAAGTGCTTAAGAATTGTTCTGCGGCACTCATATCCCCAGCATTCGACCTCGAATCTTCATGCTCGGTGGTGAGTGGAGTGGCAGCATTCTTGGGGAACACCGACCCTTCTGACGACTGTCCTGTTTGACGACTTATATTGGCCTGTCTCTCAACGCGCTGTTGCTGTATTGGTATCTCCGACTCGAATTGCTCTGATTTATAGGGATAATCAGATCGGTCCGACATGGCTGAGCGCGTTGATACCGGTATATAGAATCTATCATGATGCTCCGAACTCACTTCATCCACGTCGTCTTCTCGATAGACCCACTCGTCCTGGAGACGAATATAGCGAGGTGACCGCAAGATCACTGCACGAGGAGATCGTGTTACGTAGCGATTGCCAAGGCCATGACCGCGGCCATCATGGCGGAGAAGAGTGTTTGGACTATTGCGCCGAGAGAGGGAATCAGGCGGGAAACGAATTCCCTCTGACACAGAGCTCACTGAAACTCCGTCTGCTGGGACAGCACGGGGTACCGACGCAGAAGCATAATCTTCCTTTTTCGCGTTGTGAAGAGTCGGTGAAGGGTAATGTGACTGCCGGTCTGTGACATATGCTTGATGCATGGCCGGAGAGCGCTTGGTTATGAACGTCTCTGGCGGAAGCGCCGGCAATGAAGACGGGAAAGCTTCTGGTAAAGCTTGGGCAATGATCCGCAACTTGAAATCGTCCATACCGGGATTTTGCGACAACGACTTCAATGAAGACAAATCTGGAAGAGCTATCATGTCCGTTTTCCAATCTAGGCCAACCATGCTATCATCTGGGATGGTGACAGTTCCATTTTTGACGTGCTCCATATGCAATGATTGAAAATGGCTCAACAATGCCGAGAACCCGTATGACTTTGGGTTACGCGGGTGAAATGGTAGTTTCGGACTATCCCCGTTTGTGCAACATTTGCAAACCAGGCCGCTGAGGCCGCGCATCGGCTTCATTTGAGGATGGTTATTTAGACCGTCTGCAAAAAGAGCAACCGAAGCATCAATGTTGAACTGATGTTGTGTCGTAATGGCGACATGGTATATCAATACGTGAGCACGGATGCTGTTTGGCAGGTCCTTGATACCAGAAGTAGCGTTCCATACCTCACGAGCAACGCGAGCCATGTGATCGAGTTGTGTCTTGTAGGTGTCCCTGTGGTGCGCAATAGCATTGCGATTGCTACCATGAGGCACCTTATATAGAAGACTCTGATTAGATGGTGAGGCAGACCCGTATGCAGGAGAAGGATACGGATGAGGTGCTTGTGGTAGATGAGTTTGATAATTCACAGGAACTACATGCCCATGATAAGGCGAGTTGTATGCTGACGGTTGATCAAAAGCTGAGGGTTCCATGGCAGGCGACGGAGGGGGGAAAACATAGCCGGAGTAGTATGGACTGGTTCTCGGCGAAGGTGGCTGGAAGGGGCCGTGCATGTAAGTTGTGTAAGGGCTTCGAAAGGGGGACCGTCCATATGTATGGGAAGAAGGATGGGCATCAGGAAGTATGCAATGCCGCTGCTCAGGAGTTGCCATATATAGGCCAGATGTACTCTGCTGTTGTCTAGGATACCCAAGTGGTTGACCAAACCCACCACCCTGAGAACTGGCATGGAGTAGGGCTCTGGCAGCATTGGGGTTGGGATGAAAGGGCGGCTTTTCGGGCCATTCGGCGCGCCAAAACACTATCACACTCCCAGCACTCAAAGCAGTCGTATGCTTTGCGGCGTAATGTTGAACGACCCCTTCAAAGCCATAAAGCCTTGAATTATTCTCGCAGCCATTGCAAAGGAACAGCTCCTTCGAATATTTCTCCGTCAGGGGTTTTATTTTAGTGTCATAGACCCACTTCATGTTTTCAAGAACCAGCTTGCGTGTGGGAGGTGCGTCTGGAGAATCAGCTTTAACAGCCACGCCAGACGCGCGGGCGATGGCATCTTCCTCTTGGATATGGGCGTAGAACCTACTCCGCACATGCATCAAGACATCTGCAGCAAATTGGGCGCATTTGTCTTTAGAGAGCGTCGCCCCGTCGTTCCGGTTCTTCGCGATGATTTCGTCAGCATACATATTTATCTGGTCATGAATCAGACGCTGCGCATCATCCCATTGATGATCCAGGGATTCTTTCTCCTGTTTCGACCGCGCTTCTTGTTGTCGGCGTTCTTCCGTCTTGGCCTGGAGAAGTCGAGACTCTTGCAAGCGATCAATCTCTTTCTTCTCTGCCATTTCTCGCTGTGCCAGTAAACGCGGTTTCAGATACTCCCAGTCCTTATCAGTAAGTTCATGTGGGATTTGTATTGCTGCCGAGAAGGATTCCATATGGCTCAAGACAGGAGCTGTCAGCGGAGGACGCAATGCTAAACAACGGCGTTCAATCTCCGCTCTTCGTGAAGCCTTAGCTTCGTCCACATCGCGTAGGCTCCGTCCACCACGGCTCTGATCAAGCTTAGATGGAGAAGAATCTAGACATATACAACGTCAGTCTCATCAACATCATAACAACCAGTCTCTTCGAAGGTGCTTCTCGAAGCCGGATACCCAGATGCATTTCTTATTGTTGCAAATACCACTAGCTAAAAATGACAGTAAAACTTACTAGTAATGAAGCCAGGGGGTACAGAGGGAACTCCGTTATGGGCCAATCCTCGGAAAGGGGACAATGTGGGATGCTCTGATCTGGACATATCTTGGGGCATGGAGTGATGATGACTGGATTTACTGCGCGGGTCATTGTTAGTACTCTGTCCACGGAAATCAAGTCTGACTTCGTACAGGCCGCCGCTATTCTCCCACTGTTCCCACCGCGCCGTATCTGCCATTTTTCTTTTACCCTTGCTTTCAAGTCCTTTGATCCATTCCTCCAAAGTAGCCGGGCCCAGGGATTTCACGTGATCGAATTCCTGCATTAAGTACTCTATATCGGAATTGAAATAATATTTTGTAAGATGTAGGTCAGCCGGGGGACTCTCGTTGGATCGCAAAACCACACTGGGCACCATATGCATATAAGGGGTCATAAGCACAAATGAAAGGCCTGGCAGAAGGAAAGTTGGCAGAGGCGATAAAACAAGGTCCACATCCTGTTGTTATATAAGGCGTAAGCAGACTGTAGCGTCCTGGAAAGTCGATGAGACGCACCTTTTTTGTGAGTGTGAGGAAACATTGACAACATGCCCTTATGCCAAAGGGCCAAAAGATACGGACTCCATTAATGCCTGGACCTCTCTCCCATGCAGAGGAACTGGTGGGCGACGGAGGGGATGAATCATTCTTTCCACAGACTTCACAGTTGGTTGCTCTAATCAATCTCCACATATCTAATTCAGTCATATTGGCCAACGGTCGGGGCATTCCAGGATGAAATAACTTCCGGGCGGAAGACCAAATAAAATTAGACGATACAGGTTTGAGGACACCTTTAGCTGAAGCTGAAGAATCCAACGGGTCGCGATCTTTAGTGAGAAATCCATGGAAGGTCCTACTGACGCGTAGAAGAACACCCAGGGCTTTGGGATCAAGAAATGAGAAAATGTAGTGCCAGATCTCCATGGGAAGAAGCTGTGACCTGTCAGATGCAGGTTTGTCATGTCCCAGTCTCGGTTTCTTAGCACGTCCTGGGCTGCTTTGGGTATAATGCAGATCTGCAATATCATCATTATCATCATCATCACCACCACCACCACCATCATCATCATCATTACCACCACGCACAGGTATCATCACGCGTCGATTGCCGACCTGTTGCTCTTCAGATGAGTAATGCTTGCGTTTACGTCCTGGGAATAAACCATCTTCCTGGCGAGTCTCGGCCGAGCTCAAATATGATTCACTGGTCTTGACGGCAGTGTCCTGGTTGGAAAGTGGTTCCTGGGATGCTGGGGCTCCAGCGGAATGGTCCATCATTTTGTCGTTGGTGAAGGTACCTGAGGAATTCATCACAGGCAAAACAGCTTTGCAGAAACAGTAGCTAGACTGATAGGCAGTCAACAGCTGCACGTGAACCGTCTGAATAGTGCATCCATAAGGCTGTTCGTTGTATGAGATTGCTATTCCGTGGTAATAATCCAGGGTGAGAAATAACAAAAATCAAAGCCATAAATGAGAAGGGGGATTTGGCAGATGCTGTGTAGTCCTCAACGGGCCTACATCCAACGAAGGTGAAGGTGATGATGGGTGGGAGGGGGTTGCACTGAGGAAGACAATATTCCCACGGCTAATAGTTGTCAGGGTGCATGGACTCTCTCTCTCTCTCTACATGCACGCAGGACAGACGATTAGCATAGAACGAATATTCCTAGCCCAGCGCAAAAAGCAGACTTTAATCCAACTCCTCTCAGAGTTGCAGAGCTGAAAAACAAGAGCGAAAGAAAAGGACAACTGATAAAAGAAAAGAAAAAGACACCAAGCAGGAGCAGAATCAACAACCGGACGTCGGCGATTGTTGATTGCTAACACTTGTCGGGGAAAAACAGAGAATGCAGGGAAGTGAGATCTTCCGTGACGAGCTCAACAGCAGAGTGTGCCTGACTAGACAGACATAAAATGGCGCCTTGATGAAACAGCAGGCAGTGATAATCATCTGTTGTTGTTGTTGTCGTCGTCGTCTTGTCTGAGCCTTGAGAAGTTCGGGAGGGGAGGCTTGCACGTCAGCCTCACTTCGCGCGGCCAATCAGGACGCGACGATGCTGTGTCACGTTACTGCATGTATCAAAAAATACAACCAAAAACACGAGCTGCGTTTCGAGGCATTATATACATGCGTGCATATATACATAGACAGAGATATGTAGTAGCCATTTTGTTCTACAGGTGTAAATTTACATTCGCTCAATAAGCATTTGGTCCTATCTCCAAATATTTGCTGTCAAGCGCTTTTCTGGACTTGACTCGGAAACAGATGACTCTTGTAAACATCGAAAGCAAGGGGGGGAAGAAAGACAAGAACAAAAAGAAATAAAAAGCTACTGATCCAATTCCACGTAGTTGGCTGGGAAAAGACCAACCTTGCCACCATATTCACCAGACCACCAATCTTCGTCCGGGAATTCCTGAGATTCTGTTAGAAAACGCTTGGACAGTAGAAACAGATCCAGAACTACTTACAATGTTCTCAATCTTCGCCCCATCAGGGAAGCTCAATTCGTTGTCCTCGGCGGCTTCGTAATCATAAAGCGCGGTTGCAGTGTGACCACTGCCGACAGCGTGGCTCACTTCGGCTTCATGACTGACTTCTCCGTGGCTGACTTCGGGCTCTGCGGGAGCTGGCTCTTCATATGCTTGACTTGCTTCATGCTGAGCAACCTCGGATTCTTGCTCAACAACTTCGACGTAATTGCTTGGGAATAAGCCACGCTCTCCGTGGACGTTGACACCAAGCCACCAATCTGGGTCAACCATTTCAATGTCGGTCACATATTCACCTTCCTTCAGCTCAATCTCGTTATCTTCAGCCTTCTCATAGTCATATTGAACGACAGCACGGATGGATTGTGGCGCAGCTGCGACATGCGCAGAGGTTTCGGCAACTGCACGGCCGGTTTCTTGGCTTGGCTCCTCGAGCTCATCTTCATGGGGGACAACCTGCTCCAAACTGCGGATAGGTAATGGCTGGGGTGGCGCATCCACTTCCTCGTGGGCGTCTTGTACTAAGGTTTCGGGGGCATTACGGCTAACTGGAAGGGCAACCTGGATAGGCGAGGGCTCTCTTTCAGCTGGGGTGGGTGGCGTAGGAGAGCGAGGCTGAGGCGGAGGCGTGGGAACGTTCTGCTTGTATTCCTCTTCTTCTTCTTCTTCTTCTGCAGCAGTCGGTTCTGGTGCAGTGGGCAAGCCGGGCAATGGAATCTTGTGGCCAGCGTTCGGCTTGTTGCTATGGTCCAAGGGCGGTGGAACTTCTTCGGGGACAATAGCTCGTGGCTCAGATGGTGCCGCGCCGTCATAGCCTGATTCTTGTCGCACGGTATCACTTCCAGCAGAGCGACCAGTATGGGTCGTCTGAACCGGAGCCCAGGTTTTCCCGGTGTATGAGCTTTTCCATTCGCCATCGCCAGATACCTGTTTGCTCACGGGTTGTGTACTCGGTGGGGTGGACACCGGTGTGCCGCCTCTTTCCTTTGCCTTTCTTTCGGCCCATAGCTGGGCAGGCGTCTTTCCTCCTTGATCAGCGAAGGTTCTACTGGTAGAGGCAATTGGAGCCGCTGCAGAAGTCGATTTGATGCCAAACTCGGAAGGAAGAGGTGCCTTTGTGCCAGCAAAATTCGAGGCTCCACCGAAACGGTTGGCAACCTTTGGCTTTGGAAGACTCGTTAGACGTTCAGATGACTGGAATGGAGCCGACCGCTCTGAAACACTCTTGCTTGGTTCGGGTTCTGAGGGCTGCGGCTCAGGGACAGATCTCTCTTGGGCCGGTTGAGCCTTGGCGCGAATAGCGGCTATGTCGACTTTACCGACTGGCTCGTAAGCCCCCTTGACAGGCTCTGGTCGGTCGTGCACGTTTTGGCCGGATTCGCGTGCTTGCCGCCTAATAGCCGCGATATCGACTTTTCCAATAGGTTGATAGCCTCCTTTGACCACATCTGACCTGTCTTCAGCCGGGGCCGGTGTGAACCGAGACTCCGGTTGCTTCTGGGATGTAAGTTGGTGGATATCAACCTTTGTGGGTTTATAGGCGGACGGCACTTTCTCTAGCTCTGTACGAGTAACAGGCGGTGCATCAGCGCCCCATCCATCGTCATCGACGGGGGCTTTTGCGATAGGGGCTAGTCTACGTCCTCCGGGTGGAGGCGCGACTCCGCCTGTTCGGCTGGCGGTGAAAACCGGCTTTGTAGCAACAACCGGAGGCTTGACAGGTTCACTTGGGGTGGGGATGCTCGCCGAGGAGTATTTAGCCCCCGAAGCATCAGAGACCTTCTGCAGGATTCCCTCCGGTGTCAGATCACGATCCGAGCGTGCGGTTATTTGCACATGGTAGCCCTATGAGCATGGAGCAGTTAGCAACCTGATGTCTGTCAAGGTTAGAACCTGGTTCTGACCTGAAGGAATTTTGAAACCGCCGCCATATGGCTATTGAAATATCCCTTGGTTCTTTCGGGCACGCCTTCTCCGCACCACGCAATGAGGACATTCTTTCCGAGCCCGGTATTGGGGTCTTTCACTTTCACAAAAGCAAATTGGATCTTGCCCTCTGAGAAGTCTTCTATCAAATCCGCTAATTCGCCCTCTGTATATATATATATATATAACCAATGAAATCAGCATTCCGTTGTCTCCCAGCCCATGCATAAGCTGCTGTACGCACCATCACTACTCTGCACCTTCAAGACACTCTCCTTATTCCCTGCATCGGGCTGGAATGCATTGACTAGTGGCGTAGATACACTGAAGACGGCCCATTGTCCATATGTTGGAGAAGCGGCTGCTCCAGTGTTTGCGGCGGGTGCATTGACGACGGATTGGTAGCTCTTTGTGATGGACGGTCCGTTTGTGGAGAGGTTGAGGGACGCCATTGATGCGGAAGGTTGGAGTCAGGAGAAGAAGTATTTATCGCACAAAACGGCAGATGCTGCTTTTGGAGAGAGATATGTAGTGTCAGTCAATGAAATATGCTGTTTTTTTGCTTGTAAGAAGCTGTGGTAGGCCAGCTTGAATCGGGTTGCTATGCGCTGTGTATCTGTGCATGGGATGTAGACACTCATCCCAGCAGAAATGAACTCTAACTTACCCTAGAGACAGGTTATGGTAGCCAGAGCACTGCTCCTGTAAGGCTCAAATGAATAGCAGAGCAGATGTTGGTTAGGGAGGTGTTGACTGGGACGTTGGTCTGGCTGCGGATGGAAGTTGGACGGGGGGAGGATTACTTTAGTGGCGTAAGCGGCTGGCCGACAGACTCACTGCCCCAGGCATCCGCATTCTACCCAACGCTTCTATATAGTATATACGCCATGGCTATGCACTTTTCTCGAACATTCAGAGGCAGAGGGACTGCCAGAGGAGCCTACAATCAACATACACCGACGCAGAAAATGGTGTATCTACATTGGTTGACGAGGATGTGCATTTGTTTACATATTCAACCCCTCCTTGGCTGAGCCCTGGCGGAGACGTTTCTCGTAGTTCCTCCACTCCAAAAGACCTCTGTTGCATAGACAGCTAGCTACTCTCTGCTATAGTTAATCGATTGATATCATACATAAACCCAGCCAGCACAAGAACGAGGAGTGGGGCGAGTCGATTATGTCAATGACATGGATCTTGAGCTCCTCTCCAGTGGTAGTGGTAGCACTGTGTGATTCTCGTTGAACCGCGTATGTAACTCGGAGTAGCGTCATGGTCATGAGAAGAGCGAGACATGTAAATGCTAGCCTAGCGAGTGAATAGTTAACCAGTGAACTAGGTGATTGCAAGCTCTGGTGTGGCTCTGGCAGCCAGCCCAGCCTCGGTGCGATGGCGTCACGTGAACCTGGACCGCGATCCATTGCGCTGGGCCATCTTTTCACGGGCTCCGGATCTCGAGTTCTTGCGTATCAGTATCAGCTCGTTTTTGCCGCCCTTCTATATCTGTCCCCCCCTTTTTTCGTTGTCCAGGAGGCTTTGACTCCTGGCTGCCTAGCTCACTACACAGCTGGCAATCCGTTGTTCCCGCCCGCCGCGGTTCTGCGTTCCTCCGCGTTTGACCCAAATTTTGAACCAGCTTCCTAGTCTCAACCACGCCGCACAGCGCCCCCCCCCTATCAGTGCAAGCTTCTCCAACTGCGAGTGCGGCTCTCCAACCTCGGATTTGCTCCTACCATGGCGTCTCTCGGCGATGACTTGCTCGTCACTGTGAACAAGCTCCAGGACTTGGTGTTCAATACCATTGGCAATGATTCCCTTGATCTTCCGCAGATTGTACGTGCTGCTCGCTGTAGGCAAAGGACATGCTAAGATGCATATAAGATAGCGGTTCAAATTGTTTTACTGACCTGTGCGTGACTCCTAGGTTGTCGTCGGTTCGCAATCTTCTGGAAAGTCCTCCGTGCTTGAAAACATCGTTGGCCGCGACTTCCTGCCCCGGGGAAGTGGCATCGTGACGAGGAGACCGTTGATCTTGCAACTGATCAATGTTTCCGACGAACAAGATACTCAGCCGGACAATGCTGCTATCAATATTCCACATACTTCCAGCAGCGTGGCGGCTCATGGAGAATGGGCTGAGTTCCATCATTTGCCGGGGCGAAAATTTGACGACTTTGCTTTAGTGAAACAAGAAATTGAAAATGAAACAGCTCGCATTGCAGGAAGCAACAAAGGCATCAATCGGCAGCCGATCAACCTGAAGATTTTCTCCCCCCATGTCCTGAACTTGACCCTTGTTGACTTGCCTGGTCTGACCAAAGTACCAATCGGCGACCAGCCCTCCGACATAGAAAAACAGACGCGGACACTCATTTCCGAATATATTGCGAAGCCCAACAGCATTATCCTTGCAGTGTCGCCCGCGAACGTCGACCTCGTCAACTCGGAAGCTCTGAAGCTTGCGCGCCATGTAGACCCTATGGGACGCAGGACTATTGGCGTGCTGACCAAGTTGGATCTGATGGACCATGGCACAAATGCTCTGGATATCCTGTCCGGCCGCGTCTACCCGCTCAAACTAGGCTTTATTGGCGTCGTCAACCGATCGCAGCAAGATATTCAGAGTGGCAAGTCGCTCGCCGAGGCGTTGAAGGCAGAGGCCGACTTCTTCAGACACCATCCAGCATATCGAAACATGGCTATACGTTGTGGAACGCAATTCCTTGCCAAAACTCTGAACTCGACCTTGATGGCGCATATTCGCGATAGACTGCCAGATATCAAGGCGCGACTCAACACACTCATGGGACAGACGCAACAGGAGCTTGCTAGCTACGGAAATAAGCAGTTCAGTGGCAAAGAGCACCGAGGCTCACTCATTCTTCAACTGATGACGCGTTTCGCAAGTTCGTTTATTTCATCCATTGACGGTACATCCTCGGAGATATCGACAAAGGAACTTTGCGGTGGCGCACGCATATATTATATCTTCAACTCGGTCTTTGGGCATTCCTTGGAGACAATTGACCCAACTCAGAATCTTACAGTATTTGACATTAGGACTGCTATACGCAACTCTACTGGACCGCGACCAAGTCTCTTTGTGCCGGAGCTGGCTTTCGATCTTTTAGTGAAACCGCAGATCAAACTGTTGGAAATTCCCAGCCAACGGTGCGTGGAGCTTGTATACGAAGAACTGATCAAGATCTGCCATACTTGCGGGTCTCAGGAGCTATCCCGGTTTCCCCGGCTCCAAGGCAAGCTCATTGAAGTGGTGTCTGATCTCCTCCGCGAGCGCTTGGGCCCATGTTCGACGTATGTAGAATCGCTCATTTCCATACAAAGAGCGTACATCAACACCAACCACCCGAACTTTTTGGGTGCAGCAGCAGCCATGTCCTCGGTGATTCAGAGCAAGCAGGAGCAGGAAAAGAAAGCTATACTGGCAGAAGAGCGCAAGAAACGGGAGAAGAGGAGACTCAAGGAAACGGGGGAGACCAATGGAGTAGCAGGCGATGAGGAGGAAGATCAGCACGCTGCACGCAACGTTCCTATTCGCACAGCTGCAGGCTCGAGGACGATATCTCCACACCTAGCCAAGGGCGTGGATGGCGTCGATACGGGTGTAAATGGCACACAACAATCCAACTCTCCCCCGGTGTTTGGGGCGGCAAATTCAGCTCGTGACTCATTCCTCAATTACTTCTTTGGCAAAGAAGGGATGCCATCATCCGGACCCCTCCCTCAACCAACAACACAACATCAAGGTCGACGAGTCGGTCATTTCACAGAGCCCAGCATCAGCCAGAGTATTCGCCGCAGCGAACCTCAACCTCGATCACCCGTGATACCGCAAGACGACTTTAACGCACCCATTTCCGACTATGGCAGGGACATTTCCCAATTCGTAAGCCTTTCCTCCCTCTGTCCCACTGATAATAGTTACTATTGTAAATGACCGTAAAACTAACATAATGCACAGCCGAACGACAACGTCGAGCCCAATCTGACCGAACGAGAAATCATGGAAACAGAACTCATCCGCCGCCTCATCTCCTCTTACTTCAACATCGTGCGCGAAACTATCGCCGACCAAGTGCCCAAAGCAGTCATGCACCTGCTAGTCAACCACAGCAAAGACGTTGTGCAAAACCGACTAGTCAGCGAACTGTACAAAGAAGAATTATTCGGCGACCTGCTGTACGAAGATGACGGCATCAAAGCCGAGCGCGAGAAATGTGAACGACTATTGGAGACGTACAAGGAGGCGGCGAAGATTGTAGGAGAAGTTCTATAGACTTTTTTTTTACCCCCTCTTTGGCCTTGATTTGTTCTACAGACCATTTCTACTTTTGTATAAACATATATTTTTAAAGGGTGTTTCTTCGCTGTTTTCTACTGTACCACTTAGTCCACCACAGTCATTCTCAAATCAGATTATAGATCATATATCATATTATCAACGGTATGGACAGTATCTACAACATCTCGCTGCAAATGCCATCTATCTATCTATCTATACAACATTCCAGCCAAAAAAACAAAATTCTAATACGCATAACAACGATATGTAACAACATGTACAAATCACACCTTAACCTTCCTCCTCCTCGGACTCTTCTCCCTCAACGACGTATACCCCGACGACACTTTATCCAAAATCCTCCTCCGATGCCTCCGCCCCTCGTCCTGCTGCTGCTGATGATGCAAAATCATCGAATTCTTCGCCTTGGCCCTCGCACTACCCACGCCATACAACGCACCACCCAAAAACACAAAGCCGGCACCAATCAAGACGCCGGATGCAAGCGAATTGCCGAAGATGTAGATTGAGAGCAGGAGCGAGACTAGTTTGCGGATGTTCAGCACGATGGTCACGGTTAGTGACGAGGATTTGGCGGCTAGTAGGTACACGCCGCGGATGCAGATGTACTGTGTGAGTGCGTTGATGAGGAGGTAGAAGATTTTGCTGGGGGTTTTGGCGAGGAGGGCGTTGAGCAGATGGCCTGCGCTTGCTTCGCTGGCGGCGAGGATGGTGGAGATGTGGCTGTTGTTGTTGTTGTTGATGTTGTGGAAAGGAGAAGGGGTGATGGGGGCGGCGGATGGGGATACAGCTGACAACGAGGCAGCCATATGGGAAAGTGCCATGGTTGCGTTGTGAATGGTGCTGTTCATTCTGTTGTGGTTGTTCATGAGCGGCACATCCTGTGGACTCTGACTTAGAAAGACGCTGGCGGCAGCAGAGTACTGGTCGATATCCGACAGCATCGAAGGAGACGCCATGAACGCGCGAAACTGGGCGGATAGCTGGGCATACGTCGGGAGAAAAAAAGGCAGAGAAAGCATATGCGAATAAAGCAATGCTTCGCGCCAATGCGTGTTTCCATGAGTAGCATATAGTCTATCAGCGTAGACGCCCTGGAAAGCGGACAAAAGCATGGCTAGCGCGAGGATGGTGAATCCCGTGATGAAGGTGAGGGTGGATTTGCCTTCTTCTCCAGGCGACGAGGCGCCCAGAGTGATTGCGTTGCCCTGTGCTTTCGCATCAGCCAGGGCTGCAGCCACCACGCCCAGGGTCAGGAGCATGACCGAGAAAATCTGCATGCGTGAATACCGGCGGCCATTGTATAGATAGCCAATGATCATAGACGCCGTGGGCCCGCCGGATCGGAGAATGATGTGCAATGGGACGGAGATGCGATAGGCAAAAGCCCAGTTGTTCAGCAGGTTGACGGTGACGAAGAATATGGTGTAGATCACCCAGGATTTCAGGGGGATGACAGGCGCCTTCAGGAACAAGGACGACGGGCCGGCGGACCAGGAGAGGAAACTTGGGATGGTGAATAGCGACACAGTCGCGAACTGCACAAAGGTGATCAGGGGGCCGGCAGCTGGTTCGTCTCTGCGCCGGTTAGCTCAGGGAAGATATACCCAGTCCACAGAGCGGTGCACTCACTTGATGATAGCCTCCAATGCAAAGACCTACACACGCGCGGTCAGCCAACGAGCCAAGCAGCAGAAAGACAGAGACATACATTCCCACAACAACCCCCAAAGATCAACAAGCCCACCACGCCAGCGTCAAACCATCGCGGCAACGCCGAGCAGACCACGCCGGCCACAACACTCCTCCAGTCGGCATTGCTGTTAGAACCAGCATCATCCGACAGCGACTCGTCATCGAGAAAACCAATCTCCTCTTCGGGGCCTTTCTCGTCCGCTATTCGGCTGGCCATGTTGTTGTTGTTGTTCTTGTTGTTGTTTCTGTCCGGCTTTTCGTGTTGGACGGTGGGAGAGCGGGCGGGAACAAGATGCGCAGTTGTTTTCGTGCTGGTGGTGTTATTCTCAGTCGCGATGCGGGCTCTGCTCCTCACTGCAGCCGTAGCAGCATTGTCGTGGCTGTTGTGAACGGCGCGACGTTGTGTCTGGTGCTGTCAGAAGAAGGATGGGTTAGTTAGTTAGTTGGCAGTTGAGTCTTCGGCGGCCTCCGTAGTTAATGCAGACTAGCAGAGGCGAGACTTGCCGTGGATCGCATTATCGCCCGGGCCCACCGATACTAGAGAGATATCAGGAAAGTATTATTACGCTGTGCATGGAATGAATGCTCCATGTTGTTCTGGGGGAGAAAGAAGAAAAGAGGTTGGACGAAATCGGAAAACGTGGCTTTTTACGACTCCGGAATGAATACGCCTACGGAATTCTATGCAATGCAACGCGGTACGCCAAATTAATCCTCAATATCATCGTCGCTCAAAAACAATTCCTCCTCAGCAGCCTCCACTACAACCGTCTCGTTCGCGGGCTTCACCTGAAATCCAGCAGGCTGTAGGACAGAATCCGTAGACCAGTCGTTGGCCGCTTCGGCTTCGGCCGGCATATCGTCGTCGTCTTCCCTTTTCAGAGCGTCGATGCCGTTGAATTGCGTGATTCTATCCAGTCCGCGCGCCGTGCTTGTATCTCTGCCCATGATCTTTGATAAATAGGGCAGATAATGCAGAAGCATATCCTCTCGAGGCATCGCAGACGGCACCACGTTGGCATGTTTCTTTCTGTCTTCCGTGTGAGACATACTCGCATTCAATGCATTTGATTTCCAGGAGGCGACTCCCAAATCGTGGCCAGGCGCAGATAACTTCTGGCCCCAAATTCCAGATGCGTCAGACAAGAGCTGCCGTTCCCACAAACTGACCAGACCCTCGACTTCCTCAATGTCCTTCCACAGACGCTGAGACGTCGGGAAGTACATTTTAAACGGGCCGCCAACGCGGCTGCTGCTGCTAGAAGAAGTTCTAGCAGAACCTGACGACCTGCGTACCGGAAACGGCAGTGAAAACAGCATCCCGCGCACCGCAACATGAAAGCTGATCTCGTCCTGTCGCAATCTGTCAATACTCGCGCCATAACCCAGGAAACGGCCGCGCGCAGCACCGACGCCACTCCTGCTACTGAACGAGGACGAACGGGCCTCCGATCCCAAGATATCGCTATCGGACAGATTCTCAATGCACGCTTCGAGAGTCTCCGCGAACATCGACCCGTCGCAAGACGGGGGGTAGTTCTCGTGCAAAGCGGCGACGAACGTGTGCACGTCCGTGCCAGTCTTGTCCATCATATCTTCCACAGAGACTTGAGAGACCTTGGGTCTGTCCAGGTGCTGCAAATGCCGTGGTGGCGCAACATGATGATGATGATGATGATGATGAACCTCAACATTCTGGCTCAGATCCGCGCCATTTTCATCCCGTTTATTATAAACCACTTTCCCCACGGCATGGAACAGTCCCAAGCTAGACTCCCGCTGCGTGATAAGTTCAAGCGACTCCTTCTCCATGGCCGTGAGTGGAATCTCGGCTGTTCGCCGACTCGAGCTTTTGGCTTTTGCGGCAACCCTGCCACCCCAGTCGACGCTCTTATCAGCTCGCAGACAGAGAAACTCGAGCGACGAGATAGCGCTGCGGATGTCGCCGAGTTCAGAGAACCTTTGGAGAACCCCGATGCCCGGGATCCGCTGGCGCATGGAATGTCTCGCCTCTTTTTTGAGGACGAGCTGGAGCGCTTTGAGCATAAAAGTAGGCGCAATCGGGTTGAATTCGATGATTGTCGTGGCAGGGTTAGCATACACTTCCGGCCCAAGCAATCTGTGCGCAGTCAGATTTTCAGACATGGCTACGCTGGTGCCCAGCATGGCCTCCGAGATTACAATAACAATCGGAGGCGTAGAATCAGCTATACTCTGGCTGTTCTGCAGGCTGGATGCCAGATACCGACGGAGCGAGGCCTGAAAGGACGAGAGCGCAACAGAGCCGCGAGACAAACTAGCCGGAAACTCTTCTATCAAAACCACCCTCTTTTGCAACGTCTGTTTCGTAGCTTTGTTGGAGCTAGTAGAATCGGTCAGGGCAAGACCCCCAAAGCCATTCAGCTGGCTCAGAAAGTCGTCGAACTGTGCACTCAGAGATGCGTATTGGCCATTGCCAGCATCCCCCCCAAACGGACTCCTCCATTCGACGATGTCGAAATGTAACACAGTGCGTAATAACGAGATGGTGGAAGTTTTCCCACAGCCGGCCGGGCCATGTAAGACCAGTATTTTCTTTGTTAAAAGTCAGCCTCAGAGGCTTTTTTTTTTCTTCTCAGAGGTAACAAAACAAAACTCACATTCCTGCTCCATCCAGACAACGCAGCAACCAACCAGTTCCGAACATCGTCCACTTTCTTCTTGTGGACTGCCAGTTCCGTAACATCCACAGGCGCGTATTGCTCCGACCAGGGTTTCCGCTGTATTTTCTCTTCTGCTGAGGAAGTCGCCACATCCGGTTGGACCTTTGTATTTGTATCTCCAATTCCATCCAGAATAAACCTCTTCGACGAAGCGCGAGCAGGCAGTTTGTGTCCGCCTCCCTTCCTTTTCTGCGTCGAAATCCCCTCAAAAACTTCCTCCGAGAACCCTAGATCAAAATCGGCATGATGGTCATCATCATCATCATCATCCTCAATCCTGTCCTCCTCCAACTCATCCAGGAATGAAGAAGAAGAAAAAGAAGATCCCTGCGGTTTCGCACCTGACCTGTGAAATGACCATCTCTGCTCTTCTGTCGCGGGCTGGAAGAAGCTGTGCAAGGATCGAGAGGGGGGAACGCTCTTTTTGGTCTTTTCGACTGCTTTTTGCGGCGGCTGCTGCTGCTGCTGGTGGCGGGCGCATGTTGTGTTCGCTGTCTTTGACGAGACAGTCGCTGATCTGGCGTAGGTCTAACAGGTTAGGGTAAGTAAAGAGTCAAGAAGAAAAGAAAAGAGATAGAAAGAGTTACTTCAGCTTCAGTCGGCCGCGTTGTCTCCTCATTGTCCGACGAGGAAGGGAGCACGACCAGCTTGCGCTGCCTTTTGGCAGGGGGAGGAGCAGCCATGACGATGGTGCGGGGGGGAGTATGTCATTGTTCTGTAGGGGATAATAATGGCAATAATAAAAGGGATAGGTCTAAGTGTGGTTCAGCATCATAATCATGGGGATGTTGAATTGATATTGATATTGATATTGATATTGATGTTGATGTTGGTGTTGATGTTGGTGTCTACGCAGGAGTTGCTGGGCGAGGCGGAGAATTGGCTATCGTTATCTATCTATCGGATTGTTCTTTATCGCCATGCTCTCTAACCGCCAGCTATGATATATATATATATATATATATGTATGTATGTATAAATGCATATTAATTTATAGATTCAACTCAGTGGTATATCGCTACAAAAACCAACCAAAACAGTCAAGCCCCCCCAAAAACATCATAATAATAATCCTCGTCCAAGCCCTCCCGACTCGGAATCTCGGGCGTCTCGCCCACAAACGCCGCATCATCAAAGCGCACATTGAGCAGCCGAATCTTCAGTCCATAGTTGCTAATCAGATTCACCAGCTTCGTCGTCTCGGCCGTGATGGGCTGCTGATTGAGCAGCATCAACAGCCCATCCAGCCACTCCGAGGCGATGCTGTGCGTCTGCGGACGCAGCGTCAGAAGCGGGATTTCGCGCTGCGTGGTTTTGCTGCCGCTGCGCTTGTGGCTGCTGCGCTCCTCTCGCTCGCTGGGTTTGTGGCCCGCTGAAGGCGAAGCGGCCGGTGCGTAGCCGTGAATGGTGATCTTGGTGGATGGCGAGGAAGATGAAGAAGGCGGCGGTTGAGAAGCCGGCGCTGTCTTGATGGTTGAGCCGGAGGACGAGTCTGATGAGGCCGAGACGTTTGATACGACTGACGAGACGGTCGACAGGTCGACTGTTGTTGATTTTAGTCTTGTCTGGTTTATCTGTTTCTTGGAAGGATGCTGGAAAAAAGGAAAAAAAAAAAAAAAAAATAAAAATAAAAATAAAAACTCACTCTTGCTAGTCAACGTATCCAAAGCAGGCGCATTCTCCTGCACAGCAGCGAATTCGCTAAAGTGTAGATATCTCCGATTATGCGACAACTGCACATATTTATACCCCTGGCTTTTAGTCGTCGTCGTCACGTCTGGCTTTATAGAGTCGTCTGTTTTTGTTGTCGTCGTCATCGTAATCTCACTAGGAAACCAAGCACCCTGTAAAAGACATCGGACTCGCTGCTCCTTCACAAACTGCAGTGCCTCATGCTGCAACTCGTCGCGCACCTGTCGCAAATGCTGGCCCCAGGCGTCTTCATATGTAAGCTCCAGCAGCTCCATCTGCAGCTCACGCAGACGCTGATACTCGAAATCATCCAGCTCCTCTTCAACATCCTGCACGTCCTTTGTGCGCGGCGCACCGCCAACGACCGATTCCACGAGGATGCGCACGAGCTCAACAATCTTGTCGAAATCCTCTACTTCAGCACTGGTAGTCTTCCACAGACGGAAAAACGCATTCAACGCAGCGACGTGGATCCTCGACCAGTGCAAAAGCAGCGGTTTAAAGACCTTGTCAAAATTCGACCGCGACTCCAGCGCCAGATAATTCTTCGCGTCGTCCGTCGCCGACTTCTCAACCTCAAAATGCTCATACAGCACCGACGTGATTGCCAACGACGCCCTGGCAATGGGACACCGCTGCTCCGCGGGCTTTGTCGAGTGTTCGAGGAGCATCTTCTGGAACTCGTCCTGGTGCTTCCTCACATAATCCGTCAGATCCATCATGCCCAAAAACCCCATCTCATAAAACTCCGGCGCGGGACTTTCGGTCTGGAAACCCAGCCGTCGCCATTTCTCGGGGTTATGTCTTCTCGATTTGCGAACATTATTATCCTCGCCGGCCCCATGCTCAGACGACGAGCAGCCGTCTGCAGACTTTTTTTCCGGGTTACTCGCCAGATGAATACCCTTCAGCGCGCGCCTATGGTCCGGCTTCTCCAGATCCACCGCGACATTCTTCCACTTCCTCAGCAGGAGCTTTGTCAGCGACTGAAACTCAATCAGCGGGTGCGCATGATCCTGCAGCGCACTGCCCTGCATGAGAATATACACGGCGCGAATCACGCCTAGATCCTGCAACCGCTTGATAAACTTGGGCCATTCGGACTCTTGGCCGTTGGTGATGGCGTCGCGCATCAGCGAATTGATCAGCTGCAACGCATTGGCGCACAGGGCATGGTCTGCAGACGACAGCCTGCTCACGAGCATTTCCAGGAATTGTGGATGGTTGGCGATTGCCGGCCTCAGCGCGCGGAAGCCATTTTCGTCCCCGTACTGCTGCTGTGACATGCGGTTCGAGTTGTTGTGCGGATGCGACACGATGGACACGAGCATGGACATGGCGCCGCGCAGGATGTTGACGAGCGGGTGCGTGACGATCAGATGGACTATCTAGACATTATCAGCCCCAATCCTCTCTTCAAAGGAAATAGATATAAAGGCAGGTAGTTAAATACCCTCTCCACAACCTCCTCATCCACAAACTCCCACCCCTTATCCACCTCCAACAGCCGCGCAAAACTCGTCAGACTGTACGCCAACGTATTGCCCGTCGTGCTCAGCGTCAGATAGCGCAGCCTGCTCAGCCCACCCTCGGCGATGAACATGTCGGCGAACGAGGGGTCGCCGATGCTGCCCTGCAGTTTGAACGCGGCCATTTTGCGGACGGCGTCTTCGTCGCTGCCGAGGCGGTCGACGAGGTCGGAGGGGTTGAGGGATTCCATTTCCGTCGGGTTTGTGTTGGGAGGGCTTTTGTTTTCTGGGATTATTCTGGCTGTGCTGTCATTTCAAGACATGCTGTCTGGTATGCGGTCGTGTTGACGGTGATGAAGTTGAACTTGGGACAGTAGAAACTGATTAAAGTCAGGGGTGGTTCACCGGCTGAAAATCCACCGCATTAAATCACGCCCGCATAAATAGTTAAATATGCTTAACCAAACTTGCAGCTTACACTAAGTATAGTTACAGAGTAGAGATACAGTCAGAATGTCAAAAAATTATCATTACTACTCGCTAGTAAGCAGAAACCAAATACAACTCCATCCCATTCGTCCATCGTATTAGTCCATCGTATTAGTCCATCGTAATTAGTAAAGAATCGCTAACTAACCATCCAACCAGACCAGAACATGTACACAAGAACTGAATGAATGAAAAGAAAAGGGGGAAAAAGAAATTCACTTCCTCCATCCCACATTCCATATGACATGCGCAATATCGCGAGCCGTGTTGACGGTGTCAATCATCCGGCCAAACACCCCCGTGTACGACTCCCCCTCGTCATAAGGCATAAACATCCCCGACGGCGTCAGATGCAGATTGCCGCGGCTGCTGTCGTCGCTATTTTCCAGTTCCTCGCGGTCCTCCGGGTTGACGAACCACGGACGGTCGCGCGAAGAGTAGTAGCATTGGGTACCGTAAGCCTTTGAGGAACTGCGTTTCTGCGAGCCCTTTCCATCGAAACGCCACTGCGCATCGACGTGTTCTTTATCGTCGTCGTCGTCGTCGTCAAGGAGGAAGTTAGCCTCAGGTCTCGACGGCCGAAGAGTCTCGACAGATGGTGTTGGGGAGAGTTCGGTTGGGGGGCTCCACGGCGTAGGGATAGGTTCAGGAGTGTCGCTGCGGCATTTCAAGGTAGTTGGAGGTAGAGGAGCAATGGTTTTGCTTTCGCTGCTAGCGCTGCGGAAGCTGGTATGAGGCGTTGTCGCGGATGACGATAATGATGATGATGACGACGACGAGGAGGACCGTTTGGATGTCTTCATCATCACAATTCCCTCGTCGGACTCTGTGTCGTCATCGTCTTTGTCGAACCCGGCGTAATCATCGTCGAGCTCTTCGCCCAGGAAGAATAAAGATGGGTCGACATCGCGTTCTTCATAATAATCCTTGGCTTCAACTGCAATACACTGCACAACTTCATTGTTGAAGTGGATATGTCGTTTCTCACTAGGCGAAACCAAACCCGACGAGGCAGACTCTGAAGGCGTGCAGTATGGACTGTCCAGGATTCGGTCCAAGGGAGCACCCACATCAGACGTGGCCCGTTCAAAGGAAGGTTTCCCCCGCGAATGTTCGGCTTTCTGAGCTTGCAGTATCGCCCCGGCATGCTTCAAGAGGGTATGTTGCGATAATGAGCGTTGGAGAATAGCCTCCGAGGCCGTTTTCTTTTTGAGGATAGATTTTCGGTCTAGGAAAGAGTTGGTCGACGACAGCCCGCTGGGCGGCGGGGGTTTGTTGCTGTTAGATGCGGCGGGAAGTGACTTGATATCTGTTTGCAGCGGCCCGTAGAGCCAGGTCACATCACAATCCTTCAGCCAGTTCAATGTTTCAGGCGAAACAGTCCGTAAGCTGTATTTGGATTTGGCCCACGTTCGCCACGATGCATTCTCTAGTCTCACTCCATTGCTATATCGATCGCGGCGAGACACCACGTAGCGCCACGAGGACCAAATGTCTTCCTCGCGCCAGTCGTGCGACAGGTAGTCTACATGTCTTTCGGGCTCTGATTCGATCGACGCATCGTCGCTCGAGGTCCTGGACAACGCGGCCAACGGATCCAGCCCTTCGTTAGTCGCTGTGTTGGCGGCTGTTATCTTTGGCGTTGACGGTTGAGACTGGTCATCCGGTGCCGCGATCTCTTCCGTCTCAAATGCCGGCAATGCTATCTCATCGCTTTCGGCATCGGACGTCGCTTCGGAAGACCGGCTGCTGAGGGTTGGGGTATAAACATGCGGAGCGGGAGGGGGGCGGAAGGGCAGGAATTTGTGTGATGCTGCTGCTGTATAGTCTGCTTCGAAGTATTCCGACATGGGATCGGTGAACAGGTCTCCGCTGTCTGCAAGGAAGCGTGTTTGCAGGTCGTCCCTATCGCTGGGAAGCAAGGTGGTCATGACGACGAACGAGGTTGACAGGGGCACGCCCTGGTTGTGCAATCACCGCAGCGGCATTTGATTCAATTGACCTTTTTTTTTTCTTTCTTGTGTTTCCACTTGCCACTGCGGTTGACGCAACGCGCGGGCAGGTCAATGTGCGCAGAGAGCGAAGTTGGCCGGAGCGAGTGAGCAGAAGTACGTGAGCAGAAGCGAGTGTCGAGAGGAAGAGGAGGGCTGCAGGCGATGCAAGCGGCGAGAGCAACGTGGTGTGGAGGGGAGGTCGGTGAGCAGCGACGACGACGAAAAGCAAAAGCAGGATTGATAGAGCAATCGCCACCAGCGCACTACGCCGGATGCGGTTAGTCTCTCCACATGCGTACTGGTCTAGACGACTCTCTTTGTCTCTTTCTTCTCTATGCGTCCATGGAATGATGGCCGTTGTATACGAGTATTGATATAATTATAGATATGATGATAGATATGATGATAGATATGCTGATGATATGCTGATGAACACGCCGATGTATATGATTATCTACAGGGCCATGTCTATTTCGCCATTATAGATGGATTCTAGGCCTAGGGCTTGGTTAACGCTAGCAATTAATGACGCATGCGCTACAACCTGGTTATCAGTCCATGTCTCCTCCATGATAATGCGACGTGTTCCGGTCTAGGCCTGGCAATTGCTGGACGATATATCAATGCCACGCCGCGCAATGGGGAGAGAGCGAGAGAGAGAGCGGGGAGAAAGAGAGCAAGAGAGCGGGGTGGGTGCCTGAGCAACAAGGCCGCAGCAATTGCCCGTCGCTGATTGGCCACTTCCCTGTTGCTACTCCAGATCTCGCGAATAAGATCCGCCTCTCTATTATTAAAATCGCTCCCTCGCTACGCGCACGAAATTCACGAAACACGCTCGCTCTTTCTGCCCCTTGCGAACAACCCGAATCTTCGCATTGGATGTTGAGCTGAATGTTTCACCCACCGTCTGTGTATTCGGCGGCCATCGGAGAATTTGTCGCCATCCTCGTAGCCGAGGTATGTATGTATGTACTTGCAGGTATACAGCCCGTGCCCGTCCGTGCCCGTCCGAGTCGTGGTGACCTGTCACTTTACTGTCGTCTACTTCTGCGCGTCTTTCGAGGATCGTGCTATTAAAGCCTCTCTCTACCCCGGTGGTGTGCTCGACCCGCGCACAGATTGCGCCATACATATCTAGCCTCCAGGTCGTCGTGCGCTATAGACTGGGGTGATGTTCCACGCAACGCGGCGACGTAAAAATGCCAAAGGGTGAATTTCAGATCTTTTATTCAAGTATGCAACGTCTTATGTCTAGGCAAGTACTGGCACATCCTCGGGATGGACGTAGAACGCGATGCCCACAATCACATACGTGCCCACCAACAAGATACCTTCGAGATAATTCGCCCGGCCCTCGCGGACCAGGCAGTTCACAACCACCACCGAGAAGGAAAGCACAACCGTCTCAAACGTGCTGAAGAACAGCGACATGGGCTCGCCGATGATCCAGCCGCACAGAACCAGGAACGGGGTCACGAACAGGGCAATCTGCAAGGTGGCGCTCACAATCAGACTGACCGCCAGATCCATTTTCCCAGACATGGCCGCGCTGACAGCCGCCGTAAACTCTCCTGCGTTGCCCACGATGGGCACGATGATCAGTCCGATAAAGGCCCGGCTAATGTGCCATGTCCGGACTATCCCGTCCACCGAGTCGACCAGTGCATCAGAGCAAAAGGTCACACCGAGGGTAGTAAGCAGCAGAACGATGCTCGACGACCACAGGCCCAGCTGGACTTCTTCCTCGTCCTCGCCTTGGGTCTGGTCGTCTTCGAAGATGTCGGCGTGGCTTTTGAGTTGGAAGTAGAGGTAGACGAGATAGAAGATTAGAAGAATAATAGCGGTAGCACGAGAAAGACTGAGAATACTACGCTCGAGCTCGGCTCGTTTCCACGGCGTCATGGTCGCCAATGCGGATGGAATGATGAGGGTCGCACACGAGACGATCATTAAGGATACCATGACGCCGATAACATCTGCAGTGAAATTCATCCCCTCTTTGTTGTAGCATCCAAAAAAGAAGGTACATCCCAGGATCTTCAAAGAAGTCAGCGTGTGAAGGAAACCAAATCATAACAAGAAAAAAACATGCCAGAAGAATTCCCGACAGAATACTCCCAACCATACTCGACTGCACGATCCGAATTTCGCCTTGATTGACGGCAGTGATGCCGACCTATTTTATTCATATTGTAAGTCAACCATCAACTGCAGAGAAAGAGAAGAAGAAGAAAAACGCACAATCATTTCAAGAGCATTGCCAAAAGTGGCATTCACCAACGCACCCACCGTCTGACCGGTACTCTTAGCCAATTCATCTGTCGCAAAGGACAGCACCGACGACAAGGCCAAAATCGCCAGGAAATTCAGGATAAACACAGCCGACGTGTCCCAGCCATCGTCTTCGCTTGCGACCAGCGCCACGGGCACGAGGAGCAGCAACCAGTTGATGTAGCTCTGGAACCAGATGACTTTGACGATGCGGAGCGTGTCCGCGACCACTCTTCTGGACAGATGACGCCGAGGAGGCACTGGCATGAGCAGAGGCGTCGTCGGTCCTGGCTCAGAAGACATGTATGTATGTAGTTTTGATTATATGGCTGGCTATATGGAAGGCGAGACTTGAATGAGGACTTGCTGCTGGATTCAAGATTGTTTTGAATTGGATTTGGGCGGAGCAATAACTACTCCGTACCTGTTTGGTATTGTCATCGATACATGTACTGTCAGCTGACGGCCGTACGGAGCTGTAAATACTAGTCGTATTCAATTAGATATCGAATCTATTAACCAATCTGTAATTATTACTGGAGTCTCCCTATTCCAAAAAAAAAAAAAAAAAAAGAAAAGAATCGTCTGAACAGATAAAAAAAAATTGCTGAACGATATAATGATTAGAAGCACTTTTCTTAATCTATAAATTATAAATGGCGTCCAGGCATTCAGTGTTTCATAGTATTCACTAGTTTATCCTTCACAGTGTCGAATACAAAAACTACGTGTCGTGAGTGCTAGATCCACTCTAAAAATAGAAAGCACTTACGCAATCTAATAATTTGTAATGCAACCTCCCTTATTGGATGCCCTGATGGTGGGGCTCCCCTTCTGCCCGCAGCCAATCGGTAGTCTCACAGGTTCCGGAGAAGCCGGGGACACCAACTCCAAGGTCCCCAGACTAGTGGCTCGGGCCCACTTGCAAGCCTCGGCTTGCGGCCCGTCATAAATGTCAAATGAGGATTAACTTTTTCGAGTTTAGTGTAATTGGGCCGTTACTAGATCGGCCCAATGAGCCAAGGCTTGGTATTTTTGACTTGTAATTACTGCAATCTCTCATTTCCCTTGGTCAGGCTTCAACTAATAATAAACACAATCTATCTACGTACATCACACCGCTAGTGTAAGCCTCCTCTTTCCCTTTCGGGTTGGTTAAACCAGTAGCAACATTGAAACAATTCAAGTTTGTACAAAAAAAGCCTACAACCAACAAACCACTTTGAAGCAGCTGTTGGAATTCTATCAACGATGACACCCGACGACGACGACACCCTGATCGCATCACCATCATCCTCAACACTGTGGCACCCATATCACATGACCTCGGCCCGTCTGGTCAGCAGCTACCTCAATCTGCTTCTGATCTTTTTCCCCCTGGGCGTATGCGCTGCATTGCTGGGTTTCCCGCCTCTGGCGGTGTTTGCGCTGAATCTGCTGGCTATTGTGCCGCTGACTGCGTGGATTACATTTTCAATTGGCCAGTTATCCTCGCGCATCGGGCGTGTTGGAGATGAGTTGCTCAAGGCTACGTTGGGGAATCCGATTGAGGTGTCGGTAAGGATAAAACTCTGTCAAGCCTCTTGTCGAAGGATGGATGGGCTCATTACTTGTTACTAGGTTGGCCTCAGTGCCCTCCGCCAGGGCCAGACACTTATTGTGCAGCGGGCAGTGATTGGGAATATCCTGCTCTATTCGCTTCTGGTATGTTAACACAGTAGACTTCGCTTTTTTCTCTATCATTTTGTTCTAAATCATGCCTGCCTAGGTCCTCGGATGCTGTATATTCGTCGTTGGAGGCCAGCACAAACGAGTCAAGTTCGACCGAACCTCCACGAATATCATGCTGTCCTTGACCACCATTGTAGTCATTTCGCTGATCATTCCAACCATCATGTTGACGTTTCCGCCCGCCGACGAGGACGACGGTCTTGACGATAGCTATATTCTGCGAGTCTCGCACGCCGCAGCCACCGTGCTGTTCCTTCTGTCGCTCGTGTTTTTCTACTTTCAGTTCTACTCGCATCCTCACCTTTTCCACGTAGAAAACGCCCCGCAGTCACAGCTAGCCACCGGTCATCGCCGCAACAATGGCAGTGGCGTGTTGGGTCTGAACCGTTGGATCACCGGCGTAGTCCTGATTGCCGCCACCAGCGCTCTGGTTGTATGCGTCAATTTCCTGATCCGCGGCATGGACGACGTCTCGCGCACCCTCGGGATCAGCTCGGCCTTTCTCGTAACGGTTCTGGTGCCTCTAATCGGCAACGGGACCAAGATCGTCACGATCCTGGCCGTCGCAAAGCGAAACCCGATTGATCTCGCAATCCGCGCCATCATCAACACCAACCTGCGTCTCCTCATGCTGATTATGCCCGCGTTGGTGCTGGTCGGCTGGGTGTTCGACCAGCCCTTGACGCTGCAGTTTGATCTCTTTGACGCGACGATTCTTTTTCTTGCCATCATGGTGATGAACTACCTGATCCAGGACGGGCGCAGCAATTACTTGGAGGGTCTGGTCTTGATGGGCACGTACGTACTTTTCTTCTCCTCCAACATGCATATGACATGGCACTATTCTGACATCTCCGCAGCTATGTCATTGTTTCGGTGGCTTTTGAGGTTCGGCCGATGGCGCCTGACGATGTGATTTACTTGTAGGCCGGGAATTAGATTATTTCGTGCGTAGCTATAGCAATAACAATAGTACGGTCACTATAGTCACGCCCAAAACCTGTATTTATGATTACTCATGCACGCAAAGGGGACTAAAATCGAGCCTGATCAAATCAGTTCAAGCGCGGATCTAAAACGACTAAAAGATCTGCCAATCGGCAGTGCCAACGCAACCTTACGAGTCTGCCTCGCTAAACCAGCCGACATACATGTCATGTCATGTCACTGCCAGACTCTTGCTGCCATCTCCAACTAAACATGTGGAAAGTGTCTCTGTCGTAGACCATCACCACCACTCAGCATGGAGCCCAGCAACAACAAACCCAAAAGGGGCGGCCCGATGCCGGCCGACGCAGCGCCGCCTCCTATCATTACGATAAGTACCGCCGACGTGCGTATGCCTTCCAGTCCTCTGCCTGAACCATCCATCTCATGAAAAACAAAATCCTGCACAGTTGTCCTCACCACAAGAGTCGTCGTTATCATCCCCTATCACCACCACCATCACAAATAATGAACCGCCGTCGCCAGATAGCGGCGGCCTGCAACCCGCAGCCACCTCTCACAGTCTGTTTCTTTCCGGCGACGGTAGCAGTTGCGCTGCCGTCGCCGGAAGACCAAGGGTGACTTCAGTGACCTCGCTGTCCGACGGCGAGACCATGGTAGCAAGCAGCTCGCAGTGCGGCTCCTGTCGCACTCGCAGCACTTCCGAAGTCACCGCCATCTCCATGGCGTCGGACTACCAGAAACGCCGCGACTCGGTCGTCTACAACCACAACTTCCACCCGAGCGACGACGACCACTCCTCATTCGGCATTGCGCCCGACGCCCTGGACGCCCTGTTTGCAGAAAGGAGTGTCGAAGATCTCTTTTCGCTAGGCGGCGTGTCCGGTCTGGCATACGTCTTGCGAAGTGACCGCTCTTTCGGGATTCGATGGGAAGAGCGGCCAGACTGTCTGGCCGGCAGAGTCAAGACCTTCGGTGGCAATAGACTGCCAGAGAAAAAGATGCAGACGCTTATGCAGCTAATGTGGAATGCCCTGCAGGATAGGGTGCTCATCTTACTCACGGTTGTGGCTACTGTTTCCTTGGCCTTGGGCCTGTATCAGACGTTTTGCCAGCCGCATCGGCCCGGACAGCCCAAGGTGGAATGGGTAGAGGGAGCGACGATTATGGCAGCCGTCGTCGTTGTGGTGGTTGTCAGTGGCTTGAATGATTATCAGAAGGAGCGGCAGTTTGCAACATTGAACAGAAAGGTATAGCCCCTGAAGTCTGTTTTGAGGGATTAAGGGAAAAAAAAAAAAAAAAGCCTGACTTGTTTGTTTATTTAGAAAGAGGATCGTACTGTGACTGCATTGAGGTCTGGTAAGCCCTATGAATTATCGGTGTATGATGTTGTCGTTGGAGATCTCTTGCACTTGGAAGCCGGCGACTTGATTCCAGCCGACGGCATTCTCGTCTCAGGTCATAACATCCGTTGTGACGAGTCCTCGATCAGCGGAGAATCCGACCCGAAGAAAAAGATCCCAGGCGACGAAATCGCCAAACGAAAGAAACAAGGAGTGCCCCTGGGAAAGCAGGACCCCTTTATCGTCTCCGGCTGCAAGGTCGTCGAAGGGATTGGAACTTACATGGTCACCGCTGTCGGAGAGCGCAGTACATATGGCAGAACGATGATGTCTCTTGTCGACGAGAACGAGCCAACGCCGCTGCAGCAGAAGCTGGCTACCATGGCCGATCAAATTGCCATTGCCGGCATTACCGCCGCAGTACTGCTGTTTGTCGTTCTCAGTGCCAAATTCTTAATCCAGTTACCGGGGAACACCGCACCGCCTTCAGAAAAGGGACAGGCCTTTTTGCGGATTGTGATCGTTTCTATCGCCGTGGTCGTGATTGCTGTTCCTGAAGGATTGCCGTTGGCCGTGACTCTTGCTCTGGCCATCGCAGTCACGCGAATGCTCAAGGACAACAATCTCGTGCGAATCCTGAGCTCGTGTGAAACCATGGGCAGTGTGACCACCGTATGCAGCGACAAAACAGGCACACTCACCATGAACCAGATGACCGTGGTCGCCGGAACTGTTGGCATGCAGTTCGGGTTTGGGAACAGACCGGAGGAAACCGAGGCTTCAACGACCATGGTCAAGCTGCTCCCCACTAGAGACTTTGTCTCGCGTCTCTCGGAACAAATGAAATTTGTCCTGTCTCAATCTATCGTCATCAACTCGACTGCCGTGGAAAGCGAGAAGGATGCATTCATCGGGTCCCGCACCGAAATGGCTTTGCTCTCGTTCGCAAAGCAATATCTCAGCATTCACAAGATCTCTGAAGAACGTGCAAATGCGGGACTGGTCCAGATGGTGCCCTTTGATTCCGAGAGGAAGTGCATGGCGTCCGTGGTCAACCTCGGCGGGATTCATAGACTCTATATCAAGGGTGCTCCGGAAGTGCTACTGGAAAAATGCTCCCATATCGTCGTTGACGCATCCTCCGACGAAGCCAGCAGCACCAACGCAGAGCCCCTGAGCAAGTACCAAGATCGAGTCCCCGAGATCCTTCGAGGCTATAGCAAACACTCTCTACGAATGATTGGATTCGCATACCGCGATTTCCCGTCTACCTGGCCCCCGCCCCATGTTGACACTGTGGAGAACGATCCCACGCAGGCTGTATTCGAAGATATCATGAAGGATATGACGTTCCTTGGGATCTTTGGGATCCAAGACCCTCTCCGTCCTGGTGTCACGACCGCCATCGCCAAATGCCGCAATGCCGGCGTGAGCATCAAGATGGTTACGGGGGATAACATTGACACTGCCAATGCGATTGCAACTCAATCGGGTATTTTGGACCATGATGGAATCTCCATGGACGGACCAACTTTCCGCAAGCTGTCAAAGAGCGAACTCTATCGCGTGCTTCCGCGACTCCAAGTTCTGGCCCGTTCCAGCCCGGAAGACAAGCAGAATCTAGTCAAGGGGCTCAAGGAGCTTGATGAGGTGGTTGCTGTGACGGGAGATGGTACTAATGATGCGCCGGCATTGACAGTGGCCGATGTGGGCTTTTCAATGGGTGTTTCTGGTACTGATATCGCGCTAGAAGCGTCGTCCATCATCTTGATGGACGACAATTTTTCTTCGATCGTCAGGGCTATTGAATGGGGTCGCACAGTTAATGATGCAATCAAGAAATTCCTGCAGGTGTGTACTCTTCCCTCCCTCTCTCTCTCCCTCTCTCATTATACTAACATGCAAAGTTCCAACTCACCGTCAACATCACGGCTGTTGCCCTTACATTCATCACCGCCATCACAAGCGACCGTGATGAATCTATCCTGACCCCCGTCCAATTGCTTTGGGTGAACCTTATCATGGACACTTTCGCAGCCATGGCGCTGGCCACTGACCCTCCGCACAAAAGCATTCTCGAGAAGAAGCCACAACCCAAATCCGCACCTATGATAAGCCTCACCATGTGGAAGATGATTATCGCGCAGTCCATCTACCAGCTTTCCGTGACCTTGGCCCTCAACTTTGCAGGTAATGAGATCCTTGGGTACGAGGGGGCCGAGCAAGAGAGTTTGGAGACCGTGGTGTTCAACACTTTTGTTTGGATGCAATTTTTCAACCAGTACAAGTGAGTTTTTTTTTTTTTTTTTTTTTTTTTTTTTTTTTTTTCCTTTGTTTCAAATATATATATATATGTATATGTATACCCCTCGCGTCATTGGCTTTGAGCTAACCGACCATAGTAACCGTCGTCTTGATAACCGACTCAATATCTTCGAAGGAATCCACGAGAATTGGTATTTCCTCGGTATCAATCTTATCACCATTGTCGGGCAGGTTCTCATCATCTTTTTTGGCGGAAGTGCCCTGTCCGCCGTCAGACTGGACGGCACGCAGTGGGCCATCTCCCTTTTCCTTGGAGCCTTCAGTCTGGTTGTCGGCGCACTCGTCCGCTTGGTTCCAGATCGCTGGCTCGCGCATCTTCTTGTCTGGCACACCAGGCTCGAATCAGCACACCCTGACTCTGCTGGGCATCTTGATCACCACCGCCCTGACGAGTCGACTCCTCTGCTGGGCGATTCGCGCCCGCGCCAGACTCATTCTGGCCGAATGGGCTGGATAGGCTGGATTTCTCATTTCTTCAGGGCTCACACTGACACGGAAAGCGTGTGATTGGGAAAGCAGTACATACATACAAATATACATACATAGATATGTATATAAGGACTAGAACATTGTATATAGCACTTATTTCTGCCTTTGCCATAGATATAGATTTCATTGTGATGTGATTTACCTGAAAATATAAGGGATTGATTGCTTTTCACGTCCGACGTTATACTAGAGGACTCGCATGCAAAATAAAGCGAGTCAAGACTTTATAAACATGTTAAATTTTCAGCTTCAAGGGTTTATTCCATCTACAAGTCCTGTTTATACTGCAGGTAATAAATGTATTGTCACATCACGGTATCCGGCCAATAGCAGCGTGCGTCTGCTCCGCCACAATAATGGAACCGGCCAACCTGCAAGACTGCAGAAAGGGGGGGATTTCCCTTTCACGCTCGTTACAATATTGACAGAGTTTTCTTCTCTGTTAAACGCAAAGCTAGATGTGGCATCCATCGGCCTGTTCTCCCAGTACTCTGTCTCTGTCTCTGTCTCGGTCTGGGTGGTTGTTGTCGTCGTCGTCGTCGTCGTGGCAGACGGGATGGAGACATCCACCGTGAAAGACACCGGCGTTGTTCTACCGGAGACTCAACCAAGACAGCAGCAAGATGGCCAGTTCGGCTGCTCGCTCGAGCAGCTACAGCAGCTCGCTGAATCCCGGGACTTGAAGGCCCTCCGGACATCCTTTGGCGGGCTCGCGGGCCTGGAGGCGTCACTTCTGACAGACCGGAATACCGGGCTGAGCCCCGATGAGTCTCTTCTGTCTCCAGCCAGCAGCAGCAGGAGGCAGCAGTTCGGCGACAATCGGTTGCCCATGAAAAGAGAACCTCCCTTTTGGCAGCTGATGTGGATGGCCTACAACGACTACGTCTTATTTCTCTTGACCGGTGCCGCCATTGTCTCCCTTGCCCTCGGCCTCTATCAGGCGTTTGGCATTCCTCACACTGCAGACAGCCCCGGTGTCGAGTGGGTAGAAGGGGTGGCCATCCTGGTCGCTATCATCATTATCGTCCTTGTCAGCGCGCTGAACGACTTCCAAAAGCAGCATCAATTCCGCCGACTGAACAAGAAGCAGCAAGACCGGAATGTCAAGGTGGTTCGCGCTGGCCGCCCCCAGGAAATCTCCATCCATGACGTCGTGGTCGGTGATGTCGTCCAGATCGAGCCGGGAGATGTCATCCCAGCAGATGGTATTATGATCCAGGGCCTTCTTCTTCGATGCGATGAGTCTTCCATGACAGGGGAGTCGGACTTACGACCGAAATATCCTGCCAACGAGGCTTGTAGTAAAGCAGCCATCCCGACCGCACATGGCGATGATAAAGAGGCGCCCGCAATGGACCCTTTTATTATTTCCGGTACGCGCGTGGCCGAGGGCATGGGCAGCTTTCTCGTCATTGCTACCGGTCGCAATTCAGTCTATGGCAGGATCCTCGTGACGCTCGAGGACGAACCGGCCCCGACGCCATTGCAGGTGAAGCTCGCAGGGCTTGCTAAGAACATCGCTATCTGCGGTGGTGTCGTTGCTCTGATCTTTTTCGTCATCCTGTTCATCAAATTCCTGGCAGAGCTGCCTCACAGTACGAGAAGTGCGGCTGAGAAGGGCCAGCTATTCCTGAACATCTTTATTATCGCGCTTACAGTCGTGGTCATCGCCGTTCCAGAGGGTCTGCCATTAGCGGTTACTCTGTCACTTGCCTTTGCGACTACTCGGATGCTGCGAGACAGAAATCTAGTCCGATCGCTAAGAGCGTGCGAGACCATGGGGAACGCCACGAGTATCTGCTCGGATAAAACTGGCACCCTGACGCAGAATAAGATGACCGTGATTGCCAGTAGTGTTGGGATAAACTCTCGGTCTGCAGAGGGTTCCTCGTCGTCTCTTACGGAGTATATCAGAAACCTTTCTCCCGCGGTCAAGTCGATCTTGAAGCAGTCGATTGTGGTCAACAGCACTGCATTTGAAGCAGATGACTCTTCATTCGTCGGTTCGCGCACTGAATCTGCTCTATTGACACTAGCTCGCGAGGCCCTGGGCATGGGACCCGTTGAGGTTGAACGGTCTAACGCCAGGGTTGAGTATCTCGTGCCATTCGATTCCTCGCGAAAATGCATGATTTCTGTAGTTCACCTGGAGAACGACAAATACCGAGCATATGTCAAGGGTGCATCGGAGATACTCTTGCGTAGCTGTACCAGGGCCTTGGACAGCCCAGAAACCGGGGTATCCCCAATACCACATTCGGACGATGCCATGAGCAATGTGCAGGAGATTATATCCAAGTATGCGGCTCGTTCCTTGCGAACAATTACTCTCGCATATCGGGATTTCGACACTTGGCCGCCTAGCAACGGAATAGACATTAGCGGCGACGTCGATATTGCCGTTGATCGGATTCTCCAAAACCTCACCTTTCTCGCAGTCATGGGCATCCAGGATCCCCTGCGCGATGGTGTCCCGGACGCCATCCAGATGTGCGCAAAGGCCGGAGTGACCGTGCGAATGGTCACGGGCGACAATCTCCTAACAGCGAAATCCATTGCTAGCGAGGCAGGCATTATCACCGACTCCAAGGACATTGCCATGGATGCAGCGGAGTTTCGCACGCTCGAAAAACCCCGGCAGATTGAGTTGATTCCTCACCTCAAGGTCCTGGCCAGGTCTACCCCTGACGATAAGCGGATCCTGGTCAAGCGATTGAAAGAAATGGGAGAGATCGTGGCAGTGACAGGCGATGGCACCAATGATGCTGCGGCCCTCACCGCCGCGGACGTTGGGTTTTCCATGGGGATATCAGGGACAGAAGTTGCTCGAGAGGCGTCCTCGATTGTGCTCCTCGACGATAACTTTGCGTCTATCGTCAAAGCCATCATGTGGGGGAGAGCAGTCAACGACGCTGTCCGCAAGTTTCTGCAGGTAACTATTCCCCTACAGATTTTTATCAAAAAAGAAAAGAAGTAGCCTAACAGCGATATAGTTCCAAATTACAATCACCATCACCTCTGTCGGATTGACCTTTGTCTCTGCGGTGGCCAATGGAAACGAACAGTCTGTCCTGACCGCGGTGCAACTCATGTGGATCAATCTCTTCCAGGATACAATGGCCGCGCTGGCGCTGGCAACCGATCCGCCGTCGGCCAGGATCCTCGATCGCAAGCCTATGCCTCAGTCGGCCTCGCTCATTACTACGCCGATGTGGAAGATGATTATTGGCCAGTCAATATACCAAATGGCCGTCACGCTGGTGCTCTACTTTGCCGGCTCCTCCATCTTCCATTATCGCACGGCGCACGAAAAGGCGCAGCTAGAGACGGCCATTTTCAACACCTATGTCTGGTTGCAGATCTTCAACATGTACAAGTAAGGCTTTCTTTCCCTTCCATTATTACTTCAATTTCCATGGCTAATCATCTACCCAGCAATCGCCAACTCGAAAACACGGTCAACGTGGCCGAGGGCGTGCTCCAAAACTGGCTATTTATAACCATCAGCGCCATCATGGTCGGCGCGCAGATCCTGATTGCGTTTGTGGGCGGACAGCCCTTTTCTGTCGTCCGCATGACCGGCGCCCAGTGGGCCTACTCGCTTGTGCTTGGCTTCTTGTCGATTCCTCTGGGATTTCTGATCCGCCAAGTGCCTGACCGGCCAATTGAATGGGTTATGAGAGTGTTGAGCGATGCCAGTCGGAGATGGCCGATGCGCCGTGCCAGACGAGTTTAGCACTTATGAAGTTTGGAAAGGAAAAAGAACGGGCAAAATCATCAATGTGTGGATTTGGCGTAGGCCAAGTAAGTAGATTAATACTATGCTTACCTTACTGGTTACTTACTTCAGTTGTGTTGATTTTCAGGGGTCAAGCACCCGGGCAAGTTTCGAAACCGGTATTGTACAGTATGGTATGTTTGGTATGTACGGTATGTAATAGGCACGTGACGTACAGTCAAGTCGTACGGTAAGTAAGTTTTACGCTCGGTGTTCTGGAACTGGAACGTTGCCGCCTGCCGAAACCTTCAACCCATCCATTCCAAACGTTCGCGAATCTTTTGGGAATGTCTCTGGACCGAGAAGAACCCGATCTTGGTGCGCGATCCTTAAACAGCGTCGACAGCCGGTTACATGGAAGCCAACTCCGGAGCCGTCATTCTCCTGCAATTACGCCTCAAGAACCGGCAACAGACATGGAGACACCAACACCAACACCAGCATCAACTCGGACCCCTACTCTCTTCCGCGTAGAGACCTGGTCGCAAGCCCTGTACGCTCCACACTCAATCAACATCTACCACCACGCCCGCAGAGCGCTCGTTCATGGCGTCAACAGCAGCAACCTGCTCCTCCTGTTTCTGCCGCTCGGAATCGTGGCAGGGGCGCTTGGCTGGAATGCGGTCTTGGTCTTTGCCTTCAACTTGTTGGCTACCATCCCCCTCTCGGCATTGGTTTCGGATGCCTCTGACAAGCTGTCGGACGAAGTTGGCGAAGTGCTTGGGAGTCTGGTCAATGCCACTTTTGGGAATTCCGTGGAATTAACGGTGCGTTCCTAGCCTAGCCTTGCCTTGCCTTTCTTTCTTTCTGGCCGTATATTAATTGTCTTAGGCGGGCATTCTGGCCGTTATCAACGGGCGTTCGGATATCGCTCAATCGGTTATGATTGGAAGCATTTTATCGGATTTACTGCTTGTTCGTATTGATCTCCCTCGTCTGCTTTTTTCTTTTCCGACTAACAATCCCATCAAGGTCCTAGGCTTCTGTATGCTCTCTGCCGCATGGGACAAGGACTTAATGCCCTTCAACCCGGCTGTGGCAGACACATTATCCTCGCTGATGATTATCACTACCATGGCAATCATCCTGCCAACGGCGCTGGCTTCGGCTCTCACCACTAATTCTACACAAGTTAGAAATAAGATTGTCGAGTTTTCGCACGGAACCGCCTTGATCCTGCTTGTCTTGTACATTTGTTACCTCTACTTCCAGATGAAATCTCACCGCCATCTCTTTGAGAGGGCCCAGCACGACCACGACGACGACCCTCCCTCATCTTCCTCACAGCCCATCGAACAATTAGTCACCCTCGTCGGGTCCGCAGTAGGCGTCGTTGCGTGCACCTATTTCATGTTCCAAAGCATGGTGAGCACCGCTCACACCGCACATGTTTCCACCTCATTCATCGCCACAATCCTCATCCCCATTGCCAGCAACAGTGCCGAGGCCGCTGCCGTGATTGCCGTCTCCCGCAGCGGCGACATCGACTTTGCAATCAGCATCATAGTGTCCAGTATCCTCCAAATCGGGCTATGCGTCATTCCCATCATCGTTATTTTGGGTTGGATCATCCATCAACAGACCTCCCTGGATTTTGACTCGTTCAACACTGTTATTCTTTTCTTTTCAGTCTTGGCTGTGAATTACATGCTGCGCGAAGGGAAGTATAGTTATATCCACGGAATCATGCTAGTGGGGTAGTAAGTCTCCTTTCCTTTCTTTTTTTTTTCCTTCTTTTCTTCTAGACTGACAGCCTGTAGCTATGTGATTCTTACCATTGCATTCGTCTTCCGTTGAATCGGGCCCCAAAACCTAACCGCTGGAAGGTTAGGAAACGTCTACTTTTTATAAACAAGATATTTCAGAATTTACCTAGAATATGGTTTATAATCCCGGCAATCGTGTACTATTAGTAACTGGATATGTTCGGACTGTCTATAAACAATACACAATCAATCGATAGTTTTTATTTGCTCGTCTATTTCTGTATTAATAGACAAAATCAAAAGATTTTGATTAGATTTATTAGTAGATAAGATGGTTACACCGCATTCTCAAACTTTGAGCTACCAGCTGAACCCGTCATGTAACAGCCCAAAGTCTCCAGGAGATATCTCTCTCTATATTTCAAGTGCATGAGTCCCAGCTCATCAATGCATAGACACGCGACCTCGTGAAGACGGCGGGTGACAGACTCGTCGTCAACACTGGCAAGTGTACATGGATACACGGTCACGTTTGGATCGGTAGTATGATCAAAAACCCTCGCAGAGAGTTCCTTGTCGTTGAGAACACGAAGACAGAAATCCTCGAGAAGCTCGTGTCGAGCCATGAAGTCAAGGGTGCTGGAAAAGGACTGCGGGTCTGAGACCGCACCCGAAAAGGCCGCCAGCGACGATGATAATGATGTTGATGTTGATGTTGATGTTGATGTTGATTTTGATTTTGATTTCTTCGAAGAGAGCAGCACCTGCTGAATGGCGTTGATATGTTTCAGTTCCTCGATCAGCGACGCCTCGTCGATAATCGGCAATTGCTCAATAAACAACGGGCGATCGTAGCCCAGCCGGTGTCGCCAGAGATAGTTGACAATCACGGAGATGGTAATGCACGGGATCAACACCACATACCCCCACCACATGGTTGCAGTGACCAGCGAGGCAGCGCCGGCGACGACACCCGTGACTCCATTCAGCGTAGCATGAAGCTGGACGCTGTGGATGCGTCTTGTCAGCAGCACTCCCACGGTAGCGTCTATGCCATCGTCCTGTGACGATTGCTTTACCGCGTAAGCGATGCCATGCCGCCGGGCTCGCAGCCAGACATAAATCGACCACAACAGATTCACCAGTCCGTAAATCGCCATCGGCGCATTGCCAATGTACCCGGAAAGAAGATTGCTAGCCTGCCACGCATGGTGATCAGCACCGTCAATGGCCAAGAGGGCGCCCACTCCGACCATCAGAGCGCCAAAGCCCATCAAACTATCCATCCCAATGCGGTCGATGATCTCGGTACCCATTTCTCTGCGATTGACGTCTAGTAGAGCGTTGACCACATGGAATGTGCCGGTTGTCTGTTGTTGCTCGTTCCCAGCTTCTACTTCCTCCAGGGTTCGCAGCAGATGGCGACGTTCGGTCCGGAGACCCTTCAGATTGAACCAACTCAGTCGCGCATCGCGGTAGGCAAAGTAGGTCATGAAGAGCGCCATGGTACCGCCCACAGCCATCAGGGCAATGGCATACTTGGGCGCGGGAACTTGATTCCACACATTCGCAGCAAAGTCGCCCGCATTGGCCAGCTCGAAAAACCCCACTGCGGCAAGGAGACTGTTTCTGAGTCGAGACTGATTCTCAGGGTCGAAGCGGTATCGACCGTGGCGTTTTTTGACGAACCTGAGGCAGTAATCGGGGGAAATGCTCCATTGTTTCGGTATAGCCTCTATCGTGTTTGGCGTTTTCAGAGACATGTTCGAATATATATATATATATATATATATATTTTTTTTCTTTCTCTCTGTGCGAAACGATGCTTGTGGTAAAGACTGACTAGCCAAAAGCCGACTCTATCATTGCAAAACCGAAACAGGTTCGGCTACCAAGGCACTGTGTTTCGCCTAAATTTGCAGTCGGCCTTGGCTGCATAGGCTAACCGGCAAGAAGTCATCCAGACAAGAGACACGCTGCGCCCGAAATGCGAGAGAGAGAGAGAGAGAGAGAGAGAGAGAGAGAAGCGACAAGCCAAGCAAGGAGAGACAGACGATCCTCTAAAAATAGCAAATGCCCCGGACCGCGCGGCTATCGGTGGAATGATGTTCCGATGACGCCCAAGACATGCAATTTGTGAACAAATACTGCTGCTGCTGCTGGTGGCTGTATTCGTGAGAATAGGAAGGAAATGGACGGAATGTTTGCTATCTGCCATTTTCCATATCATGATGGAAGACTCATGTGCAGCGAGGGTCCGCGACAGCATAGAACAGTCTGCATTACGCCATGGACCGAGTTGAATCAAGTCGCAATAAAAGCACCTAACATGCAATCTTACTAGAAAGTGATAGTTACTAGTATTATTAAGTACTTATAAACGTAGTAAATTAGTAGTTTAACTTATAACGTGGTAAAGACTAAAGACCCAGCAAATTGACCAATCACGCTGCGCGCCAGCAACCCCGCCAAAATATCAACCAACTAAATAATGCAAATAAACCAGAATGATATCAATATTGACACCACCGACATTCTACTGAACGCAAAGGGGAAAAAGAAAATGGCAGAAGTCGCAGACCAGCCCGTAGAGCCCAGAGCGAGACATGTTGTCTATTGCGGAGGTGCGACTTCCTATCTGTTTCCCCGCCTGGATGGTCTGAGTTACTGACATGATACTTCTCGCCAGTCTGCACGCTCCCACCAGAGGTACGCCGACGAGACCTTCCCGAAGAATACAGAAATACTGACACAAGGCAGTACTGCGAGTTTGGCGGCACATCCAAGAAGTGCGAAGAGTGGTTAGAAACGAGCCATCCAGATCTGCACCAACGATTATATTCCGAGGGTATCTCTCCCCCTCTCCTTTTCCTTCTTATATATATCTATATATCTATATATATATATACATTATACTAAACTACCTATAAGAAACAATCAACGCCAACCTCTCCACCCTCTCCATCTCCGCCCGCGAACGCGCCGCCAAAGACGCCGCCAAAAAAGAAGCCAAAGCCCAACAAGCCCTCGAACGCGAAACAGAACGCAAGGCCTCCTCCAAGATCCAAATCAAGCGTGTCGAGCGCAACAAACGCAAATTCGTCACCGTGGTAATCGGCCTCGAGGCGCATGGGCTCGATCTGAAGAAAGTCGCAAAGGAGCTTGGGAAGAAGTTCGCGACGGGCTCGTCGGTCACAAAGTCGCCCTCGGGCACCGAGGAGATAACGGTGCAAGGGGACGTGAGTGACGATCTCTTTGAGTGGTTGTTGGAGGTGCATGGGGACAAGGTGCCGGAGGATAATGTGGAATTGGTGGAAGATAAGAAGAAGAAGGCTGCTACGTGATGGTTTTTTTTTTTGTTTTTGTCTATCTTCCACTTGTAGCGAGATGATATCTAGATATGATACAGGACATCAATTCCGAGGCAAACAAAATAAAGGATGTGAACGCCAAAATATGGGGTATATATGACATTATAACTCGTCAAACAGATGTAACGGATCACTCGATGTGCTCTGGATGCGTTCACCAGAGCTCGTTGCTGCAGCTGAAGAGCTGGCTTTCGAGTGTAATAGAGATCCTAAAAAGGGGTCCATATCCTCCTGCGTAGTATGAACCGCTGCATTCCTCGACAACATCTCAACTCGCGAATTCAACTCATTCTGCGAAAACGACGACAACCGCCAACTCTGAACCCCATAAGCTATAATCAGCACCAAAACCACACTGCACGCAATCCCCCACAGCATCCGCAACCTGCGACTAACACGAGCCTGCCACTCGCCCTCGCGCCGTTCCCAGCCTTCGATTTCCTTGCGCACAGTGTCGAGTCTGTTGCCCAGTGTTTCCATCCTGCAGCGACCGGCTTTCATGCGCTCCTCCAAGGCCTCGATGCGGCGCCGTTGGGGCTCGAAGTTTTGGAATTCTTCGAGTTGGCGGTGCGTGTCTTGTTCGAGATTGGTGTTGTCGCGCTGGAAGGTGTCGTGTAGTGCTGTGGTGGAATCGACGAGTCCGTGGAATGTGTGTATGGTGGAGTTGAGCGCGGACATGCGGTCGAGGAGGTTGTAATATGTGTAATCGAGTCGGCGCGTAATTTCGGTTGCTCGAGTGCCTACTGATGCGAGTTTGGTTCGTAGATACCTATGCCGTAGAACCCAGGTTAGTATACATGTTGTATAGTATACATGTGTTATATGCATGAGCTGACTCTTCGCCCTTCTTCCGCTCCTCCCTCGCCTGATTCAAATCCTCCATCGTTTTGATTTCTTTCCCCTTCGTCAAGCTAAGCCTGCTATCATCCGTCGTCACTAAACTGCCTGCTCTGCTATTGCTGCGATTTTGAGCGCTAGGCGACCTAGAGCCACACCGAGACCGTGACGATTCATGGGTATGACTGGTAGTGGTCGCCGTCGGTCGTAGGAAGCTAAAGTCTGTGCTGCCCTCTCTGTCCCTGTATTTATCCTTGAATCTGTTCCTATCCTCGCCGATTTGCTGCGACCACTGTCGATGGTGGAATGATCTATTTGGCAGGAGATTCCTGGCTCCTCCAGCGGACGCAATCTGATTGACGGCTCGGGGGAGACGGTGGTTGTAATCCCGAGACTTGGAGTAGCGATGTGATTTGTTACCGCTATGTTTTGCTTGTTGCTGCTGCTGCTGTTCCTCGACAGACGTGTCCACGAATAATCTCCGTGGCCAGGGCTGTCGTTCCTCGGTCGCACCGCTGCGTGCTGTGCTGTTGGTTGTAGGGCGAGCTGCTTCGGAGCGATGGCGGTGGTGCAGATTCACGGGGAATGTTCTGGACGTCGACAGACGAGAGGATTCCTCCATTTGGACGTCGCGTTTAACGTTTCGCTCGCGTCCGGTGCTGGTGCTATGTCTCAGGTTGCATTATGTGAAGCGAAATATCGAAGCAGATGCATCTGCCTGATGCTGGGATGATGATTATGTATGCTGCGGAGCTAACCTCGGCGGTCTAAATTGGTCGCACGAAATATAATACGTGCCACCACGTTGTTTTAAATCCGTGCACTGAGTATGTATTTGATACAAATCATACAATGGACTAAATAATATAGATAACTGAAGTAACGTGACAAAACTCCAAACTCCTCACCCATATGTATGACTTTTGAGCATGATATACATAAAATCTTTCCTGTTCCTTGCACCCAGGCCATCACAGCAAGTTCTTGCTACTACCGAGTACGCAAGAGCGATCAACCGTCCCCATGGAGGCGTATAAAGTTATGAGTTTAGCAGCTTGTTCCTCTTCTCGCGACGCCTCTTTCTCTCGACTCGTTTGCGGTGCATCTTCTCTGCCATCTTCTCGTAGCGCTCCTTTTCTTCCTTGGCGGCTCGTCGGTCTTTGATCGCTTGTATGTGTCTCTGTAGAGAGTAATCATATTAGCGGAGTTTCAAACCAAGATCGGTGCATTCTTCCCAAGGACACGAATTTGAAAGGGGAGAGAAAAAAAAAAAAAAGAAAAAAGAAAAAAACAAACTTCATACCTGTCGCTCGGCTTCTTTCTCTTCCTTCAATTCCTTCTCTCGCTCCTTGATGGCCGCCAGGTCATTGCGCTCTTGGAGTCTCTTTTCGTATGATTTCAAACCGGCGGTGGGCCGGAAGGCTTTCTTCGGGGCATGCCAATTCTTGCCTGGGCTGTGTTAGTCCGGGATCGATTCTAGTAGAGTGGCAGCGAGCATACCGTTCTTTCTCATGCCCACGGGGGCTTCCACGGCGGTCGACATGGTGGCTGCTCTGTTTGTAGACAGTCAGACAGACAAGAGACTGAAAAACCCGAAAGTTATCTTAGCGCGATCAGATAAGCGGATCACGGAGCTACTAATGTTCCGAGCTCCCCCCCCCCCMCCCACTCGGCCTCAGGCGAACAATTTCTGACGGCCTCACCGCCGCTTGAATATTTTGAAACGCAGGATGAAAGAAGAGTCTCGCTTCATGCAGCAGGACTCGCTAGCTTGCGTGGGCTCACTGTTGCAATACATTCGATCCATTGATGCGATGCAACGGCTACAGCCCCGGCGATTAATGCGCGCAGCCGAGTAAAAGCACTCCGATTAAAACAATCAATCAAATTAATCACTCAACTCGAGTGTTTCTCCTGGTTTCTCGGCTGGCCGACATCCCCTTTCTCCTTACTACTTCCTCTCTCCTTCTACATTTTTGTCATGTCCTGCTAAATAGCATCCTCCCTCGTCTCGTCACTTCGTCTTCACCCACAGCCATTAGTACCAGTCTGGATGGCGGCTCTCGACCATGGTGCTTATAGCGATGAGATGCCAGTAGAAATCGCTCCATTACCTCAGAATTCCGGAGAGAAAGCTCTCAAGGATATCATCTATGGCTCTGTAAGTAGTAGCAGCAGCCGCCAGTTTACAATCTCTCTCCCCCCGCTAATTTCGCGACTAGATTGCTGGCATGGTCGGCAAATACATCGAATACCCCTTTGACACAATCAAAGTCCGTCTCCAATCACAGCCTCACGGCGTCCCCCTCCGCTACAAAGGCCCGTTAGATTGTTTCCGCCAATCCATACAATCTGATGGCCTCCGCAGTCTCTATCGAGGGATCAGCGCCCCTCTCGCAGGCGCTGCTGTCGAAAACAGCAGTCTGTTTTTCAGCTACCGCGTAGCAAAGAACCTGCTCCAATCTACCATTTATACCTCCTCGGACCATCTACCATTCACCGGTCTGCTGATCAGCGGCGCGGCTTCCGGCGCTTTCACATCCGTTCTTCTCACGCCAATTGAGCTGGTGAAATGCAAAATGCAAGTTCCGTTGAGTACCACGGGCGCCAAACCGGGTCCATTGACGATATTGGCTACTGTCTTTCGACATGACGGCGTGTTTGGTCTCTGGCGGGGACAAATGGGGACATTGATTAGAGAAACGGGCGGTTCTGCCGCTTGGTTTGGCAGTTATGAAGGAGTCTCTGCACTTTTCAAGAAATCGCAAAAGCAAACACATGCAGATACACAGCATGAAGAAGAAGAAGTCCCTCTTGCATTATGGCAGCAAATGCTCGCCGGCGCCGCTGCAGGCGTCAGTTACAATTTCATCTTCTACCCGGCCGACACCATCAAATCCCGCATGCAAACCGAAGATTTATCATTACCATCAGGAAACAAACGATCATTTTGGGATGTTGGGAGATCAGTGTGGCACCAGCAGGGACTGAAGGGGTTGTATCGTGGATGCGGCATTACAGTGGCACGATCTGCTCCCAGTTCAGCATTTATATTTTCGATATACGAAGGGTTATGTCGGTATTTTGACTAGACATTCTTCCCGTTTCTCATGCACAAACATATAGAGCAGTAAATATGATGATGTTATGGGTGGCGTTCTGCTTCTAGAATAAGAAGAATAGATATGTAATACTATCTGCTTAACAAATTTCCAGAGACTGTTCTTAGAACTAACTACCTGAAGTAAATATAACAGGACTGCATCCTAAGCAGAAAGAGTCAACCGCTGGCATTTGCGGTCTGGTATATACGGTGTTCTTGCCCTCATCAAATCGAATAACACTGAATAGTAATTGTTTGACCCATCTTATAAGCCGAGCGAAGCACCTGAACAGACCAGAACGTACCCAAGTAATTGTCACGGGGCTAGCAGAACCCTAACAACGATGCCCTGGATATACTACTAACTAGCTGATATGCTCTTTCTGAACTACAGCCTGAAGGAATCTAGCATAAATCTCTTGCCAACCCAGTAAGCATCGGTCAATATCAACGGCGGCTTTGAAACGGGGTGATGTTGACAAGACAAAACCATAGAAACAAAGAAGGTCCTATTGCTCTAGAATAGCTCTATTATCAATACAATGTCTATCAAGATCTATAAAGACGAGGGATAATTCCAGTCAACCCTCACCTCGCTTCACTTCACCTATCCTACAATCGATTGATCATTATTTCCAATTCCTCTCGAATACATTGTACAAAATGTCGTCTTTTGTGTCAAACAATCCAGGCCGGAACCGACGGACAATATCAAATATTCATCGGGTGTCACCCTGGCCATCATCATGGCCGGCATCGTAGTGGCCATTTCCCTAACCTCGCTCGACACACCACCATTGTCTCAACCACAATTCCCTGGCATCACCGACGAGTTCCATACCGTATCAGACAGGAGGTATGGATCATCCTTATTCCTCACCCTCGCCTCATTCCAGGAAATCTGCTGCGTGACATACCCAACCGTGGTAGTTTCACATCGTCAGATTCGGTAATCCCCTGGATTAAACGCGCTGGTGAGGTTGATAAATTCAAGTGCCAGGAAAAAGCGGATGTCCAGCTCGCGATCGTTTCCTAGGCGATGACTGTTTTTCTCCTTGCCGATTTCTATATGGCGCTGTTTGCAGTCCAGAGTCTGAGTCCGAGTCATACGATGGTCGGACGCGGTGAAGAAGTAATTTCGCATAGGCAGCGGCCGACGCTGCTGCGTATCCCTGCCATTCTTTGTTCTTGTGTGAGTCCGCGTAGTCGGAGATTCCTCGAATAACCAAGCACGGCAAAATATTCACAATGCCAGCTGCTTCCATCTCAAAGCTTAAGATGTCATGCTTCTGACCGAGTCGATCCCTCAGTTGGGCGTCTTTCATCACCCGGTTTCCTGACGCAATCAGGCCATAGTGGATTCGTGGATGCATAGAATTCCGAGGCGGCCTCTTAATCTCATGCTGAGGATTGCAATTGCTGCATGTCTTCTCGCCACTGATATGAACATAGTGGGAAACATAAAGCTTATCATTTTCTTGCCCCGGGTATTGAAACTGGTCCCTGCCGGTCTAGATCTGTCGTAAATATGGCTCGAGGGGCATGACTGGGAAATCAGGATCAGACCTTAATTCACTGATAGCACCCATTAAATGTCGTGGTGGTGGTGGCAAGGAACCATGCTGTTGAAAGATTCCTTGTTCGAGGGCCTTGCCCAAGTCATACTGCAGAACACCTGGATGAGTACCTGTCGGCCTGCTAACAACAACATCGCCTAATCGGATGTCATTTTGCTGGGAAGGAACTCCGGCACCAATACCAACCAGAAGGCAGAACTTTAGGGATCGAAAGGTCCTCCTCATGTTCGAAGCGACATCCACTGCAGAGTTAGTGCCATACATACCATCTGGAAGGCACGCTGCTACGACGTTATGGTCTGCCATGCGTCCTAGGACGTACTGATTGGTATCATTTATACTGATGAATGGCCCATGGTGCTTCTCGTCGAACAGAGCGCGGACTGCCATGAACTCTATATGCAACGCACATATAATACCTACCGTATATCTCCTGCAGGCGAAAGAGAGATCTTCATCCGGAAAGGCCGGAGTACGTGATAGAGAATGGTCCACAACCTTTTGACGTTTGATAGGTCGAGAAGGTATCGAATCGTCGGCGGAGTCTTGGTGGGAACTTAGACTAATGCTGGAATCCTTATCTTGCGAGCTGAATGATGACAAGCTTTTGCCTAGTCCACTATCGTTGGTGGACGGTGAACTGGCGAAACTTTTCCTCCTGGACCCGTCATCTAGTTTCTGTTGTTGCGTGGTTGGGTCCCCCGTATCACCCCAGTACCACTTGAAACCATTGTTGAATCCAAAGATCACAGCTCCGGCAATGTCGAGATTCACAATTCGCGAAGGGCGATGGAGTTCTTCGAGAGATATCGTCGGTGGAAGAAGAACTTGCGTGACATCAGAGTGAATCCCTTCGTGCGAAGAATGGCACATGCATGTTTTGAAAGGTTGCTCTATGTGATGCCAAATGATATTATGCGTGAGCTGTGTGGGCATCGAAGAAGGATCGCCGTAAGCTTCAATAATCTCCTTGATGTCAGAAACGCAGGCTGCTAAGTATGACCTGTCTTTCGGCAATTTGGCCCAATAAGAACAGAAAGCGCCCACAGGTTCAATTATTTCACCAAACCCACGGCCGAAGAGCGCTATTGCGTGAATAGAATGAGAAAAGTCGACCCAGGACTTGCCCATATGATCAAGGGTAGCCAACCGAGGATAAATTGGATCACGACTTGCGATTATATCGTTGAAATCCCAGCCTACTAAATGTGCCCTAGATATATCTTGGTTGCCATATTTGCCTAGCGCGTGCACCTGACTGTCTATGAACTTTTCCAGGACATCATAGAAATGTTCAACGCGATGCTCGAATGTGATATAGCCCTCTTTGTTTGGATAGACTTTCAGACTCAAGTTCCTTTGGTCGATGAGAACATGGATTGCAGAGTGAGGATGATGGGCCTTCAGAGCCTCGGTCATTTCTGAGGTGTCGAAAAGGAATACCGAATGGAAAGGATCTGTCTTGTCGTGTTCAAGAGATGCACGAACGAGGTGTAGTAAAGCAGCCGTGCCGTTAACCAACCAGGCCCTATTGCATTCTGTGTCCCAGAGAACCACATACTTTTTAGACATCCATTTCAGCCTAGGAATGAAACCATCATGTGAGATGTGAATTGGAATATCTCTATGCCCTCTACTAAACGGATGACCACCGCTGATTCTCTGCCCATGGCACAAAGCACTCTCGGCCATGATGCCATCACTGCTTTGAGCCCTTGGAAGCCTCGACGCCCTTATGTCATACCGCGCATCTGCAGCACCTGGGTCCAAGTATCAGTACCGACACATAAAGTATGGAGTATGGCAATGGGAATCTTTACCTCCATAAAACTTCATTTCCGAACACCAACCAAGGACATGCCGGGCTTTTTCTAGCGTGGCGAGATCGATATCAACTGTATCAAAGGCTAGACTATCGTTGTATGAAATGCGGCCACCCTTTTTGTCATGGATTAGGTGCCACATTACTATGTCCCCTATCTGGCCGACTGGGAGGAGCATTGCAAAGTGCCCTTTGAGTACGGTGCGGGAGCGGAACTTATTAACACGACGAGCTCGAGCCAGGCCAGCCATCATATTCAGCGGAATTTCAAGGCCGCGTGTTGATGATACCTGTCGTCTTCGCGGTATGGGGAATCCTTCCACCACAACTGGGCTTCTGAACAGATTGTGCCAACAGTTCCCATTGACAGTGGACAATGCTTCGCTTTCTGTCTCAACATGGAAGCTAATACATATGGAATGCGACGCCTGCGATTGGATCTGAGTTTTAACAGAAGATATTCCATCTGAATCTGGCCATTGAAGTGCAGCGCCCAGCCATGCAAGCTGTTCTCCAATTTCCACGATGACATGTGCAGAGCCAGTCACATCGACTGTAAAAGTTGACGATAATAACATTTTTGACGGACGATATAGTACAGCAATATTCGCTTGATTACTTAGCGTATCTGTAAAGATCATTAGGATGCGTACGGCAAAAGACAGTGGAGTGTTAAGCTCGAGGACTTACAAACACGATGAAAAAGGTCTTCGTCTTCAAATCGCACAATATCCTTGACTAATTGTAATATTTCCAGTCCACTTGACGGCCACGTCTGGCAAAGATACTGTCGACAAGTTAGAGCCTGTGCGTCGGTAATGGTTCCTGTTACCACAATTGCCCTCTCAATGGCGTCTTCTGGCTTTTCTGAATATTTTTGGTTCAAAATGAAAGCTTTAGGGTCCCACTCAATTCTGAAGGTCATATGGCGATCTCCTGCTAGACGTTGCCTGTTGGAACTGGCTGACTGAGAGAGGATGTCTAAAATCCTTTCTTTTATCGTTTCCATTGCGTTCGGCTGCTGCGATGTTAAAAGACGCTCCCTTTTCACATTTGCCAAAAGCGATCGATATCCCGAGTTATTAACAACGACGTTGCGGTAGGTCTTGAGGATTGGTGGCTGCATTTCTCCTCCATTAAACCGGTCATCTCTTTCTTCAAGTTCTTCATTGGCCATAACTAGATCACTTCCAGAAGTGTCGGACTTGTCCGTTTTACTTGGTACTTCTACAGAAATGATCTCTCGACTGGCAGCATCGGTTTTACTAGCCCAAAATTCCATACGATCATTCAAATCCATTTCAGCTGCTTCTGCTTCTGCTTCACCTGAACTAGCTTGAAGCTTCAAGGACCCGTACGAGTCTCTCTTGTGTTCAATAATATCCGAGTCAGTCACATGAACGTCACGATTTGTGCCGTTATTCCAGGTATCGCGGAGGTGCATGTGGACTTTCATGTTCCCATCAAGCACCACTTGGTCTTTCCACGAATGAAGTTGGTCGTCATAGGTACAATGGACGTGTTTCTCTGCCTTCTCCATGTCTGCCCATATGCCCAAAGATTGAAGGTCTCTATTTATGTCCTCTCGAGCGGCACGATGAACATCCGGTTCTGTAGGGCCCAGCACGGATATAGGAGGCCATTTCGCACCTGATTTGGTTGGCTTCAGAGAACTGCGGCCAGATTGAACGAAGGGGTTGTAAAAATCAAAATCAAAATCAAAATCGTCGTCGTCATCGTGATCTTTGACATCAATATGATCACCGCCGCCCATAAAGCTAGATGAATCTAACGGCCTGCGTTTTTCCATGGAGTGCTTTACAGCCTCGTCAAGTGTGCCTTCTGCTATTTCCTTCGAGTGAAACGCCTGGCTAGATTCTTGTTGTATAACATGGAGGGTACAGTCATCCAAGTGTTCGTAGAAGTATTGAGCATTGCGGAAAGTTCTAGAGCAAATAGAGCACTTGCCAGTGGTATCCTGCCCATACGCGGAAGGTGACCGGGTGCCTGAAAAGGTCTCTTGCACACCATGTGCTGACGACAAGTGATGCTTGAAAATATCAACCTTATTGAAGCTCTTATCAGCGGCTGAGCCAGAGCCAGGACAAAACCCGCAGATCATAGTTCCCTTGAAATGAGTCAGAGTGTGTCGGTCCTTGTCATGTTTGCATTTGAACCCTTTCAGGTGATACTCGCAAGTAGCAATCGGGCATCTCTCCGGTCGCTTACTATGCTCAATGAGCATATGCGCTTTCAAGCCTTTGGATAATAGTCTGCGACATTCTGGGAGTGAGTATCGACTCTGCTTGCCGCATTCGTCCTCCACGTCATTGTTCCTTGCAGAAGGTGTAGGATTTAAGGGCGGGAGAACCAAGGTGGCATCAACGGCACTAATGTCGTCTTCTTTGGGGCCTACATGCCATAATTGAGGAGATGTACTACCGGCATAGTTCTGATATGGTTGTTGGAGAGGACTCGTGGGGAAAACGCTATCAAAAGAAGTAACACTTGATTTCCAGGGAGGAACTTGTAGTTCTGTAGATAGAGAGACTCCGGGATCTGCTCTATGAATTAGTACGTAAGAACTAAAACAAGCCGTGGTTACACTGTAAACCTACCAGCGAAGCTGGTGTTGGCGGATATTGGTGGAAATCCAGTCAAGTCAGGTTCGTGGAAGATGCTGGGCGGTTTTGTGAGACACGTAAACGGGGAAGGTGTCTCTGGAATAGACTCTGTAGAACTGTGGTGTCCGTCTTGAAGGTTCCGGGAGGGGAACAAAGACGGGAAGCTAAGGGCTTTAGGCGGTAATCGATAGCGCCTTTGAGACGACGAGGCTGTAGAATTAGCATCAATTGAGGTAAACAAACCTGCAGTGCCGAGGTCATTCGGGGGAGAAAAGTCGGCGTGACGGTCATGGTTGTGATCTTCCGACGGAGGAGAGGCCATAATATCAGTAGAGCTGTCTAGGTACAGTCGGAGGATGAGGATATGGAAAAGTGTTGAGATGCCCGGAGAGGTGAAGAAGGAAGGCGAGACGAGACGAGGCTGACGCGATGGAAGGAGGGCCAGTCGCGGGCAGCCTTGCCAAGATTGTGTAATGCAGATACCTAGGTAGCAAACAGCATATAGGAGAGTGTCTAAGACGTATATCTTCATATTTTCTTATGTGCTATAATTTATTTTATATCTAAGACCAGTTCTTGTGCTCGCCTTGCTGGCCCTGCTTTGCCTTGTCAGGTTTCGATGAGTACAAATGTGCATAGGATATATCGTAAAGGATGCTTTGCTACATTCAATTGCGCCAGAGTCATCATAATCCATATTGATTGATGATTTGTGCTGCTAGAAAGAGATAGAAAGATGGAACATGCACCTCAGCGCATGCCCTAACCCTAGCCCTAAGATCCATCCAATTTAGGCAGGTGGGCGGGCTGATATGGAAACCGATAAGATATGGGATAATCAATACTCATCAGACATCATCATCCTTCACCTCATCTTCTACACTTTCGCTGAAAAGAACTTTAAGAAAAAGAACAAGAACCGGAAAGCAGCAAAATGTCCGCCCACCTTCTCTCCGAAGTCGAGCTCCAAACCATCTCCCAAAAGGCCATAGAAGCCAAATCCAAAGCATACTGTCAGCGCATCAACCCCTCAATTAACATTCGTCTTCTGTCACCTCTAACAAGGAGACCAGGCCGCTACTCAAACTTCCACGTAGGCGCCTGCATCCTCACGTCCACAGGAGAATACATCTCCGGCGCCAACATTGAGAATGCCGCGTATCCCGTGGGCGTATGCGCCGAGCGCGTCGCATTCGGAACTGCCATTGTACCTAACCTTTCTTCCCTTTTGCAGTCGTCCGAACACAACCCCGAGAACTATAAATTAACAGGCATTAACAGATGCAAGGCCACCGATCCTTCAAGGCCATAGCCGTAGCGACAGATATCAAGCCCGCGGCCAGTCCGTGCGGGATGTGCAGGCAGTTGTGCGTCCCCTTTCTTTCTTTTCGCAGTTGAAATGCTAAATTTTTGTCTGATTTATCAAGTATGCGCGAATTCACAACCCCGTCTTTCCCGATATACATGTTCGACAAGGACGGAGAGTATAAAATTGCGACTATTGCGGAGGTTTGTATAACCCCCTCTGCTTTTTTTCTTCTCCGTTGATATATATCTGTATGATGCTAAATGATGACACTGAGCAGCTTCTGCCCGATTCGTTTGGACCGGATGATTTGTCCTAGTATTGAGCTAGATAAAGGATCGGCCGAGAGAGGGGGGGGGGGGGGGGGGAGGGTTTGATTCAGTGTATGTGTAGAATAGGATAGATTGATGAATGGCATGACTAGCTCAAATTTTCTCTATCCAATACGGTCAGCTATGAATAGAAGTTTTAGAAACGATCAATTCTAGCAATCCCTAACCAACGAACCAACATGTCGTCAACGAAAAGGAATTAAAAAAAAAATACATGCTTGCTATGCAACAGATATGAAAACAGCAGTAGATAGATAGATAGAACAGGTTTATAATTCATCATTTATCAAAAAATTTGATCACGCCTCCTCCTCTTCATCCTCAAACTCATCATCGCCCAACAACTCATCCTCATCCTCCATGATATTAGTATAATCGTCCCTCCGAGCTGCAAACGCGCCCCTCGTCGCATACGGACGCGGTCCCCCGCGACCGGGTAAACGTACATATCCGCTGACATTCCGCCAGAGACTCATACCCAGCAATGGCAGCACTTTAACAGCAGCAACTGCGCCCGCGATAATCGCCACTGGTACCGCAATAAACGGCGAACCGTTTGCTGTGAACGATGACGATCTCGCTCCTCCACCACCTTCGCCCAGCCGGATTTGTCCGAATTTCCCATCCCAGCGTGTATACACCCAGTATCCTGCGGCCGCTGCTAGAGCGAATGGAATGACTATAGCAAAGAAGATGACAACGCCGCTAACCCCGTGTTTACGTTCGTATTCTTCTTCGTGGTTCGGGCAGGGATGTAATACTAAGCGATCTAGGTTGGCACCACCAATACATGTGGTAAGTGGAATGCGTCGGTATCCGGTTGGTTCCCAGTACTCCACAGCATCTGGGTTTTGTTTGCAATAGTCGATTGCGTTTGGTTTAGGAAGACCTGGCACTAATGCACACCTTCCATCGGTTTGGAGTTCATAGTTGTAGTCACTATTATTTGTCAGCAAGAAACAAAAAACGAAACGAAAGGGGCAATATGAAAGACGCACCACTCAAAGTCTTCGCGAGTGCAAGTACAGTTGTGTGAAATTCGATGTACATGCACCTCAGACCAGTCATTCCAGCAATGCGACGACGGCTTCTTGCGATGATACTGCTCCACATGGCCAAACAGACAGTTCCCTTCCTGGAGCGGATGTTTGGGCTCCCACAGATAGTAATCCTCACCCTCGCCGGAGTCTTCATCCAGATTGCACGTTCGGTCACGCAATCCACTAAAGTCCAAATTCACAGTGACAAGCTTGCCAGAGCTTGTCTCTTTACCCCATAGCAAGAAATTCTTCGACGTATCCGATGGTACAGTCGAAAGGCTCTGCACTGCAACCTCTTTGTCTGAAAACTGGTATTCCTCCCACGTGTCTCCCTCGTCCATGCTGAAATAGATCACGCGCGTAGGTTTGAGTTCTTCGGCGAGAACCAGGATAGACCCCTGATCGCCGAATTTCCACATGTAGTTACCCTTCTTGACCTCTTTCCAGCTGATGCCGCCATCTCGACTGAAAAATGTATTGCTATCGGATTTGCTGCTTAGTGACTCGCCGACATTCCCAACGCCAAACACGAGGCCGATTGCCGATACAGATGCAAAGGTGTCGCGAGGATCCCTTCTTTCCGTGTATCCGTGAAGATGTAGAGAGCATTTCTCAGTTGCCTTGCCATCCGAGCCACAGCTGTAGCTTTTACCCTCGGAATCCTTGGATGGGGGCGACAAAAGAGTCCACTGCGCACCATCGTTGTGTGTGATCATGCTTTTCAACTTCTTCTCGCTTCCCCTTTCGACATCCTCGGTATTGCTGACAACGTTGACCATGGCTACGCCTTCCAGACCCTGCATCTTCTCAAAGTCCACATAGCCGCCGTTGTTGCGATTGACGCCATTGATGCTCAGTACGTAAGAGGTACCGTTGCTATTGCTCTTGATGAGCGAACCGTAGGACTGGTCCATCTCGTTGTTGACCGTCACATGCAAGAAGACCGAATGTGTAGAACTGTCCAGAACCGTGTATGCCAATTGCACGGGCACTTCCAAATTGACAGGAAACTCGGCGTCGGCAAACGTGACGCCATCAACACTGGCGTCGACTTTCAGCGAATTTTCATTTTCAGGGTTACGCGTGGCTACGATGATAAATTCAGCCATCGTCGCAAAGTCGATTATATTGGACAGTGGCGTCTCGGAGGTATCAAAGAAATCGGTACTTGTGAGCAGCATGCGTTGACCATTCACATTCTCAGCTTCATGTTGATCGCAGAAAATGAGATCATTGCTCTCTTCCCCTCGGTCTTCCCGCGCCATAAACTCGCACTTCTCGACCGTGCGCAGTAACACTTCCCAATCATCGCCTCGATGTTTCGTAACGTAGGAAGTCTTTGGACACGTGCCATGTTGGCAATCAGTAGCACCCGTCCAGATCATCCAATCCTTGTACTTCGAGTGAAAAGTCAGCGTCAGGCCGCTCGGGTTCTTGTCCTCGGGGGCGCTGAATGAATCAAAGGTCTCTCCGCGGTTGATCGTGAAAAAGTGCTTTTGGCCGTTAGTCAGGAAAAACGCCCTGTCGTTCAAGTAGCGATGTGGCGCAATCTCTTGCACCTTGACGTCGGCGAGCTCGTGAGTCCAGGTCTTGCCGTGGTCATGAGTCACGTAGAGTTTGCCATCCGAAGTTCGCATAACGATGGTTTCGTCTTCTCCTCGACTGCTACCGGCTCTTTCCAGGTAGAAAAACTCCTCAAACTTGGCGGAATCAATATAGTTAACTGTCGCGCTAATGTCTTTAGCATCGCCTGATGGTACCTTCTCGGCATCCTTGCATGGGCGATCAATCTCTTTGTCCAGTTGCACACCTCCATCGCGAAGGCAAGCATTTCCAGGAATCAGCCTCCATCCCGAGGGACCTTTGAAAGTGTCGCCGTCCTTCTTACACGTGCCTTCGGGAGCTTTAAGGATAGATGCAGGAATACACTCCTTTCGATCTTCGGAACGCACGAAGTTATAATCGCACTCAAAGTCTTCCTCGGTACATTTGCAGGCCTTGAATTTAGGTGTAGGAGTCTTGAAGAGATTCTCCGTGATGAAGCAGTTTGCATCGGATTTCCGCCGGCGGTAGAATTGCTCGTGGCCCATAAGACAACCGGGCTCCCCTTTCTCGTTCAGGCGCGCAGGCCAGTCTTCAAAATCACTGTCCTTGCACTCCCTCTCGTGAAGTCCCTCAAAATCAATTGAGTACACATACCACTTGCTAAAATCATCGGCATAACCAATAAGAAGAAATTTCAGACTTGATGAGTCTGGCGTGGTGGTCAGAATATACGGGATAATCTCCTGTTCCAATTCAGCGGACTCCCACTCTTTCCCATGGTTGATGGAAAACTGGATCTTGTTCGTGGGCTTTCCATCGTCTTGGATAGCTGCGACAACAGCGCCCTTGTTGCCCATTTCGTACTTGTGTGGCTTCTCGAGTCCCAGACGCCAAGTGACACCAGCATCATCCGAGACGTAAAGGTCGCCATCGCTCACGTAGTTCTTCAAGTAACTGCCAGTATTACCAACCCCCATAACAATACCCGGGGCAGGACTGGAGAAAACTCGGCCAATGTTTTCGAATGCGGTCACAGAATGCAAGTGCAGATCCTCATCGTTCACTTTCAGAGACTGAAATGTGCGTCCGTCATCGAAACTAATTTTACTGACAACCTTTCTATCCCTGCTGGTGAGACCCTCGATTTCCTCCCAGTTATCCACAACATTGACCAACACAATACCCTGGACGCCGGCGATTTTTTCAAAATCCACCAATCCAGACATGTCACGATTCGTGTGCTCGATGTTGCGCGTGAAGTAAGTGCCATTAGAATTCGACGTGAAGAGCACACCCATATTCACCGGTCGTTCAGTATTCATAACATCCACCTGGATGCTATAGTTTGTCCCTTCCAGTACCGTATACGCGTCTTCTTCGATTTTGTGGTTTCCAAACTCCGCGCGATGCCACACCATTGCGTCATCGGTCACAAACATCGCCAACTCATCCGTGCCCTGAGATTTGGCTGCAACAACGATATACTTGGTGCGCGAAGCCGCGTTGATGATACCCGCCACAGGCCGTCCATCATTGAGCTTCACTTCAATCCCATCTTCATCATCCTCGAAGAACTCATCCGAGTAGACAAGACGGTACGCGGAAGCAAAGGGATTTTTGAGTCCATGGGCAATACAAAAGACGCGATTGCCAATTTCATCATCGATATCGGCCACCGAATCCGCGAATGCCGGCGTTCCAACAGCCCATAAACAACCTCTGGCATTATCGCGAAGTGGTGAGACAGTCTCGAAATCGTCTAGAGTGACATATGCAGTCTCCATACACCGGAAAGCCGAGCACCGTTCCCCCTGAAAGATGACCTTCGAGGAGTCACCGCCATGAAACTTAAGTGGCTCATTGAACATCGACGGTCCCGCAGGGATCGAGAACGGACTCCATGTTCTACCCTGATCTGTCGTAACCCAGTGAGTTCCATGACGGCCCAAAATATAAGCCTTTTTATTATCAAATGGGTGTGGCTGAATCATTATAGCGGCATTCTTCATATCTAACCCTCCGTCGTCGTCGTCATCATCATCATTGCCGCCAACCACTTTCCACTCCACGCCGCCATCGAACGATTGATAAACCTCGCCGGTCGCCGGGCTCAGAAAAAGCACGGTGTCAGAATTCTCGAAATAGAACGGCGATCTGGGCTCGGTGGTGAGCTCCTTCAAAGCTATCTTCGGTCCATCCGATTTGGCTGCGCTGAACGGCGCGACTACCACTAGCAGCAGCAGCAGCAGCGACAGCCTAGTCAGATGTAACCACTGACAGATCATGATGATCGGGATGATAATGACTTATCGTCGCTGATGTGGCATTGAAAAAGGCTGTTCGTACGTAAGATGATGGATGGTCGTTGATGTCGGTCTATCGCTGACGCCTAGTGAGGAGACAGAAAGGGAGGGAGCTTGTCGCAGGGTTGAATAGCGACGAAACAAGACAAATCAGAAAAAATACAGAAGACTGTCAATTGTAAATAAGGTAAAGAAAAGAAAAGAAAAGAAAAGAGAAGGACGTATGTATACAGTCGTGTTGTTGAACAACGCGAGCAACTGCGTGGCCTTTGTCCAGTAGGTAAACTCCAAAGAGGCAGTTCCGTCATCACTGGCGATCACGTGCTGCCTTCCCATTTAGGCTATTGTCCAACCGGGCCCAGAGCTTTGTAGACTTTGTAGACCTTAATTAGCTGCGATCAACATACTATTATCTATTGTTATCATGGCGGGACGAAAATTAGATAACTCTATACCATAACTCCCCCGAATTCAGTAGACAATATGTATTATGTGACTGAATGTATATGTATGTATGTGTATATATATAAGGAATAAAATGAGTGAAGGTGACAGCAAAAGAGGGTATATATATGTATGTATATCTTATAAGCGAGTCAAGAGTCAAACAAATCATATCAAAGCCGCTCAGATGATAGAAGAAACAAAATCAATTACAAGAGGGAGTGTGAAGCAACAATGAATATGGACACGAAGAGAATGGAGAAGCTCTAAATTGGAAGGGAAAAAAGTATGCACAGAGAATGTTGTTTCTTTCAAAACGGAGAAAGGAGAGTAAGGATAATCAATCGCGCCATCCGCGAAGTTTGCGCCACATCTTCTTGACCACACCTCTGTCCTCTGGGAGATCGTCCCAAATATTCAGCGTTTCGTCCGCAGGTGGCAATTCAGCCAAACGCAGAGGATCATCGTCGGTGGCATGAGTGCGTAGATCAGGTCTTGTGAGCGTCATCTTCAAAGTCATCTCGCGGCGGTGGCTAGTCGCATTGCCGGCTGAAGTGGACGGCTTCAGAGGTTGCGAACGTCGCATATCAGAGGTGATAGGTGTGATATCGTGAAGATTTGAGGACACAGCATCTTTGAAATGCATGTACTGCGATTGCCGCTGTCTTTGCTGTGATTCGTGCGCATAATCAAGTAAACTGAGATCGATAGACGTAGTCTCGTCATCCAAAAAGGTCCATCCCTGAGTCGATGAAGAAATTTGAGATATTCGTTTCGAATCTCGGTTGGCCCCTTGTCGCCGCGTGCTAGAATCGATATTTTCTTTGTGGTTGTTGTCCAAGGACGGAAATCCGAATTCAATGGCCTCGTCGAACTTCTGTGGAGATGCCAGATACACGCGCAGTTTTAAGCGAGCCTCGGGGTCTTGGTAGTATTGCGCGGCGGGGTCAATGGAGGATGTAGAGCGATTAGAAACATGGCGATGATGCGAGCTACGCGTATGATGATTGGGACGGCTATTATAGCTATGATTGTGGCTGCCCGCTGAAGAAAAAGGAATCGTTGAAGACTGGCTCGAATTCAGAGTTCGGCTGCTGCCGATGAACATCGAATTGCGATTTTTGGCCAGGGACAATGTCCGGCGGAAAGAAGGCATTCGACGTGGGGTAGCGGGTTTTTGTTGGGCGGCATTCTGGGACTGCGACCCGGCCGTTTCAGAAACGTATTTGTGATAGCTGTCCAGGGACAGGTCGAGATCGTCGTCCTCGTCGAGCCAACGAAAACTGTCCAGAATAGATTCCTCCATTTCAATGCCGGAGTCGGAGGGATCTCCAGAAGAAGGACGAGCTGATGCCGAAGACGGAATGGATGAGGCTACTCCCCTAGACCTTCGTCGCTCGAGTTCCCCGTCGTACGTGCCGAACGAATCAGAATCCCGACGAGATCGAGACTCCTGGAGAGAAGCGCGTTGCCTTTCTTCAAATTTGAGCAGGGCCTGATCAGCAGCGTCGACAATCTGGCTGACGGGGGCCGTTCGCTGTAAGAGACGCTGCTCTTCCTTAGAGAAAATGACCTTCTGGATCTTGGGCGGGAGGGAATGGAAGCATTGCCAGTACTCGTGGACCTGATCGAAATTGTAATCCACAGCCGAGCGAGGCCGACGACGAAGATAGGCTTTTTGGCGATGATGCCTGTTGGTTACCACAGCCGACGAGGTCTTGGTGCGGATGGAGAGGGGACGTTTGGCTGCGTAATCGTGATGGGCATGATGGCGTGGAGACTGCGTCGTCGTCGTCAACAAGCGAAATCGCTCGAGGTTGGAAAAGAACTATAGTAAGCAGCATTATAGCGTTAGTTAGTGACAGCGCTGGGTGAAGGCTTTAAGGGGCAGTGTGTCGCTAGCAGGCAACTAGTCTGACGGCACTATCAGCGGGCAGCGAATCACGGGATCCAGGGGAAAGATCAAAGCGCTTGGCGGTGGAGAGCGAGGCAGGGGGGCTTCGTTTTTGAATTTCTCTCTCTCTTTTCCTCCTTGAGTCAGACTCGCACTATTGGCGTTGTCTGTGGGGATGGTGTTGCTCGGACCATCCCATAATGTGCGGTGAGAGAAGTATGTATGGATCATAAAAGTCATATTCCATACACTTTGAAGCTTTTGCCTTGCAGCTGACCCCAAGGTTTCTTCATGAGTCATGGCCATTGCCCGGTTCCCAGTGCTCGGTGCTGCGAGGTATCGAGGGAGAAAGGAGACGGGAAAAAAAGCATACCTTTCTTTGCACAGCTGGTGGAAGAGACTCAAAGTCGTCGGGTGAAGACACTATAAAATCCTGCATCTGCATAGTTTATGATCTGTGCCGGAACGCCGAATGTCAAATGAATCGTGTGTGCCGGAGGATATCGTGAAATTATGCATGCATAGACAGATAGATAGGCGTAATTAAACAGAACGATAGCTTTGGCAATAGTCGAGTTTTAGGGCAGACTGAGAAAGAAAGGAGGCCGATATGCAATAAAGTGCTAGAGGACAGAAATCATAGCTCATAAAGTATGAAGAAGGTATTGCCCATCCAATGTCCAGAAATTTGACGTGCAACAAGCGATCGCGGTACTGGCTGTACTCTCCGCTGTGCTGGGGGCACTGGATAAGGGCTTGTATAGCCTTAGGAAGACAGACGGCTGCTATTAGGAGACTGCAAAAAACTAGAGTAGAAGAGGAATGCCTCCATATATTATATCCCAAGGATCGGGCCTCTTTGCTTTTGGCAACAGCTAAACTTAGAAATTGGTTCGCCGTCAAAGCGTGCGTGCTGGAGAATCATTTAGTCTGGCAGGACTAGTACGCAGCTACTGACAGCGGATGCCGGATGGCGGATGCTAATGGTGACGCATCCTCAATCCGCTTTAACAGCGAAGTTTTTGGCTGATTGCAGTGGAGCCCGATGCTCATCTAGATTCAGCCCGCCGGTTATTTAGCATCAATTTGGTGCGTTAGTAAGGCAAGCTAGCTGCTCATCACCGGAACGTCTATGGCAGCATGGCTATGATACGAGTCGCCAGGGACAAGTCGAACACACATTTCGGTTCCAACTGTCTTTGTTTCCAGACCTCCTATTTCCTCGGACCGAGTCAGGGGATGGTAACTCGAACACGAGGCCGACCACGTCAGTTCGGAATGCAGGACTAACTAGCGAGCAGCCTGTCAGAACGGTTCCTGTCAGCCGTTTGTTTCATCTTTGGAGACAAAACGATGTAATCCTGATCCTTCCGGGAGCAAAGCTGTCGGGCACGTATACAGAACAGCAACGGCATGGCACAATGCAAGGAACGTGGCTCGCCGTTCTGGAAGGATGCGCTCTGATCAAGCCGTATGACTATTATTGAGGAAGAAGGTCGGAGAGGATCAACAAGGGGATTGGCCGCCAAGCCGAGCACAGCAGCCAATCGGCGTCGAGAATCCCCTTAGCGCGCATCACCTCGGCGGCTAACTGGCGCTAACCCGATTCCGTGCATTACGCCGGCCGTCTCTCCGTCTCTTTCGCGCTGCACACGTGCACCACTAGAGGACAGACAACCTTCAGTTGTCAGTCTTCGTGTTTCAGATCTCATTATCCAGCTGAAGGATGCAACTGGCAAAGCAGACAAAGCAATAGCCCTTACCAGCCAGGTCTATCTCTATATAACAGGTGCTTGTCCTTGTCTGCGGACGGGTGATACCTGGCATCCTGGCCAGATTCTCGTATAAAACATGGGACTGCAGTTGGTGAGAAGTTGCAATCTAAAGCGAGTCGACTGCACAGACTCGGGCAAAGGGAAGCGGGCGTGGGGAAAGTTTCATTGAGATGATCAGATCTCCTGTCATGAGATGATGGTCTAATCGAACATCTTATCCAGGTTATGAATACCTTGCTTGGATAAGGCAAGATGGCAAGTCGATGTTCGTTAACCGACTCAACAGAAGCTTATGGTTCATTCACTTGTACGATCAACTGCGGTGCTCTCGTCGTGTGCGATTGATAAGTACCGCGACAGCTGTCATTACCTACATGCTTGAAGAGCATCAGCTCCCAAGTGCTACAATCAATTGAAAAGAAACGATGCTGAGAAACGGAACATTTTACAGTGCAGTTAAGTCGGGGATTACGCACGAACCCCACGTAGGATAAGATGAGATCAGTCTCATACGGATATATCATTGGCAGACGGAAGATTCATCGGAGATCAACAAATACCAACTTCCGGCTCGCATATAATTGGCCTCCCGGGTATACTAATCAGTTAGCTCACTCAGCCGCATGAAGGAGGCTCAGAAGTTATGAAACACCGACGGAGTCATTTTTCACTTCTTCTTCTTCTTCTTCTTCTTCTTCTTCTTACTAACCCAAAAACAGCGCCAGCCTGTGTCATCTGAAAGAAAATCAAAAAATGAGGCTCAAAATCTACAGCGCCTTCCTCTTTGCGCCGCTCGCGATGGCTGTTTGCTACTACCCCAATGGCTACAGCGAGTCCAGCGCCGAATACCAGCCCTGCTACAATGACACAGGCCGCACGAGCATGTGCTGTGGATTCAACCGGACCAATCCTTCAGGCGGCAGTAGGTCTGATGGTGCCACGGCCGATATATGTCTCCCAAATGGATTGTGTGAGAACGACTGGACCACCACCGATGACAATGGCACGACAACTATGAACACGGCATATTTCCGGGATCAATGCACGGTTTCCGACTGGACGGACGCTGGTTGCTTGAACGTGTGCACCTCACAGACGGTATGCAATATTCTCGCTACTAGTTACTACCAGAACCAACCCGCTGACAAAAATTTCTACAGAACCCAGGCATCGGCAGCTCCAGCGATTGGGCCATCCTGACGCCCTGCGATGGCACATCAAACTCAAGCACCTGGTGCTGTGGAAGCGGCAACACCACTTGCTGCGATACCGCCGAGGCCATAACACTGGCCCAGGTCTTTTCTGGCACAGCCACGACCACAGCTACCACCAGCAGCTCGACTTCATCTGCAACCTCAACCATCACCTCCTCCTCCTCCGCCGCCTCTACGTCGTCTACTTCCACGTCTACCCCATCACCATCCTCAGCACCCTCCGAACTCTCCAGTGGCGCCAAAGCCGGAGTCGGGGTTGGCGTTGCCGTAGGAGGCATAGCAATAATCTTTGGCGTGTTATTGTTCTTCCTGCGCAGGAGGCAAAGGACTGCCAGTCATCCAAGTGCGATGGGCTATGCGCGACCTCCCCCGCCGCCACCAGATGAATTACTAGTCAAGGAGCCGGTACAGGAGCTGAACTCGACTGCTTATCACGAGATGGATTCTTTGCCGATGAGGGTCGAGTTGGATGGCATGTCGGCTGGGGGGAATAATCAATCAATATGAAAGAACGGGTGGTAAGAACTTTAAAAGCATAAAGGGGCGCTGCTATACATGTCGATATCGTTATAAATAATGTACATAAATAATGCATTTAATCAAAACCTATATCATCTACATAAGATGATTGCACCTACTCTATAAGACGTGGCAGTAGGTAAGGATCAAAATCTTATGAGCATATTGAAAGCTCTCACTACTTACCAAGTCACAACGGAGGATATACAGCAACTAGCCCTAACACCAACTCCCCAGCTTACTTAGCTTCATCACGTTGCAGCCTTCCCGAGGTTACACATATCAATATTTCTTCTCGTAGCTGCAAATGTCTGGGTTAGATACACAGAGTATTATTTAATTGATTTCAATGGGCATGAATAGACCTAATTCTAGTGGACGGTGAACGTATCGGGGGAAAGAGTCGAGCATGTGCTACCTGCTTAGGTTGTGCACATATATAAGATTTATTTTCTATGACTCTGATTATTACATATTCCAATATTGGCTGGCTGGGATAGGTGGCTGGCTACCTAGAGGTAGGGATGTATGTCTACGCATCTAAAAACCAAGTAGAGCAATCCAACTGTTTTTGACTCATCAAAGGGTATAGATATGTACACGAATAGATTTCAAGAGGGAAAGAAAAAAAAAAGATATACCAAACTAACCCAGCACACTCTGCATCGCGAGCGTATTCGTATCCACCCTCCGCATCACATACGCCTTGACATCCTGCACCGAAAGGCCGAATCCAGCGCTCACATCGCTCGCCGGCGCAGGTCGTCCAGCAGGAGCAGTCGTTGCACCATCGTTGTTATTGTTATTGTTATTCTTAGCCGCAGGACCACCGCCACCTCGCAACTTCTCGCGCAGCGCCTCTGGCCCAATCACGAACAAACTGCCGACTTCGAGCAGCACGTCAATAGCAGATTTGATCTCTTCTGATTCCAGATCCCATGACTTTAGCAGGTTGGTGTATCGAGTCATGTCCTTTGTGACCATGAGACCGCCTGGCCCGTTTACTTGGAAACGCCGGAAATGCTCGAGGATTTGACCGCGGATGCCCAGCGCAAGTTCGGTCAGGAGACATTGCAGATTGGACCCGCTGGCTGGTAGGGATGTGAGTATTGTGTTGTGCAGCTGGGTCAGGAATGTGCAGATGGTCTCGCACGTCTGAACATAAAATTAGCTTTTGAAGTGATAAAGGCAGGAAACTAAACTTACCGGCGTCTGTAGCATCTCGAGCCATGCCGTCGAGCCATCGCCCTCCTTTGGGCGGAAATCATTCTTCCTCTGTCCCCCCAACAGCTTCGCCACCCACGCCAACGCTACATCAATCGTGCGCTGCTCAATCGCATTGATTTTATCCTCGATTCGATTCACTGCCGCATTGGTCTTCTTCTCCATATCTCGACGGGTAGTCACATTGTTCGCCGCTAGAGGGATGAGCACTGTGTTAATACACGTCAACATCAAATGCGTTACACTGACAGCTCCCCGGAGAGTATGCAGATACGTGAAATCAGGCTCGGCTTTGGCACTCTCCTGCACCGACGCTGCGTCGAGCGCCGCATCCAATGCGATTTCAACATATCCCTCTGCCATGGTTGCCAAAAGCAAATTCAGCAGCGAAGCAACGTCCTTGGGCGTTTCGCTGCTAACGCTCAATTCCAACCCACGTCCGACTCCCTCAGCCAACCACTTCAACATACGTTTTGCAAACGTGACTGAAAGCAAGCCGTCGTCTTCAGTGAATTCAGGTTCAACTTGTTTCCCCATTTCTCCCGAATCTCGCAGACCGGCGACTTTCAGCAGCACCTGTCGCTGCGTAGGTGTAGAATCCGAGGTTTCGAGTCGAGATAGATACGACTCTTTAGCAGAAGAAAGAAGCTCACTGCCACTTTTTGCCAATGACGACATGAAAGTACTCGTAGCTGCCTTCTTGCGTCTTAAATGGAATGCCGTGAACTTGAACAGTAGCGATGTGTAGAGCTCTTCTAGATTACGCTTTTCGCGCTCGATATAAGACGATCCCACGAAGTATGGAATGAATAACTCTTCTAGTTGTTGATCGAGGAGCAGCGCTGTCTGAGACGAGATCGGATCAGGGGCCTCAGTCAGCCCATGGGTCTTTAAGTCGTCTACCAGAGAGTTGAGGTAACTCCGCGAGCTCTGAAGTGACCGTAAAAAGGCAAGAGAGGAGACACTACTCGCTTTTTCGAGTACCATCTCCAGTCTCTGCTGGATCGATTGCTGAAAGACTCTTTGTAAGAACCGGCTGAGCACTTCGTCGTAGTAAGGAAATGCGCGACGGATGATGGTGGACTCGTCTTGTACGACAACCTTCACGTCATCAACCAAGGACTGTAAGCTGGGCTCGACGCCTGGTGGTTCGGCGTCCGGGTCTGCCAATTTTTCCCATGCTTCTGCATCTCCGCCCACTTCTTCCGTCATAAGTTGGCTCCTGTCGATGAAGAATTGATGCTGGTTGACGAACAAGGCAATGACACTCGCGCCACTGTTGAAGTCGCGAAGAACCGACGCACATTCCTGCATGCCTTCAAAGTTTGCTTTCCTGTAGAAGTCGTCAAACTGTTTGAGCAGATCCTTTTCAAGTGTTTCTGAGAATTTCTCAATGATCACCCTGGTATCCTCCTTGGGAAAATTGTTGCCATTTCCGTTCACATGCCCATTCCCATTTGCATGCCCATTCATATGTCCGTTTCCACCCAGGTTAGGAGACAGCATTGCACCATTCGCATAATGGCCATTTCCATTATTATTATTATGATTATTAGAGGTGTCGTTCCAGCTCTTGGGATCAAGTCTCTGACTGATCCGCAACAACTGCTTGGCAATATGCGCAGCCCGGAGTTTCCCCTCGCTATTCCCTGACATGCGGAGCGTTTCAAGCTTCGTGGTATCACCCCGATTGCTGACTTCATCCCAGCATTCAATCAAGAAATGCGCATCCAACGCACGCCGCCGTTGCCGTTCAAGCTCCTCTAACCTCTTGCCGGTTTCCACGGCCACATTGCTATCAGCGCCGTTCGAGAGTGAAGTTCCATTTAGCGACGTATCCAATTTCTGAAACGACTCGATTGTATGACTAAGTTTTCTCCCCAGCGTATTCAAATTCTGCGTGTGTTGGGCCTCTGCTCTTCGTACGGCTGCCGATAGCTCATTTTCCTTGATTTCCAAATCACCCAGCAGATCGTTCAGGCTGCCTTGGGCATGCTCAAAGGTGCGGATAAGCGGTTTCGGATCAAACGGCGTGTTTGTGCCAGCGGCCCCGCCAGCCGACCTGCGGTTGGCGATGGCGCTGTCGGAGAGCGACTCGACAAAGTCCTTGACGATGTAGTCGCGGCCTGAGAAGTACTCGAGGTTGAAGCTGGGGCCCTTGGGGTAGAGGGTTCGCGACAGTTGGCGAGAATGCGAGCTCGCGGACGAGCTGTCGGGCATGTTGTGTCAACGACGACCCCCCGCGCGCATATGTTTGTGGGATGTTTCGGAGTAGAGTATCTAGTAGAGTTAGTAAAGAACTGCTGCTGTTATCTCCATTATCGAGTGGCAGCACAGTGTGGTTGGTGTCGTTCACGGTGTCTGGAGCTTCCCTCGTTGTCCGCCAGATATGTAGCCTACATACATTTGGGCTCACCGCCCACATTCTGCAATCCTACACCAGCAGCACGTTCACCTTTGATTACCTGTAACAATGTCATTGTTTATCCTATCCCGGTTGCTATCTGTGTCTGTTTATGCCCCTGCAGCTGTCTTCTCTCATATAATACACAGTGGCATATGAAATGCCATCAAGTATGCAGCGCGCAGACGTCGGCTTTGTATCGGAGCTGGGCTGAGAGAGAAAACTCGAAACGCTATCATCTTTTCATCTCATGTCGCCTATCCTGATAACACTGTCTGGAGCATCTCATCTCACGTAGATATAAACATATCAATTTGGGTAGTCGAATAGCTGCAACTGTGATGTTGAAGCCAGCAGGCGACGTCATCATCGGCGGCCACGGGAGCAACAACAGAAACAACGTGGCAGAATAATTTGAAACCTGACAACCGCAACGAACACGGCATCGCCTGTCTGTTTCTCCTCGCCTTTCGCTCTTTTCTCACTTGTATAAAAACTTTGTGATACGCCCCATGGTCTCATCAAAGGACGTCGACCTCTTCCGCGAAGACGTTCGTCTTCGTGGGAACCGGTTCTCTGCCGCGGAGCGCGAGAAGCTCCTCAAGCCCTACCTCCCCGAACCACAGCTGGCTTCACGAAACCACAACAGCAAAGACCAGAGGAAGAAGACCAAGACGAAACCAAAGCAGAAGAAGCCACTTCGCACATTCATCAAATCCCAGATCCACCGCCTCATTTACCTCATCATCCATTTATGTCTGGGCTTCTACATCCGCATCTCCCAGACCATTGTTGCCGTGACAGATCGGATATTGGCTATTACATACTACCATCACCGCTCCCCGGAAATCATTGCAAAGGATGTCAAGTCCCTAGATCGTCTGCCGGAGCACCTGAGTGTTTTGCTGAAGCTGCGCAAGACCGAGGAAGACGCCTTGCATACCTTGATGGATGAGGCTGCGGAGCTCGCGGCATGGACAACGTGCGCCGGTATTCCAGTTTTGAGTATATATGAAAAGACGGGTATATATTCTTTTTCTTTTATACTTTTGTTTTATTATCTATGGCTAATTATGAGACTACAGGAATCCTCAAATCGTATATTTCCACCCTCCACAAAGTCATCTCCGACAAGCTCTCTCTCTACTACGGCTCTCCATCGCACCAACCCCATCTCCGAATCTTTGCTCCTCACCACAGCGCCTATTGCCCATCTACTTTTAGCCAAAACCAAACCGGCACAACAGCATCAACACCAAAACAGACATCCCTAACAGTCCTCCTCCTCTCTCACTCCGACGGGCGCGAAACCCTCGTCGACCTGACCAAAACCCTAACGGAGATGGCCCAAAACGGCAAACTGTCACCCAACGACATTAGCACAAAGCTCATCGACGCCGAAATTAGCGATATCACTTCCCATCCTTCTTCTTCTCCGTCATCATCTTCCTCCTCCCCACCGACCACCAACGAACACCTACGCAAGGAGGGAGTAGATCAAATGCTCCCGTCCTCCCTCTTCCACCCCGTCAAACCCGAACCAGACCTCCTCATAATCTTCGGTCCGTACGTCAAACTCGACGGATATCCGCCCTGGCAAGTGCGGCTAACCGAGATATTTTGCACGGGGGACAAGACGAGTAGTATTGCAGCTGGGAATGATGAAGAGGCGGTCGAATATCAGGGATTCTTACGGGGTTTGTGGCGGTATGCTCGAGCGAGTTTTAGATTTGGACGGTAGACATTCTTCATTCGTCTTGGAATTGATATGCTTTCTTATTTCATATCTGAAGTACAAGAGTCGGTTGATTGTTTAAAATTGATCGGAGTACTAACATACTTGTATAAAGAAAAAGTCTCTTCGTTCTCTCCCTTTCTTTTTTTTTTTTTGTTTTTTTGAGTTCAATGATCGTTTCATGCATGGCTGGAAATGAACTATGGAAATAGGCTATCGAGGAAGATTTGTTCAATAATAAAAAAAAAAAAAAAAAAAAAAAAAAACCGAAAAGTCTATACTAGGTATAATGCCAAAGAAGTTGCGGAAAGATAATGTTGATATAATATGCAAAGTCGTGCAGAACGCCAGTGGACAATAAACAAGGTCATAGGGGGGATTAAATTATACTTCATAACATGGTTGGGAGATATGTCCGTATGCAATTGAACAACAGTAGAAAAAACGGGGCAAAATGCAAGAAAAATCATGGTATAGGTAGGAGTTGAAAAAATAAAAGAAGGATCATTGCCACATTTGTTGATGATTTGTCTCCTCTCTCCGTACACAGTCCAAACACCAGACAATTTCTTCACCTGTATTTGTCAATCCCTCAACTGCGCAACACGAGCAGACTTTTCTGTGTCGAATTTTCTCAGTCCCGTTTTCATTGCCCCGAATTCGTGAATATGGTCTTGTATGGAGGTATCCATCATCGCGTCTGATGTCGGTACATCGCATCATGTTGTCGTCATATTCATCCGGTGTGGAAGTAGTAGTAGTAGTAGTAGTAGTAGTAGTAGTAGTTGAGCCGTTGTGACAGTTCAAAGAATTGCATTCTCGCAAACAAATATAACAAGCCCGCTGTCCGCACAGTTCGCAGTCCGCATATGCATCTAGCATGACTTTCGTCGACGGCTTGCGATGGCACACATGACATGGCCTCAGCACCGGGGGCGGCAATGCCGAAGGTTCTCGGGGACAGATCGTCGTTGTCCGAGGTGACACAGAATCGTATTCATCCAGTGTCGGAGTCGAGGCGAATTCCGAGTCCCGCCGACGGTCGAAGAGTGGTATCATCAATGCTGGTGGACTAGGTTTTCTCGGGCTGTGACATTGGTATTGGTGACGAGGGTAATGACTAGCCGTGTTTGGAGTAGCAGGACTACCAGAATGGGGCCGAAGTTGCGATTGTGGTTGCTGTTGATGATATTGATTATGGGAATGTGGCTGTAGGATTCTCCGTTTCTTCTGCATTTCTGGTGCAGCACTATTTCCTAAGGATAGCCATTGTCGCTGAGACGATGTCGTCGTCGATGTAGGTGTAGCTGATTCAATATTGAAACGAGGGGGAGCCGAGAGCATGTTCATATCTTGAAACTCCAGCTGGTAAGCGGGGATGCTCCTATCAGTTGCATCTAATATTAGCACGTCGACCATCCAAGAGAAATAGTCAAGGCGTTCTCTCTCACCCTTGCAAGACATTTTCTTGATTGCATGTTGCAGGTCCACCACCAACCACATCTCGCTTCCTTTTCTTCAGAGCTGCTGTCGATGGAGTGAAGGCATTTGCGTCTGAAATATGCATCATCCTTTGTGAAAGGATGCTTTTGAGTTTAACGTTCTGACTTTAACCTGAAGCTAGCGCCGTCGGTACGAAGTTGATTAGTGGCGAGCTGATTTTCTTGTCCGTATCAGAAATTCTCTATGACGTGCACAACCTTGAGAGAAGAAAAGCCGTGTTTCGAGACTTCTCTCAACCACGCAGAGCAGTGAAACAATACGTGAGGCGCGAGCAAGGAAGCAAGGGGGAGGGTGAGTGAAGTGAGGTGAAGTTGAAGTGGCAGCGCTGCGGAGAGCGAATTAAGCGCCGGCCACTAAGCGTTTAGCAGCGGCGGGGGCCGTCGCTAACTCAGGCACCGGAGAGCTGCCAGCCAATTAAATGATTGACCCTTGTATAAGCCGGTATTCGACCCTATTGAAAACTTCCTATCGATGCAAACAGACAATTCATCGTAGACACGGAGTACTTCCTAAACAAAATAGATGAATATAGATAGCGCCGACGCGAGTCCCAGAATAGCCCACCCAACGCCATCTATATGCTAATAACTATACAGTCCGATTCATGCCGAACTTTCTAACCTGGCCCTGATCGTTTTCTCATCAAGCGACCCGCTCTCTCCCACATAATTGCGCAGCACCTCTGTCATCATCAATCGACGTGGTGCTTTGCGGCCGGTCATCAGTTCCCACTGTGCAAAGCCCTGCTCCGCAACGACTTCGAGACCGTCGACCAAAACCCACGGCATGGCAGTTTCCTCTCTATACTGGCGCACCTGGCGAACCAGCGGAGTCTCTAGGGCATTGTAGGCCAACTAAAGCAATTTCTCCGGTTAGTTTCTCGGTTTGTGAAAGCATGGTCGTAATCAAATAAGCTTACCTCGACAACAACACCACCAGATGGACTGCCCAGCCATTGAACCGGCATGACAAAGTTCGCCGGTGGCTGACCCTGAATCCGATTTTCCGGCACACAAGAGACAATCATCGAAGGGAACGCCAATTCAGAGGGCCATGGCTCCTCCGCCGAGCGCAGAACACGGACTGCCGCATCCGAGTCTGTGTGCGATGAGGCCACCCACGAATTAAAATGCCTTGCAACCTCCTCTGCCCGTGATAACGTCCGATTAAGAATGAATATCTTGCGGCATCCTAGCTGTAGCATAGCGTAAATGGCTGCTCTAGCCATCCCTCCTGCTCCAATCACGAGCCCCGTGGTGCGAACCGGACTGATGGCGTTTCTGGGAGATAGATTGCGGCGCAAGCAGACCATTATACTAATCCAGTCAGTGTTTTCTCCCCACCAAGCAGCAATCTGCCCAGCCTCGTTTCGTCGACTGGCTTGCTCAGAAAGCGGATAGATGTGTCTATTCGCACTCGCTCGCAACGGCATCACCGTGTTGATTGCACCTATTGCCTCTGCATGGCGGCTTTTATATTGTAGTTGGCCCGCTACGTGGACTCGCCACGGTTGAACAACACTAGCTCCTCCAAAATGGGGGTCATGCCGCCATTCATCTAATTTAGCAAGCGACGGTGCTTCTGGAATACGATAAACATGAGCCAACCCACAGCTAGCATAAGCAGCATTGTGCATTGCCGGTGAGATACTGTAAGCAATGCTAGCCCCAAGAATGTAAAACTTGAGCGGGTCAAGCATGTAACTCTGAACCAAGGCGTGGACCGCATCGTGTGATGTTAATTGGGGATCTTTCTCCTTTTGCGCGGAAGGTGGTATAGCAGGATGTGTGACTGATGTTAGATTGCTGTTGAACACCTGGGAGCTTCGCCCAATCGCCCCCAGATTAAACGCAATGATTGGTGGATGAGTGCCCGAAAGCGCCTTGACACGGTCAATAAATTTGCGCACCGAGTCATTCTCTTCCCTAGTGGTAGCGGAGTTCACAATCCGGACGAGCTGACAACCCAGGCGCTCTGCTTCGAGGTAGATTGATAAACAGGCTTCATCTTCCCAGGAGATTCTCGATGAATGTTCCAGATTGTAATGTCCAATGATTTTAGTCATTCCCCTGCTTTGAACCACCTGAGCCAAGCGCATGTGGTCTTGATCCAGATGAATGACGAGATATTCAACACCGAGACGAAGGCCATGCTCCAGCATCTGGTAGTATGTATCACCCGGCTGGTTGGCGTCGGGACTGCGTGGATCAATAGCTAGCGTGTCTACGTCGATGGAATAGATGATTGGTAGCTTTGCTATCCTGCGTAATACAGATACATGCTTAGCAATGGCGGCTACGGCTCCTGGATTCCATGCATCTATACAGAGTTCAATAGCATCACCACCAGACTCTAGTTCTGCGACATCCACTAGGTTATTGTTGAGGGCGGATAGTCGAAGAAAAATGGCATGAGTGTACGATCGTTTTTCGGGGGGCGTTTCTAGCAGAACAAAAGGAGAGTCCAACCCGGGATCAGTGGTCATTGCTCCCGTGATAAAACGCACAAACTGGGTGAAGTCTTCTTTGGCGTCTTTTAGCTTGAATGAATAAGTCACCGAGCGGCGATCTGGAGTTCCCTCATCCCGTGGTAGATCAGCAGGAATCCGCTCTTCTAGATTGTAGTATTCAAAGTTGGAGCACGTGCGATGGTAGGGGTCGCCGTTTCCCAGACGCTTCACGGAGAAGTCCTGTAACTGTAGCAGGCGCTGAATCTGATCCATATCCCGAAGGATATACACCACGGGGTTCGTGAGCGAATAGCGACGAAGATGGTCCTGAATAACGCGCGTCAAACTGCCCAGCCCACATTCAATCACACATTGCGTCCGGTTGTTATCAAGCATCATCTTGAGAACCTCGACGTCCCGCCGCTGGAATTCATGGCTGCCGAATTGGAGCAAGAACTCATGGCGCGTGAGACCCGTGGCTTCTTTGAAATAATAGTCCTCCGTGATAAACCGGCGATTCAGCGCGGCGGCGGCGATGAATCCTAGGGAGCGCTTGCCCGAGCCCCGGATGCCCACTAAGACCAGGGACGCGTCGGGCGCGAAGCTTCGCTTAGAGGGCGGCGTGTTCGACAAGTGCAGTTTGGTCGAGGCCCGCTTCGACGACAGCTGGGGAGACATTGGTGGGCGTGTCCGTCCGTGTCGTAGTTAGAACTTAGTCATTCTATGCCCTCGACAGGAAGCGACAAGTCACGCTGGAAGGAACATGGATGGCGCGACGCATGTGGTGTGTGTGCATAGAACTAGGTTAGGTGCGTGGTGAGCGAGAAGCAAAGCGACCTCATGCGCATTCGGTTCTCCTCGTCCGAAGTTGACCCGCGCGGGGAAGGACCCACTGCCCAATCGAGCGACAGGGTGTGCGGTCAGGTGACTCTCTTTCCTTGATGTACCTGTACCTACCTACGTAGGCACGGAGTCGGGAATGTACAGGCCTATAAGGACACTGTGAGAAGAAGCATGATGACTGTTTAGTTACTTCTAGGGCGGGGTTATAGAATGCTACGCTGCGCAGCGATGATGAGGTTGCTCTTATATAAATTTGCGGTTTGATGCATAGCACATACACATACACATACACGCACATGCATTATGTTATTTATGATGGACCTTGTATGTATTTATGCATGTATAGCTGCCGCCCCCTATACATTATAAAATATATAATCCAAAGCCAAAATAAAAGCACGCTGGCGGCGTTATCACTATTTGTTACTTCCTATGTATTTATTACATTAGCCTTGCCAAGAATGTGGAGGCGGGCAAGCGGCGCCTGAATGGTAAGGCTCGGTTGATGCTCCTTCCTCCGTCACGATCCCTCCTCCACAACCGCGACCTATCTTCGGTCTACACCACAGCCTCTCTTCTTCCGCCGAAAGCAGTCGAATAGCCTGCCCTGCTCCTGCGCTGACCGACGCTCCTCATACATACATCTTTCGCCCGACCTAACAAACGCATTCCCGTGAAGAACCAAGCAGGGTTTGACTCCATCGCTTCGTCCTGTGAATTGCCGATTATAACTTAGAGACCTCTCCACGCGCGCCTCTCCAAGTACTGCCATGCACCGAGGAGCTTCGGTGGCCCTCCATGGATGAGGGTTCGGATATAAAAGGCCCTCGCCGGAAAAGGGTCTCGCGCGCCTGCGATCGCTGTCGCACGAAAAAGGACAAATGCGATGGAGCACGTCCGTCATGCTCAGCCTGCAAAGCGTCCGGCCAGACTTGCTCCTACGACCCCAATGCGAGGAAGCGCGGGCTGCCCGAGGGATATGTGCGAGGACTAGAAAAACTATGGGCGCTGTCAATTTGCAACATCGAAGGATTTGAAGAAACAATGCTGGCCTTAATCGGTGCCACGGATCGCTCAAAGGGCCGACGCGATCGTCTGATGCAGCTGTGGACTGATGAAGCTGCTTCGGATAATCTGCACGACGTGTGGAAGACAAGTCGTCTGTGGGGAGCTTTGGAAAAGATGTTGTCCCCGGGAGACATAGACTCACAATCGCCAGCGAAAAGGCCACGCGAAGAAGAAGACGATGGCTCATATTTGGGAGCATCAAGCCAGTGGGGGTTTCGCGTTGGCCGTGACCCAGGTTCCGTTGGAGTAGCCGGCCCCAGAGTTGTCGACCCATCATCATTGTCCCCAATAGCCAAGAAGCCGAGATTATCATCAGCTGCCGAGAGCAGTTTGCCTGGAAAAATACAAAATGTTCAGGTTTTGCCATTGCCGCCTCACACTTCGGGTTTAATCGAAACGTATTTCTCACAAACACATCCATGGTTTCCAATCATCCCAAAACATAACATGCTCCGTGCTTCTTACTTGTACGCGAATGGCGCACCCCACCTGGGGAACACACCGACAAACTCAGGAGATCATGCCGCTCTCTGGGCAATTTTAAGCTACACAACGGGCCAGCAACATTCGGGCGTGAATCCACATGATACTTTCATACATGACCCATTAGCCCAGTCCCGGGAGTACTATAAGATAGCGCGCGGCCTTATTCCTTCTGAAAAGGAGCGGTTTGATCTTGGGCATGTACAGGCTCTGTTGCTGCTCACGCTGGTAAATGTAGGGTTTGAAGACTGGACTGCGGCGTGGCTGTTGAGCGGACAAGCCGCACGAATGGCCGAAGCCATGGAGTTATCGAAGACTTTAGATTCTCGCAGGTCGGACGAATCGCGCCAAAGAACAGCCGTTTATATGGGATGTTTTATCATTGACTCCATACTCTCTGTCCGTCTTTCGAGATCGCCTTGTCTGAGAGGGATCGACCTAGCACTAGCGGGACGCCTAGAAGAAGATGGCCTCGAAGAATGGAATTCTTGGGTTGACGTGCTACCCTCCCGCGCTGCCTTTGAGAGCAGAAACGCACCACCGCGCGGCCCCTTACTGGCTCTCAGCTACTTTAATCGTTTGTTTGAATTAACCAGCGTGCTAAATAGAATTGCTTGGGATTTTCCGCAAGCTACAAATGCCCATGTCTTCATTCAAAAAATACTGCTTGACCTCAGAGCACTTGACGACCAGCTTCCGGTAAATTGCCGTTTGATTGGCGCCGAAGGGGACGACGCCCAGAACAGATCCGCTTTGCTCCTCCATCAAAGCTATTTCCACCTGACATATGCAGCAACGCTCTTGTTTCTCTACACTAGGCAGTTAAGTCAAGGCCAGTTTATGCAGGGGGTCAGCCAGACTGCTATGGATGGAATCGAGAAAATACTTTATCGAACGTTGGACGTTCTATCGCATCATGTGGAGAATTTCCAAGCATGTGGGATTCCACCATTGATCGAGTTCCCGCTGCGATCGATTTTAGAGTCCGTTTCGTCCGTACGATCAAAACTGGAGCCAGCTGGATTCCCCGTCCCTAAGTGGATAAGTATCTTTTCTCAGAAGCTCACTGAAGTCTCATCACCGTGGCCCGTTTTCGGGACACTAAATGAGACAGTCAGGTCTCTTCTGTTCAATCCGCCTGAACCATATTCCTCATTGCCGCAAAGACAAGCTGCGAACGCAGATGTTCATGCTCCAAACTCTTCTCAGAACCTAGAGTCAAAGGCATTGCCGTTTGACAACATAGCCAAAGTCAGCCATCCTATTGTCGACCTTGGGTCTCGTTCAGCCATTGTCCAAAATCCTGGCTTTAGTACTAGTGTGGCCAATCCTTTTCCAATTCCGACAAATGGTATATATAAGACACCAACAGAACCTGGCGGTGATATCATGACTCTTTCGCCTAGCACAGAACCCACCAGCCAAGAACAAACAGCTGCCCACATCCTCGATAAACTGATGGGAGGCGGCAAACCACCACCGCTACCACCATCTCAAGCAGAACCTAACAACATTGGGCAGGTACTCAATCAACAAACACAAGCAGGGACACCTGAATCAGCAATCCTACAGCCTAATAACATTGGTCCGAGGGGATATAATATTGGCCAGCAGCAGCAGCAGCAGCAAGCAGGGGGATCGTACATGACGGAGGAAGCATCGTCATCACCCAACGACCTGGATTCAATATTTAAGGACCTGGCATATATTGACACAACAGATTGGGCAAATAGTCGCCAAGAAGGACTGCGAGAATTTGGGTTTATGGATGATAACACTTTTCAAGCATTCTGCCATGACCCAGACCGGCTGGTTGGGTCACGACCTCTCGTCCTGCCGACGGCCATGTCAATTGCAGATATTTGGCCCCCGCCGGGATTTTTCCCAGAGACATTCCAGGCTGGCCAGAAGAATGATACGGGGCCTAGCTGAGTTGCTTCTGGCGTCTCTTTCCGTTTCAATTTTATAGCACTACTTGCTATCCCACGATAATACCCACAGCAATTCTATTACTACCAATTTCATGGAAATTGAAGTCTGAATGTTGAGCTTTATTATGCAAAGAGATTCCATCCATACTCGACCATGTCCATTTAACATGGGAACTGTACGCTACTTTAATCTTTCATCCAGTACATATATTACAAAAATGATGACTGAAGTGTTTGCGACTCAGCACACCAGCATTCGGAACAAGAATTTCTTAGCAGCTTGACTAAATCACATTTTTACACATCCTCTAGAACTCACAATAACAACTATATTAGCAAAAACTCACCACATCCCGAGCAGCGTTCTAACTAACCATGACACCAATACACCAGTTCAAGTCTGAAACTGTGCTTCACCTCTTTCGTCCAGCAAGCACAAAAACCGGCACAATCGTCAACACCGCACCGACCACAACAATAGCCGCCTGCACACCAAAGACAACTCCAACCCCATCCCTCGCTATCCACGAAGCCTGGAAATAAGCGACCGAAAACCCTCCGCAAGTGCGCCACATGTTGATAATTGCGCTGACGGGCGTTGCGTGAGAAGGGAACTCTTCGAGTGCGTAGGCTGTTATCGCTCTATGCAAATAAATGGCCATGTTTTAGTCTTCTTTCTCCCGGAAAATAGTGAAGCATGAGGGGGAAAGGAGGAAGACTTACACGGTACTAGCAACCATGCCCAAATCAACCATGATCCAGCCAAAAGCCAGTCCGATCCAGCTCTTGTTATAATTGAGTGTCAAGCCGTATGTGACCAGGCCACCGGCCAAACTGACGATAGGGAACCAGACACCATGGAGACGGTGTTCTGGGCGCCAGGTATAGGAATTTGGAGAGACGAAAGCATCAATATGCAGACTGCTGCTATTCTCAGAGGCGATTCTTCCCAAGTCATTGTTTTCTGGGGCTTTGTCGTTGTCGTTGTTGCTGTTGTTGCGGGTAAACTGAAGATGAACATGATGATAATTGTAAATCCACTTGTTGAAGAAATGGCCGAATATGTATCCTATAATCATTCGTTCAGATTTGTTTATCTGGAAAGTCAAAAAGGGAACGCACCGCTCGAAGCTCCAATGACGCCCGCAAAACGCATCGATGAAGCCTGGACATTATCAAACAGATACGGCGGCGCATGCAGAAATGTATCGACCGTCGTCGTAATGCCAATCGGCCAGCAGAAATTAATCATAACCGCAATGCCAAGCAGCAAGAGCGGGACCTTGAAAATCAGCCTGAGCAAAGTAGTAGATTGAGAAAGTAGTGTATGGCGTTTGGCAATGGGCAGAGACGCGGCATCATGGTTGTTATTATTGCACGAGATTCCGATGAAGGAGCAGATTTTTGACAGGACCGGATGATAATGATGCACCCGCGCCTGCCCGCTATGATTGCTGCTGCTGCTGCTGCTATTGTAGTAGGTCTCACGTCCGAAGAGAATGATTAGTAGCGTGGAAATAGCATAGAGCCCGGTTAGGACGCTAAAGGAGATGTTCCACTGATTCCGGCTGCCCACGAGTATGTATCCCGCCAATGCAGGGCCGAGGAATGGTCCGACTAGAAAGGTTGTTGCCCTAGTACTCGAGCATTAGTGGTTATAGATGTGTATTGACGACGACGGACGGCACAAACGTACCAAATGTTAATCATATGCGGCCAGTCTTCCGGCTCGTACATGTTATGGATAATAGAGAGACCGACTACCTGTGGAACAGTCCCGAAGAAGCCCTGAAGAGATCGAAAGGTGGTGAACATGGTCCAGGACGTGGACAAAGTGGCACCGAGCACCATGAACATTGTGACGACCTGGGTCCAGAACCAAACCGGGAGCCTGAAGATATACAAACGTAAGCCTGCATTCTCTATAGGATCCATCCGAGCGCGCAGGAGATTTACCTCCCATACGCTTCAATAAAGGGCACCGCAAATATACCCCCGAACCCCTGAAGCAGAATCCCATAATTCATGCTGGTCGATGAGTAGTCGACACTGATATTCCAATCCTGAGCTTGGGTTACAATCAGTGTTGCTCCCCACGTCATCGCCCTGCAGACACTCGCATCAGTTTCGTCGCCTCTAGAATCATACACAGCTCTTATCATACCCATCCGCTAGCAGAGAGCTGGAAATCAGCGCTGCGAATAACAGCCGCTTCTTTGCGCGGGTCCAGTTTCGAGGGTTTGCCTTGTCAAAAACCCTCGGGCTCTTGATGCCGTGGAACTTGTATCTGGGTGCATGGTTGAGGGATGGTAGGAAGACATCGGGGCTCGTAGTATGGTCAGTCTTGAAACCTGTGTCCATGCCGAGTCGCTGTGCAAAATTTGTACAGAGTGTAGGAGTTTAAATATATGTGCGTGTATATATACAGAGAAAGAATGTGAGAATGAACAAAAGAGTGAAGCCAAGTATTGACGAGGCAAGTACGTTGGGAATGAAGAAAGGACTTAAAGACAAGCAAGGAAGGGATTCCGCCTAATGAATCTCACTCTTCACAAATAAACAGGCTTGCTATTTATTCAAATCATCCACATGGCATAGAGAAGAATGGTTTGCCGGACAGTTGTGATTGAGCTGCATTGAAACCTAAAACTATAGCCACATGGCGTGTAGGCCTATTTTTCCGACGATGGGTTCCTGGAAAAAAAGAGGGAAAGAAAGACAGGTAATTTTTTGTTATCTATGGCTGCTGTTCAAGTGTTGACTCTGTCATAGAAAAAGCAAAAGGTCGGGACGAACAAAGTGACAGGGAGGAAACTTAACGTCCCAAAAAGGTGTTTAGAGTTGTTAGTTAGGGTTAGGTAGAACTCAATGAGAGTGAGATATGTACCTAACCTCACGACCCTGATAGCTTGGAAGTGAGTGGGCGTCTATGCATGCATTTATTAGATCAAATCTTATTTTTGCAAAGAGTACGTATGCTTTTGCAAGGTTCGAGGTAAGAAAAATGTAGCCTGACATCATACAGTCAGTAGACTGTTTTTCACCTTGAAAGCACGCATGCAGAATCAGACATGCTCGTAATTCATCAATTTCACGCACAGCAATCGTAAGGAACAGGACATGGCGGGAAATTATTAAAGCCTCCCTCCAAAAGTGAAAAGAGAAAGAAAAAAGACTCCTTGGGCCATCGGACCGATGGATGGATGGAGAATGTGGCTATCTATCTAGGGATGAGGGCTGAGTAACTCGAAAACCAAACCCTTGGAACAAGGCAAAAGGCACCCAACATTGCGACCTATCATATCATACTGATCGGCGCTAGGATTTGGTATCTATCGATTAAATTGTATAGTCTGTCTGTATGGCCACGATAATTGATTGCATCTGGTCAACGCTCATGCAGTGCGACGTAATCAACTAGGTACGATACTATGAGATAATTATAACTCTTAAACCATCCAAATTAATTTTTATCTTCAGAACTGAAGTACGAGAGGAATGAGTATATGTTAAATAAACAGAGAATAGACCCGTCAACTTTGTCGTCGCGTGGGCGGATTAGCCCTAACTCACGGACTTAATTCGAGCAGCCCCCCTTGCATGGCACTATCACACGCGAGTATCGCCACGGGACAGTTGCCATGCTGAAATCCATTCTGCTGGTACGAAAAGAAAAAGAAAAAGAATTTGTTGGGATCTTATAAAAGAGTGTATGAAAATGAATTTATTCGTTGAGTTGTGAAGCCCCGAGATTCAGTCAACATGAGTCCACCTGATGGAGCAGTTCTTGCAGCTACAGTGACAGTAGTGAGTTTAGTTTATTGATCACTCTTGTAGCCTCTAGCAATACCTATATTGATATCAACCGGTATCACAGACGGCAGCCCTGAGCTTCGTTCCCGTTGCTGTTTACTTTGATCTCTTCTCGACACTGGTCAAAGTCGGCAAACCGGTGACCTCGCAACAAATCACTGATACGCGGAATGTGGATCGGAGTCCTGAAGAAATAGAACAATCACCGCTGTGTATGTTTTCCTGTCCGAAGGACCGGGCCGAAATTAATACAGTGGTAGCTAATTAATCGATTTCAGGTCCTCAATTGACTCGTATGATACACTACACGGAGAGACTACAGCGTATCCTGACTGATAGTTATATTAGATGATACACTCTATGCTATGTCTTCTCTAGGGCTTGTTAATCTAGTAGAAGATGACGTCTACGAGGCGAACAGCATCACTCGACACATGCACTCTTTGCCATCAGCTCAACACGGCGCTCTTCACTTGTATGCCTTCAAACTCTCGACGCGCAGTAAACTTGTTTGCTAATGCAGAACGCAATCCAGCACCACCGAGCCCATGTTCTCAGGAGCATTTTTAATGCGGAAGTTAATAGACAGCAAATTCGAGTATCCATTCAAAGCTTTGGACACCCCGACCCAGTACGGATACATGCTGCTAGGCGAACACGAGCTTGCGAAAGAACATACATACTCGATAATGTCCCGTCAGGGCCGCATGGACAGCTTCAATCAATTCATGGTAGGCAAATTCGGAAAATTCGGCAAAATGCCCGAGCGTGTCAAGGCCCTTGGCTACGATCTGGACAGCGCCGTGACGGGGACACAAAGCCCAGTGGTCTGGGTTGATATTGGAGGTGGACGAGGCGAGATGCTGCTCGAGCTCAAGGAAGCATATCCATGTCTTGACACGTCGGCTTTGGTGCTGCAGGAGTTCAACCCAGACATCGGCAGTGTGCCAGAAGTCACGCAGATGGAATGGAATTTCCAGAGCGAAACTCCACAGCCAGTCAAGGGTGCCTTGAACTACTCGTTGACTCATATTTTTCACAACTTGCCTGACTTAGACGCTTTGGAGCTGATGCAGAAAGTGTCGAGGGCAATGGCTCCGTATTCCCGGTTAATTATTCAGGAATTCACCAAGAATAAAGCTTATGGTAAGATGCATGCAACCATGATTACTCTGTACGGTGGTCGACTACGAGCCAGCTCGGAATGGAAGCGGCTGGCAGCATTGTGTGGCTTGAAGGTGACTTTCGAAGCATATCCTGCGGCGGGCGAGGGCTTGATTGAGATGAAAAAGCTGTGAATTGCTTTCTATCAATCCAGGAATAATTTATAAAGAGTTGCCTATTGCCTAGCTAGGTTGATCAAATCGAGTACAAGAATTTATTGGTTGTAACAAGGAGATAGATGTAAGAGACATTTATTTCAATGCGCTGACTTGAGTTTAGCATGAGAATGGCGTAACTACTCGCTTGGCTAGCCACTTATTAATTTCCAATCTAGAAACACATGATACCAATGCAATGTATGCCACATTGTCAAGTCATGCGTGCAAATCTGCAAGGGCGATCATAGTCGATACCTCTCCTTTTACACATCACATTCGCCCTGATCCGGTATTCCGCGTACATATATGTGCACAGAACTATCTTTTGACCTTGGCCATAGGTGCCACTACATTTTACTACGCACAAGAACACCAATGCCGCACTGTACCTAGGTCGAATGGAGGTGCGCCATTTTTGACTCTAGACTAATTGCGTGGAATTCTGAAGATCCATCTACCAGCCACAGCAGATCTAGCTTAGTTTTCAGAAACCCTAACCGATTGACTCTTAGATTTCATGAATGGTGACAAAGTTTCACTAATTTCTCTTCAGACTTTTATCTTGCAGCGATGCCGAGAAGGAGGGATACATATTAAGGGTTCATAACCATTGATTACAAAGGGCAATGCAGAAGCCCGTCTCCTGACACACAGCTGGAGGCTTAATGAGCAACGAAAGGAGACCAAAAGTAGGTCCGTCCACGGAAACGTTCGGCACCCCTTGCATCAAGACAAACCTCCTTGCTATAGTCACCACATTCTTCTACCAAGTCAGTCGCCTTCGCACTAGCCAATTGCAAGGGGAAAACACACTATCGCAGCCTCTCTCCTCCACGAAGCATGGAGTTTCCTGTCAGTCCTGTCAGCCCGTACAAGCGCTTGATCCATCATTCTCCTCTATCCCTAGCAGCCAGCTTATGATGTGCAATGTTCATACCTAGCCGGTACACCATAATCCATTCCTCTTTGCAGACACATAACATTAGTACGTATGTACGTAGAAGGCAGAGCAAATAAGCGACCCGAGTGAAAAGCGTTCATACCTCCTCGATTAGTAAAGCCTCCTCTCACTCCCCAAGTTCCACCGGTTCGTACCGGTTCATTGTGTAAATCGCAACACAGGTCTTATATTCTAAACTCTTTTGAGTTTTGCGGCTTTATTGTTTAACGAAATAAATTGGAACCGATTAAACCGGGCTGTCGTCTTTTCGCCGGCTCGGATGATTCCACAATGAAACCAAGGCCCGGCCGTTGTGATCGAATAGAAAAGGAAGCATATTTGTCTCGTCCAATTTCCGGAACCTCGTCCTCACGGGTCGTGTAGCGAGCACAAATTCTTGTTGTCTTTTAACAGCTTTGCTCGAGCATGGAGATCCCGCGACCTGACGGAGCCGATGTGAATATCGGTAAGGCCCCCTTACTATACATTCGTTGATGGAGAACTGGACATTGATTAGAAGAAAAGGAACCGACGTTATTAGAGCTTGCTGGGTGCGTGCATGACAGACAGTACCTAAATATCTCAAGTTCTATCAACTGATAATCTTTTATCTAGGTGCTTACCGGATTCGTCGGCGTCGTCCTGATTTTCAGATTCGCAATGAAAGCCTGGGTACGATGGGGATTGCCACAGGTCTCAGCACCGCGGATATGGGGATTGGAAGATGTGTTCTTTGGCTTTGGATTTGTGACCGATATCTTGCACATTAGTTTGATACAGAAAAGGTAGGAGGTGAAGCCATTCTCTTAACTTGTCCACCATGGCCGAAAATACGCTAACTTCTTCAATGAGATAGCTATACATGGGGTTTGGGACGACATTTCTACTACCTATCTGCTGAGGAGAAGATACAAGCATTGAGATATGACTACGCCTCACAGCCGTGCGGTATGTTTTTCCGATAGAAACCGGGGTAACAAATTGAGACCCTGCTGATAATTGATATAAATCTAGCTGTCGCGGCTGCCATGATATCAAGAACGGGAATGATGTGGTTTCTCCTGTCGTGCTTTGCTCATAGCAACCGGCGATTGCGCATTTCTATAATTGCATGTATGATCATCCAGATCATTGTCAACTCGATCACGATTGTTCAGATAGCAGTGCAATGCGGACCATATCCGTATCGACCTGTGAGTGCTCTGGCCACCAGTCAATTTTTTTCATACTTCTAAAACCCTAATAAAGGCGGACCGGACGAGGTATTTTCACTACATGTGGGATCCCCTTCCGTCTGATGGATCGGTGAAATGTCAATCACCAAACGTGCAGACAACAATTGGATACGTACAGGGAGGTAGGAAGATGCCTTAGAATCTTTCTCCCCTAGTGGTGTATGATGGCTGACTGAGGCACAGGATTCAACACGGTCATTGATCTGTATCTCGCTGTTATTTCGGCATTTGAACTCTGGCAGTTCTTCCTACAAACGCTACACCGCAATCCTGGAGTCTCTGTCTGGACACAATTCGGCAAGATTAGCCCTAATGTCCGATCGCGCCGAATATGGCAGACGCTGACTCTTTCTGGGTATGTTATATTCTCCATGTATTTGACTTAAGGCTGACGGGATTTTATTACCAGACCGCTTATTCTCTCAGGCGCGGCGTCTATTGTCAAAACCTATGTATGTTTTCACAGAAGAAACTGGCTAGTCTAATCTTTACTGACTGAACACTAGCTCCTTCAATCACTGGGCAATAGATCTGATTTTACTTGTGCGTTAAGCCGCTCCTCCTATCGATGAGAAGCTTCAACTAATTTCTTCAAGACAACGTCGTCTCGTTCATTCTCTGGGTTAAGTATGTCTAATAGCCCAAAAAGCACGACTCCAACTTCCACTAACACAAAGACAGAATAGAAAACTATGCCATTCTCATCGCCACTTGCGCACCAGTCATCCGTCTCTTCCTACGAACCTTTGTCGACATGCGACGCGATGGCGGCTATCCATGGAGCCGATCGCATTCCAGCAACAACCAGAACTACTCAAACGACGAAAACAGCGCTGAACAGCACGAATTGAAACCTCGAGGCTTCAACAGAAATAGTCGGCGAGATCCAGACAAATCCCTCTTCGACGACAGCTGCCTACTCACAACGTATAACGACGAAGTCGGAAACGGAATCCAACGAACGGGTATTCCTCCGTCGAGCATCGACAATAACAACGCAATGATTGCACGTGGTGGGAATAACCCTCGAAACACCGGTGGTGTTGCTGTGACAGTGAAAACCGATATTGTCGTTGAAGTCGATGAGGAAATGAGTATCCGTTCGCCAGTAAACGAACATGTCGGTCCTTCATCGCCGAGAGAGAATAGCCAGAATCGTGCTTCGACTTACTCCTTCAAGTCTCCTGTCTAGCACGTCTTCTTGTGTTCTGTACTTATTGCGAGGAGTTATCTGTATTACTTTACATTTTAATTCATACTTATTGGATATCATTTTGAGTCGCATTCCATACACATAAAAACGATCTATGGGCGTCGGTCCCTGTCCGAACTAAAAGGGCGTAACCCTATACGCGAATGCTTGAAAACACAGACAAACATCGGATCAGATCAGATAGTATCACCACGAGGACAGCTTGTTATCGATCAGGGCACCTTAACCCGTACTTCATGAGTTGAATGAGACATTGGCAAATCATGTCAAGCTCAACTTCAATCCGCCCATCATCAACAAAGCGCGTTCCCACTCGAAAGGCGGCATAGAAGTTCGTTTCATAGAAGCTATGTTGCCCATATTCATAGCAGGAAACGAATCCTTAGCTCTGGCAGTGTGTCGTCGTTTCCGATCATCCTGCACGCCGAGATCTCGTTGACGCCAAATCATTTCAATGACCTCTCTTGCTAGAGTGATATTCTATAAGTATATAGAAGCATACCAAGATTAGACAAATCTATACTCCTCAAAAAGGAAAGGGGTGCTTGCACATACACCGTATCGTTTCAACTTCTCCGTTTTCTCAAATATACTAATAACAGTAATCCGATCCCTTTCCGAAGTAACACAGCACCCGGCAATGAAAAGTGGCCAAAGAGGGAGTGCTGCCGTGCGAGAGATGCGATCGATATTCTCAATCATGGGATCTAATATCTCGCGTATATATTGAGCTTTGTCATCTATTGTTGTGGGTAAACTTTCCTCTTTAACACAGTCCAGATCCATTTCTGCTGTTCCTAAAGCCCGTTTTGCTCTGGCGAAAAGACTAGGTCTCTGCAGTCGCGAGACACAAACCTCGTGCAAAAGCAGCAGTGCTCCCAGCCGGTTCGCCTCTGAAATAGCCTGAAACTCAGACTGACTATGGCTAGCACCATACAACGGTGGCGGTTTTTGCTGTAATGTCTCCAGAGAATATCGCAATCGCTGCACCTGTTCGCGAACAAGGGGTAACTCAGCTTCCATTGAATATTTTGAATCGTATTTCCATGCAAGGTCAGCAACTTCATTGATGAGCAGAAGAAGTGAATTACTGAAGCCCATGTAAGAGTCGATCTGGTCCAGATCTTCGAGTGGCATGGCTAGCGATAAGAAATCCGTCAACTTTGAGACCGGGTCTTTGCATCCATTCTCGGTACTGTGTAATGAATTGGGATGGGATTTCTGCTTCCCAAAGTTATTTTTGTTAAGTCCATGTCTGGAAATAATACCTGGCTCCATCTGTAAAGAAGCAATATCATCCTCAATCCGAAACGTAGTTCGTGCAAGAACCAAATGAAACGAAAAATACCGGTTAAAAAACCGATTAATCTCCGAGATACTGCTCCCAGTGCGGAAAAAATGCTGATGCTGACTGAGCAAAGTATATATGCCTTTCAAATGTGTGACCCACGATGGACGACAGCCGTCTGTAATCTCGAACCAACACAGCATCAGAGCTAGGCCGAGAATCTCATCGATATCTGTACATGACCAGTCCTCATTTCTATCTACAGAATTTCCCCGCTGTATACTGGAGATTAAGCATTTCAAAGCCGTTTGTCCATGCTCGAGCGCGGCGAATCGAAACCGAGGCTCGGAAATATGCAATATCTGTGCGGACACTGCTAGCGTAGCATGATATAGTCCTTCGGATTGCATGGCCATGGGCAGAAGCAAATGTCGATACGGATTGTTTTTGGCATCATCTAGTAAAGTGCGTGAATTGCATATAACGGCCTCGTAGTAGGAAAGCAGGGCTGAATCGCAGTCTAGTGTGTGAGCTTTGCCGAGCGTCGAGTTGCTCAAGACCGGTAGCAAGAGAGTATGCTGAATAATTCCTTCTCCTGATTGGCTTCCTTCTACTTCTCGCTCCATTGCATCTTGTTGTTTTGTGCCGATACCACTATAATCAAAATAAAGCTTGATATCATGCGCCGTGGTATTCAAGAATACAGCACTGCGAGTGTCAACTTCTTGATTCGACTTGCTCATAACCCATGATGCAGTTTCTAATTGTGCTCTAAATAGTCCCTGTTGGTCCCTCTCTACCCGGCGTTGCTGTGCATTCTTTGACCAAACCGCAGACCGTCCATGACAGACACCCTTGGACAGCGACTCTTCATGCCAGATTAGATGCAACCCATAATTGCATTTCAAATTGCTGTTTATGCAGCGGTGACAGGTAGGTCTTTGCTCTGCCGTATGTGAGATGGGGACTATCATACATCTTCGTATTCGATATATGGATTACTCACCATCACATTTTACCTTTCGCGCACGGCAGGTTCTACAGCCCGTCCTCGTGCGAGAGAGTGGGTTTGTCTTCTCTTGCTTTGACGCAGATGCCATATTGCACTTATGAAAATGTGTTCACTTGGCATGAAAGGGAATCTTGATAGGCAAGGCAGAATAAGAGTGGGCGTTGTTGACATTGTGATAGCGCTCATCGAACAATAATTGGATGGCGACAGTGGGGCATGATAAGGATAAGGTTTGTTTGATTGGAGGCAGCTCAGCAAAGAAATAAATTCTATTGGCTGAAAGTCTATATGCAAAACGCGGGAACGCGGCTGTCCCCTCGTAACGCTAATTAAAGGAATCGACCAATCAGAAATCAGTCTGCCTCGGAGGTACTTTTCCTGGTTTCGTTCCTTATCAATGTTCGTTTCCCACGAGTTGGTATAACTATAATTTTGCCTGCAGCCTTGCCCCATGCTCTCTCCGTCCCCTCCAACCCGTCAAATCAGATAATTCCAGCTCCGGATCCAAATGCGCCAGATTCTTTGTATTAACTTCTTCCCCCGCCCGCCACCGCCAATTATGCACGATCCCAGCATCGAGCGTTCCCTCAATATGATCCACGATATATTTCCCAACAATGGGCAGGAACTTGAAACCATGCGCCGAGCCGCCCGTCGCAATAAATAGTCCCTTATGGATTGGATGCGGGGTGACAAGGAAATGCCTATCCGCAGTATCAGCGTCCCAGCAGAGACGCGTATAGCAAAACGGTCTGTCAGCCAGCTCAGGAAATACTCGTCGTAAGTTCCGGCGCATAGTAGCTTCAATTTCCAGGGGCAGGTCGTCGTTTGGCGACTGTGTAAAAGTATGCGGAATCGACGTAGTGATTCCGGTTACTGCATCAGTAGTCACGTTTGTGATGAATTGGCTGTGCGCCAACTTGAAAATCCCATCTTGCTGGGGCGGGAAGAAATAGCCTAATTCCAGACTGTCGATAATCGGCAGAGATGCGTACCGCTGCATTTCAGACGGTGTAAGCTGGATATGAGCAACTGAATGCCCCTTGGCTGTTAGCTGGCCCTGGAGATCAACCAGACTAGGCATCCATGCGCCAGCTGCTAAAATCACTAGATCGGCCTCGTGGATCGAGCCATCTTCAGTAACTACGCCCTTGCAGACGTTTTCTGGTGAGTAGACAAGTCTTCGCACATATCCCTTGTCGCCGGTGATGTATTCAACACCGCTCCTTGCCGCAGCAAGTGCCATCTGCCGTAGGGCCTCGCCAGCATTGGCCCATCCCGCGGTGGGATTCCAAACGTTAACGTTCCAACCATCCAGCTTCCCAGTAATCGACGGCCATCTTTGACGTATCTGCTCCGGCGTCAAACGCTCCAGACCCTGAACCCCGAGTCGCTGGCACGTCTCGATTGAGCCTTCAACAAATGGCACCGAAAGATTAAAGGCACTTAGAATCCAACCTGGTACGTGGTAGAGGCCTCTGAATATGTCCCAAGTCCTCCATGCTTGGATTGACTCGATCCCCATACGAGCATATAAAGCTTCATTGTAATCGCTGCGGATTACTTTGCTGATGTCTGTGGAAGCGGCATCGCGAGACGGCGTTGCGTACCGATCAAGCACTCGAATTGACCGGTATCCGCGCTGGGCGAGATGGAAGGCCGCCGAGGTGCCGAATGCGCCTGCCCCGACGATGAGAATCTTTGTATCGGATTGGATGGTCCTCATTCTATGAGATTTATATTATGACAATGCACGCTTGACTTAAAGGTGATTTATCTTTACCAAGAGGGGAAGAGCAAAGAGAGACAAGTCTTATCTACTCATCTGAATTGCGAAACTATATGTCACCTCGAGGCGTTGGCGGCCAAGCTAAGCGAGCACACGGTAGAATCAAATCTCGCTTGCAGCTACCTCCAGCACATAGCAAACAGAGTTCATCCTCTGGCCAGTTTAAGTGGAGAAGATAATCTTTCCTTCTGATAAAAAGGAGACACGATGACGCAGGTGGAGCTTATCGATTATCGCTTATCGATTATGTAGCCTTACGCGGGATGCCTTGGTGCTCAGGCCTGGGCTGTTCTTTCGCTTCGGCCTTCCCTACGCACTTGTATGCCCGAGCTTTACACAGTGTTGGCCAACTGGCATGGACTGCTCAATTTTCAGACTGAAAGAAACTAAGGTGGGCACTGTATTTTAATACTTGATGCTTTATTTTTTGGTTATGTGAATGCTTAATAGCTCAATTAAATTGCGGCTACCATAAGCTACTTGCTACTTACAACCACATTGTCACATTGCGCCAGTTCGGTATCCGCACAGGCTCCGGAGGAATGGGACAATACAATGGGGGCGACGGATCGGTGCGAGGACTAGAATTCCGAATCCCTCTTTCTGTGTCTATGCTCAGCGAGCGAAGAGTCTATGGCATGGCAGGGAATGAAGCTGGTCAGGCTGGACTGAATCTGTACATTCCCAAAGAGCACGACGGCTCTGAACGGACCGTCAATATTGGCAGAAAAATGGAGCTGAATGTCCAGGCTGGTGAACGAATCATACTCAACTCGTCAGTTTTGTGGGCCCCCCTCTATATACAGTCAAAAGAAACGGATCCCAAGCTAATTTGTTCTGTCAATAGACCCGGGGTTGGTGCCTGGAGTTCTTCAAGCGAAGCAGCAGCGCCCATACCAGGACTACTTTTGAGCCTCGTGGAAGCGTATATGCATCCACAGCCGCGGCTGAGGCAGCACAATAGTTGCTTATCATTTGCGAAATGCAAAGTATAACGAATCGTTATTTTCTCAATGTACGTCGATTAATGCTTGCAAGCGAGTCTAGCTAGCTCGCCAGGCTATGTGTATACTTTTTCTGACACTGACAATGAGAGATCGTTCTACGCTACTTATTCTCTTTCTTCGTGTACATTTGTGTTTGGAGTTCAGATAATTGCAAAGGCTTATCTCATTTTGATCCTGTAATATGAGTTCTGGTCGACTGATTTGTCGTTTGTCTGGATACATTTTCCTTCTTCTATGACAAAGTTAAGTTATAGAACAACTGAAAACACTAGGTTTTCTACATAGTTACACATGATATGTTATAAGCAACCTGTAAGGCATTTTCTACCTAAGTTGCCTAGATTTACCTGATGCTTCAGCTAAACGTAGCGATTGTGCTGGTATGATCACTTTGCAATGCAATTTCCGAAGTATTATTGATTTAAAAGCATAGTGATGAATTAGTGAAGAATCAAAACCAGATTGTAGGCGTAACAGTAGACAGGTAAGCGAGATAAACTAAAAAAACTAAAGAGAACTCGGCCATCCTGTTATGGTTGTAGGTTTTCACTTTCTTCGGCGCTGCATCCATGACTTATCACCATAAACATAATCCTCGGCGGCTCTGAAGATGTTAAAGCGTAAGTTTAGAGAAGATACAGCCGCTTTGTGCCGCCATTCAAGGTACGCAACGATTTCGTCCGTTGTTTCTTTCCACCAAATAGCACCGCAATATCTCTCAATACTGTATGGTTTTCAAATGGCTTCTGAAGTGTGATTGCTTCGGGCAGAGGTGAAATACCAGGCACTCGATTACTTACTTCAGCCGCTGAATCTTCAACGCACTGTTTTAACCCGAATGGTGACGTTCTGTACTGGCACAAGCGATTTGCGACAGTCTTCCAATTCTGCTAGTGACATACTATTTGAGAGCCTTGCATTTCTTTTGGAATAATCTTCCACAGCCATCAGTTGTAGTTGGAGAGCGAGTCTTGCGCCATCTTCTTTGTATGAGATTGCTGTGGTACTTTTAAGGAACCGAACAGCACCATGGGTGATAGGGGCAGGTTTGATTGTAAAACGATCAGGGTGTTCCTTAATAGCCACTTTCATAGGTTTCAAGTCGAGTTGATATTCCAAATCGAGTACTGCTTTTTATCATATTCGCTGAGGAACTGGATCATGTCGATTGTCTGTGACGTCGCTAGAAGCAGCGTACTGCAAGTTCACGTATCTTTCAATAATAATGGTACAATGGCTTGTGTAGGCTCCTTGCGTCGCTCTTATACCTAAGAATATAGCTTGGCCAAATATCGTGCTGCTCGGAAATCGACGGGTTTTCCACCTTGTATCGTTGCAACCCCATAGTGAGAATTTGTCTACAGGCCCTCTTCGTACAGAAGCGTCGCCTCTCGAATGTTGTTTTGTTTTCGCACAAGATCATCCTCGGGGGAAAATTCACAATAGAAATGACGCTCATCTGTTTCTTGATAAAATCTGCAGGAGAGCATTTCCCTTGCATGAGAATAATAACCATCAAGCCACTAAAAAGGGGCCCCTTTGGGGCTTTTCTGGCAATCATGTAAATGGTAATTCTCCGTTGGCAGGAACATTGTGGATGATCTTGATGAAGCTTGTTGATAACAGCGTCGTTTATATATAAGAGAGAGAGAGAGAGAAAGGCGAAGAAATGACGGAAGAGAAAGAGGACAAAGAAAATTGCAGCAGGTAGCAACAAGCCACAGGACCAAGCTACAACGACGCCCTCAATAACTATTGTACTGCGTGCTTGTGTTGCAAGCTGAGCTAGTTCTGTTCGCGTCACTACTTCATCTTACAAGGCTAATACCCATACAACTTATTTGAGAAAAAATAGATGCGTTATTAACATTAAATTACATGCTTTGTTGAAATTTCTTTCCACTAGATATAAATGCCTTCATATTAAGATAGCTATGTATGTGCAAAGTCCAGTCTGAACAGGTTGTACTCCTCCTGTTCCTGCTCTAATGCCTAAACTGTAGTTTAGAGTACTAGATTATGCCACTCTCTCTCAGATAAAAAAGCGCCACCGCCATCATGCATCTGACGTCAGTCGCATCAACAAGCCTACAGTATATAATCCGCGTCAGTCTCTACGCCGCGTACACAACTTCCACACCTCCCATACAATATTCAAACAAGAAACGAACCAAAAAAAAAAAAAAAAAAAATCCAAACAAAATGCCAAACAACGACAACACTGGAGCCACCGGGGCCACCAAATTCGTCACCTCCACGCTCGGCAACACCGTCGGCGGCCTCTCGCGCACCGCCGGAAATGTAACCGGCGCAGCTTCGCGCGGCGTCGGCGACACCATCAACAGCGCAACGGGCAGCGCCGGCCGACCCGTGGGCGATGCGCTAGGTAATCTGGGCTCGGGAGTTGAGAATGGAGCGCATAATGTTGCACGGGGGATTGAGAACGCAGGGCAGTGGCGGTCTTCATAACTAGGTATCTGGGTTCAGGGTATCCTTTCCTGTGGATGAAGCTAATCGTGTCTCAGGCGAAGTTTGTCGCTCGATGGTATTACCTGGATTAATCATTATTTCTTGTATGATATACTGGTATAGTTTTCAATACAACGCTGCATGACTGTCCGGATTAGGCAAATTAGGGTTCATCCGGAATTTCGTCCGTGATCGTAATTAATAACAATTCCTTTTAATATTTGTAACACCTGACCCATTTCAATTTATTCTTACAAATCAGCATAAAGTATACAAAAGTATATAAATGTAACAAAATAACAAACCGAGCAACGACAGACACCTTACAATGGCGCCAGCCCATCCCACTCTCTTCTTCGGCACCGCCATCTTCGGCTCTGCGCAGGCCCCCTCACTGACCTCGCCAGAAGCAGTCTCCGACTTGCTCAACGGTGTGCATACTCTAGGCATCACCCAGCTCGACACAGCCGCGCGCTATCCACCAGACAACACCGGCGCTTCCGAGCGACTACTCGGTGCAGCCCAAGCTGGCGCGGTTAGCAGCGGCTTCACCATCAACACCAAAGTGCTCCTCGCCGGCAGTAGTTCGGATGGCACTCTTAGCAAGGATGCGGTGCGTGCCAGCGTCACTAATAGTCTGAAAACGCTCGGTATAGAGAAGGTTGGCATCCTGTATGCTCATGCGCCTGACAATGTGACGCCGCTGGAGGAGCAAGCAGAAGCATTTAACGAACAGTACCAGAAGGGGTATTGTGAGGCTGTAAGATACACCCGACTGCCCCCGGCTCCACCCATTGATTTGCATGCAAACTGATATTCTTTCAGATCGGCATCTCCAACTTCCCTCTGGACATGCTCGAGAGATACCTCGCCATCTGCGAGGAAAAAGACTACATCAAGCCCTCTGTCTACCAAGGTGAATATAATCTCATATCCCGCGACCTCGAAGCAGCCCTAATCCCACTTCTACGTAAACACAACATTAAATTCGTCGCCTACTCGCCACTCGGAGGAGGCTTCCTAAGTGGCAAGCTCACCGCCGGCAATGCAGAGGGGACTCGTCTGACAAGTCCATTAGCACAACGGTTCAGACAGATTTATGATCACCCCGAATTTCACGATAAGATCCGACGGTTGCAGGAGATTATTCAGCCGCTTGGGATTAGTCCTACGGGTGCTGCGTTGCGTTGGTTGGCATTTCATTCCTTGCTACGAGAGGAAGATGGTATTATTCTTGGGGCGAGGAGGATCGAGCAGGTGAGGGAGAATGTCAAGGAGATTGCCTTGGGTCCGCTGCCTGCGAGCGTTGCGCAGTTGATTACGGCTCTGAACGAATGATTCTGTATACATTATGTTTGCAATGTATGATTGTACTCAAATAATAATATTCATCATGTCATATCTATATGAAACCAAGTCTAAAACCTTCAATTCCCACCCAAGCAAGTAGTATATCAACCAGTACTACGTGTCGGCAACGCTCCATCATTGCCATCCTCTGCATCCTCTCTAATCCATTTCTCATACTCCAACAACCCAATCTCATTCCTCCACGCCCTCCCAGTCTTGACATCGCGCCAAATAGCCCACAAAATCACAAATACGCTAACCACGCCTAACCCAATAAATCCAGCACAAATCTGATATCCATACTTATAATGCGGCGCATCCTCAGCCGGGAAAAGCAAGACTAATGCCCAGGCAGTGATGGCATAGATGAATGTGTTCCCGATAGCCACAATCATTCCGCGTAGCATGGCGTTGCCCTGACAGACTTCGCTCAGCCAGGTCATTGTCAGAGACTGCGCGGGGAGGCCTGTGGTGATGAAGATGTAGCCGACGAATTTGAGAGCGGTTGGAGCTGTCCAGACGGCGAGAAAGGCGTTACCCAAAAGGCATATCATCTATAGACGTTAATACGGAGCATGAAATATACATATAGGGGAAGAAGGGTTGTACCATGTCAATAACAATAACCAGTGGACGATTCTCAAGCCAATCCGACACGAAACCACTCAGAATCGAATTGACCACCGCGGCGCCCTGTCCAGCTGTTGGGATATTGTTGACGTCCTCGACGCTGTAGTTCAGAGACTGGAGCCAGAGCCCAAAGTAGCCATCGCCCCAGGAAAAGGCACCGTAAAGTCTACGCACCAACTCAGTAACCTCTCTTTTACGAGAATAAAAATGATTGAAAGACGTACACATAGCAAGCGACGAAAAGATACATATGCCAGGTCTGCCACAACCGCTTGAAGCGTACCCAGTTGATCTTCTTGACAGCTTTACGGCCGATGCGGTCCATACGTTCGATGGCGAGTGTGCGTTCCTAAAAACAACATTAGCATAGATAATCAAACGGTTGATAAACAAAAAAAAAAAAAAAAACCCACCTCTTGCCTCAACCACCTTGCTCTGGTATCCCTAGGCTGATCAGGAATAGCATAAAAGCCCCAGACAGCAATAGGCAGCGAGATCAACCCGTCAAAAATAAACAGCCAACTATTTCATCATCAGTGTCTTTCTTTTTCAACATTTGGCCATCAGGGGCCAAAAAAGAGGTGTATATATACCGCCAACTAGCCATCCCCCCCCTCCCATTCATATGCTCATACAACCCCGACTGAATATACCCACTAAACATCCCCGCAATATTCTCCGACACCTCGTACAGCGCCATCCTCTTCCCGAGCTCAGCAGGCGTATACCAAGCCGCAAGCAACGCTGCAAAACCGGGGAATGCGATAGCAGCAAAAAAACCAATAAAAAACCGGAGACCGTAGATTGTCTCGTAGTTTTTGGCGCCTGCTATGCCCATGACTAAAACGGACCAGCATAGTTCGCATGTTGGCATAAGGACGGAGGGGCGGATGTGGGTTGATAACAGGATGAGGGGGACTTGTCGGTTTTTAGCATAGAACTGAAAAGAAAAAAAAAGTAGAAGGGGTGGTTTTGGATATACCGGCTCCCAGGATTATGCCACAGTTGAAAAGAGTGGTGAAGTAGTTGAGTTGATTGCCATAGAGATGGAGCTATAGGTTTATATAGTTAGCTTTGTATCTTGTTAGACGGAATGGGAAGGATGACAAACGTCAGTTTGCATTCCTGAGACATATGCATTTCTGCATTATACGGTGTCAGCTAACATCGTTGAATGAAGAGCAGGTTGGTAAAACATACGATATGTTGGTATTGTCCAGATTTTTGATGAATATTGATAACCCCGTATAACTCCTGTACACCAATTCAGCCGGTCAACTATGTCGCAAACAAGTTACCACCGAAGCTGAACAGCTCACAAGAGGATAAAATCCAGTTTTCGTTTCAAACTCGATTCCGAATCCCTGTTAAAATACAATGGCAGCGTTATTCCGAGTATTCGACGACGGTGACTGTGTTGTGTCTTGTTGTTATCATCAATTGCAAGAGGCGTTGTGACATGCAGCTGTTTTTCTTCGCATTGTGCCATTTTACTCCTACTATTTTCAGCTTGTCATGGGTGTGGTATCGGCTCGATTCGATTCGATTATCGAGGACGTAGCGAGCCAAGACGATTTAACCAAATGGCGCAGTGTTCTAGAAAAATAAAGAGAAGAATGGTACGGAGTGGTTAGTTACATATCCCGTTGAAATAAGACAATTCCCTTGATCTGCAATCGGGGATTAGCTCTAGGCAACTATGGAATGTACTAGTTGCATTTAGCGAACGCAAGCACGGATGATATGCTTCGAATTTTTATTTAATTCAATGACCGTGTGTCCAGCGGCCACTCTCGATACCATGTCATAATGTTACCCTCTTCGTAACGTTCCATCTATTGCTATTGCTGTGGTGTTTTTTTTTTTTTTTCCTTGATTGTCCTCAGCTCATTCAGCCGCCGCTCGTGTTAAATGTCGATCTGTTGATCGAATACGCCACCTCAGCTTCTGCCTTGTCTGTGCAGTGATGGCAGTCTTGATAGGGATAGATATATTATTCAGGGTTCCAGCTTGGTTGATATTTTAGGCGCATTTGATAATCTATACTTGCTTGCCTTACAAAAAATTCTGTTGTTCGTCTCCAGGATCTAACGCTTTGCCTATTACGGAAGCGACCCGCAAGCTTAGTCCATAAATGGAATATACCCCACCAATCCACGTTCATCTCGCTCTTGATTCGCTGTGAGATGGCGAGCTTTCCCGCATTTGAAGCCAATCATTTGCTTTCTATATAAATGGGGCAGGTTTGCTAGGCGAAAAAGGGTAAAAAAGATGTTAATTGGATCGTGTTATTAAATTGGATCAAGGTTTGCAGCTAGCCGATTGGGCCTACGACAACATGAATGGCGCTGTTAGGGAGAAGCGAAAGACATATATAATTGTATGAATATTGAATAGTCGGGCCCCGGCCGGGCAGTCTGGGATGCTAGACCTTTCTCTACGTTGCTGAGCCCGCTGTATTTTGATTGACAGGTCACGCTTTAGGTCATCATCATCTTAGCTGCCGATCTCCGTACAACCTTTCAGGTATGAAACAACGATGCATAAGATTTGATCTGGCGTTCTTAGCAACTGACAGATTTCTTTGCAGAACCATCTTCTCATGGTGATAAAAGTCGAGCAGCTGGATCCGTTTCGCAAGACAGTACACCGATTGATACTTGAATCGCTTATCGATCTTCCACAAAAAATTTATTGTCAAACAACAGAAGGAGGGATGGGAGAAGGAGGTTAAGTCTGAGATACAAGCTTCTGAACTCCTACACGAGCTTTAAGGAGCAGTTATCCCACAATATCTCGACCATGTGGTTCCGGCGCTGTTCCTTTCAGAGGTCACCAGAACTAAATTACTTGATATCGCCCGCGACTGCAAATGGGATATTGAATAGAATCCCTCAATGTCTAGTCTGAGCACGGGGTCATGTATTGGCATGCGAATTTGGACAATTTCCTGTTTTGTCACGATGAAGCCTGCAAGGATGGTAAGGTGATGATTGTTGATCTTGAGAATGCTGTCTTGTCTAATGAAAACTAGGAAATTGTACTTAACTTGGGTAGTGTGTCTAGTCTGATGAGCGATTTTAAACATATCAGAGATCCAAATCGTCCATCATCACCTGTTCTGACTGGTCAGTTGCGGGAACAGTCGAGCTGCTGGGATGTATTAGGTTAAGTAGATTTGTGGAATGTTAGCATGTAACTATTGAACGTGTTTGATTGCGTTGGATTATAACCTGCAGCTTTTTCCCACGATGTCTATCATGTAAAGCAGATCGCTAATTTGACACTACACTATTTAGGTAGGTACAAGTGTGATTACACTCAGTACAAACTAGTACTTTCTATCGTTTCTTGCAGTTGTCACCTACAAGACCAGCAAAAGCATCTAGAAAGATTCAAATACTCCATCAACTGATTGGTGACGGAGTCTTAAGTTAACTACTCCGTACGGCCCTACAGATAGTTATACTTTCTTCGACATGCCAAAAAAGTCTTTAAATATCAATTTTGCAATTGAGCGTGCTTGTCAGGTACCTGGCTGCTACAATTATTACTGCGAGCTGGACTATGTGCGTATAGGTGATTTAGACGAGCTCTTCATGCATGCGAAAAGTTTATATCTAATAACCTAGTAATCTAACCATAATGTTAACTACAGACAAAAGCCCTATTTGCGTAAATATCAAAATTTGCCTGCGCGGACTACACCAGCAGCCTGCTCGATATTCTCAATATCTCCAGATTCCTCACACAAACGACGGAAAACGGCGCCATTCCCGCGACGAGCGAGAAGGTTACGGACAGAACCCTCCTCGATAACACGGCCAGTGTCCAATACAACGACCCTGTCATAGTCGGCAATAGTGCGCAGTCTATGTGCAATAGTCAGCACCGTAGTCCCGTGCGCAATACTGATCCGTATCGTCGCCTGGATCGCGGCGTCCGTCTCATGGTCAATCGATGCCGTAGCTTCATCGAGTACTAAGATGCGCGTTTTGCGTAAAAGCCCTCTTACAATACACAGCAGCTGGCGTTGGCCACGTGATAGCGTGCTGGCTGTCTGATCTAGACGACTGAAACCTTTATTCTCTGTCTCTGTGGCCTTTTCAGATGCATCATGCGTGTTGTCGACTAGGCGGACGTGGCGCAGTAAAGAAAGCATCTCTTCGTCGTTGTGTGCATGTAGAGGGTCTAGATTATCCCGTATTGTACCATCAAACAGCTGCGGATCCTGAGGCACCAGCGTGATAGCTTGTCGTAGCTGATCTAGCGGCAGAGAACGAATATCAACACCATCGATCTCGATGTGGCCACTTTCGCTTTCCAGTGCCCGAATCAAAGCCAGCGCAAGAGAGCTTTTACCTGCCCCCGTACGGCCAACCACTGCAACTCGTTCACCTGGACAGACCTCAAAAGTCACGTTGTTCAACACCATATCTAGCTCGGGTGCATAACGTGTGGAATAACCATCGAACCGCACCCTTCCGTCTGTTGGCCAGTTTCGGGGGAAGTCGTACATGAGCTTTGGAGAGGCGCCCGATTCTTCTTGTTCGACATCAATATACTCGATGATGCGCTCCACGGAGTTGAGATTCCGCTGGACGATAGAATAGACTTGTACGAACCACATGACGTTTTCGGTAAAAGTCGCAGCGAAAGTAAGCACCAGCCCGGCGCTCCCAGGGTCAATAGAGCTGGAATTCAGCAGCACAAAGGCGCCTGTAAAAAACGACACTAGGGAGCTGAGAACATCGATGCGAAACGTCAACCACGCTTGCGTTGCCCACTGTAGCAAATACGACTGGTTTATCTGGTCCACAAGCGCGTGGTTTTGCAGGGTGAAAGACCCTGTTTGCGCATAAGCCCGGAGGCTGACGCACCCTGCGAGGCTTTCTGCGAATTGCTGATACAATGGAGACCTTTGCACGGATTCAATGCGTTTCAAATCCCGCGCCCCATTGATATACACCGCCGTCACGAGGCAATATGCCACGCAAATGAAAGCCGCGGCAACAAGAAAAGCCGGAACAACACTGGAGATCATACCGATAACCATAACCATAGACGCAATGAGTTGCAAAGCGCTGATTGAGAATCCAGGCAGAGATTGGTCCATGACTTCAACGTCCTTGGTGAGTCGGTTGGTAATCTGGCCGAATGGGGTTTTATCGAAGAAGAGAGGTTTGGCGCGGAGAACCGATTGTAACAACTTTTCGTATATTCCGGATGACGCTTTGAGGGACCCGTAAAGTGTTATGAGGTCACGAATGAAGGTGATGAGGACGTATGCTAGACAAATGGCTATGTAGATGGTCATGTAGTACCATGCATTGGGCTTTTGGGTTTGGCTGTCTCCAATTTTATCATATTCGAATGACCATTGCTTGATCCATAGGTTTGTGCCCAGTGCAGCAATCTGTTGTGCGCCAAACATGAAAAATACGATGATCCAATATGATCGTGGCCCCATTGTGACGAGATATGTTCGTATGACGGGCCAGGTCACTGTGCCTTCGGCCTTGCTCTCTGTATACTTTGACTGGGACTCTAAATCATCTGGCTTGCCGTCTATTTCTTGCGGCAAAACAGAGCCCTCGTGGGCATTAGATTTAGCGTTTTCACCACTTGAATCAGCATCTGTCGGGGGCGAATGAATTCTGTCTCCAACAATCACACTCTTGAAAACACCCGTCGATGCTAGTTCTTTGGCTGTGCCTTGACCTGCCACCCGGCCATCATCTAAGATAACCAGGTAATCACAATGCGGCGTGACTAACTGCACGGCATGGGTAGCTAGTATGCATGTCCGACCATACATCAACGGACCTTTGATAGCCTGGAAGAAAATGTGACTTGCCGTGCGAGAATCCACGGCACTCAAACAGTCATCTAAGAGAACATACTTGCACGTGCTATACAGTGTCCGAGCCAAAGCGACACGCTGCTTTTGGCCTCCAGAAAGCCGACTCCCACCTTCTCCAGCCAAAGAAAGGTCGCCGTGGTCTAGAGCTGCAATGTCTTGGACCAAACCTGTGGCTTGTAACACATTTTCGTAGCGCCGGCCGTCGAAAGGGAGATCCATCAGGATATTGGATCGTATACTACGGTTCAAAATCCAAGGCTCCTGCGAGCAGTATGCAGTAGTATCGTTGAGAGACGTGAACGATAATTCTCCGGGCTTCTTCTCGTGAGGGAGGATAACATGGCCGTGGATCAAGTCCATTTCTCCGAGAAGACTGAGCAGTAGGGATGACTTTCCGGAGCCACTGGGGCCGCAAACGACATTCAATGCGTTAGGTCGGAATGTGATTTGAAGGTTTTCAAGTCGAAAATATGGACTGGATGGGATTATATCAGTAAGTGCGATGTCTTCTCTTGATGTATCATTGCTATCACTGCGTTCACGTCCAGAACCCCCAGTTGGCCACGCGAGAGTGGCATTCTCGAACCCGATAGTTTCTGGAACAGAAACATGAGTATTGCGAAGCTGATCGTATTTTCCGGTTTCTTTCTCTTGCAAGAAGCTCTCAATGCGGGTGAGAGACACATGGGCACGCATGATAAAAGTGACAGAACTAGCCATCCGATCCAATGGGATTCGTATGATCCCGAAGATAGCTAGAGCTGGAAAGGCGGTTGATGTGCCCAAGGACTGACCCCAGATGATTGTATATAAGAAGAGAGTAATCATAGTCACAAGGAAGGGGAGGGCGTGAAAAGTGGTCATATTAATAGACCACCAGATGCACCGCGAACGCAGTTCAATCATCTCTGCCCGTCGTCTTTTCAAGACCCGTTCCATGAACGGCTTCACCCAAGCCGAGTATTTGATTGTCCTGAGATTATTTAGAATGTCATTGGTAACATGTATCCGAGCATCGCTAGCTGTCAAAACTCGAGCCTGCACAGCCATCACGCGCTGAGATATCAGGAAGTTCAGAGGAAGCAATGCTACCATGACAAGCACCCCCAATATGCCACTAATTCCGAGGATTCTGTACAGAAACCATGTTCCGATGCTGGTCTGCACTAGAAAAGTGACCCAGACGAAATGCAAATCACCGCTCACTGCGCTAACATTTTCGGCATCAATCGACATCAGATTGAAGATTCCTCCGTCGGTCGCCACCTGGTGCTCCTTTCCGGTGTCTGACGGCAGTGACTGCGCAATTCTTCTTCGAAGTACTTTTGTGTATATCTCATTAACCAGTACAGCGCGTACCTTTGCGCTCGTCTGGCGGCCTTTCCACTCGCACTGGCAATCCGCCGTACCAACCAGCACGCCGGCAATGAGAAACCCACCGACACATAGCCAACCTGTTGTTGCTGGGTTTGATCCTTCTTCCGGAGACTCCAGATTTTTGAGGAAAACTCGTATGAGCGCCGGAGAAATGTACACTGCTACGCTATTTATTGCAGCCCACCCGCCTTGAACGACGATGTCGTATTTGATAAACCGCCAAAGCCGGCGTAGGAGAGGAGTTGAAGTAACAGACAAATAGTCAGCGTTGAAATCGAAATGCCGAGCGACGACGTCGGATTTCTGGTCTGGATTCAGCGGGTATAAATCTGACACCTCGAGCGTCGTCCGATACGCCTTCCATATTAACTCATTCAACCAGAAAAACGACAGACGGGAGAGCGCGCTTGCTGTTCCGTCTTTGCTGAGCTTTGAAGCAAGTATATCGTCGTTGCCGTCGCTAGTTTGCGCCGGTATGCGCTTAGCAGTCCAGTGAAACAGACAGAGTGTCGCGGAAATGGCGAATCGAATGAGGGATGCAAGGAGAATCGGTCGTTCTTCACCTGTCACAATCTGCTTGTGGATAGCGGTAGCTAGAAAGATCCATTGCAAGGAATACAGTACTACTGAGTGGGATTGCAGGGCGAGACGGTGTGAACTCCGCCTTAGGAAAATGAGAAGAAGTAGATAAATAGACGGAATAGTGGTGATAAGCAAAGAAGAGAAAAGGATACGGTCTTGATGAGCACCAAGAATAGAAAAAACAACAACCACAATATCTGCCAGAAGCCCAAAGAGTTCTAACTTTCTGACTAGCGGCGAGAGTACAGTGATATATCGCTGCCCACTTGGTACGTTTACAGATCTGATCCGACAACTAGCATAAAGATGACGAGAGCATAAGATGAAAGCCGATATCAGACATGTTGCTGGGGGGAGTATCTCTCCCATGCAATCGGACACATGGCCGTCCTTCCAGAGGGAACACTGAGCAGCCATAGCACTCCGCTGGCTACATTGAATGAAGTTGAAGCCCGACCCAGAAGCAAACAACGTCTCACTCTCTTTTTCTTCTCCTAAACCTACCAGGCAGCGAGCAAAACCGAGCCCTGGCCGGCAAGCTCCTCCGTTTTCCCGCTGTCTTTGTTCTTTGTTGCGGAAAATTGGGAAGCCTGATGACGCAAATGGCTAGGAAAATTGCTAGCCACCAGCCAATGATAGATCTGCCATAGTCTGACCGGACACGGCTGATCCGGCATCCGCGTTCTTAAGCGAGTTGTCCAAAATGTCTCGGTGCCGTGCTGAGTAGCCAATGTTTGTCGTTGCCTAGTGAAGATCCGTCCTTGAGACGATGCAATTCTTGGCATACTACGTACTCGGTATCTAGAACTACAATAGGCAGGAGACAGAGAAGTATCTCGATCCTGATAAGCAAACTAGCCTTGCTGTAAGAACACCACTGCCACTTCAGGTTGCATGTCGTCTAGGAAAGACAAGATTTACACTTGTGCTACGTAGTACAAGGGACGATACGGCGATAAGCTTGATGAGACAAGCATTAGATAAGAGATATAGTGAGTCTTGGATGTCAGCTACAGTGGAGTCAAGTAAATACATACACGTCATGATAACAGTACACCGTGTATTTGAAAGTATACGGTTAGTGTATGAAAATAAGATCAAGACAAAATTGCCTCAATCTCGCCATCTCCCGCTAAATTGCATATAAACCATGGTGGGCATTGGAGTTATCAAGATATGGGGGCGCTTTTACGGGGTAGCTTGTCTATCAAAGGCCGTAAGTGTGCTGTGGTAATTACGTATCAGGTATTTACAGTACCGACGATCCCGATTTCTGTAACGTACGTATGTATCATACACCGTAACCTGTTTCCTGTATATGTATGTAATCATCAGGATCACCGCGCCAGGCTCAGCTCAAGTGAAAATAGCGGTATATCGAATCCTATTGTACAGGGATTTTCCTTTAGTCATGTCCAGCTCATTGCAAAGCCAAGACTTGTTTCGACGTGCTTTTTGGGGGCCAGCAGCAGGTTTTCACACGGGACTTGGGAGAGGGGTTCCAAGTAGCGATAGTGACCTGACACGATGGCAGCATGTTACCGAGGTCGTTCCATGCCCCTCTGTTGCACTTGATATCTGAGTTCCCTGAGTACTGCGTAGACCTGCCTGCTAGGCGGTCACTGATGGGGAAAATGCTATTCACACGCCTTCCAAATCCGAGCGAAGAAGAATATTAATGTAGATGCATACGTAGTTCTTGTTAGATCTTCGAGTGGCTCACTGATTCTTTATGTGAAATATTCTTAACTCGATTTTTATAGCATGCTCTTAACCCGTGTCCATGTATATAATTTTCAGCGTATATCTAATTCAGTATCACAGGTAATGCTAATGGAAGCAAAAGTCCATGGATGACTTTGGGTCCCATTCAAGTAAAAATATGAATACTAACATACATTACAAATATATGCGAGCTACCTAAACTATAGTTATATATGCTCCTATATAAGTTCGACGCCCATATAGATAGGTATTCGGTCACAAAGGCACGAGCAGTATCCGCATATGCTTCCTCCTTTCTTTCCATTCCCTCCCTTTTCATCTTTTCATCCCCGAAGCGCCTCTATAATCTCCTCACAGTATGCAGAAAGCAAGTGGAGGATCTCGTCAGCACCGCCCTCGCCAATTTCTGCTGGATTTGCAAGTAACCATAGACGCAACACATTATTTTCTGGATACACGAGCACCGTCGTCCAGTGTGGCATTGCCACGAGCTCATACCAAGTAACCACCACACGGTCATTTTCCAAGCGTAGCTCTGGTTCAAAGGCCATATTTCTGAAATGCACCGCAGATGAATAGCGTGTGCCGGACGGCCAGTGCGTGCACCTTTCCACGAGGTCATCCCAGTCGAGACCCTCGTGTGCCGTACGGTCATCGATTTGCTGTGCAGATGCTTCCACCAGATCGCGTAACTGTTGCCGTCTGCTTGTAGCAGTTGAACGATCATTCAATGGCTCCAGTCGAAGCCTGAATGGTAGCATGTTCACACACGGCCCGATAACGGAGTCGAGACCAGGCATAGCTCCGTTGCGGCCTGTAGTAACATTGCCAAAGACTACATCTTGGACATTGGCTAGCTTTTGAAGCACGAGTGCCCAAGCAATATTCACTACAACAGTTGGACGTGTCCGTCTGTTGTCGTCTGCATCGTGGAAATATGGCAGAGCATATGAGCGTAGAGTGCGTACTTTGCTTCCACCAGGTTTGTATATCAATGAGGTGGTTGTGCTTGAAGTCCCATTTAGAACATTCTGCCAGTACAGGCGGGAGCTTTCTGCTGTCTGGACACGATAATGCAATAGGCTCGTCCAGTCCGGTGTTTTCTCGATGCTGACATCGTTAAACGCGGCGGCGATTGCTTGTAGAATCCGTACACTGCACCAGCCATCGTTTTGCATGTGGGACAGACGCAGAATGACACGTCGTCGGCGACTCCCAGTGCTCACAAGTGTGATCTTAGTGAAGACATCGCTCACTTGAGCTCGGCGACCATCGGTAGGACAATACTGGTTGGAGAAGGTAGTTATCTGCTCCTGTGTGGTGGTTTCTTCTATCAACAAAGGAGCCTCGCGAAGAAAAATTTGATAGTATCTGCCTTGATGGAGTAGAAAGCGAGATCGCAGACTCTGGAAAGACTGTACCACAGCCCTAACTGCTTGAACTAATTTTGGCCATGAACTATCCTCACCGATATCCAAGTAAGCATATTGGAGCCCTAGAGGCTCCTCTGCGTTATGCATGTAATCCACCTGGAATCCATTTGCCGGGACAATATCCTCAACCTGGCTGGCGTGCACATCTAGTGTTGGTGTTACATGTGCTTCGATAAACGCTTCAATGTCCCCTATGCCTCTGACAAGACTGTACGGTTCATAACGAATATTTTCGGCTTTGGTTTCACCCAACGGAGTCATTCTTTGAGCAAGTAGAGCGAGCTTTGGACTTTTAAAAACATCACTCGCCTTCAATGCCAGACCGCGCTCATGGGCTTTTGTAGTTAGTCGCATGACTCCAAGGGAATCACCGCCCAACTGGAAAAAGTCGTCGTCGCGCGAAATAGATTTAGAGTCTAATCCCAGAACATCAGCCCAGATAGTGACCAGCGCTGACTCCTCTTTGTTTGATGGAGGAGTGCGAATCGGCTTTACGACATCTCCACGAATCCATGTTAACTGGTGTACGCGAAGTTGTGCCCCAAGCTCTTTCAAACGACGACGATCTGTCTTGCTAGAGCTTGTCTTCGGTATGGCTGGAAGAGTAATGAAAGCTTCCGGTTGGAAATGAGCAGGGAGTTTAGAGTCCAGCCATGATCTGAGCTCGGGGACAAGTTCTTGAAGGCTTATTTCTAGCTGCACGCTTGAGCCTCCCTCAGTAGGAACAATGGGAGAACTGACAAAGACCACCAACATCTGCCTTTGATGGCCCTTGGCCCCAAAGTTGACTTGCACAATCTCTACTGCAAACTCCAATCCACGCGGGATATGAGAAGAAACCGCGTATTCGATTGCTGGTAAATCCACTCTTTGACCACGTATTTTGATCTCGGACCCGATTCGCCCGATGAAAACAATACTGCCGTCTTCTGCATATCTTGCCTGATCCCCAGTACGAAATAGGGTTCCTCGTCTGCCGGGGACATTCTTTGTGCCGACCAGGAGCCACGACGGGTTTTCAACCAGAGGATATTGGTACGGTCCAAGGTACCCTGCGCCGATTAAGGGGCCTTCAATCAGTATTTCTCCAGCGGCTCCGACAGGTGCCAATTTATCTGGATTTCCAATTTCTGTCAGCCATAGATTGGCTCCGTGACCATTGCCTATAGATCCCAACTGAGAGCGATCTGTTATCTGCGAAGAAATGGCACAAAGAATTGTGCATTCAGTCGGGCCGTACGCATTTACTAGACGGACCCGATGCCCCCAGGCCTCAATATCGCTCTTACCTAGTGCCTCGCCGGTTAGAATAAGTGTCTTCAAGTCGGGGAAACTGGCAGGATCGAGGGTTCGGGCAACCGACGGCACCAGTTGTGCCCAGTTGATACGGAATTCGCGGATGAACGAGCCAATGTCACCCTTGAGGGTCTCGTCACTTGGGACGCAGAGACAACCGCCTTGGGTTACGGTGTAGAAGAAATTGCACACGCAGGCATCGAAGGAGTACGAAGAACTGTCAAGAGTCCTTGAATTCGCGTTTATTTGGTACCCTTGAGCTCCGGCTTGGTAATGAATGGCGGTGGCTAGATTCTCGTGGCTGATGCGAACACCTTTTGCGGCGCCGGTGCTACCGGAAGTGAATACTGCATATGCAATGTCATGTGCCATTGGTGATGGAATTTCTGGGGCGTGGTCGACGTTCTTCTGTGCATATTGACCATTGACCAGTGTCTCATCAACCATTATAGCACTGCGGGCTAGTCGAGCAGCGCGATCTCTCGTCTCAGCAGCGCACAGGATAATATCGGCGCTCAGAGGCTGCATGATTGCTCTTAGATGCCCCTCAGGGTGGTCTGCATCGAGTGGAACAAATGAACCGCCCGCTTTCAAGACAGCAAGCATTGAAACATTGGCCCATATTGACTTGCGAAACAGCAAGGGCACAAAGCAACCGCGGCGAACACCGGATGCGATCAAATGGTGGGCAAGACGTGACGATAATACATCTAGCCTGCTATATGTGAATTTTCCATCCCAGCCGTCGATTGCTAGCGTCTCTGGTTGTTGATTGGCGATTTCTTGTATCATTTGACAGACAAATCGGTCAGGAGAAACAGACATTGGAACAATCTTGTTCCATGCCCAAATATCGTTAAGATCTTGTTCGCATGTGGAATTTAGCGAGGAAACCGTATCTGGGAGTCCGGATCTAAGAATGAGAGAGATTTGTTGTATCATATACTCCCACCGGTTGATCAAGCGATCAATCTGTGCGCTCGAAATGAGGTTTGAGTCAAAACTAGCACGAACAGTGACTTTATCGTCAATTGGTAAGATCTCCATCATTAAACCATACTGATTGAGCACAGAGTGCTGGTTAGGGAAGCCTTCAATCTCTGTCTCGTCAACTTCTTCCATTATCGCGTCCTTCGTAGCACCATAGTCGACGTACTGGCTTCTTCTAGGAGGTTGTATTACTAGCACGGTCTGGAAATTGCAGGCTGCCCGACATGAATCGTCAATGGCGCGTATTGCGTGGATGCCGAGATGCTCGTGTGGTATCCATCGAGCTGTCATGTCCTGTATCCTTGCCACGAATTCTCGCACCCCCAACTTCGGATTGACATCGACCAGAATAGGCACAGTTGTAACGGCCGGACCAATCACTCTATCTATTCCGTCGATTAGGGCATTGCGTCCTGTGAGGATTGTTCCCAATGAAACTACTTGATTTCCGGTGACGTGAGATACTATGGCGGACCAACTGCCATATAACAAACCAGAAAGGCCGATAATGCCCGAGGCAGAGCTGACGTCTGCGGATATAGTTCTTTCCAAGTACGTTGCGGGGGTCGGATCATAGTTATGGTAGGGAAGTGATGGGAACACGCTGCTTTCTTCTGCACCTGCAAGTTGTCGACTCCAGAAGGACATGGAGTCCTCTTTTCGTTGTGTCAAGATGTATTTCACCAGGGGTCGCATATCTAGAGGAGCAACTTCTAATTTTTCTCCATAGTATGCTTTCCGAACCTCAGCTTCAATGATGGGAAGAATCCAGCCGTCATACGTAGCGTGATGAATGGTCCAAACTAGATAACGCTTCTCATCAGATGCGTTGATAAATGACCACCTGGTGAGTCGTGTGGCCGGGCCCATGTCAAAATCCTGAGTTTGCTGCAGGAATGCATGCATGCTGTCGTATTTGTCCCATGCGATTGATGTCTCATTGATGACCACTTGGTTGAGACCATGGTCCTCGAGATCAACAAGGCGAGTGCGAAGAATGCGATGTCGGTGGACCACTCTCGTCCAAGCATTACGGAGTTTAGCTTCGTCGATATACTTGGGAAGTCGATATAACCTCATGCTAATGAAGGAGTGTGGATACCTAATAGTAGCAGCCAGCATGCTCTCTTGAAGAGGCGTACATGGATAGACATCCTCAATATCCTCACGAGCTTCTATGCCGCACTTGGCAGCCGCCTCGGAGCAAACCGACGCAACGTCTGCTGAGTCCCCAAGCAGCTGGAAAGGCTCAATTGAGCACGAACCGGGATTCGATTTCTTGTCTTTCTTCTCAAGATTCACAGACAGCTCCGAAAGTTTAGGCGTGGCGAATATATCCGCTACTCGTAGATCGAAACCCTTGTTGCGAGCAGCAGCAACAAGTTTCATTGCGGAGATTGAGTCGCCGTTAAGATTGAAGAAATGATCATCTGCTCCGATTTCTTCTATAGGAATCCTCAGAGCTGCTGCCCATAGCTCTTGCATTGCCCTCTCATTTGGAGTAGACGGTTTTCGACGGGTACTTTGTTGGTCTGTTCTGCCTCTGTATGTTTGGTTTACTTGTGCATTCTCCGCTAGTTCGATGAGTTTCCTTCTATCAACCTTGCCATTGTTGGTGCGAGGAAGAGTCGTGATAAAGTAGTACACCGAGGGTACCATATATTTTGGAAGAATGGCCCCAGTGTGTTCGTCCAGCCTTTCCAGTGCACTTATTACAATCTGTTGGGGGTCCGTCAATTCGCATACGCCGTTTGTGTCCGCCTTGTCAGCGACGAGGAAAGCCGCCAACTTTTGATCCTCCCCTAATCTTGACTGTCCCAGAATGCAACATATCACTGGCCCAACGTGGCCCGTTAGAAGCTTGCTGATATGATATTGGACCTCTTCGAGTTCAATTCGCTGACCGTGGAGCTTGACTTGGAGGTCTTTACGAGAAACAAAATGCAGGTTACCATTTTCATCGTATCGTGCCAGGTCACCGGAGAGGAACATTGATTTGGAGTACGGTTCTGGGCCATGACCAACAGACTGCTGCCACGGAAGGTCAGAAGCTAGGTATGATGCTTTGGTCAAAGATTCATTGTTGTAGTATCCTTTGCCCACAATCGGACCCTGGATAAGGATCTCACCTACTGCTCCAACCGGCATCAGTCGGCGGTAGTTCTGTGGGTCGACGATCCATGTCAAACATCCGGAACCCCTTCCAATGCCAGCATGACTGGAAGCATTTGGCATACCAGGATTCATGGTTGCAACTGATGTACATTCCGAAGGCCCATAGCAGATAATCACGCGTACACTTGGTTTCCAATGCTCGAACTCCCGAATGTCAACAGGTTCACCAGACAGAATAAGGGTTTCGATATCGGGGAGTCGACTTGGATCAAGTAAGCGGGCAACTGAAGCTGTGAGCTCGGTGAGGGTAGCAGCTGATCTAATCAATGCTCCAGAAAGGTCATTTTGTCTTTCTTCTTCACTTGGTACAATGAGGGTGCCGCCGACAGTGAGAACCTTGAATATCATATTCCAACTGACATCGAAACTGTATGAAGCAAACTCAAAGGCTCTTGTTTGTTCTGTGAAGCCGGACTTTTCAGTTTGATGTTCAATGGCTGATGATAGAGCTCGATGGGTTTGCATAACACCTTTGGGGGTCCCTGTGGTGCCAGATGTGAAGAGAATACAGGCATTATCATCGAGCTGGACAGTATCAATGTGTTCTAGATGGTTTGTTCCAGTGACAGCAGGCTCGATGCACGATTCGATAAGAACAATGTTCTCAGCGAGCTTGTTAGCAAGCTGTCTCAGCGACGCAGTGGCAAGAATAACTTTTGGTTTCACTTGATTAGCAACCGCTGCTAGTCGATTAAGTGGTTGCTTGACATCTAGGGGTAAGAAAGCTGCCCCAGCCTTGAGGACGGCCAATGCCGCTACAGGAACGTAGCCGGACTTTGGAGAGAGAATAGGAACGACAGAACCTCGCCCTAGTCCATGACTGCTTAGCTGCAAGGACAGATTGTCTGACATTGTGTCTAGTTGTGAGTAAGACAATTTACAATCCCATGAGTCAATGGCGACCTTTTCAGGGCGTTCATTTGCGCTTTCCAGAATTACTTTATGAAGCAGACGGTAGCTAGATACGGGCAGGTCGGCGTTCCATTTGAATATGTCTTCAAGATCTTCCTTTCCGAGACCGTCGATCTCTGAAATATGACTCTTATTGCTGAACGATGACATGACGAATTCCAATCTGCCGGTGAGGCGCCTAATTTCACGTTGGTCCAGGATGGCTGGGTCATAAACAACTTGCAGGTCAAGACTGTTTTTCGCAGGGTAGACGAACAAAACAAGCGCAAATGTGTGGAAAGCCTCTCCTTCCTCGCTCTCAGCTTCATATGTAGAGGTTTTTATTGCATCGACGTCTTCGGTACCCGACTGTGAACTTGGCGTTATGACAATGAGGGTTTGAACTTTGCAAGCAGCGCGCGTGTCTTCATTGATTATCTCAATGTTCTTGATTCCTATGTGCTGATAGGGCGCCATTTCAGACGTCTCCTTCTCCACAGTATCTAGAAGTTCTTGTGTTTGCTGGACTTCATTCTGCAATTGAATTCGGATAGGCACTGGTGTGATCGTTGGGCCAACCACTTGCTCAAGGCCCTCAACTGCAGCATTGCGTCCAGCCAATGTCGCAGCAAATACCACGTCATTAGACCCGGTAAGCTTTGAAACAATCAGAGCCCAAGCGGCGTGAACTTTTGCCTGCAAATTCCCAACAGAACCTGCATCGAGGCTTATCGTACGATTAAATGTCTTTGATGGCCGCACTTGATGGTTTGCTGATGGCAATCGGGGGTAAACGTTGACAGAAGTGCATCCAGAAAGACGGTTCTGCCAGAATAGTTTTGCCTGTTCGAGGTCTTGGGATAAGATGTAACGAACAAATGCGTTGAACTCCGGAGGCCTGTGAATTATACGGTCTTGATATGCCCGGCGGAGCTGTTCCTCAATAATTAAGGTAGACCATTCGTCGTAGAGGGCATGGTGTATTGTCCATACAATCTTTGGAGGCTCAGAGCCGTCGATGATTGCTAGCTGCGATAGCGAATTGCCCAGGTCTCTGCTATCCTTACTCGATGCTTCAATATAAGCTTGTAGACTATGATACCTGCTCCATGTATGTCTCCTGATAACTACTTGTACGAGACCCTCGCCCTCGATTTCGACGAATCTAGTACGCAGAATAGCATTGGTGTTAACAACAATATCCCAGGCTTGGACAAGCTTATCAACATCAACGTTTTCTGGAATATCATAAACAGACCGCTTTATGTAGGCTTGGGGTTGTTTCAATGTCAGAGCAACGAGCTCAGTTTGCAGTGGTGTGGAAGGATATATATCTGCGATATCCTCCACGGAGACACTACAAGTGGTAGCAGCGTTTATCAGGATATCTTTCCGTTTCACTGGGTCTATCATGGAAAATGGCGCTGGAGAGTTGGACCAGGTTCGCACAGAGTGAATCCTCAGGGCCATCGAAGACAGTTTTGGGTATTTGATGATATCGGCGACTGTTAAGCCAAGGTCCTGTTTGCGTGACAGATTTGATAGTTTCATAGCCGCAATAGAGTCGCCTCCCACGTCCACAAAGTCAGCATCAGGTGGGAGCAGGATAGACTTTTGCCCAAGAGCTGTAGCCCACAGTGTGCCCAACAAGGTCTCAACCTCCGTAAGAGGCCCATTGAGGGGTTCCACACCAACCTCGCTTTCTTGTGCAGTGGATGTAAGTAGAAGCTCAGGTCCTAATGCTCTCAATTTTAGGCGATCAACCTTGCCAGAAGGGTTTCTCGGAATCTCTGAGATGATGAGGAAGAACTCCGGTACCATATACGGTGGCAGTCTCTTGCTGAGGTATGCCCTAGTTGACTGTTTGTCGAACGGAGCATCTGCAGGAACGACGCAAAAAGCGACAAGCATGGGACGACCTGAAGACGGATGAATAACAACCTCACAAATTGACGAGGCATACGGTAAAGCACGTTTGAGGTGGTATTCAATTTCGCCGTATTCGACTCTCTGGCCTCTCAATTTGACTTGGGTGTCTGCGCGTCCTAGGTATTGGATAGTACCGTCATAACACTGCCTGACTAGATCTCCCGTCTTGTAAAGTCTGCCTCGTCGTCCAGTATGGTTTTTGTATCCACGTTGAAGGTACTCTGGGTCTTCAATAAACACCTTGACTGTTTTTTCAGGCTGTTCATAATAACCTGAAGTGACTAACGGCCCCTCATTGACCATCTCTCCTACGGCTCCAATGGCCACCAATTCTTCGTGGTTGTTTGGATTGACGACCCATGACCTGACACCAACTCCTCGTCCAATGTTAGACGCAGATTCAGGCGTAGAAAGACGAGTGAATATGCACAATGGCGTCGTTTCCGTTGGTCCGTATGCTCCCCAGAGTTCTAGCGAGTCTTTCCACATTGATACATCCAGAGGAGTCACGGCTTCTCCTCCTAGATATAGTCTCTTCACAGTGGGTACATCTTTAGGGTCGAGGGTACGAGCTACAGATGGTGTTAAAAATAGTGCAGTGCTTTTGAAGCCCGTGATGCTTCCTGCCAGGTTTCCAGTGCGATCTTCCTGGGAAGGAATACACACACAGGCTCCGATAACAAAACCTAGATAGAAATGCCATATGTTTGCGTCAAAAGCGTGGGATGAGAAATCATACACCCTATCCTCCTTGACGAAATCAAGCTCCCTGGTCTGAGCCACGGCAGCCGAGGCAAGGTTTTTATGCGTTACCATCACACCTTTCGGAACCCCAGTGCTTCCTGATGTGAAGCAAACGTACATCAAGCGGTCAGTATTCCGGGGCAAGCTCTCGATTATGGGATGTGTGCTGAGCTCTGTGGAGTCTTTGTAAGCACTTTCATCCACAAGAAGAGTATTTTGACCAAGTCGTTTAGCCAAATCAATTTGCAACGGGCTCGAAAGGACCAACTTCGCCCCCAAGGCTTCAGTGATCAACTTGAGCCTGCTCTCAGGATAAGAGACATCCATAACCCAGAAGGCAGCCCCAGTCTTGACGACCGCTAGCATCGCAGCGGGCACCAAAACAGACTTTTCAAAACACAGAGGCACAAATGTATTCAAACCAATTCCTCGCGCAATCAATTGGGCAGCTAAGTTGTTTGAGTATTGATCAAGTTCTCGGTAAGTCATCTGACCATCATGAGCAATCACAGCCATCTTTTCTGGATATTGTTGTGCGTTTTGAGCGATAAGCTCATGAATGAATGCGTCCACTGCCTCTGCCGGAGTTGCATTCCAGTCCCAGATTTGGGACAAATCCTGCTCACTGGCCACGTCAAGCTGGTTGACAAGCGTTTCCAGCGGCAGAACACATATAGTCGAGAAAATGGAATGAAGTTGTTGAAGAATCAGATCTACATATCCTGCAGAGATGGCGGATTCTCGGAAAACAGCTTCCGTAACCAGGCTCGTCCTTGTTAAATTCAAATATATGAGAAGATAATTGTTGTTGAAATTGCGAATATCATCGATTGTGTCATCAACCTCAAATATGGAGTCTCCATCGATCCTGTCTTCGGTTTCCAGGAAGACAAGAAGTGTTTGGAAATTGCACGCTGCACGAGCATCTTCGCTGATGCGAGATATATTCTGAAGACCAAGATGTTCAAACTCTTGCATTTGAATGCCGTCTTCTCGCAGGGTATCCAAAAGCTTCTTAATTGTCTGTTCCCGGTCGACATGGAGAAAGATTGGGGCGGACGCAATTGTCGGGCCAGGCATTTTCTCCACGTCTTTAACAGGAACATTGCGGCCAAGACGTGTCTCACCAAAGACAACACTTTCGCCACCAGTATGGCGAGCCATTAGAATAGCCCATGCAGCACGCAAAAGCACTGCCGGCGAGTACCCTGGAGGGATGCTTTGGGGTAAGCCAAATTCTTTCCTCGTTAGGCTATTCACTGCATCTCCGTTTATAGACATTGGCGTTTTTGGGAAGTATGATGCATTGGAAGCGCCAGAAAGATATTGTTCCCACCACTTCACACTCGTATGCTCCTGATGCTGAATGAAGTCTACAAAAACATTGTAATTAGGACTTACTGTACCGAGATTGTGAGACTGATAATATTCGGAAACTTGACGTAGAATGATATCCATTGTCCATGCATCGTAAACAGCATGGTGCATTGTCCATATGAGGATATATGAAGGTTTCTCCGTCGTGGATTTGTCACGAACGATTCCAAAGCGAGAAAGCTCATTCCCTAATCCCATGGGTATCTTTGCTGTCTCACGAAGATAATCCTCGGTACTGTCGTACCATCTCCATGGCTTTCCCTGCTGACGAACAACTACTTGAAATAACTGAGCATCTTCAGACTGGACAAGTCTAGTTCGTAAGATGTTATTAGCATCAACCACAGCATTCCAAGCCTCTAATACATGCTCGACAACTAGACCGTTGCCGAATCTGAGCAATGTATGTTGCACGTAGGCAGACGAATTCCCCGCTGTCAGCGCAAACACTGCCTCTTGGAAAGCCGTGCATGGGTAAATATCGACAATTGCATCTCGAGATATATTGCAGACAGCGGCTGCTGATGAAACCAACACGTCCCTTGAAGCCCCTGGGATGAGAGAAAATGGCTGTATCGTGCCAGGTATAATCTCCTCTTCTGTTATCTCCGTGACCAACTTGGACATCTCTTCAAGTTGAGAGTGTCGGAACACGTCTGCAACCGTTAACGATAATCCTATGTTGCGTGAGTGCTTCGCCAGGCGCATTGCTGAAATAGAATCGCCGCCCAGCTGGAAAAAGTCACTTTGCGTTGTAATTTTTGTGATATCGATTCTGAGCACACTCGACCATATATGAGCGAGGGTAAGCTGTCGCTGACTGAAGGCTCTTCCTCCAGCATCCGCTTTTTGCTCTGTCATTTGGCGAATGTAATCCCATGATATATTAGAAGCGTCATCTTTCAATCGCTTACGATCTACTTTTCGTGTTGGCGTGAGGGGAATGTTGGATGTTTTTAGAAAAAGACTAGGGACCATGTAGGTAGGAAGAGAAGTTCTTAGGGTTTGCTGTAGCCCTGGTGGAGGAGAAACTGGCTCAACTATAGACCCTGCATCATTTTCAGCGCTCCCGGTATAGGTATGCCATTGACTGTCGTGAGAAGTAACTAGATATGCCGTGAGGACATCAGTTCCATCTACATTGAGAACATCAGCCACTACTTCTCTGAGTGAAGGGTCCGCGGTCTTGACATGGAACTCTACTTCGCCCAGCTCGATGCGCTGACCGTTTATCTTAGCTTGTGTAGAAATGCGGCCCATATAGACAATTGTTCCATCAGATCGATAACGAGCCAAGTCTCCGGTTCGATAGAGATAGCCACGTCTCCCAGTCACCGAGGCAGAGCCTTCTGACAGCCATGATGGATCACGAATGAAATTGTCATTCGGGGCATTCAGGTAGCCTGGGCTGACAATAGGCCCTTCAATTACAAGTTCCCCTGTAGCACCAATTGGCGACAAGTTGTCGGTTCCAACGTCAACGATCCATGCTACGCAGCCAACTGCATGGCCAATGTCGGCTGCGTTCTCAATGTTCGTAACAGCTCCCTGTACTGTGCAAATTTGGCATTCTGCTGGGCCATAGGCATTTATGAGATTGACCTTCTTAGACCACTGTTGCACGACATCTTTGCTAACGGCTTCTCCACTAAGAACAAGAGTTTGCAGTCCAGGAACTGCACTCGGATCGATCAGGCGTGCAACTGATGGGGTGATATCTGCCCAATTGGCAGTCAAGCGCGAAAAGGAGCCCTCGATGTCATTCTCTCTGTCACCTTCACTGGGGACGCATAGGCATCCTCCCAGGCACAACGCCATCAGAGCGTTATGAACTGCTATATCGAAGCTGTAAGATGCGAAGTCGTATATTCGCGAATCTTTTGTCAACTTCAATTCGCGAGCATGATGCCGAACTGTTGATGAGAAATTTCCATGAGTGATAGCTATGCCTTTAGGGACACCAGTGCTTCCGGACGTGAACACGACAAAAGCGGTGTCAGATGCTATAGATTGCGAGGAATAATTAAGTGTATCATTGGTACCACTACCGTTGACCTCTTCACAAACTATGACCTCTTTGCACAGCTTTCGTGCCAATTCTGTTGTCGGGCCTGTGGTAATAACGCATCTTGCCTCTACCTCTTCCACAATAGTCTGCAAACGCTTCCTTGGCTGGTTTTTGACGTCCATTGCGACAAACCCAGCACCTGTTTTTAGGATGGCAAGCATGGCAATGGTTGCCCACATCGATTTTTCCATGCAAATTGGTACTAAACTACCCCGACCTATACCTTTTTCGCGTAAGGTATGACAAAGTCGTGAAGAAAGTTCATCCACTTCGCTGAAACTTGCACTTCCATCCCAAGCCGCGATAGCCTGCGCTTCTGGTTGAAGCTTGATGGTTCTAGCAATAATCTCATGGACGCTTTCCTCCCCGACAGAAAATATTTCCTTATTCCACTGCCAGATTTTGTCGATGTCAGATCCACTGGCCAGCTGCAGCTCTCTAAGGCTGCGTGTGAGATTACTGCTGCGACCAATTGCATCTGCCACGTGCGCGAATTGATCAAGTAAAGTCTGCACCTCAGTGTTATTCAAAACTCGTGAATCATAACTGGCTTTGACTTGCAACTGGCCATTCTTCTGGGTAATGACTATCATCAAACCATATTCGTTGAAGTTCGACAATGTCTCACTTAGTGTATCATCGAGTTGTTCTAGCATGTGTTTAAGTTCTCGATCCGATGGACTTAGGGAAGATGGTGTGTTAACATGGAATTCATTTGGGGGATCAACAATGAACAAAGTCTGGAATTTGCTTCCTTCTCGTGTTATCGCGTTCAGTTTTCGAATTCTGCGCAAGCCCAGGTTTTCAAATGGCATGGTCTCCAAGGCTTGGTTTTGAACAGCAGCAACGAAACTTCTCACGCTGGCATTCGTATCTATTTTGACCCGAACAGGAACAGTTGATATGGTAGGGCTGAGAAGGTCTTCGATGCCGTTTATTGCAACGTTGCGACCAGAGACGGTTGCGCCAAAGATGACATCGTCGCTCCCGGAATGCTTCGATACTAATAAGGCCCACGCAGCTCTCAATAGCGAAGGAATTGATGCACCCTGGTTAGCATTCGATGGAGTCGGGAAAGCTTTCGATAGCATCGAATCGGCCCTAGGCTGACGGACTTCATGTGGCAGGGATGGAAATGCTACTATGCTTTCTGGCTTTGCTAGCTGGCGTGTCCAAAACTCTACTGCTGGTTCCAATGGGATTGAAGTGACATGTTTAATAAAAACATTGAACCCTACACTTTGTTCAATCCGGACTCCTTGATAAGCACGGAAAACCTCTGCTCCAATTCGTGGAAGAGTCCAACCATCATAAATAGCGTGATGCATGGTCAACACAAAGTAAACTGAACCAAGGTCACGCACAATGGCCCAGCGGCAAAGCTCTGTACCTAGTCCCATTTGCTTATGATTGTCCTCTTTGAGATAGGTTGCTAGAGGCTGAGTTCGAATTTCCGAGAACAAATTCTCCTCACGCAAGACCACCTGCACAAGGCCATTGGATTCCGTATCAACGATCCGGGTTCGAAGAATTGGGTGAGTGGTTGCGACACGCTTCCATGCTTGTGCAAACCGTTCAAGGTTGATGTGCTTGGGCAATGCAAAAGTTCCACGGCCAACGTACTTCACCGAATTGGCAATTAATCCTTCCTGCAGTGGCGTACAAGGATATGAGTCTTCTATATTTTCAATGCTAGTTTGACACAGAGAACTAATCTCCTCTAGAGATTCTTTCGCTTTTAGAAGTGAGAAATTGCCAGGGGGCCTTGGAAGTGATGTGTGAGACCACTTGCTTTTAATTACTAAATCCGACAGTCGTGGATATCCAAAGATCGTAGCGACATCGAGCTGGATACCAACTTTGGCTGCTGTACTGACAAATTTGATAGCCGTTAACGATTCGCCACCGTGAGAAAAAAATGTATCTGAAGGGTGAATTGACTCTATGTCAACGTGAAGAACATCGCTCCAAACGTGCCTAAGTAGCTCCAGCTTGGAAATTTCCCCGTTTCCATTTTGTTGCTTTGTTCCTTCTTCGGGCCCCTGGCTACTTCCATTAACATAGCCACTTCTGATGGCTGTTCCATTGTAGTTTGTGGTGGAATACGGATGGCCATTAGTCTCCAACGCATCCATGGCCTTGTTCTGCCATACTATACAGCGAGATACTGGGAGTGATAGCCCCATTTCTCTGAGCTTCCTATGATCTACCTTGCCGGACAGGGAGAGTGGAATTCTGTCAATTGCTGCGTACGCACTTGGAATCATAGATGGAGGCAGTTTGCTCTGAAGTTCTGTGTTGACACGATCAACTAACGGTTTCAGGCTTTCCGAAAATTGACTCTGTGGCTTGTTCACAAGATCAACAACAAGGAATACAACGAGCAGCTCGGCTCCACTCTGCAGCTTTATAACCTCTGGACACCACTGAATTGAAGGGGGAATAAGGTCTTGTAAATGAACAGAGATCTCTCCGAGCTCTACTCTCTGCCCCCGGATCTTGACTTGCATGTCACGGCGACCGATGTAATCAATCTCTCCATGATCTGTATACCGGACAAGATCACCGGTACGATATAGGCGCCCTGTGCGCTCATTTTCAAGACCGGACATCCGGTCGTGCAACCACTGCGCATCATAAAAGAACTTTGCTTGTGTAGCTTCTTCGTCATGAAGGTATCCCAGGCCAATTTGTGGACCTTCCAAAACGAGTTCCCCTATTCCTCCAACCGGTGTCAGTCGATCATGGTCAATCGGATCCGTTATCCAGCAGGCACCTAATCCCTTGCCAATAATAGTCGGTCTTTTTGAAAGAAGGACATTATAATTCAACACAGTAGTTACCGTGCACTCAGCTGGACCGTATGTATTCATAACTCGGGTGTTAGTTCCCCGCCATCTGGCTACGGCATCTTCACTGCACGGTTCACCGCATAGATCCAAAACTTCTAACGTAGGTGATTCAGACGGACGCAACATCTTAGAAACAGAGGGTGTCATCATAGCGCGTGTAATCCCATAGTTTTGCACCACCCGACCCACGTCGTTTTTACATTCCCAGGATGAAGGGATGCATAAACAAGCCCCGGTCAGCAAGCTGATGAATATGTCGCCGAGCGAGACATCATATGCATATGAAGCGAGCGCAAGAACCCTTGACCGCGGTGTCACATCACTCAAAGCGCTTACCAATGTGACAAAAGTACATATGTTGTTGTGTGATAGTAAAGCAGCCTTGGGAATTCCCGTCGACCCTGAAGTGAACACAACATATAACGGAGTCGAGGGTCCGATTTCAAGTTCCCTCTGTGGATTTGCAGTTGGCGGGGGCGTAGTTTCCGGATGGTTAGAATCAACAATAACAACCCGCGACGCAACAAGCTCTGCCCGGTGCTTCTGTGAAGCCGATGAAAGTGCCAGGATCGTTTCTTGGCTAATGACCCGTGCTATTTGCCGCAGTCTGTCGTCTGGAAGATTTTCATCTAACAAGGCAAACATGGCTCCTGTCTTTATCACGGATAGAATGGCAACAGGCGTCCATTTAGACTTCTCAAAGCATAAAGGGACGATGTTCCCTGGTCCGATGCCGGCATCATGGCTCAGGTGCGACGCAAATTCATTTGACAGTTGATCTAACTCCGCATATGTGAATTTGCCGTCCCATGCATTGACCGCAGGTGAATCCGGTTGCTTAGCTACATGTTCAGCGAACACCTGGAGCGTAGTTCTGGGCTCGGGAGCTTCAATGGAGGAGTTCCAGTTCCATACGGTGCTGATGTCCCAATAACTGGCTGTGCTTATTTTATACACATGCTTGCTGCTCCAGTCTTTTGACAGTGAATCAATTTCGTGAAGCACATGCTCGAATTGTTGCAGAATACGCAGCCCCTGGGCGCCACTACTGGTGGAATCATTCGGCGCTGCAATCATGTTCACTGCTCGGCCTTGTTCTAGGATAAAACATTTCAATGTGAAGTCGATTTTCGCATTTGATAGTAATGTGCCAACTCCGTGGTTTGACCCTGTAGTTTCCGAGTACTCACAGCCGTTTCCCATCTCCGACTCTGTGGGAATGATATGTAAATGCGTTTGAAAAATCGAGATTTGATCTGTTTGTGCAGCATCATATCTCTCTGAGAGCTGCCTTTGCAACTTTTTGGAAAGCTGGTCGAGTGTTTCTGTCTCGTCTATCTCTAGACGAATGTTCCTGGAGTGGCCTGGAGATGTGCAACCGGTGGCCCAAAACGAGAAATTTGATGAACCGGCATAGTCCTTGAGCAAGACTGCCCAAGCTACAGCAACCTCTAGCGAAGAGAAGCTGTTTTGAAGTTGAAGACGTGTCTCGTGCATGTTGATGCTTCGAGCGTAGTAAGGTAATCTCTCAATAGATAGTTACTGTGAATGAGAAAATGAATATCTGAGGCTAATACAATCGTCAATGTACGCACATGAAGTTGAATCCCCTCTGTGCTAGCTTATCCGCCACTCTCTGGAAGGTTTACGCCAACAATAGCTGTTCTTCCTGGTCCATTTGCAGGGTGACATGGATTTGCAAGATAATGTCAAAGTCCATAGGCAATCAATGCTTCTCCACAACGAAGGTGAGCCTTTAGCAACCAGTACCTACTCCTCAATAAATTACTCAGTACAGCCCCGTTAGATCCGCAGGTATTGGAAATATACAAATTTCTTTTCATCACACCATTATGCTAGTTTATCATTCAATCGGTAGGTTACCCTTTTCCACTAATTAGTTAGTTGACATTCTGGTCAAATGCCGTAATTCGTAACAATACCTATCAGGCATGTAGATACATTGTTTGTACATCTGGCCATCGCCTTGTCGTGTGACTGCATGGCTGTGGTGCTGCTTGTTGGCCCCCACACGGTCCACGCGGTGCCAAGGCTCCGTGGCCGCTCGATATAGCCGAATACTGTTAGGTCGGTGGTAGGGATTGGAAACCGCGTCAGTAATGGCGGAGCTGAATTTGGGTTACGGGTGCAATCGGACTGACAGTCCCTTTCCCCCAGGGATTGAGTTAGAGTTGCGGCTGGAGTTTTAGTGGGCTCTTGGCGGTCCCACTAGCCGCCTTGTATGCCGGGGCCAAAATACGGGGAGGTGTATTGGCGTAATGTGTATTTGTGTTTTGTATGTAATGTATCAAAGTATAGAGAGTATTTAATGTAATGGCATACGTATTAGAAACATCTCGTATCCAGATGTGGATAGTGCAAACTAGAACCAAACACAGCCTCTTTGCAGTTCATTCAGGCGTCGAAGAAGGCCGACTGAGAAGCTCGAATGAATCTCCGGGAGACTAAGGCGCTTCAGTGCTTAGGCAAGCCGTTTTCAAAGGGCATCGTTGTGCGAAATGCCAGAATATACACCTATCACACAGTCTGACGACTATTCTAGCTCCGCACAATCAGTTTACAGCAGAAAGCATGCTGATGATCGCAAGGATGCTTGCGAGCATTGCGCTCGCATTGCAAAAGGGCGATGGCTGAGTTGTATTTTGCTGGGCGTCTCGATCGTTTTACTTACAGCGAATATCTTCTTATCAGTAATGCCATCAATGAACACTTGGAGACCCTCTGAAGAGCCCGTCATAAAGTCAGGTATTTAATCAATTGTTTAATCCCATAATTGTATCCATTCTGTTTTGATGCTGTTGCTAACATCACAACTTTAGCTTCGGGGTATGAGCATCTACTCCATACGACGGAAAAGAATTGCGTTCAGCGACTCTCATCATATAGTACGCTCCCCCGCTCCTTAAATAAAATATGTTCCAGTCAGATTCTGACAACTGCGGTCAAAGCACCTGCCATCGATGCAATTGACTACTTCGAAGCGAATCTCTACGATGCGTATTCCGATGCAGATAAATACATTGGGCCACCCACCGCAGAACGGGAACAAAGTTGGAGGGAACTTTGGCAACGTAGGTTCTCATTTCATTAATTCACTATGTCCTTACTTTGCAGCCGACCTTTGGTGTTAGTGTAACATTGTTAACTCCGTGAGAATTGTAGACGAAGCCACAATGGTAGAGAATTGGGCCATGCCGATTCTAAATCGCACAGACCCAGAACCGTATGAAATAATTGAATCAGACGGGAAGGAGGGATTTACAGCTATGTCCAAGGTGTATCACCAGTTAGGCTGTCTTGTTAGTACCATGCTGGCCCTTGCAAGTATGTACTGTTGTCACTAACTAATTACATTCCAATGCTCACATAGGATATAATCCGCCAATATACCTGGCTCCTGGAGGGGAGATACCCGCAAGATTTGATCTCACTAGAAATGCAAAAACCAGCAGAAGAGACTCGCAAGCATATTGACCGCTGTATTGAGGATCTTCGCATCAGTCTAATGTGTTATAGCGACATGACACCGTTGCTTATCACGAAGGAGCGCGATCCAGATTCGGGCTTCAAGGCAGAATTAAACAGCCATCACAAGTGCCGCAATTTTCATAAATTGGTAGACTGGACCATATCACATGGTGTTGAACATTGGGAGAAAGAGGGTGGATTCCATCAACATGGAGACCGTGTATAGAGTCACTGGCGTGCATACTAAGCAGTGAATATATGTATGTTTATATATTATTTCGATAAAGTAGTTGAAAAAAAATCTTGAAGCTTAACGCTTTATAAATAGTCAAAATTGCTAGTTCGATAAAACCATTTTTTAAGATATCACGGTAATTAGCCCATGCCCCGCCATCAGGCTTTAGCACAATGAATTGGCGCTTCTTTCTATTGATGTAGACTTGAGTATTAGGTATGGAAGTTTGGGACCACCCTTGTCTGAGACGGCTGTAATAGTATTTATTGAAACATTGATTTAATCAACGAGAGGACCTATTACAACATATGCAAGGTCTTAGACCTTATTATCATTGACAATTTTCCACCTCCTATCAGATATAATCCGAGATAATCAATACCTAAACCGGTCTGTAGATGACATATTGCGTATTCGACCGCAACAAGCACGTCGGACTCATTCCCTTAAGCACCCTCGTTTAGAATGGCACTGTTGTGCTCATTCACAGATTCAAGCTCAGCCATCTGCTCCTCTGGAGTCAACTCTGAAAATGCACTGTGGTCCAAGTTTCCCGAGTTCACACGAGCGAGGTCTTTATACGCACGAACCAAAGGCTCGTATGGGCTCCCAGGTGGACAGTATGTGTACCGATCAAGTTGATGAGCAATACCGTGGTCTTCACCCGCTCGAGTGATGTTGACAGTCTTGTAGCAAGAGCTTCGCTCCTTCACCCACGCCTCAAGTTTACTCCAGTCACGGCATTGACGTGGCTGCCCTTCCGCGACAAGGAACTGGTCACCATGGTCCTTTGTATAATCCAAAAAGTCGTCCGCTGCGCAAATGATATCCTGGCGAAGAAGGTCAAGACAGTGCTCTATATGATGATATGATACCAGAGGCTTTTTCCCGATATGAGAGTCGTAGGTGTACGCATGGAGAAGAACCTTGGGGTTAAATTCAGCATGGATCTTAATTCAACTTAATAAGTAGACAGGAATTCACTTACGGTGCAGTGAAGAGCATGGTACCCATGGGTGACATACATGCCTTTGTTAATATCCCAGGGAAACACCTGTGACCGTGGAGCACCCAGACGATCTGCTTCTTCATGAGTAATAGCTATAAACCCATCACTGACATCAATTGCATTCCAGAGAGCGTCTTTCTCCTCAAGAGTATGCTCGTCGTCGCTGTACTCAGTGGCGTAATGGAACGGAATCTCAATTTCTCGCTCGGGTAACTTCGCTGTAGTCATGAGTTATTCAGCAGAGCACAACCGAAAATACTTTTCACATTCAGGGCTTACCAAAGAGGGAGCGGCACTGTGGCTTGTGCACAGCGAGGTAAACAAATTGGGCGACGTTGAGTATAAGAGACGCGACGAAAAAAGCCGGTATCAACTTAATCATGGCTGCGAACCTTTTTTTTCCAAGAGCACGAGGCACCCCAGACACCAGACCATCCTCCTCACCATTGTATGAGGATTCCGAATCACGGTGCTCATCTGTATACGCGGCTCCCATGACTACGACTCCGCCGTATTGTGTTGGGATAATAAGTGGATGTTGACTTAGTGGTGAACAGAGGTAGGAAGTAGAAAAAAAGGCTAATTCACTGAGTTATTTGCCAACAGAGACAAAATGAGATTCCTTGAGGGGGGAAGACATATGAGCCCTCGACATCGGGAGACTGATAGAAACAGCCGGCTCTCGACATCGGTACTCTAGGTCGATTGCAACGTACATGAGATCGCCAGAACTCTGTGTAAAATTACCAATGTATTGATAGACATGTACTTGATCATAAGGTTTTGTAAACGGTGTGACAATACTAGTGAATTCCGGTAACATTTGAAAGATAGATAACTAATGATACAGGGTAATCTGATCCATACTGCATCTACAATACACACCGGAATACGAGCGAAGCACGTCAAAAATGTGAGACGTGCATGATTCCTTCTCATCCTTCGCAATATTCCTGTCAAGTATCAAGCCAATCAAAACAACTTGCAAGAATCAGGATTACTTGAGTTCCACGTATCTTGACACGGAGTTTAAACGGAGTATAAACAGGTTTTGTCTACCAGTAAGTTGAAAGCCATCAAATTTCCTAGCAGGAAGCGATGGACTAGTAATAATCCTTAGAGTTACATTTCCCTAAAGAAAAATTGACTAACTGCTCCTCTACTTCACCTTCTATCTCGCACTAGTTCAATCGAAGTTGCATAAAGGCCGAGTTCAATATGATACTGTCTTGTCCCTTATCAATAATAGCTGTTACAGCAATTAACTTTGGCTTGTTTAGAGATGGCTCTAGAATAATAGAAAGTAATGCTTTCTTTTTAAAGGTCTCATGGATCATATTAAAAACTTTAAGGGTTACATTTTAAATGCATTCCGCGGGATGGCCAAAGACAACCTGATATGTAGAGTTCAACTGCACTAACTAAATTTCAGGCGAATCATAAGCCCTCGGGTTTTTTCTTTGGCTGCCAGGCCAGCTCGGGCGGTATATCCAGCTCAATGCCTTGGCTCAAAGCATAATCCTCCAATCCCAGGTGATTACCATATGGAGTGAGAACCCCCTCGGGATCCATCTCAATAATAGGTTGATCAGGGAATTCTGTCCATTTCGTCTCATGCGGTATGATACTGTTGGCTTCCTTCCATTCAAGAATCTCCTCATAATTGCGGCATTGCTTAGTACTAGCAAAGTTCATGTTCAAACCCGGCCAGCCTGTAAACTTCTGGCCTACAATGACTTCCAAGTCAGCATGGCACATGAGACTTCGCAGCACCGCATATGAACAATGAAGAAGATGGTCATCCCACTTCAGCGGGCTGTGCTTGTTCTTCTCCCTCATATCCCCATAGTATTGTGGGAATGCGGTTTGTCGAAGTGCATTTAGACAATGAATCTGATGAAATACGTCGATAACTCCGTAGTATACTCCCTCTCCAAATTCATCTTTCGGTGCTGGCCATACCGTAGCTGGGTCATAACCGAGACGGCGAACTTCATCGGCACTCAAGGCAATGGAATGCTGCCTACTTGCTCTGAACCACGCCTCGTCGACTTCTGGCGAGGGCATTTGCTGAAAAATGGATGGGTTATTATCCGGCCAGTAGTTTGTAAAATTGTGGCGAACTTCGGATCGATATACATGAAGACGATCGTACACGGGAGCTGTTGAACTTCAGAAATTTTTGAACACTTACAAAAGATAGCAAAAAAAAACTTACAATAGGAACTACGGTTCTTCTCAATGTAATGTTCCTCTTTGACGGCATTCCTGGCCAGTATCAACGCCGTGCTACTCAGTAATAGCAAGAAGTTGGTGCCAACTAGAATGCAGACTAGAAGTCTGTGGGAAACACCTGATGCTGTCCGCTTTGTATAGTGATATGAAAGATGAGAGCTGTCGGAATCACTAGTGTCCAGAGGCTGTACTTCCTCTTTGGAGACAATATCTGAGCGCTCATGTCGCGAGCGATCTGGTGTCAGATATGAGAACTGCATGGCGAGCGAGCCCCTTGGACGCTGTGTAGGGAGAATCTGGATTAACGCAACGTAAAATTTTAGACGAGAAGATTTGCTCTTTTCGAGAAGCCACTGCAATATTTGGGTCTGTTCAGTGTTTCTGATAGACTAACCTAATCCATCACTTAGATAAGTCTTCGCATATAGCTGACGAAGATCACAGACTGGCGACGTGGTTAGTGCGTGCTGAAAAAGGAAGTGCTGGCTTTACCGACAAGGATTATTTTTAGCCAAATTACAATACCAACATACCAGACTAATCAGGCATTGCGTGTATTGTGTAAGATATGTTTACATACCTGGTCTGGATTTGTGCTGATCCCCCATCTGTAAATTACGGCTTTCTCAAGTATAGTGAATGAATCCTCACAGTATTCTATGTTGTCACGCAAAAGTGTAGTATGACTACGCAACACTGACGGTGGGGCATGAAAAAATGAGAGTAGACTCTATTTAGGAGATAAATATTGCCTACCTGGTACTCGACTCAACGTTAGATTGATTGACTTCCCCAACACTTTTCATCACACAGTGGTTAGATACAATTAACACCTTTTCTTTCTCTTTCATACCTTGCTTTGTACACTGTTCAATACAAGTGCTCTCAACATGCGTTTCTACGGGACTATTCTCGCTTTCCTTGCAGCTACGCCAATCATCGTCGCTGCTGCTCCTATCGACAACACAGCTGCCACTATCAACGGTGGCACTGCCGCCGCTGCTGGCATCAAGCGTGACGATGCCACGGCTGCCACAATTAACGGTGGCACTGCCGCCGCTGCTGGCATCAAGCGTGACGATGCCACGGCTGCCACTATCAACGGTGGCACTGCCGCCGCTGCTGGCATCAAGCGTGACGATGCCACGGCTGCCACAATTAACGGTGGCACTGCTGCTGCTGCTGGCATCAAGCGTGATGAAGCCACGGCTGCTACTATCAACGGTGGCACTGCCGCCGCCGCAGGAATCAAGCGTGACGATGCCACGGCTGCTACTATCAACGGTGGCACTGCCGCTGCTGCTGGCATCAAGCGTGATGAAGCCACGGCTGCTACTATCAACGGTGGCACTGCCGCTGCTGCTGGCATCAAGCGTGATGAAGCCACGGCTGCTACTATCAACGGTGGCACTGCCGCTGCCGCAGGAATCAAGCGTGATGATGCTACCGCTGCCACAATTAACGGTGGTACTGCCGCCGCTGCTGGCATTTAAGAAACTCGAAGTGGCTACCTAAGTATATTCCTCCTTGCCTACGTTGAAATTCACACATTGATGCTAATTCATGCGGAAGAATTACCCGTCTGGAATGCTACGGATTTGACAATAATGGCTTTCGCTGGGTGATTGAGAAGGGCCATGCGTTGTGCTCGAGGGCCTGTCTGGCCTAATGGAATGTCAAGAGCGAGGAGACAAGTCTGCGTTATGTATGCTGCCTTTATTAAACTGGGTCATTCATTAGTTTAGGCAGTTTTGAATCGATTTTTAACAATAGTATACTCACGATCGTGTTTAAATTTTGTTGTACGTAGACTCTACACACGCAGTACCCAGTATGTGCTCATCCTAGTTTAGCTATTATTTATAGCTATGAACTGTGTAAGAACCCCTTACTTCCTTTCATACTCTAAAAGTCCATAGCTCTTGATATTGCCCAGTGTTTTCTCTTGCATAAAAGCTTTTCTCATTTTTGACTATACCTAGGTACATACTAAAGTTGAATATACATATAACCACATGACTGTATCTAAAGCAAGAAACCTCCAACTTCTTTGCCCGGGTGCAGTACCTAATGGAGGTACGTCAAACGAGACATATTGTAGAAAAACCTTCACCCCCCTGCCCCCAGGCCTTATTTATGATAATCCTTTACTTCCCATGACAGCAATGGGCCGTAGCTAAGGGGTTTCTTGATAGAATCTGACCGATGTTCCAAGTAGTTCTCCGCTGCGAGGATCAGGTTGAGAGAAACTAAAATTACCAGAAGCGCAAGGAGCCCCAACGTCACAGGCGACTGCCGATTGCGATAAAGCCATCGCTCGTATTCGCGGGATGCGTAGCTTCGGTGTCCATCAATGCTGACGTCTTTGATCGAGGGCTCCGAATTTTCGAAATCTGCGTCTGCCTGTCGAAGGCTCGCGTACTCTGCCATGTTTATGTATCTGGTGGGCAGCGGAAACAAAGCAACCAATCCTAAGTAGGTGTTGGTGTTTGTGTTTGTGTTTGTGTGGTTTGAATTTTTGTAAGAGAGAGGACGCTGTGAGGGAGGACGCAAGAGATGCTTCCCTGCCTTGAGGAACGTACACGGTGAGTTGAAAATTGCGGCTGTTGAACTACCAGACTCAGAGCATCAAGGAATTGGGGGCGAATAAGCGGGGGAATTCCAAAAGTAGCTACAGCCCCGTAATCTGACGTGTTCATCTATATGCAAGCATGTTGTTTCCTAAAAGGAGTTCAGTTACATTCGTGCTTTGATAAGCAGTGAATATAGAGAGGAGTTAGGGCTGGTGATATTAGCGCTGTATCACTTTTACCGATCAAACAATACAGTACACGCAACGTCCATTTCTCCGTTACCCGTATGTTTTGTTGTGGTAATTTTCCGTTCCCCACACGTAAAGTTACCGAGGGCTAATCTTTAAACCGATCTTAAATTGACGACATCTTAGTTCATGATAAAGCAGGCTTGGTGATATTCCTTTTGTAAGGAGTAATGATTAAGCGGCCAACTCAATTCAGTGCGAGAAAAATGGGACCAAATTTCTGTATCCGGTAGTAGCTCTGTTTTCTGCAGCATCGATAGCACAGCTCATGTTGAAAATGGTACAATCAACCCTACCATTTGTCTGCTGATGATGATTGACACTAGGAATCCCTTACGTTGCCAGCATCATAGACATCTGCATCAATGCCCAGGTTCGCTACCATTCCTTTCAAACCTTTTACATACACGTTGTATTATCAGAACAAGGGCTTGAAGTGGCACATAGTTACCAGAAGTTGATTTCTAAGTAGCTAGCTATTCTATTTGTCCGGTTTTGGTTGGGACACCATGGCCACAATGCCATCTCCATTATCGCAATTTCCAAAATGGTCGGCCGCCGTGTTCCCTTCAACAAGGGGTGTGTAGCATGCTGAGTACTCACTAGCATAACTTCTCAGTGCCTCCCAGTCTTTACACTGACGAAGTTGACCGTTTCTCTCAACTGCCATTCCTGTTACACGCAATGGCGTGGAGTCGGCATGACATATTATCACCTATCAACAAGTCAAAAAAAAGAACATAGAAAAAGTCCTTTCATGTGGCCTTACGTACCTGTAGTATCGTGTTAAGGCAATGGCCGACATGCTTTTCTATCGTTGAAGGTTGACCACCTAGGCCTGTCTTTGTGACCTCCCTCAGGATTTGCAAACAGTGAATCTCATGATATGCTTCCAACAGCCACACGCCTTTGCTATGATCACTGGGTAGATCCATGGTATCAGGCCAGTTTTGTGATTCCGCCCATTTCTTGTCCCTCGTGATCATCCCATGACTCCAGTGGATCGCGTCCCAGAACTCGTCCTGGGCTGTCTGGTTAGAAATGCTATACTGTGTGTTCCACCAAAATGGCTTGTATGCCGTTTTGATTGCTGGTGGAATGCTGTACTCCGTTGGCGGGTGGGCGGTGTCTCGATCCGTTTGTGCCTATGTAAATAGACTAATGAACACGCAATTCGATATGACGAGTAGGAAAATGGCTGCTAGGAGACAGTTAGGGTAGTGTTTGTGTCTGTTGGCAATCGCAATGTAGGTGCTCATGGATGCATGGTCGTCGTCGGGGCTTCCCTCGAAATCGTCTTTGGTGGTGAGGGGGACACTTGTCCCCCATCCTAAACTTGATTAACAATTATACCCGCTTTGGATGAGAGTTTTGAATGAATTTGTCAAGAACGAAGTATCTGTTTCGCGATGAGTGGCAACCTCGCTTGCGGGCGTACTCTTCCAGGAAAACTCACCACTAAGATAACAACTGCTGAATCTTCGCAAGTACCCACAGGCATGATGTTAAAGTTCCGTTCAGTGTTAGTTACTCTAAAATTAAACCTTTCAAACGTATACCTAGGCATAACTCAAAATCCTTCAATATTAGCGAAATTGAAAGGATTCAGAGTAGGATTCATGACAGGTACAACAAAAATAGACGTATTTTAGTTCTACTGTACCTACAGTTTGCAATGGCATGCTCGGCCGGCGTTGAAACGGATTACTGTTAGTTACGGGTTTTCGCTAGCTACCAATTACTCCATATGAAGTATGTACCATCATTTTTGGAACTGGTACTTTCAAGTATGAGAAGCACATATATCTAATAGCTTAGCCGTATCTGTTGGCAATCCGTAAGTGTGCCAAGAGGTGTGATAGTTTAGTCGTTTTTTTTTTTTTTTCGCCGTACTCCTTCGGCGGTAATGAACTTGGAGTTTTGCTAAAGTCGTACCAGGTATTGCAATGGTATAGTCATGTTTTAGTAACGAAACTACATTGAATTAGTTACCCGTTAATGAATTACATAGAAACCGTATTGTGACAACGTTCTTAAAATGGGGGCAAAGTTTAGTTGCCACCCCATGACGATCAAGGAGATAAGGTGCTTTCTTGCATGAAAGTTAGTAAACGAGTGCATGACCGAATGATAGACATGCATCCCAACTAGCCTATGTATCTGGCCTGGCGAGGGAACCCAATTATGTGAATAAAATTCAGCCCCCGCCGCTTAAAGTATCTACACAGATACAAATGCAACGTGCAGGATGCAGATAGATTAATCATTTTCCATTTACCAACTCTGCACCGCATCCTCCGATACGTGGATAGTACGCATGATACATGAATAGGTATAATATTCTATAGCCGAGACGTGAACAACAGAACCTGGAAGTCGCTACGTAGCTATAGCGCTGATGCCATATAACTTATTCATATTTGTAACAAAGAATTGAGGTCTGTGTTGATACTACATCACCGGCCGTTAAGTCATCGCCTAGACCACTAAATACTAATATTTCGTCCATCGAGATGGCCGCTTCAGGATCAGGAGTGCCAAGATTGCCATCGATACTATCATATCCTCTTATTTGGTCATTGTATCCCTGATGCTGCCATCTCCACCAGAGCCGGTCGAGCTGCGCATGGTGTAGGAAGAAAATCGGATCTGTAATAGTAGAGACATTAGTCATTTAAAGCTGCATAGCGGAAGCACCGCAGAAAAGCAATGAGAATACCATTACTCGACCATAGTGTAGGCATTTCACCCCCAATTCCCACATGAACAAATCTATGGGGGCCTCGCTCTAGTCGCAGCCGAAAGTCATGGTATGTGCTCGCATTTGAGATTATATCCTCGATGATCGCTGATGTATATTCCGCTGCATGCATATTCTCGCCCGTAAAGTTTCGTCTCAAGCAATGAGGCTCAGGATACTGTGGTTTCATCGAAGCCAGAGGCCCGTCTGTAAGACAATTCTTTGGCTCGGTGCCATTCCCACCCAGGCCAAATCGACTAGACCAGACAGGCGAGTGTGCGGGATTAGACGTGTCAAGTGTCCAGTCCCAATATCTGCAAAACCGAACCCGTCAGTTGAGTCATGGTGTAAAACTACACAAAAATAGCTTACGTACGGCAAAGGGTCTTCATAATCGCATTCGCTTCTTAATGCATCCTCGTATCGTTGGACGTATAAACGGTGCCATGGCAATAGTATCGGGGCATCGTGGGCTAATAAACAATTGATATTAGTTATCACTTCACTATTACGATCTGGTATGCACATACTGTCACCAGATACATTTAGGTGAGAATAAACAAAGTCGTCATAGCGTGTAGTGTTCAAACCGAGCCGCGAAGGTCGTTTCGAAAGACATTGAATCGCTGTAATATAATTCTCCCGGGCTTCGAGAGACAATGACCTCCATTCGAGCCGGACAGTTGGAGTTTGACCTATACGAGATACGAGTCATTAGACAGGCCGGTGTAGTAGTTAGTGCTTAACAAAAAGACGAAACACCACTCACAATGTGTGTTGCTGGGCCTGCTTGTCAGACTATCCAGGGCTGTTAAATACAAGATGATGCATGATATTAAGAGTAAAAGGCTGCTAATAACGAAAAAACCATAGTATTGCAGAAAAGTGTGACGCGGAGGGTTGTGCTCTGCTGGAAGCAACGGTTCATCGCTGTCATCATCTATCTTTGTAGAAGCGTCGATGTCTTTCATGTTGGAAAAAAATATAATGAGATGGGCATCGCAAGATGCTGAAAGGTCCTGTCTTGGAGCCACCTAGCCTATCGCAAGAAGGGTATAGCAGGCAGGAAGAAGATCAAGATAAAAAGAAGACCGTTGTGTGCGTGCAGAGGGACTGTCAGCGCGCTAGACCAGAAAGTGAGATACGAAATGTGTATTCTTATTGGAACTGGAATAGTAAGCGTACGTAGCATACGACATGAGCGATTTCTTAGCGGCTCTTGCCTGATCGTACTGGCCAAATATGACTTAATAAACTGCTATATTAATCTCAGTAAGACATAATAATTCTCGACGTTTATTCGCTGGAGCCATTCCAATAAGCACAATTAAGCCCGAATGCCCGCAACTGATAACTGATAATTCCTGTTCCGGAAGGTCTGATGATAGTGACGCTTTACTACAATCGTCTTCGGGAGCTGGTGGGGCCGCTGTGCCAAGAAGCCCGCCGGCACTCTACTTAATACATGTATCTAACCCCTTTTAGGACGCGGCATCAGTCGGTACTCGCTTGTAATATACAGGAAATGCTCATACGGTACTAGATCAAAGTAGGAATGATACAATACACGCGGCGTAATGTGTAACATCAATGGATCTCCTTTGTATGCAATCTCCAATGCAACTACTAATTTTAAATGTATACGTAGTAACTTTGTTTCAGTAGGTGGATACTTTGGTTTGTTTGAATGCAATAAATTGATTGTCTTTTCCTACAAACCTCATCTCTTTGAAGCAATAGAAGACCCGCCGCATGGCTTCGCGCATCTGATCTACTCTCTAGCATAGGTCACTCTTTTTGTAGAAGGCGAAAAAAAAAAAAAAAGACATCCAGGAGTCACGATGGTTAACCAAAGCAAACACCTGACAGCAGTCCATGAACTGTGGAAGATTTTACGACAGCGCAAGGCAGAGGGCAGCTTTGAACTGGATGGAGAGCGCCTGCACATTGCCGAGGTCGTTGCTGCTGCTCAGTACGGAGAGCACCCAATCTGAATCATAAAGGAGGAAGATATGCTAATTCTCTAATTTAGACAAGACAGCCTGCCGAAGCTCAGTGAAGATCCGAAACTCAATAAATCCTTGCAAGACAGTGTAAATGTATTATTCGACCATCTGGCGCAAGGATGGTACGTATATGGTGCGTGTTATCCGTTGAATTGTAGTTTGAATAATTGTGTGCATAATACAAAAAATGACCCTGGGAATGTCTAATCTTTTTGTCTGCGCAACAGGCGTCAACACCGGGTTCGGAGGCAGTGCAGATTCGCGCACCACGGAGGTCATTGAGCTGCAGAAGTCTTTGATGCAGCATACCCAGAGTGGTATTTTGACGCGATCATCGCTCGATGGCTCAGTCATTCCGGGGCATGCCATGCCGCCGTCATGGGTGCGCGCTGCCATGGTTGTGAGATGCAACTCTACACTACGGGGTCATTCGGCTGTCTCATTTCCCATTATTAAAGCTATGGAAAGACTCCTAGAACATGGCCTCACTCCTGTTGTCCCACTGCGTGGCTCAGTTTCAGCTTCTGGTGACCTTATGCCTCTCGCCTATGTTGCTGGCAGTTTGGAGGGTAACCCAGACATCCTCCTCGAGAAAGATGGGAAAGTAAAGCCATCACATCTGGCTTTGCAGGACGCAGGAATTCCACCAATATCCCTAGGTCCGAAGGAGGGTCTTGGTCTTATCAACGGAACATCTGCATCTGCAGGTCTTGGAGCTCTGGTTGTGGCCGAGTCACATCTACTTTCATTGCTGACACAGGTTTTGACGGGTGGTGCTGTTGAAGTAAGGCAAACATCGTAATCGATAGATTTAACTCAGCCTTACTAATGTTTGGGGCATAATTAGGCACTCCGCGGAAGCGACGAAAGTTTCCATCCTTTTATAGCAAAGTCACGACCGCACCCTGGTCAGATTGAATCTGCACGCAATATTCACTACTTTCTTCGCGGTTCTCACTTGTCTCGAGACGTGCTCGAACCAAAGAATCGCCGGCGTGAAGACCTAGTTCAAGATCGATATTCTCTTAGAAGCGCTCCTCAATGGATTGGACCGCAGCTGGAGGACTTGCTGCTGGCAGATCAGCAAATCAGCATCGAGCTCAACTCTTCTTGTGACAATCCACTTGTTGATAGCAGCGCCAATGATATATACTACGGCTGCAACTTCCAAGCTGCGGCTGTTACATCAGCCATGGAGAAAGTCCGACTGGCTTTACAGATGTTTGGGCGGATATTGTTCGCACAGAGCACGGAGATGATTGATCCTCATCTAAGCGGTGGCTTGCCCGCGAATCTTGCCGCAGATGACCCAAGCCTGTCCTTTACTATGAAAGGAGTAGATGTCAACATGGCTGCCTATATGGCCGAGCTATCTTATCTAGCTAACCCAATGAGTTCGCATGTACAAGCAGCGGAGATGCACAACCAGTCAGTCAATTCTATGGCTCTTGCCTCGGCGCGAATGAGCTTTGATGCCGTAGACGTCTTGAAAAAGATGGCGGCATGTAGTGTGTTTGTTGTTTGCCAGGCGTTAGATTTGCGATCTCTCCATATCGAATTCGTGACCCAAGCTACCAAAACCATTTCCGCTATCACCGAAACGTTCTTCTCTGCTATAATTGAAGCTCAACAACTGATATCCCTTCAAGACGCCTTGAAGACCCATGTTGGCCCTGCCTGGGCAACCACCGGAAAGCTAGACCTGCATGTTCGGTCCGAACTATTGATAAATTCAGCTGTACCAATCGTCCTCTCCCATGCGTCTGGTGATATAAAGAATGTTTTAGAGTGGCAGAAACAGACCACAAATGCAGTCTCTGACCTTTGGAAAAGGACCTTTGACGCCTTCTCGGCTGCGCCTCATACTGCAACGCTGCTGGGTAAAGGTTCTCGGGTACTCTATGAATTTATCCGAAAGACGTTGGGTGTCCCTTTCCACGAGGGTTTTGTAGAACATCCCACATTTGATAACGACACTCTGAAAGGCAGAGCTAAGAAGACAATTGGTGGGTGGATATCCATCATCCACGCCAGCATCGAGGATCGTTCGATATATGATGGGTTACTGGCTCTTGTCGAAGAAGGGCTGCTGAACACAACCAATGGAACAAGCGAGTAATGTGTAGTTGGCTTTTCGACAGTGTCAATATTCTAATAGAGACGAACGCGGGAAGATAAATGAATTGAATGAAAGATAATACTTCTCATGGTTTTATATGAACATCAATGACTTCTATTCCTACAAAATGAGTTCATATCTACCGCTAGTCGCTATATAATCAAGTATCCCTAGAGTCGTAGCATACGTAGTATAGATTCATCGAGATTTACCACATGCAAATCCTAGACCATCCATATTCCAGCTTGCTTATAGACTAATGCTTGGCTGTATCTTTAGATCGAACTATACCCCTCATTCTCTTCAATCACTTCACCGCCGAATCCTAACTTGAATTTCACCGTTCCTTCAACCGCCGGCTCCCAGGGATGTCGATGAAGTGCAAAGGTCTCCATTTCCGGGACCGGAATACGAGGAAATAGGCCTAACTTGACAACGAACATCCCGGGTAGATTTTCAGACGTGGAATTGATTGGACTAGTTGGCTTTTAATATTATGTGCATCATGTCAATTAGAGAAGTCAGTTACGCACCTCCCATCTCTTGCGCAGAAATACCGAACTATGGGCACTCCGGAAGTTGTCGCGTAGTCCGTATACGTCTTCAGCGTACCCTCTGTATCCTGTATCTCGACCTTGTCGCTCTCAATCACGATATTTGGGGCCACATGACTGCCCGACACCTTTCGGCAGTTTTCGCAGTGGCAGAGATGGCCACGGCGCTTGGTGAACAGCTCGTCGTCGTGGATGGTAACCCGGACTGCGCCGCAGAGACAAGTGCCTGTTAAGCCATTTGCAAACTGAGAAATGTCGCGAGCGTTGGGATCGCCAGTAATTGGATTAGGCATTGTGTTATCCGTGGCTGAATCTGTGTAAAAATTGCACGAAGTAGAAGTATAGTCAAGTGTTGCACAGCTTGCCATCTGCAGATCTCTGTACTGGTTCCACAAAAACCTACAAATCAGCGAAGGATTCAGAGATACATAGATTATTTAATACGGAGCACGTAGTCAGCTTAGGATAGTTACAACTACTTAGATAAGAAGCTTGTAAATAGGAAGAATAAATTCAATTAAATTTACCATTATGATCATTTTCACTTCACCATTACCACATATTCAACACTTGAATATACCACGGCAACCATAGCAACATTAAATCACAAAGTATTGTCATCCAACAGTTCAAGTTTGTTTGTTTGTTTGTTCGATCTCATGACATCCATAGTACGAATATTCGCATCGACAGCTTCCTTTCTGGCCTGTTGCACTCATCACCGTCTGACGAATATTGACTGCACTTTTCAGCAGAGACAACGGGCTTCTAGAACACGGCGAGAACAGCCATGATAGCAGCCACAACAGCGCTTCCAGGCGGTGCAGTGATGACCGACGCAGCACCGGTAAATATTGGTGGTGCTGTGCTTGTAGGGATTTTAGAAGCTGTAGGGGCTGGAGTGGTCGCAATTGCACTGATGCTAGGCAGTGTTTCTACCGGTGGTACCGGGGCGATAGAGGGGGCAGAGGGGACAGAAGGAGTAGGTGTGGCACTCTCAGTCTCATTCTCTGGCGGAGGCACGACGGGGGTAGTCTCGCTAGCAACACTGCTAGAGCAAGGTATCGTGACAATCGCGGTGGTAGTGGTGCTAGGAGGAGGAGGAGGAGGAGGAGGAGGAGGTGTGGATGTAGTGCAGGGCTCCGTTTCCGTGGAGGTAACAGCAATCGATGTAGGGGTCAACGTTGAATTGGAGATAGATACTGGAGGCGGTGGAGGAGGAGGCAGGCTCGTGCTCGTAATACAAGGCTTGGTAGCTGTTGTAGTAGTACCTACGATGGTCGAATTCCAATCGCGAGGGAAATGTGGACGAGCGCTCACCACCGCAGCAAGGCCTAATGCCAGGAGGATGTCGTAGCCGAGCTTCATTCTTATCTCCCTCGTTTTGTGTCTTGTTGGATATGTATATTCCTTGTTATGAGAACGAGTCCTATGCAGGAACGAGCGTAGCTGTTGTCAACAACAAACCAACGAACGAGTGGGAGGAACGAGAGCGGATATGAAGTTTCAACAACGAAAGAGCGATTCCCTTAGTTTCTTCCTATTTCTCGTGATTTATTCTCTTCCCTTCTACATGCCGCGTCACCCTCTCATCATTATATAGACAGCCGCACCAAGCCTCCGCCCAAGCTACCGGGCGGTGATAAAGATCCCAGCCATAGAGCATACAGAATTTTCAAAGCCAAGCACAAAGTATACCACAGCGTAGAATGCTGTCGAAAAGAGAATAAGTTAGTGACCCCTCCCTGTACTGTCTAGTGAGACATGCTGCACGACCCTATTGGATCACTGCGGCTCTACAAGTGACAAGTCGGTAGATGTTTAGCGGATAGCCAATCATTAAAGTAGCCGCTGATGGGATGTCGAGTTTGGTCTTTTTGCTCGAGCCATGGAATCATGGAGCTGACATCATAGCCCTAAAGGTGAAGCAGGGTTGAATAAGCATGCATGTGTTCTTGCTTGGATAGGCGGAGGGCATCCAAAACAAGACGAATAGGAGTTCAGCTATTTCAACTTGTATCTACCGCTAGATAATGTAGTGTCTCTTCTAGTATACTCACTCTTCGTTCTGTACTTTTCAAAATGTCGGCTGATTTCAAACATGCTGTCCGGCCACCAGTCCTCATCCCTATTCCACAAAGGCATCGGCCATCGTGCATCGTTTCTAAAGGTCACAATCTGTTCAAGCTCCCAAGCTCCAAGGTCACCAATCCACCACACACCATCCAGCAGCATAACCAGAACAAGCCAGTGGGCGAATATTCCAACAGCAAGCTGGTGCGCTATACTAGGCTCCGACGTCCAGGTTATCTGGTCACCATCCGATGCATCCGTCTGAATGATGCTGTGCATCTCTTCAACTAGGTTTAGGTATTTGGTTGGAACTCTGTGGACGAATGCCATGATGAATCTTCGAGGAAGAGGCGAGGGCACCGTGGATGTTATGCTGGCTGTATATCTCCGCAACCAGGAGGAAACTTCTGACAATTGTCCTACCGGGTCTACATCGACGTCGAAATCGAGTGGTGTGCTACGAATCAACTCGTGAGTAGGAAAGGTCTCTGCGACAATATTGTTCAAGATCCTCAAGGCAACAAAACATGCCGCGATGTCAGCATTGCCGTGGATAGGTGTCGTTGTCAAGCTATCGCGACCACCCATTCCGTTGCATGCTTCAAGAACGGCCAGCTCCCTGGCCCTTTTGCGCAACTTTTTCAGTGCTGGGCCTACCGTAGCATCCATGATTGGATACAATGCATGATTGATTGGGTTTCTGTGCTGCTCTACCCGAGATGAAAACTGATATTCGTATTGTATTTGGGAACCGCTCCTCGCCGTAAGGTGATCGGGCGAATGATCTCCACTAGACCGTACTGTATGTTCCGTGGACTGAGTGTCTTTGAGGAGTCCGTCGTAAGCCACATGAACAGCGCGAAAGAGTCTAATCCACTGCGAGTGCCGGGGCATCAAATCTTCCTGCAGCTGTTCATTTAATGTTGCCGTTTTAGCCAACCAGATGCGTGCACAGTGGCTACCCGAACCGTACATTCCCATCATCGCCGCATTAGCTAAAATATAGTCATAGTGCTTGGTCTGGGGAAGTGTGGCCTGAATCTCTCGTACTGATTCCATGTGATATCCGTTTGCAAGTGACAGAAGCTCAATCACTTGGCTGCGGTCTTGATGTGATGCTGAGGGCTGATTGATGATATCAAGACATCGACATATTGCCGATAGTGCCAGTACGGATTTCATGAGAGGCTGACTCTTACAGGCTAAGTTTGGAATGCCGATCTGCAGAGTATGCTGCTCTTCAGCACCAACGGTCAGATCCTTGCTGGTATGTTCGAGGTAGTGCTGAAATAGCTCGAAATCTATAGGCGCAAGCGTCTGTGCTGCCTCTAATAGCAAGGCGGAATCAATCCCTTGGTCCTGTCTCGAGGGGGCGAGTAGCAGTTGAGATGAAGCGAGGCTTGATATTGATGACAGTGGACTTCCGGAAATTGCAGGCGAATGATCAGAATTTGAAGGACTACCAATCCCATAGTCTGCTTCGGATCTGTACCGCAAAAGTAATTGGTCTATTGGCTCTACTAAAAGCCGATCCGGTAACACAGAGCCGGGTCTTATTTTAGGATATTGGCAGTTTAGGTTCATCTTCTCGCATCTGGAGCATTTGGGTGAACGCTCGTCGCACTATATGCTAGCATTAGAAATGCGTCAACTTGAATTTTTCATCTTGAGTTTTGTGCATACCTTGATCCTGCGCTTTTTGCATTTTGAGCACCCGTACCTAGACTTTTTGTGTGATCTGCGCGTCCTGAACCCACCAGCCTCGGAACTTGAAGTTTCGTTCATGTTATTGTTGTTCTTCCACATTTTGCACGGCTTTCTTCATCGTAGTTGCAGGGTTTGTGAAACTTGTTCTTCATTGTTATATGCACGGGTCAAGATATCAGTCAACTGCGTTCCTTATACGACCTTCCCATGAAGAAACGGCATTTCGGTACACAGCCTCATATATTTGGAATTCGTGAAGAATCATCTTTGCTATTCTACGTCATGAGAGCTGAAGCTGAGAAGCTTGGCATCAGACCGAGGCCTCCAAAGGCCCTGGTTCAACTCAGTTTCTCCTAGTCTTCGCTGTTGTACGCCCTACTCCGGGCCGGCCCAATGACAAATCTCGAGAGTCTAAGCCTCAGCACAAATTCTTGAATGGGGTTGGCAAGCATCTAACTAACCAATCATCCTGAGCTTCATGCAAGTGCGTATTCGGTAGCTTACGAATACGCTGTCTCGCTAGCTAACTTAGGACACTTATTAATTTGTACGAGCCGGCCAATAAGATGGTACGACCTACGACTTGGAAGCTTAAAAGGGGTTTCTAATTTTCTACGAACTCGAGCTATATGTACGCCAAAAGCCCAATGATTGAGTCGGTGGCTTAGGAAAAGTAACTTTGAGGCATAGGACCCTAAATGGCGGTTTGAAGAATGATATTCTCTTATTCCTACGTTCTATAGCCTAAGTACCAATGCATCATCCATGGAGAAATAAACAATCTTTCTCCGCGGCTCACACTAAAGAGAATATTTCCAACTCTCCTCAGCACTGGCCCAACCCTCAAGAAAATTCGGCATCGCGGTCTGCACCGTATTCTCTGTACGGAATCCAGTTACGGCATTCTTGAGACATCCGGCTCTTGGTCCCGGTGCACCGGACAACCGATCTTTAATCCACGGTAGCCACTTCATTTGGCTAGCTTGGATGCTTGGAAAATGATCCATGGCTGAGTAGGAGACAAACTCCAGCGACTCGTTCCAATGCTCCTGTTTCAACATCTTGCAAGTATCGTCAACCGCAGGCTCAACTGTGTCAAGTGGGACTACAATGTCGGCCTCTCCAGAGACAACAAGCAGCGGACCCTTGAACTGCTTTCGGCCACTTTCCGCTAATTCGGCGTACTTCTGAACCTCAGGAGCGTCATACCAATTGGGCACTACCAGTTCGTCGACGGTCACATTCGTGAATGCAAGGCTATCTGTCGGGAGGCAACCATCCAATGGCTCCAAGACGTTGAACCATCTATCATATGACACGGGTGTCAGACCCGAGTAATTATACGAAGGGAAAACAGCAGTCACTGCAGCTATGAGTTTCGGCTGTCCGGCAATGATGACCTGAGCCCATGGTTCCGTGATATTACTAAAAGCATTTCTCAGATGGTCAAAGGTCCGTGTGGGAGGTGCAATAGCAACGGCACCCTTATATCCAGAGATAGGTTCCTTGACCTGCTTTTCCGCAAAAGCCCAAGTCGCTCCGCCTCCCTGAGAATGGCCCATAGCGACGAAGGGGCCGTCGGCTGTCAGCAAACTGGGAAACGCTTTCCGGGCTGCTATTACGGCGTTAGCCAGATCGTTGGCCTGTGCCGGTCCACTCAGCCAAGGGTGTCCTATTTTCCGTCCATTCGGTAAACTGTTGACGCCGAGTCCGGCATAGTCTGGAGCAACAACCGCCATTCCCTGTAGAGCGAGGAGGAAGGGGGCCATGAAATGGTATTGGAGGTTGCGGTAGTTACTTGGTGCGCAGCCTCTCAGTTCACCAGAGGTACCATGAGCCCATGCCACCATTGGATATCCTTGGCCTTTATCATCATGACAGCTAGTTTCCAGTGGTGCATAAGGCCACAAAACATACGCGGAAGCCGGGAGAGTGGTACCATTCAGATCATTGGTGGTGTATATAATGCGAGACATGGTGAGACCGCTAGGGACGCTGTAATTCAAGAGTTGGGTGGCCGGCTCGACAGTGAGGAGGCTTCCTGGAGCAAGGTCGTATGAAAAATTGAGCGGAGTTTCGTAGAATGAGAAATCACGAGAGGCGTGCTGGTCAACTTCCCACGATGAACCATTTTGCGCAAACTCCTGGCAGAGGGCATTGCAAGTCAAGCTGGTGCCGGTGCAAGCAACGATGAATACGCCAGCCCCAATAAGAGCCATAGGCAAGAGGAAGCTAAAGTGCGAATGCATCTTGTATTCAGTGTACAAATATGCGTCGGATGTAAGTCAAATAGATAGTTCTATTCTTGTGATATCAGCAGGAGACCGGGAGTCGCTCTCTATATATACCTTTCATTGCAAGGCTGTCAAGCCTTCATGATTCCCATATTCTCGCTGTACAATCCAGCGTCAATAATACACTTACCGCGAATGGATGAAAATGGTCATGATTTGGAATGAATCTTAGATGCTTACAGCGTAGAACGACGGCGATGATGATGAGCCAAGCGACTCCGCCTCGTATATCTCATACATCGGGACTGACATCTCATAAATTGAAGCTCTGAACGTACTAAATGACTTTTAATATTCGCGTATAGAATACGCTTTGTCTATGAGGCTGAATACGCTGTGTCGCTTACTACGGATACGCCGTGGCTTAGTACGCATACGCTCTGTGAACACGGGTGTCTACACTCATCTACAAGTATATATATGCTGGTTATCCATGAGGGAAAATCGCGATCTGATCAAATAACACAAAAAAAAAAGCTACTATACTCGAAATCATGAAAATCACTTTGTTCCTCGAGATATGTCTATTTAGTCTTGCCGCATATGGCTGGCAACACCCGCCTATAGGCCACGAATGGCATCCACCAGTTCCAGGAGACAGTAAGTCTTTTTTTTTCAGTCTCTTTGCACAAACCCGCTGACAAGACGGTGCATAGGTCGCTCACCCTGCCCTGGCCTCAATGTAATGGCAAATCACGGCTTCCTCCCCCGTTCAGGCAAAAACATCGATTTGGCCGCTGTCCGATCAGGAGTAAGTCAAGCCTACAACTTCGCTCCAACTACATTCGACAGTGCCTTTGAGCAAGCGGTGGCCTTCAACCTTACGACAACGGGGAATATCTCGACTTTCAACCTGGAGGATCTCAAAAAGCACGACGCCGTCGAGTTTGATGGGTCATTGTCGCGCAACGATGCCTACTTCGGAGATGACCATACCTTCAACCATGCTATTTGGTGGACTACAGCCCTGAGACTTGGCCTATATGATTATGGAGCCTTTGGGAAGGATAAACATGTTACTGTCGAGGCGGCAGCGCGAGCCCGTGCTGCTCGAGTACGGGATGCCTTGGAGGTTAATCCCGAATTCAATGCCTCTGCAAACGAAATGACCGGTAGTCCCGGTACAACAGCTCTTTATTTGACGACACTGTGGGATAACGGGGCAGATGCAGCTCCAAAGTCATGGGTTAGAGCCTTTTTTGGTAAGATTTCCTTGCTGTTGTTGTCCGCTTTCGTAACTGATGTCACATGTGCTGATAACAGAGTTGCACAGAGAACGAACGCATCCCGTATCTTGAGGGATACCAGCCGCCTGAAGTGCCGAGGACCAATGTTACTATTGCTGAAATGTTTGCAAGAGTCAGTGCAGTCAATGTTTCTGATATACAAAACTAGATCCTTGTCGATGTGTTCACCACTCATTTTCCGTGCATGATGATTTCAAAAGCCCGTCCTTTCTTTCGTTGTTGTGATTTAATCAAGATCCCATCTACTAGTCGAAACAGGATTCATATGAGAAGGCTTCCTTGTAATGGCTATGTCTCTACATGTCCTTTAGTTTCTTACTTCCAAACCTTGCAGAGCAAGAAAACACAGTTTGGCGCAAGCCTCATCTGACAGCGTAGCAAAGCAGATAATCAATTGAAACCAATGATTACAATTGAATCAATAATTATTCTGCAAGTACCTGCCGTATCGTCTGCTAAATTTTACCGAATATACACGAGAAATATTGGTTCCCAGGGGTTTATTCGATGATGTGCATATCCATAACGCTAGTTGTATAGTCATGTAATCCTCGTACGACTTTGGAAAGTCTGCAACGCTACATGGTGATCCCGAAGCTAATCTATATATACTCTCACTAGTAATAATTGATTTTTTCTTCAGGAAATCATCTTTTGTTGAGTGTCACCGTGGTATAGCAAAACCTCCCGACCGCTCGCAGATCTAGAACACGATGACGATCAATAGCAAACCAACCATGAATCCATCCAAACCCAGAAGCAATGGTATTGTCCTGGTTGAACAAGTAAATATAAGCATTATAATGAACAGTAAATACGAAACAACTAAGATTCCCACTGCACATAAATCAAGGGCGTGTAGTACTCCCCCGCAAGATTCACGGTGTACGTCAAATAAATCGCATTCTCCGAGGCATTTGCCAACAAACCAGGATGTGCCTGCAGCGTATACGACTCGGTAACATACTCTGCCGAGTAGAAATTAGTAGGCTCAGTCCACGGCCCCTCTGGCGACGCGGCAGTCGTAATATAAAAATCCGGAGCGATGCTTATGCCTGCCTGTCCGATCCAAACATACAGACCCCAAACACTAGAGTAGTAGAAGGTGCCCTGCCCCCCGGCGCCGGCATTCGCAATGGCAATATCGGTATCGTTGACACCCGGGATGGTGCTTGTCCATTCGCCATTCACGTAATACTGGTATGCGGATTTGTCGGTGACCGAGCCAACGGCGACCTGCGCAAGAGCCACCGTGCCGGCCGCGTTTTGTCCATAGAGGTATGCGACGTCGTCGACTACGACGCCGCCGTAGGTGCCGTAGGGCATCTGGTCTGTTGTCCAGAAGTTCTCCTGTACGGTGGTCACGTTCGGCAGACCGGTTGAGTCCCCGTTGACGGATGGATCGTAAGTGATCTGGTACAGCGTCGCGGCAGGATCGGCGACGAGGGTGACGAATTCATCGGTAATATGTGCCTCAGTAATCCATGTGAAAGCCTCGATGATGCCGGTGGTGGCATCCTCGCTTGTCACGAGGGGCGGACTGTTAGGCCAAATGACATAACGTGTATTGTCCGAGCATGCGCCCGCGGTGTTTGTGTCGCATTCGTCAGCCAGGATAGGGAAGAAAGGTTCTTCGTAGTTGTCGCCGGAGCATAGCAGGCCTGTCTCGGTGTTGCCGGCAGCATCTGTCCATGATTGGATGAGGGGAGTACCATCAGAGGAGAATTCGGTCCACGATGCTGAGCTAGAGTAAATAGGTAGCGTCGGTACGCCGTTGGCATATGGCTGCGAGTCTCGGCATGTCCATAGTTCTCGACTTCCAAATCTTGCAGAACAGCAAGAGTCACGGTCGATGGTAGGATCTGACACGTTACCAATAAGTTGTGGAGTGCCGGATACTGTTGGGATGAAGGTAGCTCTAACCTGGGCTGCTCCAAGCAGCGCAGCTGAAGCTAGAGACAGGAACATCTCTCAAGTGATTATGTGTACTTCTCCTGCACCTAGACATACGCAAAGAAACACGACCTATGCTGGATAGTCCCGCCTTTATATGCGTCAGTCATCACGATTGCTTTTTTTTTTTACGCACTTTTCTGGCCTCCGCGAGTGGCTGTTCTCATAGTTGTAGCACCATTACTCGCCCCCAGAACTAGGTATGCTACATTGCCACGTGAAGTCGATAAACGTTCAAATGATTAGTTTGAGTATATGTACGCCTGTCAGAAAATAGCATGGAAAAAATGCTACGTAGACAGCGCGGCTAATCTTACCATACATACGAAGATACGTTCGGACCCCATGTCTGCCAATAGCACACTCGAACTTGGATGTCAGAAGTAAGGAATCAAACTGATCTTTTGAAAAGGCGGTTCAAGGTGACTTTTTAAAAACATACTAAATAATGACTGCATAGACGCAGTTTTGAAGAGCCGTACATGCACCCCACAAAGTTGAGGAGCAAGCGAGAAATATCAAATCATTGACTTTGTACTATTAGTTTTATTGACCAGCCACTCAGAAAATGAAACACTACACGGAGATTGCCCCTGGGGGCCAACCATAGGTAGTATTAGACGAATATACTATGTAGCCTGTTCACTAGGATGTGAATTCGCAGGAATTAGATTTTATATAGCTTGATTTACGCTATGGACTGTGAAAGAATATGTAATCAGTATTCTTAGCTTAGTTACTACTTAAGTACCTCGTAAACAATAAACCTGCCTGCCCTAGACTAGTCCGAATTTAGCTCTGAAAACAGTTTCATTTAACCTCGCACACTATAACCGAAACATAAAATAATAATGATGAATCTATAACAAGTACGGAGTACTCCGTGGTAGATAATGACTTATTAGACAACCTTGATATCCTGCCGGAAACAGACGGAAGCTTAGTACATAGTAGTTTTCTCAACTTTGTTGTCACCATACTTTTTCTAATACAACCCCCTCGATCCACTCCGTCCAGTGTCCATCGCTGTAATTGAGTTCGTTCATCTTTCGATGCATGACAACAATATGACGCCGTAGTGCGAATACCTGTCAGTCTCAATAATTAAGAGTTTTAATCTACTTGCAATGAAATGGGGCGCAGCGAACCTAAACGCCTGGTTTAGAGAATAATTCGTATCTCCAACCTCCACTATCCAACATTTTACATCTCATACTATAAGCGGGGTAGTATTAAATATGCTTAGAAAGCGAGAGCTGCAGCAAACATGATGATCGCCACAGGGATGTTAATTGCATTTGACGACGGTGAAACTTTTTAAATACACAACGGCAATGCATTAGTGACCTGCACAAGCTGCGGCGATGAAGCAGTACATTACTCACCAATCACTTGACCTGCAATATTCATAGAGGAAGATGAAGAGGAGGTAGTTTGACACATCAGGGCGACTGGAAAGTTAGCAATTTAGACCTGCCACCACTGCCTGTAAGTTATATAGGTTTATAACTCACCCTCATCAGCAGCACGTCCAAGCATGCTCAAGTCTCCTGTATCTGTACATCGACTGATAATACAATTGGTAAATTTATTTTCGGGCGCAACAAGGTCGTTCTGATTTTCGAGGCGTTGACATATACATCTTAAGTCCGAGGTCTTGATGCTATTCTTTGCTTGCGTGCCGCAGTATGGGACGAATTGCACATCATAATATGTATCCATGCATGATTGGGCGCAGATGGGGAATTGGGACTCCCATTGCTGGAAGGAGATGCGTGTCGTCGTCGTAGTCGTCGCGGAGATGAACTTGGCGAGCAGGATGGTGATGAGGATGAGATTCATTATATTTTCTTCATCCCGAGTCAGTGTGTGTGAGTGTATAGCCCTCTGCGGAGAGGAACTGCACGTCTTATCTGCAAAAAGAATCAAAGTAGGTTCTACAAGTGAACGACATTGCAATCTTGAAACGGACAATACAAGTAACCAATCCTTCAGCGATTGCTGGAAGAAGCAATTGGCAGCATGCATCTGTCAAACCAGGTGTGCGGATACATGAAGATAATATGGCCAATAAACATATGCAGCTATCCAATAATGCATTTACTTGATGTAGCAAGAAAATGCATCCAATGTGTCACAACATAGGTATTATATAGTACAAGGTAGCACAACTCAACCGTTGATTCATATGGATAGCTGCTTCTCCTGACTTCTGGTAGGAAGAGATATATTCCGTAGATGGTATCGATTTTAGCCCATGGTTGTACTCCGTGGCTTAGCATACGAATGCCTGTCTGATGTGAACACGACGACGGAATTAAGAATGGTTATATATGTGTCAAATATGTATAGAAACTTGTATTAAAACATTATATGTTATAAACTATTCCTTAAATTAAACTACCATTAGCCCTCACCGTCTGCCCGGCCACCCACGAAGTACCAGACAGATAAACCACGGTCTCCGCCACCTCCTCCGGCGTACCCAATCTGTTAAAAGGGGACTGCTTCTTGATAATCTCAATCAATGCATCCGGCTTCCCCCTCATAAACAGTTCCGTCGCTGTTGGTCCCGGAGCAATTCCATTCACGATGATGCCCTTTGGCGCAAGATCCTTGGACAGGATGCGGGTAATTTGCTCAATGGCACCCTTGCTGGAGCAGTATGTCAATTGCGGAGCCATGACCGTGTTGGAGTGGCATAGCGAGGTGCTGAAAAAGACAATGTGTGATCCCGGAGCCATATGTGGTACGGCAGCCTTTTTATTTTTCCGCATTAGCTGAATAGAATTTTTGGATTTCACAAAGTAGAGTGCATACCTTTGCCAAAAACAATGGCCCCTTGACGTTGACCTGGAATACTCTATCGAACAGCTCCTCCGTCAAGTCGTCAAGGTTCGCGAGCGGCATAATGCCGGCGCTCGCGATGAGGATATCGATTTTCCCGAACCGCGCCACCGTCTGGTCGACAATGGTCTTGATGCCGCTGGTTGATCCTGCATCGGCCTTTATGGCAAGCGCGTTGTCGGCGCCTAGCTTGGTCACGACTTCTGCAGCCGCAGACTCGTCGGAGGAGTAGTTGATGGCGACTTTGGCGCCGAGAGCCACGAGTTGCTCGGCGGTGGAGCGGCCGATGCCCTTGGAGCCGCCTGTGATGAGGGCTACTTTGCCGGTGAAAGACATGTTTACCTTGATGTGATCGAGGTTGATTGAGTTATTCTTGTTCTTGTGTTATTTTTACTTCGTGGAAGCGTCCGTCTATTTATATGTGATGATACTCGGCTTTGTATACTCGGCTTTTCGGACATCCCGATGCAGAATTCCAGCGGTGTGTTCACAGCGCTAGCGCCTAAACAGGTTAGCTCCCGCTGCTAGTTCCGCAAGGCTTGCTGCAAACCGAGCAAACACCCCCGATATAGCGTATTTGTTGTGTTTGCTACTTTTGCTAAGCTTTGCATACCCCCCACCCATGCAAACAGGATTGGTTTGCACTCTCTTTTGCACTTTCTCTCTCTCTCTCTCTTTCTATTCTCAGAGACCGATCATTCAGCCTATCTTTAGGATTATGCCGTGTATCTGCATGGAAAACCCAGAGGGCGGGCAGAGCTCTTAACAAACTTGTACAGGAACAAGATTCAACAGTCTTTGTTCCTGGATCCTATCCATGGCCTGCTACTCCGTACTCAGTACCAGACAAGAAACTGCAAGCACATTCTCCCCAGCTGGCCTGGGAAGCGAGATGAGAGTTCCTCGGGCGTCTTATAAAGCCACCTGGATCTCAGCCGGAGAAAATTAGGGTTGTTAGGGTTAGTTGGGGTAGGTGCCGCAATCGACGAGCGGCCATTTGAGCATGAAATAAATTACAATTTCTGAATCCATAAGAGTTGATTACAATCTCAGCATCCATAAAAGTCAAATCAACTATGATTCAATCCTTACATAACTACAACTATGCGTGATAGCGTTTACTGTATACTTGCGCGTTGTGTGACCGGATTGCTGCAGTTATCTACGCACTAATGCACGCGCCGTACAGAGTAAACAGAGCAAATGCATGTCGCGAGATCCATGGTAAATGAGCGCAAAAGTCCTTCCTAAAAGAGACGCAAATTGACTTCCTCAAGGTTACATGTGCTCCGCAGCTGGGCTAATCGTGCAATCAGAGGGATCGCCCCTGATTGATGCGGGGAGGATGCTCCATAGATACTGTGGTAACTTATATTTGACGAACTTGCTAGTATCTGTGACATGTTGCTTGTATTATACGAAATACAAATCCTGCTGCGAGACAGGCGTCCTTGGCATGTATAACCATGACTATGTAATCATTCCGTTGTATTACGGCGTGATATACAAGCCCGACACAGACGTCAAAAAAAAAAATAAATAAATAAATCGTCGTCGTCGGCGGATTATCTTATCGAGTGATCGGCGGCGGGTGTAACGCTGTCGACCTTCCTGTTTCGATGCATCTGCATATGCTACGGACCGCTTGTCGATCCACCATAAATAGACAGCTGTTGCCCGTGCAAAACATCCCTGCGCAATCCAGTCGTCTACTTCAAGCGTGACAAGACTTCCCTTTCAACATGAGCCGCAGCCTTCTCCTCGGCGCCGGCCTGCTGGCGCAATTGGCCGTCCCTGCTCTCGGTGCTGCTGCGCTGGTGGCCCATGAGTCCCTCGCGAGCCTGCCCTCGGGCTGGACCAAGGTCAGCACTCCAGATGCAGACACCACCATTCAGCTGTCCGTCGCACTGGCCCTGCAGAATGTCGACCAGCTTGAGAGCACGCTGCAGTCTCTCTCGACCCCCGGCAATGCCGGCTACGGCCAGTTCCTGGACGTGGACGACATTGCTTCTCAGTTCGGACCTGCCAATTCGTCCGCCGAGGCCGTGACCAGTTGGCTCCAGGAAGCCGGCATCACCCAGATCTACAACTCGGGTCAATCGATCAACTTTGCCACCACTGTCAGCAAAGTAAGACTTGCTCTTAGAAGAACGCGGTTTCATGAAAGTGGTGTGTGAGTGATGGGCGCGCTGACAGTTGCGGTAACAGGCAAACAGCCTTCTCGGGGCCGACTTCAACTACTACTCTGATGGCGGTGCAGCCAAGTTGCGTACTTTGTCGTACTCCGTCCCAAGCGACATCAAGTCCGACATTGACCTCATCTCGCCCACAACTTACTTTGGCAAGACCTCTACCTCTCGCGCCATTAAAACATACAAGAGCAAGCGCTCGCCCTCGACTACCACCACGTCGTCCAGCTCGGCTGTCTCCGTGGCCGCTTCCTGTCAGACATCCATCACACCTGCGTGCTTGAAGCAGATGTACAATGTCGGAAACTATACCCCCAATGCCCAGAGCGGCAGCCGAGTAGGCTTTGGAAGCTTCCTGAATGAATCCGCCATCTATGACGACCTGTTCGACTATGAGGAGGTCAACGGAATCCCGTTCCAGAACTGGACCAAGGTGTTTGTCAATGACGCACTCAACTCTCAGGACCCAAATGCCGGTTACGATGGCGAGGCCAACCTCGATGTTCAAAACATCGTTGGCGTCTCCCACCCACTGCCTGTGACTGAGTTCCTTACCGGAGGAGCACCGTAAGTTTCCTCTTTTGGTTCTTTGTATATCGAGAGAGAGATATATATGGAACATAGGATGAGATTGACAACCAACTAACTTGTCATGACAGTCCGTTCATCCCTAGTCTGGATACGGCAACTGACGACAACGAGCCCTATCTCCCGTATTACGAGTATCTTCTGTCCCAGAGCAACGCTGATCTGCCGCAAGTCATCTCTAACTCATACGGTGACAATGAAGAGACTGTGCCATATCTGTATGCGATTCGCGTTTGCACCTTGATTGGATTGACTGGATTGAGGTTAGTTATACGAAACCTTTTTCACTAGCGCTTATCAATGCTAACTGATGTCTTTCAGAGGTATCTCTGTCTTGGAATCCAGCGGTGACTTGGGTGTTGGCGACGGATGCTTGAGCAACGACGGCAAGAATACCACCCAATTCGAGCCCATTTTCCCTGCAACCTGCCCCTACGTGACCTCAGTCGGAGGTACCCAGGCCGTCACCCCAGAGGTTGCATGGACTGCCAGCTCCGGTGGATTCAGCAACTACTTCCCCCGCGCCTGGTTCCAGGAGGCTGCTATTGAGACCTACCTAGACAAATACATCAGCAGCGAGACCAAGGAATACTACTCCCAATACACCAACTTCGGCGGCCGTGGCTTCCCCGACATTTCCGCACACAGTCTCCTTCCCGACTATGCCATTGTGTACAGTGGTGTCGTTGGTCCCAGTGGCGGTACCTCGGCTGCTTCTCCCACCTGGGCTGGTATCATTGCCTTGCTGAACGATGCTCGTCTGGCCGCTGGCAAGTCCACTCTCGGCTACTTGAACCCATTCTTCTACGCCATTGGCTTCACTGCCCTCAACGACATCACCGGCGGCGGTTCCGTTGGCTGCAACGGTATTGACGGCCAGAGCGGCGAAGCCCAAGCCGGCGGCGGCATTGTCCCCTACGCTTCGTGGAACGCTACCGTGGGCTGGGATCCAGTTACTGGCCTTGGTACCCCCGACTTCCAAAAGTTGAAGGAGCTTGTGCTGTCCTTTTAATTATGTGTAGTCGGGAGTGTAAATAGTATTATTTGCGACGTCTTGTATAATGACTTGATAGACTTGTTCATAGATCTACTCCTTAAATCTCAGAACACATCCATCCAACGCATCACTTCATTCGTAAATTAGAGTACTATTCGTAATAGCCCCAAACCTAGATCACTAATCTTGTCTCCAGCCATAACTAAGTAGAAGGCAAGAGACCATTCACCATGTCTATTGTCATGCGACAGTTTGAAAAATCATAACCCTGAGGTACCTAGCTATATATATAGCCCTTCATCTACCTACCCCGCTGGATGTATAGCTAATGTATCTAGCATGTAAACCACATTGGAACTTGACGAGATACTACATATACCTGTATTTAGCCTCTTCCTATCTCCGCGCCCACATAATGGCGCATGTTGCATGCACATACTATACACAGGTGTCATTGTTCTTCTGCATTGCGAAATAATAACCTAGGAAGACTATGTGGTATCGGATTGATCACCATAGGACCTAGGTAGTTAATAGGTCGTATGAAACGTACTTATCTAGTACGTACTATTACTATAGTTAATGCTATTGATCACTCTAACTATGTGTATAATAAGGATTATCGTTCCGGGTGATAATTGGTTGTGATTGGCGCGCGGGGCAATTAGACGATGCTACTCTGTGACCATTCTCGGCCCCTCGTCGGATGACCGGATGATAACATGTGGCAGGGGGGTATTTTCAGATGATTCGAGGTATGTTTTATGAATTGTGCGGATGGAAAAGCATCCATGGCGTAGATAGGAAGATTGAGGAACATAGGATATATATATTCGTTCTTCTTTACTGTTCTGCTTGGGAGAATATATTATTAGATTAGGTGCATCGGATAGATAGAGAACCAGCAAATGCACCTTTAAGCACACTAAACTTCATAGCCAAAAGCCTAAAGTACTTGTCGAGTACGGTCCAGTCAGAAGTCGAATCCCCTGACCTAAATGCGCACTAATTATATTGCGTAGTAGCACTTATCCCCCACCGTTGTTTTCTTATTCTGCAGGCCAATAGCTCAGTCAGGGCAGTCAGTCGTCATCAGGCCAGGACCATAATGCTCATTCCGTGTTTGAGCTCTCAGCCAGGGTTCTCTCCCTCGTTTGGGTAACACCAACATGGCTCTTAGCCCCGTTTGGCATGAATCCTCCATCGCACGAGAGAAAAGGATGGCGTTATTTATTCTGATGTCAGTAAGGTTTGCACGAGGCTGAGCTTGCGGCTTTCGCAGTCTATAGCCGTATAGTCAATGTGTAGATATCTAGGCACGCAGACATGCCACGCGTTTCATATATGTCCTCGGCATAAGAAGCAAACTAGGTGCGCCACGCACTGCTACCGTGCCGTGTCAGTTGTAAAAAATCATGGGTGTGCCTCGCATGTCATTCCAACATCTCATGCGCAGACCGCCGCTGATCAAGCCCTAGCTACTACTTGTAGCCTAGTTGACTAGTCTGCTATACTGGAGATTGGCAAGGCGAAGGTAACATGAACGATTCCATCTGAGTACGTATCTAGTTAGATGACATGCAGATCTTCTTGGATATTATTTCTTCCCACATTCCTCCATGCTAACATACTTGCATCATCCCTAATAGGTAAAATTAGCATGAGCTTAAAGCCTCAATTCCTACTAAAGTAGTTTAGTCAGCTCTTGCTCATCCGTATAAGTTAGGCCACGCGCGCTAAACTAAGGGAACGTTGCATCTTGCTTGTCTAAACACCGAGCATCCATATCTTGTATTTGCCTTATCGATTGAGATCGTCCGTTTCATTCAGAAAACCGCGGGCTTGCGCGGTGCCATGGCCCTTCAAACGACGAAACCGTCACAGTCATTTGGTGAATTTTCCTACGCACATACAAACAACCCCTCAGACCCGAGGACTACAACCTTACAAGAGCCAGGGCTACTGTATCATGTGTCCCGTTGCATTCACCCAACCGTACCTAGTACTAAACTATCCACTCGAGGATATTCCGTCCCGCGTTTGGAAGGGTCAAAAAAATGTATATTATTTATACTGTTTGCTTTCCCTCCCTCTTCCATTGTTTCTTTCTCTGTTTCACTCGAGCCAGGTACTCGCACAATCAGACACTCCTTCTGAACAACCAAGGTGGTCCTCGACGGATCTTCCCAGTCCCCTCCTTATCTACTTCTAGCAAGTACTCTTCATTGTACATATTGAAATATACCCTCCCTTACCCCTTTACCTGTACATACTATATATTATCCCCCACAACATGCGTTCCTTCAGTTTGCTTGCCGGCCTCAGCCTTCTGGCTGGCACCGTCTTGGCAAGTCCTGTCGACCTCCCCAGACGCACGACTTCGACCGGCAAATCCGTGCTGTACTGGGGCCAGAATGGCGGTGGAGTTGAGGAGAACAACGACCCTGGCACATACTGCAACGGCACCGCCGGTGTTGATATCCTGATCCTTTCCTTTTTGTACCAGTACGGAAATGGCGTCACCGTTCCCGGAGGGTTGTTTGGCCAAACCTGCCAGGTTCTTTCGAATACTGGAAGTGCCCAGGGCTGTGATGAAGTTGCTGCTGCTGTCACCACTTGCCAGGAGAACGGTATCCAGGTATTCCTATCAGTCGGAGGCAGTCTTGGTGGCTACTCGCTCTCTTCTATCGAGGAAGCTGAAGCTATCGGCCAATACCTGTGGGATGCCTACGGTAACGGAGTCAACTCCAGCGTCACTCGTCCCTTTGGCGATGCCATTGTCAACGGTTGGGACTTCGATATTGAGAACCCTGACGGTAGCGAGTACTACCCCTACCTGATCTCAACCCTGCGCTCCAACTTTGAGACCGACAAGGAGAACACCTACTACATTTCCGGTGCACCCCAATGCCCCATCCCGGAGCCTAACATGGGCACGATGATCGAGGACTCTGTCTTCGACTACTTGTGGGTGCAGTTCTACAACAACAACAACTACACCTACCCGTGCGCCCTCGGTATCAACGGAGACGCTGCATTCAACTACGACGAATGGGAGTCCTTCATTGCCACGACCAACTCCTCTGCTGCTGAGCTCTTCGTCGGTGTTCCTGCCTCTCCCCTGGGCGCCAACGGTCTGGAGAGTGGCTCAGTCTACTACGCCACACCCGAACAGCTCCTCCCCATCATTGAATCTGTTTCGTCAAACTACAGCAATTTCGGTGGCATCATGATGTGGGCTGCTGGTTTCTCCGACAACAACGTTAACGACGGCTGCACTTTTGCCCAGGAGGCCGAAACCATCCTTCGCCTTGGAGAGGTATGCTCCGGATCGTTCACGGCCACTGCTTCTTTGGCCCCCGTTGTGCCAACCCCGACTTCCGGCCTCAGTGCCACTGCTACCGCGTCTGCTACTGGAACTCCAGTTGCTGCGTGGGGACAGGTATAAAAAAAATCCATTTTCCTTTTTTTTTTTTTGCTTCTACTTTTTGGTATTTGGTGTTATTGAACTTTTGTTTGAAAAAAAATTTGCTAAATGGTCTCTGCGGCGTGTTTATCCTGTATATTTATGCAAGAAAAATGTCTCCAAATGTGTAACTAAACTGGATTCAGCCTTGATTTCTGATCATCGTGATATTTCATATAGTGCGGAGGCGAAGGTTACAGCGGATCAACAGTCTGCGAATCCGGATACACCTGCGTCGCGACAGGTGCATACTGGTCGTCATGCCAGCCATCATCGTAAGTGTCTTTTTATATATAGGGACGAGTTCATTCTCCAACAGCGACTACGACTGGGCTGCATATAGCTTTCTTCTGTCACTCCTTCAATACAAAAGCGAACATAGGTCCTGGTGATATCGATCGCTACTACTACCACTATTACTACCAACATTCATGCTTTACCTATGGTTGCATATCACGGTTGTGCTCGGTGTTGGATCTCTAGGCTCTGATGAAGTAGCCACTATTACCACGTACTACGTGGGTCGTGATGATCAGATTCATGTTTGAAGCTATCTATCTGTGTATCTAACTATCCATCGGTTCTGTCGTTCCCGGTGATCATTCAATGCAAACTTTGACAGATTTTACCAAGTTTTGTCCAAGTCGAAACGTATATACATGAAAATCATATAGTAGTTAGGTATATACAGCAGCACTGTTATGTATGCTACTTTCTAGTCTTATAGATAGTTTTCGCCTGGGTAGTTAGGTAGAAAGAAACATTTATATATGCTAGTCCTCAGTGATCAACAAGTATTAGATCTAAACGCCTAAAACAAACCTCGCTGCAGCCTCATGGATCTCTTCTTGCTCCTTCGACCATCCCAGTAGAGACCCCACAACATAAACATCATGCGGTACACCTGGGACTTCGAAATATTCGACCCGATTACCCGGGACAGCGCTCATCACGTTGGCAAACCCCCGGACACTATCACAAAGAACCTCGGCACCTCCTACCTGAACGAAAATCGGAACTGGAGTTGCAAATGGATGCAGTGCCGGAGAGATATATGGGCTATCCAGTCGTACGGTCTTAGGGGGCGCAAGAGCTCTAGCCCCCCATGCCATCATGCGCGACTCAACGTAGTCGGTCTTGATATTTCTATTTGCGCTGACGGCCTCAGGGTCACCTTCGAAGCTATACTCGACCGAGGGCGAAAACAGAAGACATGCCTTTGGAGGTGGGAATTTGGCAAGCTTATGGCCCGGTATCTCCTTGATGGAGACAAGATAGCGCAGAAGCGCCATTGCGATAGTCGAGCCCGTGGAGTCGCCTGCGAGGACGATGCGCGATGGGGAAACTCCCATTTCCTCGATGAGATAAACGTATGCTGTCACTGCATCCTGCATGGCTCCGGGATACGGTGTTGGGTTATTGCCGCCAGCAAGACGGTATTGCAGCCAAAGTGAGTGAGTATTGCTGCCCAGCTTGTTGTTCAGCAGCTCTGCCGTGGGCCCGGAGTCCTCTGGCCGTCCACTCAGCCACAGGAGGGATCCAGAATGAAAGGACAAAACCACCAGGTTTTGCTCTTCCAGTAGCCATTGCTTCGATGGCAGCTTCGGATACCATGTGCCGCCAATCTTCTCTGGCTTGATGGTATCACTCGTAAAATCACCGTAACACTCGCCGGCTGGTGCTGGGTCGATGGCCACCCATCGATCGCCAAGATCGCCGGGCTCCAAGCTCAACGATTGCGTAAAACCGAGCTCGGTGATGATGTGAAAAACTCTCTCTAAAAACCGCGTCATGCACGCCTGACGATAGGTCCATGCCGGACTCTGGCGCAAGGAGCTCGGGATGTAGTAGACACTGTAGAAAAGTGCCTCTAGGACGCTCCGAAAGAGAACAAAGATGATCCAGATACTAAAGCCTGGCTGTCGCGTCCGCCAGCCTCTGGGGATCGCGTTGTCGTCTGTAAATTCGCGTGCCATTAGGTTCTGCTTGCTCCGTGGATATGTACCCAGGCATGACGGGCGAACCAAGCAGTAATGCCAGCCTTGGTATTTATATATCACGGAAAGAAGTTATAAACTGCTTGAAGCTCCAGCAACCCTACAGACCCACCATGCATTTCCGAATAGGCAAGTAATGCGATGGACAAGTGGAGGTGAGCATGACGTTAGCATTTTGTGTGGGGAAGATCACATTTTTGTGTAATTTATGCCATTCAGCCAGAATCAAAATCAGTGGCTTGACTAACTACTTGTAACTAGTTAGATTCTATGCGCGGGGCGAGGCACAGCCACAGTGGCTCATCAAAGCGAACTATTAAGACAACGAATGAAAGCAACGAATGAAAGAGTACGACCTGTTTTTTCTTCCCCTAAAATCTTACCACTCTCAATGAAGCTAAAGCCGATCTGTGCTCTTCCTAAACAGGACTTAACTTCAAGTCTAACTCAAGTTTGGTATAGAGACCAGTTTGGTAGGCACTAATAATGCGTGGCTTACATAGCCTTAACTAGCCAGCTTGTTGGTCCAAGTCAAAAAAAAGTAGCACATTTCATGGGATTGAGTACGCCCCTCGTAAGAGGGACACAGCCCCATCATCCTAAAATTAAAATAATACGCGCTATTCCCTAAACTTCCAAGATTGATATCTCAACTCGAATATCTCTTACACGCCCACGGTGTCAACAGGTAACATGTCAAATGAAGCCAATCAACTACGGTGGTTGGTTGCAGCCGGCTCGCACGCATATTGCCTGAGGCTTCAACTCCTAGGCGCCAAGCTGTGTGGCTGCCTTTGAGTTAGTCTACATTAAGCCTAGTGCGATGGAGCAGTCTTCGTATTACTTTAAAGAGTCTTATACATAGTATATACGAAGTATAGAAAATAGAGGTGTTTCTATAAGGTTGTCAGCCTCTTTATTATATGCGCAATATGAGATTCTAGGATCTTTCTCTTATCGTCTTTAACCATCACAGACATGATGCAATTCACGATCAAAGGCTGCTATTGGTACTATATAATACAATATTATAGCGTTGTTAACCCCTAGACATCGAGACCAAAACTTACTCCGCCATAGTTAGATCCTGATTCCAATCAAAATTATTGATCCATCTCATAAACTCCGAATCTTGGTCCAGCCAAAATTCATTACTCGTGAACCACTCAACGGGCACAGAGCTGACCTCTGCACTCCCAGGCGTCAGAGGTACTGGCGGAGCAGAAAGGACGTGATCCAAAATACTACGGATTACTTTCCGGGCTTGCTGGCAGATTTCGTAGTTGCCGGCTTCCCGGGGAACAGCGTATTCTAGGTCGGCCGCGAACCGACTTAGGTTTTGAATGACCTCTGAGCGAGGGAGTCGAGAGTCAGTTTGCGCGTTTTGGGACTGGCGGAGAAGTTCAATTGCTAGGATGCCGGCGCAAGGTAGACCGAAGAAAGACACCTATTTCTGGTCAGTGAAAAAAAAAAGTCTTCAATAGCGTTTGTCATTACAACTTACATTCCAAGCCACGGTGTTATTATCCGTTCCATCAGGCGCCCTACTCCCTGTGAGAGCGAGTAGTGTGTCTAACATCCCATGAGCAATACGCTTCAGGGTATTTGATCCACGGCCGGTTCTCTTGACGAGAATTCTCTGCATGATAAACTCGTTGTACAGGCAATCCAGATCGAAGTAGAGAGACATGAAAGTAATTTCTGGCTGAAGACCAGTCATGGTGTTTATTTCACCTTTGTGAAAACGTGCTGGCAATGTATTGCGAGTTTCTTTCGCAATTTTCGATATCTGTTCGATCCTGGATTCTATGTCATCTATCCGAGAATTGAGAGACAATTCAAGAACAAGCTCCCTGACTCGGCCCATCACAAACATTGCACGAGCGAATGAGATTTTGGAAACCGTGCCATTTGAACTCCATCCATCCTTGTCTAACCTTGCGATTGCAGCGTCTCGTATCTCGGGCTCGGCCAGGAGCTCCTCGTATGAAATATCCAGGGGGAGGTCAATGTCAATATGTCGCCAACTGATTCTCGGCGGGCGCCCGAGAAATGTCGCAAGTTCCTTGTCAATTGCGTACGCTCCGAGCAAGAGCCGCTTTCTATGCTCGACCAAGAAGAAAGGCAGCATCACGCTGTTTTGCTTTTGATGATAACCAAGGGCGAAGACAAGCGTGCATAAATCACCGACAACCTTCCAAGCGCGATAATCTATTGATGTTGTTAGACCATCGTATAGTATTCGGGAAAAAGAATCATCTATCTTACCGTGATCTCCATAAACAAGGGTGAGTAGTGCGGCGTGGGAAAGCAAAGCCCAAGAAAGCGGTTCGGACATAATCCCAGCATTCTCGCAAAATTTGATACACTTGTCTCCTGCAGCAATGCTTATATGAGCAAGACCTTTCGGGTCTAAACTGGCGGTATTGAAGCCTATCGATATGAGATAAGAGACTGGAAGAATACACACGCTTGCACCGATGATCGAGAATATCAACGCAATAACCTCCCATTTATAAGGCATTGAGATGAAGTAATCCTGCGGTGTCATATGTGCATCGATCCGAATCGGCTTGGAGCAATTCTCGAAGATTCGTTTTGACAACTTGAACAGATCGGGCAGTGGATCGGACTGGTCTTCGATCGCAGCAGTAAGCATATGTCGTACAGACGCAAACACGAGTCGTATAATCGAAGGGGAGAAGACGTGGCCATCGCAATGGCTTAATTTGGACAACACCATCCGCTCGTACAGAGTCAAATCATCGTAGAGAAAGAGCAAGAGCTCCGCGCCGAGCTGGATCTGTACATCGTCGACGGTAGTCAGGGTTCTCCTTAGCGATTGGGAGAGGTCTTGAAAGGAGGTAGCTGAAGATTTAATCACGTCTTCGCTCTCTTCATAGACGGCCGAGTAGCTTGTCGGACCTAGCACCCCGGTGCCCGGCGACGATGAGGTTTTCTTGCTCCAGTCCGCGATAAGCTTAGCACGGAGAGGGCCTTCGCTGCACGAATCTGCATTCTTTGGCGGGGTCGTATTACCAGTATTACCTGCAGAGGAAGTATCCGGCGAAGGAAGAGTACGTCGTGCGCGTGCAGTTTCTGGAGACATACGCTTGGTCATGGGCGCCGGATGGTAGATGCACTGGGCTGGCCTCTTCCTCCGCCGGCATCTGCCGCACGGAGTAGCATGATCGCATCGGAGTTTCGACTTTCGACACGGCTCGCACGAGCTGGGCAGGCCGTTTCGACGAGGCGCTGACATTTCTTTTTCCCTGTCTGTCTAGAACCGAGCCCAAAAGGCAAAATATGAGTCAATGGCCGTCTTGGTTTGCATCTGAGTCATCCCAATCCGAGCCGGACCAGGCGCTCGGAGTGACGCATCGCAGCTGCAACAAATTTTCCTTTCGGATTTTCGCTCAGCGGCGATCGGAGTGAGTCCCCACGCCGTAGTTTGGCGGCGGCTGGTTGGCTGGCACCGCCTCTGCTCGCCGCATTCCGAGCCCTACGCCGCTCCTCTAGTCCGAGGCCTCGGAATAATGATGATGACAGAAGCATCTAGACAGCACTGCGCATAAAAATTCTGTATGGCATCGTCGAATATAAAGGCGTCCAGAATGCCACGGCTTTGGATCATCCTTCATCACCATCAATCAGCAAGCACATCGAAACCAACAGCGACAACACAAAGCATACAAATCCATCCATCACTTTGCTTTCTACCACTCTTCCAATCCAAACTATATCTATTCTCCTTCTCTCAGAATGCCTCACGGATTCCCCAACTTCCGCTCTCTGCCTGAGGTCTACGACAGGGCCGCTGAGAAACAAGCCATGGGCATTTCTTCATCTTCATCTTCATCTTCATCCTCGTCTTCAACTTCGTCTGCATCTTCAAGAACTGCGTCTTCGGCTGCCTCCTTCCACAGCGATGCCGAGACCCTTCGAGAAAAGCCAAAGTCCAAGCTGCGCAAAGTCATTGATAGTAAGTTCACGTGTTCCTGTATTGGCTTATCCGACTGGAGGCTGACTCTTGTGTCAACAGTCATGAACCACATCGCTCCGCCCCAGCGCCCTGCCACGGGCAGCATGTGGATGAAGCACTTGTAAACACTGGTTTCGAGGCCTGGCTGGAACGGGCGGGACGGTGGAGCAATGCATGCCGCCCCATCACAAAAAAATAGTTACGATACGAATTCGGAGTACGGAGTATACATAAAAACCTAACGACAACAATAATCTTGAGCTTTGCCTCGTTCAGCAAGTTTTGGGGGTTTCATTTGTACATACAGTCACAATAATAGCAATAATAATAATAACAATGAATTGAGAACGCGTTCACCCCGAGGTCCTTGAAGTGGTTTTCACAACAATGACAAGACATACATATATATCCGTCCGATAATTGATTCTGCATGCTTATCTAATTTCTAGGACAAGCTCAAACTTGTCTAGGTATTAAGCTTGATATTCCTTTTGAGGAAAAGAGATTAAACTGTGGAACTATAACTAGTGGAAAAATCATTATATGGAACTATACCATTATTGGGAACGTTCCCTATGTACTCCGTATATTTTGTTCATCGAAATTGATATCAAATCCACGGCCAAGATATTGACCAACACAATGAGCAACAATTAACAAAAAAAAAAAAAAATACTAGCTCATGTGGCGAATTTTTTCTCCAGTAGTGGATCAACACTTTTGAAATCGGACAGCAAATCGGCCCCCAACCTCTTAGTGAAATCGACGCCAGAGTCTTCTTGAAGAAACGGAGCACCTCTTAGATTCAAAGTCAGCAAAATCAATATATGTTGACGCTATGCAAAGAGGTAATAGCTAAGGTGAAGAGAAGTCGGCCGGACTTACGGATCAACTTTGTTGTTGTGCATGAACTTGCCGTGACTCTCTGGTCCCCAAATGCACGATGCATGGATAAGGCATCGGCTACCTTCCTCGACTGTCCGTGCTGCAAGCGCTCTGAACACAGTCATTATCGGCTTCAGCCACCAAGCGATATCCTTATCCAGCGAGGTAGCAGCCACAAGACCCGGGCAGACATTGTTGATGATAACTTCTGACGGTGGAACAATCGTGGAAATATAGTGGACAAATGCGTTTACGACAAGTTTGCTGTCTGAATATCTTCTGAGTCCGCTATAGGTTTTGGCATCATCAAAGTACTTGATGAGGTTTCCCGAGGAAGGAATTGATTTTGCGCTGATACTGCTCTGATACTGCGTGCTCGAGCCATTGAATGTAATGCGCGAAGGTTGGCCGTTTGTTGCTGCTGTGGTTTGTAGAAGCGGTAGCAATTCGAGGATAATCAGAAAGTGGGTGTAACAATTCACTGAGCGGTTGCCAGGTATCAAACATTCAGAAAACATGCCGTTTATTTTGAGACGCATTAAAAGAAGCTACTCACCTTGCATGACGCGTTCATGTCCGCTGCTGCTGCGTTCGTATTTCATCAGAAACACCCCCGCGTTGCACACGAGTATATCCAGACGGGGAACCTCCTTTTTCACTTGATCACAAAAGTCCATCCCGGATTTGTAGTCATCCACGTCTAACGCAAAGACCTCAATCTTAGCATCGGGGTTAGACTGAGTGATGCCAAGGTCCTGACGAAGTGACCGGACAGCTTGTTCGCCTTTTGATGCATCACGAGCTGTGATAATGACTCGGGAAGCACCAAGAGTGAGCATCTGGCGGGCAGTTTCAAGTCCTATTCCGCTATTACCGCCCGTTATCAATGCTGTCTTGCCATGAAGACTCGTGCCTGAAGGGACTGGGGGGATAGGTGGCTGAAATTTCAAAGGCATGGCGAGATTTGGTTTTAGGGAACGGTTTCGGGAGAGCAACGAGGAACGACTGATAGACTCCAGATTGTTCTTCCCATTGTGACTCTATATATATACGTGTTTTTCTCCCGATTTATCAGCAACGCCGACAGAAGATTAGGGAAAGAATATGCTGATATCACGGTTTGCTTGTGCTTGTAGAGCGGCAGCTGTTTTCTGATTGGCTGTTGAATAAAGAATTCGGGAATGTGGGATCAAGGGAAGGAATTAACCACTCACATGGGGCGGGGTGGGGAAAGCGACAGGGATCGGAGACGCTAAAAGAGCGGGGGCGCGGGGTGGGGCCTTTTCTCGATACGAATCCTTCTTCCACCCACCGGCCTTCTTTTCCCCTGCGACCACCCAGCATCATTATTAATCGCCGCAAAAGAGCTGTCTGCATGCAAAAGAGATACAACAACAGTGGATATGATTGCTAAACACGCTTGCTTATCATGCAGCGAGCGCAAGAAGAAGTGTGACAAATCATATCCCACGTGCGGGCGATGTGAGCGGTATGCAATTATTAACTGAAAACAGCTCGTACTAGTCTATACCTTGCAGCTAGCTACGGTCTTTCCGAGTTGAAGATAATAGGGAAAGCTAATTCATTTTGAGTAGGCTACTTTTGAAATGTAGCTACCGAGCTACGGCGATGCCCGGTCCACCTCCCAGTGTCGCAAACATTTCCAAAGCCCAAAAGTGGCAATCTCTGAATGCTCTTTATGATGTGTCCGGCCCCGAGCAGATATTAAGCGAGGATCTAGTGCGCCTGGGGAATGCAAAGGATTCAACCTTCCTATTGCATCTGAGGGAGATAATTGCCAGGCATAGGCAGGTATTGGATAGGATCACCGAATCCTTCCTTTCGTCGTGCCAGAAATGGATGCCTATCTTTTACCCTGAGATCGTTGACCAACCCGATGCCATGGCTCGAGAGTCGATGGCATTGCTTCTTAGCATGTGTATGGTGATGCGCCCATTGGTTAGCGGGAATAACCAGCCTGATGCCCTCCGTGAGTACTTGTATCTTATCGCTAAGCGGCTATTCTGGGACCCAGCTACCGCAGAGAAGCCGACAACAGCTCTAATGAAAGCCGGATTGCTAATTTCTGTCTATGAGTACGGACATGGGCTATTGAATGCTTCTTTCATTACACTCTCAGTGTGTTCCAGCATGGCACAAGTCACAAAGCTAGGAGGCATAGTGCATGAATGCCCTATTTTACCGCCATTTGGGACACACCCTATCAAGGAAAATGACTTAAAGCTTTGGTGGAGTATTAAAATACATGAAATGTTCGTTTGGATTCATGATCTAAATCGATATCCGTTCTAATATGGGTTTTGACTTGCAGAATGATCAGTCTGAAAAGTGGACTGTCCATCAGGCCTCTCATCATTGACGAGTCTGAAATCATGGACAATCATCGCCTTAAAGCGGACATTGAATACGTCAAGCCACAACTGATTCTTGACCAACACTACATTTCTTTCCATCTACAGGCTAGAGCTGCTATTTGGCTGGACCTGGTGCTGGGCCTTGTACGGAGTCCCGTGATAACCACCTCCACCTCCACCGGTCGCCTTCGCTTTCAAGCTGTGGATCAAGGTCTTTTGCAGTTTCTAAGTGTGTTGTTTGGACTTGGTATGGGAGTATGCTGCGAGGCAATATCTATTAGCTTGAAGTAAGTTATGACAATTTGACTATATATGCCCATTGAAGTTGAAGATGGACAAGATGTTACTCTCACATATCCTAAGATTAACATATTTGTCCTTCTTTACTAGTGCTTTCGTTCACCTCCATCAAAGTCGGATCCAGCCAAGCAGTCCATTCATATTCACAGAACAAGAGAGACTCGAATCTTTCAAAGCCATCGAAACAATGCTTCGGGTGATATCGGATTTCTTCGAAGACTTTGCGCTCCAAAACCCCGATCTCGATATCAACGAGAACAGCAAGTCTAACCACGAAACCAATAGCGGCATGATCGCCGACACATTTCCCTACATGATTCACTTGGTATATGTGTTGTTACTGAAAATGCGAGAACACCGGTATATTCCCGAATCACTTTCTCGAATAGATAAAGCTGAAAAGGAGTCTCATTTTCCCTCTGCACCGACTTTTGAAAGGGAGATAAAAGCTCTTCATACCATGTTACATCACTCTTCTAAGCGATGGCAAATTTCACGTAAGTACGATGCTTTTCCGGACTTGACGATCCGTCATTGAGCCCACCATCCTCTCCTTTATCTACTCTCGTGCATGGTCAGTTTCGAGTGAAAAAATTGCATGCTGAAAAAATACTCTTTATACATTTGTAGGGGATTATATTTGTCTTCTGGACCGTTCAACAACCTAGTCTAGTTTCCTCTCGCCTATCATGTGTGAATGATGGGACGTCAATTTGATATCTGATATTGCAGAATGGGGCGAGCTTTCCAATCAGCCCTTGATATCTCTGAGACACCCTAAATCCAGCCAAAGGCTGCCTGAATATATCTGTATATTCGAATATCGAGCACTTGAGTTTGGGTAGTCTAACCCACAATCTCTTAATAGAGACACTAGTACGTTCGCAGTCGGAAATTCTATTGCCTTTTAGAGATATTACCTTCGCTCAAAGCCGTGCTCGCCCATCGAAAGTTTTTTTCCTGGCATTTTCAGCCGCTGCTGCCGCCGCTGCTGTACCAGCTCTCCTACCAAATACAGCACCAGATGTTAGACCACTGCCACCGGGGTAGTTGTCGTAGAAGAGCCCACCGAGCATTTCACCACAAACAAACAGGTTTTCAACTTCCTTGTCCGTCACCGATGAAATCACTTGTGCTTTCTCCGGGTTGACGGCGAGTCCTCCAAATGTGAATGTGACTCCGCATGTAACATGAACAGCCATAAATGGTCCCTTATCCAAAGGTAGCGCCCAGTTGCTCTTGGCCAATGGCAGTTTTATCTCACTAGACTGAGTTGAGACGCCATCACGAATTGAAGGGTCCCATTTACGGGATGGTTCCTCTTTTTGGGAAGCATAGACTGCCTCGTTGTAGCGGTTGAGGTTGTCAATGAATGCCTCTCGATTCTCAAGACCCAGTTCTGCTAGCTTATCGGCCAGTTCAGGAATGGTATTGGCGATAATTTGGCGTACACGCTCCGGTCGATACTCCTCAGACCGAAGCAGAGGAATGGTACGCTGGTCCCAGATCTGAAAGGCACTTTGGTTCGGCTGCGCAAGAATAGCACGTCCAAATTTTGCATAAGTGTAATTGCGCAGGTCGATGCCTTCATCAACAAAGCGTTCGCCGTTGCTGTTGAACATGAGACCAAGCGGATATCCGGATTTGGTGAATTCATTTGAAGCCTCTCTGTCACCAGTATCGGCTGGGGCATTGGCATCCCAGGCGACGGAGTGACAGCCAGACCAGTTTCCGACCTGCTTTGCCTTGACATCTCGAATGGCGGTTTCCAGCGCATCTCCCGAATTGTAAGGAGTGCCACGCACTTTGGCGAGATCCCAGCCAGGTCCCAAGTACTGAGTACGCATACGAGAATTGGCTTCGAAGCCACCGGCGGCGAGAATCACGGCACCGGCGTTGATAGTCACTGCCTTGTCTTGGTATCGCACCACCGCGCCGTCAACAGCGCCCGTCACAGGGTTAGTCACCAGGCGCTCCAGGGCAGTGGAATAATAGGTCTCGACGCCGTGGCGACGCGCATTCGCTTTGTGGTCTTCCACCAACCCTTTACCGCCGTCCTCTGTTTTGAGCGCCAATCCTCCCCAGAATTTCAGACGGCCATCCACCTCGTAAGCCTGTCGATTGAATGAAAGCTGGAACCGGATTCCATTTTGTTTCAGCCATTGGATTGTCGGGAATGATTCTTCGACCAATATCTTGCTCAAGACAGGGTCGGACCGCCCTTTGCATATGCGTTGCATATCATCAGCAAAATGCTTTGTTGTGTATGGTTCGAAATCTATCTTTTTGGCGGTGGCTGCGTCCACATTGTTGACCAATGGTAGCAAGTCACTCGCACCGTCGTGAGCAGTACGATAAGCTCCAGCTGTAAAGAATGTATTGCCGCCAGCCCATTCTTCGGGGGCTTTGTCGATGAGGACAACATGTTTAGCGCCAGCTTGTTTGGCTGCCACCGCGGCGCTGAAGCCGGCATTGCCGCTGCCAGCTACCAACACACTACACGACGATGGGAGTGTCATGCTCTAATATTAGTACTGCGGTGCTGTATCCTTTCGAAGTGGTGTAATAAACGCAATTGGAATAATTGATTTATTTGGACGGAGACCATAGAGGTATAATTAGTAGAAGAAATGGGTCAATCGCAAGGAACTCCGAGGCTGGTGTTCCTCCAGAACGCGAATACATATATTCCGAATTTCGTTAGTTTGCATAACTATTTTCCATACCTGTGTATACTGGCTAAGACTGCGGTCGCCAAGGTCGTTGCAGGGGAAATCAGTAGTTATCAACAGGAATTCTCGAAGCAGGAAATACTAACTTAATAGCCAGTTTTGTCGCGCTCCGCTGACGGAGGATGATATCCCGTCGCGGCGGGGCATGACGGGGGTACATCCTCCGTTCATATATCCTCAGACTGACTGCCACCTCAACGCATGGATTCATTTGAATGCTGGTTTCTCCGCGAATAATACAATTGCGTTATTGGTTCAGTGATAGCAATGATACACGCCGAGGGTGTGACATCAAGAGCTAGAAACGAGCTAGTAAACGTATAGTATACTCTCTATATTCTAGCCAGCCAATCATTTTAGACGTGCAAAGCAAATATTCGACCGCAGATCACATGATCTGTGAAAGCTTCGCGTGGGGAAGTGGGCGCCTTCTCTGCATGCAAGAACATCGCGCTCTCTCACGTCAATAGAATCAATCAATCCATGTACTGCGCCTCAATTAGCGACATGCTGCCCCAGTAGGATTATGGCTACCCTCCGGCAGCCTGGCGCATCGTTGACTCGCGCATGCCAGTTCTGTCGAGCGCGCAAGATCAAATGTGACAACGAACGCCCGCAATGCGCATCGTGTGTCAACCACAATCGCCAATGCATCTACACCAGGGATCCGCCGAAGCAAAGGTGAGCACAAGGTCTTGTCTTCATTCGTCTCGTCAGGATAGTTGAAACTCATGTGATTAGACCTTCTCGCGCCCTGATAGATGCGGCACAAGAGGAAAAAAGGGCCCTGCAAGAGGTGCTGCTATCTCTAAAGAATGCAGATGACGAAACGCGCAGCAGGATACTGGACTCGCTCACTTTGGAGGAAGACAGTACTGTCCCGCTGCCGAGTCCAACGCTGACTTCGGCTCCTGGCAATAATGCATCTGAAGCATTGTCGTCAGAATCAAACCCGATAAACGACATATCTCCTGATAATCACCACCCTTATGACACAGCTAGCACAGCCAGTGAAAAGCATATTGCCACTTTTATATCTCGTGATGAATCTGGTGCCATTCGAATCTTCGGACCAACCTCAAACCTTCATGATGAAAGCCCCGGCGACGCCAACCACTTAGATGTAGCGCAAAATCCCGTAGGCAGGGCCGACACGTCCAACCGTTATCAATTGATTGCTAGTGCCGCGCTGCAGAGACAGAGAGAACATGATTTACGCAAACACGAGACTATAGGCGGCATTCCGGCTGAGCTGGCAATGCACCTTTTAGACTTACACTGGAATCGACAGCATCATACATATCACCTTACGTATCGTCCTGCCTTCATGAGAGATCTCGCTGATGGAGGTCCGTACTGCTCTGAATTTTTGCTAAACGCCGTGTTTGGTTGTTGCAGCAAGTTTTCTGAGCGTCTGGAAGTCAGAGAGGACCCAACGCTGCCAGAGACAGCAGGTAAAATGTTTTTTGACCGGTGTGATGACTTGTTAGCGGAGCAGTCTTTGTTGGAGACGTCTAGTATTCCAACCATTACAGGTCTTCTTTTGCTTGGTGCCACATTTAATGCGAAAGGTCGTACATCCAAAGGATGGCTTTATGTTGGCTATGCATTGCGCATGGTTTACGATTTAGGCCTTCATCTGGACTGCAAAGAAGTCTCCGGAAATGCTGAAGATGTCGAGATACGCCGTCGAGTATTCTGGGGCGCCTTTATTTGCGACAAACTACAAAGTCTGTATTTTGGCAGACCATTCATGATCCCACTTCGCGACACACACGTATCCTGGGATTTGATGGACACACTGGAAGAAAACGAGTTGTGGACGCCATATGTGGATCCTAAGACCACTTCTCAGTGTGGAGATCTTGCAAGACAGCAAAATGCCATTCGTCTATTTTCCATAACAACTTTCCAACAGTTGTGTTCTCTTTCACAAATAATGACCGTCATAATAGATCATTTTTATTTTGTCGGTGCAAATCCGGAAAGCGCTCGACAATATTTGGGCATGGTGGACGAAAAGCTAGCACTATGGTATCAGAATTTACCTACCGACTTACGTTTTGAGCCATGGAAAAGTTCCAAACATATACCAGCACCCAATACCCTTATTCTTCATACAATATATTGGGCACTTGTAATTCTTCTACACCGACCTTTCATCAAAAACGGCCATTTATGGACAGCCAATACATCAACAGGTCACTCTTGGGAGAGATGCGTGATGGCAGCGCGAAATATCACGAGCCTGTCCCTTGCCTATCAGTCGGCATATTCTCTCCGTCGTGCTAATTACATGCTGAGCTACGCGCTCTATGTCGCTTGTACCATCCATGCCCGCAACCGGGTGGTTAGGGAAAGCACAAGGCGTGGCGACCTCTCTTCCCCCTTAACAGTATGCTTACGATGCCTTGACGAGCTGGCCGTGCCCAATTGTGGAGTATCGGTGCCAGCTAAGATTATCAGAAGGTTGATGCGCGCCAATGATATTCCGGACGTGTCAGGTATTATCCAAGTTTCATTCGCCTTCCATATCTTGTCTAATGATTGGAGAGTGCTAACATCTACCAGGCCCAGCATTGAACGTTGAGGGTGTGCTTCCACCACTTGACATTAACTTGAGTCTGCAGATGTTTCCAAATACGTCAATGAGCCCCGGTGAGCTAGATCATTATCAGAATATTGCTGAATTACCGCCATTCATCGAAGACTTGGACTCTTTATTCGGGTTTATGCGTGACTTTGACGGTGCATACACTGAAAATGGATAAGAAATAAAGTTAATTTCCTAATTACAGTCATAAATCCATGAAACTAGCCGAACTTGCTTGCACTGTTCGGAGACACGTCGTTGTATACAAAAGCTTGTTACAACTTCTTTGTGATAGAATCGATATATCCTTCGGTTTCTTCAATATGAACAGTCTGTGTCTCCCGGCCCTCTGACTTGCTGGAACCTGACAGATCCTGCTCGCCTATCTTAATGTTCTTTGTCTCATAGTCGTTTTGTATAGGAGCAGTGGAGATGGCTGCGTTAGGGTCTTTTTCGTCCCACTCCTTGTTAAGGCTCTTCAGTGACATACTGATGAGCGTTATGAGCAGGAGACCAATCACCTTACGGTTGTCAGTTCTTGATATCGTCGTCCTACCTGAATGTGTTCACTTACAATGCCCACCAGGATCATCTAAGTTAGCGCATAATTCGGTGTTCCATCAGCTGTGGGAAACCTCTCTTCAAGGCATGTCTCAATCGTTGGTGCCACGGATGAGACAGCATTTCCGAGGTTATAAGCCACGCCTGTAAATGCTGCACGCATACCGGGATGTGGACAGAGTTGTTGCATCAAGTTAACCAGATTGCCGATTGCGCAACCATAAAATAACTCTAGGAAGAATGCACCGATAGTAAGCTTGTTCCATGTGGTTGGAAGTACCCAAAGTGGCAGCCAAGCGGCGATTAGAAGTATGTTTGCTGCTGCAACCCATCTGGCACTGTACGTGTGTGAGAGATGCTCGCCGACAACGCAGCCCAATATACCGCCTATCTGAAGAATTATCGTCATCCACGTCTCATCGAGGACATTAAGGTTACGCTGAGTGGTCAAGAATGTAGGGTAAAGGTCCATTGTTCCGTGGCCCATCGTGGCCAAGCACGAGGATAGATAAACGGCATAGATAAAACCTTTGGGATGATGGATCGAGCAACTCACTCATTGCCAGATGCAAACCTGATGCAAAAAGGTAGCTGGCCGAGCCGAGAAGCGAGTAAAACCAGCTACCACACCACGAGAGCGCCTTGGAACAGCCTCCATAACCATAGCCATGATGAGGCCGTAGGTTCCGCCGTACGAAATGCCTATTAACAACTTGAATCAACTTCGTCCTCATAAATACAAATAACAAAGAAAGTCATACCGAAAAGTAAGCGACAGGCAATCAATTGTCCATACGTCTAATGCAAACCCAGTACTGAGCGAGAACACTCCCATGAGCACGAGATCGACGAGAAGGGGAATTTTTCGACCATATTGGTCAGCGCAATCTCGAAAACTATTGCACCAAGCGTTCTCGAGATCATGGAAGTAGTATTTTCTTCCGAGATCTTCGTCTGGGCTACATCCAAGTATGTGGCCACGTTGCTAAGTGTGAAAGGCAGGAAGGACATAGGACTGCAATGATCCGAGAGTCCAGCAAGCCCAGCAAGCCCAGCCAAACATCCAGACCATCACCTGGATGCACCTCATTCGGACGGAGTGGGCGAAGTCCCTCGACAGGGACGATATTGACTGGAGGACATTTTGCAACATTACGAATGACGCTTGGTTAGGAGAAGGAATTGGACAATGGAACGTGCAGTGTGTTACAGATGTTAGGGTTAACAAAAAGCTGCATCAACATTAAGCGAAGGACAATTTATATCAGAGATTGTCTCTTTCGTCCTGCTATGGGCATAGCCTAACGGAGAATAACCACACGGGGTACGTCTAACCACGCCGCATAACTAAGCGGCACAGTGCTCCAAATCAGAATGTCTTGGTACGGGGTATTGACATGATTGGATTATTTTTGCTATCCTATCAGAGGATCATCCCCAGTAGCGCTGGTTGATACCCTCAAAAAGCAAGGGTCTATGGAACTCGGGCTTCAGGGATGGAAGCTCCGAGGGCTTGCCACTATTGATGTGAACTCTATCACTGATACCGAGCTTGATGAATTACACGCTGCCGGTGTCCATGGTGCTCGTTTGCACGAGATGGCCTGGGGCCATGGCAAACAAAGCGCAGGGAGCGATATCATCAAGAAAGTCCGATTGCCTCACGCCTGGCTCGTTTAGGCTGGGTTATCGGCATCTTCTGTCCAATTAGCGCTTGGGCTGCAATAGCAGATTTGATTCGCAATGAGATTGATCCTCGCATCAAGATAGTTGCTGACCACCTGGGAGGCACCTTTCCCGGCCTAAGGTAGGTACTGATTTCGGGTTTATTTTAGTGTCTACTTATCTGAAATAATCCACCGCAGTCCGATAGCATGTACAGTACACAAGGCTCAAGTACTTTACTGTCAACTTCTTTTATGGTCATTCTTCCCACTTATTGATACCTTACTCGACTAGATATACAATCTTTCCTGCACTCAGGTCTTTTACATCTTCTCATGTGCCTCACCAATCTGTTTCCAGCTGTATACTTTGTCGATCGTCACTTTTATTTTCCTCTTACCCAGCGAAGGAAGAATATTAAAATACTTCCAGTGTCTATATGCATGCCTAGATCAGATTTAATTCCCCTTTCATATCAGGTTTCAAGCAGCCTCGTAACAAGCTTACACTGGCCCTAATTCTTCCACAGCACCGCTGAACTCCACACCCATGATATTTCCATGAGTTTCTTCTGGAAGTTTGTACGGATAAGCCTGCTGACGCTGCCAAATATCTATACGGTAGAGGCCGAATGCTTTTATTCGAACGACAATTCGGTCACCTTTGGCAACTGGATCCGGCACCGTGTCGTCAATGTACATGGCAGATGTAGGGCTGTGCCCGTTCTGTATAGAAACTGCGCGCATCTTCTGGATTTGCGTCGAGCTTGCAAGTTTGCTAGTTCCAATGTTAAAATACGTCGAGACTTTGTATATTTCTTTGTTATCGAGTGACTGCTCCTCCACAGTTACTGTCGATGTATACGTTACAGCTTTTGAAGTAGACCTAGGCAACTATTTCAAAGGTTATTTCCGGCTGACTTCAGCACACGAACCGAAATACCTCGAGATGCCAAACACAAATATAGCCGATGCGGAATCAAAAGCAATCTATATAAGGTAGGTCATCATACAATCTCGCTTTTGGCCGCAGCTCGCATTGTATCATCACGGCATTATCGATCCGACAGGAAACGGAGGCTCACAGTCCGCGCCGCAGACGACGCACGGCGCGAAGCCCTCCGTTGTTGACGATGACTTCATTAAGCAGAGACAAGGAATGAGCAATGCCACCTCGGACCTTTTTCCTTCTATCCAGTATGGCAAAACAAAAGACTAGAAGTGCGGGGTCTGCCACTTGTACAAGAATACTAAACCGGCTATATCTGGGTACATATGTAGCATCCTACACGTTCAAAATTCATATCATCGAGTACATAGAACTTAACACACCACACGGACATACATGCACGATGTCGACGACAACGACAAAAGCTACGACGACTGTAGTGGCCAATGGCTTGAACGATAGAGCTGCAGATTTCTTTGAGGAAGTTCACTTCCTCGGCGATGCTGAAGGCAAGATTAAGATTCGCTCTCCACCAAAATTTGCCAATCCACTCGACGAACGCAAATACCAGAAGCAGCACTTGGCAGCTGCGTTTCGAGTATTTGCAAAGCAAGGATTCGATGAAGGTGTTGCTGGACATATCTCTCTTCGGGATCCTATCAACCCACGTAATATTCTCCTCTCCATAGAAAGATATAGGAATGAGATTAGCGCTAACCTGGCTACAGACCATTTTTGGATCAACCCATTGAGTACCCACTTCTCGATGATCAAGGTCTCTGATCTAGTACTAGTCAATGAGAATGGTGAAGTTATACAGGGCGGCGCGCAGCAACCTATCAACGGCCCAGCCTTTGCTATCCATAGCGAAATCCACAAGGCGCGTCCAGATCTAAATGCGGCTTGCCATGCCCACTCTGTCTACGGCAAGGCCTTTTCCTGCTTTGGTCGTCCTATCGAAATGTTATACCAGGATGCTCTGCGGTTCTACAATGATCTCGCTGTCTACCACAATTATGGCGGAACAGTTTTATCCAACGAGGAGGGAGCACGTATTGCAAAGGCACTTGGCCCTACCTGCCGAAATGTCATTCTGCAGAATCATGGCATGATTACCTGCGGAAAGACCGTGGACGAGGCGGCATTCTTGTTCATCGCACTTGATCGATGCTGCCACGCACAGCTTATGGCCAATGCGGCCAGCGGTCCTGGGTGGGAGAAGATTCATATCAACCAAGCGGAGGCAGAGATGACACATAAGAAGAGCGGAAATTCCAGCAAGATGTGGTTGGCCTTCCAGCCATATTACGACCAAGTTGTCCAGGAAGATCCTTCACTTCTTGAGTGAGGGACCTATATCATGAAGACTGTTAATTAAAGAATGAATGTACCTAGTTATACCATTTATGTTTCGTAAAATCTCCAAATCAACAACCAATATACTTATTGTATATATGGAGCATTTATAATATAAAGTCGAATAAAATCCTAGGACTTCCAAGGCTGAATTTTATATCCTCTGCAGCATTCCCATTCGGTGCCAACCTCCTGGTAAGGCAGGAGTAACTCAATCTCAATGAGCAATAGACTTGCTGAATATTAGATTCAGCTTTGGGAGTTTTAAATGAGCAGGGTATAACGAATATCGACAATTTGTCAATCGGGACTAAGTTGGATACCTTGCTTAAACTTTTAAGATATATAAAATGAGCACGTTATTGGAAATCATTCAATAGTCTAACTAATGATGCATGTTCTCTTACTAGTAGGAAATATGACTCATGCCATCTCGGATTCAGCAATGGCGGGAGATCAACGGATCTTCGGCGTATGAAGCCAAATTCTCGAATCCGAGTCTGTCTCCGCATTTAGCTACTGAGTCTAGTCAAGATTGCATGCAAGGATGGTGCAGCTGAATGGCTGGCTAGCTCGTTGCTAGCAGGGATATCTGGATGAGTCAATCATGGTCTGTGGAGAATTGCCATACCCGGAACGAGGCAAACCCCGCCTGGTTTTATCGTTACTCATTATTTTCTTATACTACAAGTATTCTCGAATGCGCTTTTCCTTTCCTTATTCTTCAGAGAAGGCAATAGATAAAGCCAAAGAAACGAACATGGCTACAGAGTACAAACGCCCAACGGGATACCGATGGCGCTCGTCAAAGTTTCTTATTATTGCATGCGTTGCAATTGCGCTATTCACAGGTTGGGCCCATTTGGACTATGTATTAAGATCAATGGATGCTGACAAGCATTAGAGAATTATATGTTTACCTTCATCGTCCCAATTCTTGATTTCATGTTAGAAGATCGTCTGAATGTCGACCCATCTGACGCTCAGTACATCACCTCTGCTGTGCTCTCCGTTCATGCTCTCGTCTGTGTGATTGTAGGACCCGCGACTGGCCATTTAGCAGACAAGATACCATCGCGCAAAGGTTCTTTGTTGGTTTCACTGGCCTTCGAGCTGGTCGGGACAATCATTGTTGCAGCGGCAACTTCTGGTATGTCACCCGCCCATTGCCTGACTGATTTCAGCATTCTGGCTTCGTTTTATACCTACAGGAAACTGACGAGATCTCCTCATAAAGTCTCTGTTCTAATCTGTGGCCGAATAATCCTGGCCATTGGCGGCAACGCAGCATGGATTATCGGCCTAGCAACTGTCGCCGATACAGTTGGGTCAGACAATACGGCAAAGACATTAGGAGCCGTCTCTACCGTTTATACATCTGGTCTGCTTATTGGTCCCATGGTCTCTGGATGGATCTTGCCGCTATTTGGTTATTGGCCGACATGGTCGACTGCAATACTGGTTCTTGTTATCGATATGCTTATGCGACTGGTGATTGTTGAGGCTCCCAAGGAAACGAAAGATAACAGCGAGGCAGACAGTAGAGTCTTATCAACCGACGGCCGGGACTATGAGTCATCAGGAGATGTAGAAGCAACTGGAGCAGAGACCAGCCCCAACTCAGCTGATGAGACGACTCCTCTATTACAGTCACCATCACAAGATTATCATATTTCCGAAACCGAGTCCCACACCACTGATTTGGAGCATACGCAGGTGGAAAGCCCTCCGAATTTCTACCGGATTGTGCTCGCTCATCCTCGTGCTCTAACTGCCATGTTATGTCATATGGCTAGCGCTCTTGTCGTGACAAGCCTTGATACAACTCTACCTATACATGTAATACGAGAGTTTGGCTGGAATACAGCGCAGACAAGCTTCATGTTCTTCCTGGTTCAGATACCTCAACTAATACTAGGAAGCTTCACTGGCTGGCTCAAGGATATTTACGGCACTAAGATTTTGACTGGTCTGGGATATTTGGTTACAGGATTTCTGCTCTGGCTTCTGGGTACGCCCGGAAAAGACGGTCTTTCTTTTATCGGTTCTGGACACAAAGGCCAGGTTATCTATTCGAGCACATTGCTGGCTCTTGGTTTTGCGAGAAGTTTAACAATTGGAACCGGAGTTCTTGAGATAACGAGTAAGAAGCATACCTGTCAACTTGAAGTCCTCGCTATTTCTTCCTTGGTGATATTGAAAGCTTACCACCTCGTTCATAGGCGTCATCAGAGAGATACAGGAAGCAAACCCGGGTATCTTTGGACCGAATGGGGGATATTCTCGAGCCTATTCGCTCACTAATCTGAGCTGGAACTTCGGCCTGCTGGTTGGGCCGCTTTTGTCGGGTTCCCTCGCGGAGACAGTTGGATACTACTATATGAACTTCACTTTTGGTATGTCGATATGATATTTTTCTCTCTACCTTTCTCTACTAGAGGGCGTTTGCGAAAATATCCATTTAACCTCATGCACTCTTCACCTTGACTAATTATTGTTTCGCAATAGCAATTATATCTTCTGTTATCGGCATTGCTTGCTTGGTATTCCTTCAGATGAAGTAACGAAGCTCGATAAAACATGGCAAAGATTCAATCAACATCGCGCCAAACACTATTGAATCAAGGTGAAAACCGAAGTATCTCGGAAGGACTTGAGAGCTCTATTTTTCCAACAAACTCCATATCCGATGAGTCTTAATGCTGCGAATTTAAACCCTGCAGCTATGTATTCAGGTGAGTAGAATGGGGTCCACAATTATCTTTGAACGATCTCTTCTAAAGCTACGTTTTAATGCTTGTTGACTTTCCGATGTCTGACCAATTCCTACGTGTAGACCTCTCATTATCAGTTTTGCCAAGCAAGTTACTTGATGTTACGAACAAATATGTTTTCGGTAGGTACATACTAGACTGGCATTATAATAGACAGAAACATCGAATATAAATAATTTATGTACATTACACAATCCCAGGTTGTGCTGATACCCGTTTCATCCCTTATGTACACCGGCACGATTGAACCAGAAAGTATAAATAGAACATTTTTTCAGCCTGTCGCCGTCTCATTCAAAGACGAAATTCACTCGTAAGAGATGGTAACAGTGCTACCGGAAGCACTGCTAGAAGTGAGAACGGTGCCGTCCTGCTCAATGTCCATGATGGTAGCGCCAGTGGTATCGACAGTGGAACCGCTGGAAACAGCAGATGCGCCAGTGAAGGTGAAGTCACTGCCAAAGTCAGCGAAGCCAAGGAGGCCGCCGCCAGACGATAGATCTTCCATGATCCACTCAGCATTGGTCTCGCAGAGCTCGCTGCTCTGGCCAGAGAATGTGTGTGAGACGGACTCGCCGCTAGACTCGTTGGTCACGGTAGCAGTACCGCCGCTTTCGCTGCTGGCGGTGACTGTGGCAGTGATGGTATCACCCGTACTGATGCTGATGCCGGACGACCAGTACTCCTGGGCAGCAGGGAACCATTCATACCAGGCGGTGTTGGTGATCTCGCCGTTTTGAATGCATATGTTGACACCAGTCTGCAGGATAGCAGTGCTGCAAGTGTCGCCGTCGATTCCAACCCAGGCAGCCGCGCAGTATTGCTCGCTAGAGGAGCCACCACTGGGCATGCTAACAGAAGGAACGACAAAGGTACCAGTTACAGAAGTGTAGCCGGATCCGATCAGGACGGCGCCCGCCCAGTTGCTTGAGTAGGTCTCTGCTGCGATATCGGCCCCTGCCGTCTCAACGCGATGGTTTGTATGTGACTGCTTGTGAGCAAGAGCACGGCGAGCGGCGCGATTCGCCTCGCGGCGAGCAAGGTTCTCCTCGGCGAGAGGAACGGCCAGCGCAGCGCTGGAGAAAAGAAGAGAGCCGGCAATCGTGGAGAACTTCATCTTTGCGAGCAGATGTGGAAGGATAGCAGGGTGACGAGGAGTCCTACGGAGGATTGAGATCAGGTCTGTCTTTGAATCTAGGGAAGAAGGGCTTCATAGCCTCGCCTTTATACTTGTTTGACTATGGCCGACCTTTCCACAAACAGCCATGGTGGTGTCAACAGATCTAGTTCCACCTAGGAACGGAGTAAATAATGGCACGATGCGTGACATTCTAGACGGCTCAGTCTATCTGAACAGTGGTTGTTTGGGAAGTGATCGACTTCATGTGGCTTGCCATTAGAGTATCAAATGCAACGCTGGAGAAGTGCCCTAATTTGCCCTAATTTGCCCTGCACAAAACACTCAACGCCGCTTTAAGGCTGGGCAAATTATATCTAACCTTATTTAGGTTAGTCCCTAGGATTGGGCTAGGCTACTCTCGGTTAGTGGCATAATTGCTAGGGTTGTAGCTTAATTGGGTGTTCTTTGTTTCGTCATTCTGGACTCATCCAACATCAACTCTCTCTGTCTCTCTCTGTGTCTTTGCACTCTTGCTAACGTCGTGATCTGGCAAAATGTCTCCTTTCATCAGAGACCGTTTTGCCTCCATTAGGCGTGTTTTCAACCAATGTGCAGAGCAAAGCCCAGGAAGCCTCATCGTCCGAGGTGCGTCGAGAGATTCTAAACGGTTTAAGCTACATTTGGCAACGCACCGAGGAGCTCCAAAGTGCCTATTTGACGCCAGATTACTTTTCTGAATTTGGTATCCAATTCCATCACTTCTCTTTGACCGAGGATGGCCAGTATGAGGGAACCACTAGACCTATATTTTTCTCCCCATGCTCGCAGCGTGAGATCAGAGATCACCCTCTTAATTTGGATGATCCTACTGCCGCGAAAACTGAACGTCTGAACAAGGGGTTTTGAGAAGATCTTGATAAAGGTGGCGAGAATTTAGCTGGACAAATCCGCAACATGGTGGATTTTCGCTTCTGTACGACACGAAAGAGACCAGGTCACCTGCCAAATTTAGGCTTTGCAACGACTGCAGGATGGTTGGAGACGTGAGTAGCAAAATAATGCATTGTCTCTCCGCGATTATGATGGTTGCTAATTTTGAATGAGTAATAGTTAGAGATTTCAAACCGCAAATCTGCCGTAATGAATTCGCCCCAACCCTTCTCTACGGTAGGGGCCCTTACAACGACAATATAGAGCTCGAGAGTGTCTATATCTGTGAACCTTCGAATCAGCCGCATATTATGCTCACAGTGTCACATGGGTCCGAATGCGATGAGCAAAATTTACCTCGTGGCGAAATACTTCCGATTGTTGCTCTCATGTTGACTCGACTTGGCCGCCAATCGTTTGCATCGTTGGATGTATTTCCAGTGAGTACAGCCCGTACAGAGACCAGCAAAATTAGTTGATTTCTGTAAGTAGCTAGCTAACAATAACTTCTTTCTTGCACAAGGTAATCATCTTTTCCTTCATGGCCAATAACAAAGGTAGGATGTTGCAAGCTCACTATGACAAGCTTGAGCTTGTTATTTGGACCAGTCGACTGTTACGACTTTTCGACAAAAGAGAAGGCCGAAATTTCTATGGAGCTGTTTCTACAGTTCATGGCTGGTGAAGTACGCTGGCCAAAAGATTTCAAAGCTTCCGTTTTCAAAGAAACTATCATACCGTTTCGTGGCATCAAACAATAACGCTACTTGAAGCTAGACGCTTCCACATATGATATGATAATAAGTAAAAGCGGCAAGGTGTAATGAGTATTGCAGAGACACCTTTCACTAACGTAGAAAGGTACACTTTCGGTGCGGGCCTCCGACCACTTCCAGCTAACTAGTTTGGTCTAGGTAAAACCTGAAGTTTGTTTACGACAGATGACCGTTGATTATGCAGGATCAGCCTGGGGCCACTGGGCAGAGTAGCACCAACACCGTCGATCAGGACGCTAACACCACACGGGGCCTCGGACACAACTATTTCGAGGCCCAAGCCTACCACTAATGCACTATAACTAGGCGTCTCTCGAAAACGACGGATAGGATGTCATGGTATGTTTAGGTTATGCAAAACAGGCTTACACGAACGGAGTCGGGACTCTTGCTGCAACGTCGTACGGGGCGGTAAAAGGCAACGATCGTATCTTTTGAGGGAGCTACACGCGCATCTCAGGGAAGGAGACAAGACCGGACCTGATTGCTCGGTTCGAGTTCGTATAGATTTGTGCCTGAATCAGCTGAGCCACGCATGCCGGTGCTTAACTGCTGACTTGCTTAAGGGTTACACAGCACAGTCAAATGATTTGAGCTGCCCAGGATGACTACGGAAATTAAATGATGGGCCATCTAGCTCAAACCTATACAGGTAATTAATGTTCGTAGCCATGCCAGAAAACATGAGACAACCCCCTGGATGGGCTATTCCAGTCGACTTCTTAGTTGTATTCCAGGCATATCAGACACTTAAGATGGGAACGCAGAAATGCATATATCTGTTATTCCCAGCACTTGTCTCTCAGTCTCTTAGACATTCGAGCATATTACAGAGGAGACTAGGATACCTTAAAACAGGAGAGCGGCGAGCCCCTCATTTTCATGGTGTTGCATCGGCTCACGATAAAGCTTGGTAGTCAGCGGGCCCCTTTTTGTTCTTCGACCGTAGTAGTCTTTATTTTTGAGTTTGTTAGTATATCAACGCCTGGCTGGCGTAACTGAGATTATATATTGGTTGGTGGATAATCCCTGCATATACATGCATACTAGTAGGTACGGGAAGTGCTGTTGAGGACAGCACTCTATAATAATATAGTACGGAGTAGTTACGCATGGCCCATTTTAATCAAATTTACACAGGCTCTGAATTAGAATGCTGGAATTTCCGCACAATACAAACACCGTGCATTTTGTATATCTTGGCGTAAAACAAGCTGGATACCAATCCTACACTCAGGGATCTAGCTTATAGTTCAAAGCCACTTGAAAGATTAATTAACATTATCTTCCAAGTTAATCTAGCAAGCCTGAACGCATCGCTTACTTATCACCCCGCTAAGTTCTTAGGTAGAGAGCGCTTTGGCGAAATATGTATATCATCACCAAGGAATGGCCTAGAGCCACTACCTATATTTCTTCAATAGTTACAAGGTACTCACCACCTGAAAGTCCACTGACCTCAAGAGTACCATTTGTTGAATCCTGTGGACCCCAGAAAGAAATACCGCGAGGATTTGCGCCCCCTACCCAGGCATTCACTTCCCTTGTCCAGAAAAAGCCCTTTGACTCACTCCTCCCAGTGGAAACAATTGTAATTTTAGCATCATATCTGGGAATATCCAAAATTATGCTACCCGTACTACCCTCCGGTGTAGAGAACCAGTATGAGGATGATGCTGGAAATGATGGCGCCCATGCCGTCGTTGAGCTTTTATTGACTTTCAAAATTGCAGCATAACTTCCATAGGACAACTCAAACCCGGCTTCAACGTTGGACAGATCACCCGGACGCGGATAAACAATCCAATTTGTCGAATTCAGGACCTGTAATCCAGCCAGATAGGTGCTGAGAGCGGTAAGTGGCCCCGTTGACCATCCATGCGCGTGGCTGATACGTGCATCGTCTGCATAAGCTGGATAATGGAGTGCGCCGGAAATGTCATAACCTTCAATGAAAGTAGAGTTCGTCATACGCGGGTCATCGAGCATGAAATCTGCCCACATGAATCGCATGAGGTCAATCGCATTCTGTGGTTGTCCTGCCAGGAAATGTGCTTGAAGCTCGTATCCGCTAATGAAAGGAGAAACTGTATTCCCTGCTTCGGGAGCTGGTGCACCATACGGACCCCAACGAGCCCTAAGGCTGTTGGATATTGTCACGGCTTGCGTGCTGTTGGCTACACCAGATATGATTGACCAGACATTCCCATCTTGTGGAAATAATGTTGTGTTGTTTTCGTTGTCCCTGAAAAGGCCCTCCGTTGAGTTCCAGAGAAGGTCGTTAGCAGCGGTCTCAATCCCACTAATGGTAGATGTCCAGTTTGCTGTTCCAGAGAAGTCGGATACAGCTTCTGCTAGAGATAAAGCTGCCCTCAGTGTGTAGACCAAGATTGAATTTGCCTGTTTGGGCGACGGTAAGTACAGGATCATCAACAATTCACAAAGTGTTGTCAGGTTAGCAAGAGAAAGACAGTATACCTCAATGTTATACCATCCCATGTCATTCCGCAACCAATCCGCATTATCAATGGGGATGTACGCAAGCCCGGAGGAATCGATGTAGCTCAGACTAAAATCTAAGCCAAGCTTAAAGCGATCCCATTGCTCCTTCACGAAGACGACGTCTCCTGTGTATTTATAATAGTAGTATAATGAAAGAAGACCATGTAGTCCGTAAGTAAACGAGAAAGTGGTAGCAAAACTAGAAGTAATAGGATCCGGAGGTTCCACCACGATAGGTGCTGCTGCGTATGGCATCTGGCCAGTGGTGACGTTTTGCTGCGCAAATAATTGTTCAATAGAAACCTTAAGAGAGTCTATATCATTCGTTGAAAGGAAAACAGCTGGGACCGAGATGCCAAAATCCCCGGGCCATATCAGTTTATCACGCTTTGCACCATCGACCAAGGCATAGGAGCCATTGGTTAGTGTGCTGTTTGACCACCATTGGGTTGGAATATCTGGATTCGTCGCCGCAATGTCGACTAAACTATTGCCTTCATCTGCGGGAATGGTACACAGTTGATTTGTATAGGCAGCTGCGTACCAGACGCGGTTTAGCTTCTCATCATCATCGGCATGGAAGTAGCCCGTATAGTTCTGTAAGGTCGGAACACTGGTCAAGTATGTCGTAAGATTGCTTAAAGTGACAGTACCTGTTGAATTGTGATATAAGTTCAGATAGCGGAAGCCACCACGACTGTGCTGTGCATCAAGGGTGTAGAATCCTGGGCCAGTTATTGGAAACCAAATGATCTCATCAATAGCAACGTTGGCAGTGGCGTCCGAGCCATTAGGCGAAATCCAGAGGGAGGACTCGGTGAAACTAATGCCAATGTATTCACCGGCATCGCTCTGTGACACATTGCTGACAGTGAACGAAGCAAGGCCACCTATGTCTTTGCCATGGTCATAGGTAATGTTAGAGTTTGCAGCAAAAGTAGCGACCCCAGTGCCAGACGCAGTTAAAGCGTCTGCATCATGAACAGTACCGTTAATACTGTACACAGAAACAGGAGTAATGCATCTTTCCGACGGGGCTAAAATATACTGGGAATATGGGATTGCAGCCGCTATTCCCAGGAGCTGTAATGCTATCACAGCAGCTAGGAGCGAAGGAGTGGTCATTTGCTGTCGTTGTCCTGGAAATCGCTATGAAGTGAATTTTTAGGAAAGGGGACAGGCAGGTGGTTCGTTTCCAGGGTGCTTAGGCTTCTTAACAATCTCGTCTAACTAGCACTAGACTGCTCATTCTTCCCAACAACAACCCCTCGCCCGATATACCCCGAAATGCTGTAGAGACATGCCCCAGTGTGTGTGTCCCACCCCTGACTTTGCGGGGAAGATGCTAGAGACAACTCTTCTAGGTTCAACATAGCTTTCCACATCTAGCAAGGCCTACTGCACGTACCAAGGATCAGATCGTGAACTGACCACCACAGTTGGCCGCTGTCGGTATAATCTATACCGAGGACCTTTGAACAGGCAAACAACTGACGTGATTTTCGCTTGTTGATGACCCGATTTCCTCTGATGACCGGTGGGAGTACTGTTGCTGTATATCGGGATCATTGAAGATCCATACACCCGAAGCACGAGCGCAAAGATGTATCTCATACATGCCACTGAAAGCCCAAAGCGAATACCTTCTTTGCACAATCAAATGTAGTGGGATCTGTAGACCTGACAGTAATGTTTGTTTTTATTTGTAATCCATGGTATCATTAGCAGAGAAATACCATATATAATGAGCATTTGCATCCATCGAATGTCACGAGATTCTATATATTTACATGAAGTGACTGACCACCAATGACATACCATGATCTATAGCTTGTGACGGTCGAAAATAAATCATCGACTGAGGACTCCAATTGGCCCAGTCACCTACAGCCAAGAAAGAATCCATAAAGAGGTCCGAAGAAGTAATAGCGTCCAGGCCACGTACATCAGAAAGATTCATATCAGCCTGCACACAGCCAGAATCTGTGGGTTGAGTCAAGACCTGCAGACCGTTGGAACCGCTCATCCACAGCAGCCCAGGCATTCATTTTACGGCGCTGAGATGGTGGCATAGCCCGGTACTTGCAGGGCAATGAAGATCGGAAACATGAGAAACACGGCTGGCGTTTATCACATTTTACCTTGCGTTGGACGCATGTTGTGCAGGCATACAACTTGGTATTTTCACCGTCTGGTAACGGCCCTGTGGTCGCGATTTTTCCACGCTCACCTACTTGGACCGGGGAGTTTTTTATGGGTTACACCTCTCGAACAATTGACGATTTGCCGGTCCTGTTTTCGCGTTCGAAAAAGCCCGGAGAACGGAACGTGCTCCGTCCCAGGTACTTGTCAAGGAACACGATACAGAGGTTTTGGAGCGTGGACCAACTCATTAGGTGCAACGTAACAGCAAGCGGGGGATGATCAGCGTTCCACCGGCTACACACTGTAAGGAGCATTGTCCACTCATCCGATCACGAGGATCGGAATAAGATTCAACCGTTGGCATGCCGTGCGGAACGAGCCGCAGCTGTGCGCAGAACAACAGGCGAACCATAGAGTAAGCCTCCAAGGAACAGCACAGAGAAGCATTATGCGAGCGATACTGTACTGCGCGGATGGTTGAAAGAAGAAGCCAGAAGGGGCAATGTCAAGTCCTGTTGCCGAGCGCAGTGGCGGCTTGGCGCGCCCCGCTGCCCGATGAGGCTAGTCAGGCGGGACGAGCCATGCCAAGCCCGGGCGTTCCTGTGCGCGTTTCCACTGATCCATATGTGCATCATGCACGCTGTTGAGCAGAAGCTGGGAATACGGCGCAAGCCTGATATATCTGGTATATCATGGGAGTTCTAATTATCAATGATCCAACTTTGTTTCTACCTTAGGATAGATTTTATGCCAGTAAGAGAAAATTATATACAAAATCGATTGATTTACTTCTTACAAACAGAAAAGTAAAAAGCAAGTGTAGTATTGTGACTGATTTTCGAAGTAGCAACGGAAAGTGCATCAAAGCAACCGGAATAACAAGTCTATACATACGTTATTATAATCATGTCGTCGAATATTTGGGGAATTCACATAACTCGAAAAGAGCAATGAAGACAAAGAGACTCGTAGACCCTAGAATGATTCCTAACGAAGCGTAAAATGTTGAGCAAAGAATACCTACTTGAACTCCTCCCAGGAAAAGTCATCGAGCTCTTGAATCATCATTGGTTTGCTCTTCACGATTTTGATTAGAACCATCAACCTTTATTGTTCCATCTAGCGGTGTCGACCAATAAGCACTGTGGGCCAGCATTTTTCAAGTGAAGGAATGACGACTGTGTCAATGAGAGTCTCCAACTCCACGACGTTGCCGTGTTGGTGAAATCGCTCATCCTCCACTGGAACCGTTTCAAGGACTTTCATAAGGTCGTGAAATTCCTCTTTTCGATCCTGGAATCCAAGTATTGCTTGGATTTCGATAAGGCACCCAGGCACCCAGGTTAAATGATCCTGATTGGCCAATGTATGGCACGTGAGCGGTAAGAGATATTAATTTCTCATTGGTCCTTTGTTTAGGCGGTGAGCTAACACGTGACTGATTGTTCCGTTGAAAAAAATGCCGGACGGGAAAAAAAAAAAAAAAAAACCGCCCGCCTTTGGAAGGAGCGATCGTCGACAACCTCATTTTTTTCAGTGTCTAACATGTCGAGTGACAAAATGGCGACTACCGAAAGGCATTCAAAAAAGGTTAAGCGCAAGCACAATGCCTCGGACGAAGCGGTTAAATCACCCAAGCCCGAATTGAATGAGTCTCCGGAGAAGCCCAAGAAGCAAAAGACCGCACACCGACCCGAGGATGATTCTGAAGAAGTGGCTGCGAATGTGCTTGAAGATGTGGTCGACCAAGCTCAAGAAAATACGGAACAAGCGACCGAAAACCTTGTCGAGGGAGAAGGAAACGAACTTGAAGACCTGCCTTCCAACGCAGTTTCGCTACCTCAAACCGGCGATTCGTTGCCAACAAAGTTCACCGAACTCAACCTCTCAGATCGTACCTTGGAGGCCATTAAGGAGATGGGATTCGAGACAATGACCGAGATCCAGCAAAGGGCCATCCCGCCGCTGATGGCTGGTCGCGATGTTTTGGGTGCTGCAAAAACTGGATCTGGAAAGACGTTGGCCTTTGTAAGAATAACTTTTTTGGCCCCTTGGCCGGCATAATTTGCATCCGCTAACAAGTAGAACAGTTGATCCCCGCAATTGAGCTACTTCACAGCTTGAAGTTCAAGCCTAGGAACGGTACCGGGGTACTCATCTTGTCCCCTACCCGGTAAGGCTAGCCGAATGTCGACCTGTCGTAGTCACTTGCGCTGACGGAAGACGAATACAGAGAATTAGCTCTACAGATTTGGGGTGTTGCCCGCCAACTGCTAGAAAAACACTCACAAACGCATGGAATCGTTATGGGAGGCGCCAATCGCAGAGCCGAAGCTGAGAAATTGGAGAAGGGCGTCAACCTCTTGGTCGCAACCCGTATGTTGGATTCTTTCACCGGCGTGGAAACCCTAGGCTAACATCTCCTTAGCTGGACGTTTGCTTGATCACCTACAGAATACGAAGGGCTTCGTATTCAAGAACTTGCGTCAGCTCGTCATCGAGTAAGCTCTACCTCTGCTATTTGTCTCTTAATTCCACACTAACCCATTATAGCGAAGCGGATCGAATCTTGGAGATCGGTTTCGAGGACGAAATGAAACAAATTATGAAAATTCTTGGCAGCGGAGAGCGTCAGACGTCACTTTTCTCAGCCACACAAACAACAAAGGTCGAAGATTTGGCTCGTATCTCCTTGAAACCCGGCCCGTTATATATAAATGTTGTACCACGAATGGAAAACGCCACTGTCGATCGACTAGAACAAGGATATGTCGTTTGTGACTCGGACAAACGGTTCCTCCTCCTTTTCTCATTTCTCAAGCGAAACTTGAAGAAGAAGATCATTGTGTTTCTTTCCAGCTGCAATTCGGTCAACTACTATGTAAGTCTTCCGCCCCTCGGTATCTGACAAATTATTACTTAGTGCTTGTTTACTAACGATTTCTAGTCCGAGTTACTTAACTATATCGATTTGCCGGTAATTCACGTTCTTTCCATCGTTAAGTCCCTGTCCGTCACTCACTAAATTCCATAGGTTTTGTCAATCCACGGCAAGCAGAAGCAGCAGAAACGGACGTCTACTTTCTTCGAATTCGTCAACAGTGAAAGAGGAATCCTCATATGTACAGACGTTGCTGCTAGAGGCCTTGATATTCCAGAGATCGATTATGTGGTCCAATATGATCCGCCTGATGTTAGCTACTTGCACAACTTGTAGTCATTCTATTCAATGCGGCTAACTTCTATTCCTCTTAGGACCCGAGAGATTACATACATCGTGTCGGTCGTACTGCCCGTGGTGCCAAGGCCAAAGGCCGCAGTTTGATGTTTTTGCAACCATCCGAGATGGGCTTCCTCACCCACTTGAAGGAGGCGAAGGTGCCTGTTGTGGAGTTTGAGTTCCCTCAGAAAAAGATCATCAATGTCCAATCACAGCGTAAGTTGCTCTACCACCGAATACAATATTCTAGGTCACTGGCTAACTTGGAGTCACAGTCGAGAAACGTAAACAAATACCCTTCTTTCACATGGACTAGAATGCATACTAACTTAAGCTTATCCTATTTTAATAGTCATCTCACAGAACTACTACCTCAACAAGTCTGCCAAGGAAGGTTACCGCTCCTATCTGAATGCGTACGCGTCACATTCTCTCCGCTCTGTCTTCGACATCAACAAACTTGATCTCGTCAAGATAGCAAAGAGTTTCGGTTTCTCGACCCCCCCGCGAGTTGACATCACTCTTGGTGCGAGCATGAGCAGGGATAAAAAGGTGCAGGGAAGACGAGCCTATGGAAGCCAGCCAAAGCAGGCAGCTCGATTCAAGCGAAAGTATGACGAGTAAGCGAAGCTTGAAGATAATAGAGAAGTGAATCAAAAAGTGTGTTTCTCAAGATAATGTGGGCATATTGGCTGGAGTTCGGCGCTACTTGTACAAACTTTGTCAATTCACTGCAGTTGATTGATTGTGGTTGTTTAGCAGTTTACCTTTACAATTACAGGAGATGTACAAATGATACAAAATTCTGATGTCGGTTTACATCTTCCATTTGATCTCGTTGACGTGCGCCCACTGCTTAAGTTCATCCGGACGCAATCATCGTTAGTTTAGTTACGTGCTTCTGCTTTCCCAGGACCTGCATTTCTTCCTAGCTTATATTCGGGTGTGCCGAGATTCTGCAAAATCTTGAGGCAGATTCTCTCTTGCGACTACTACATACCGCATGCTCGTATAGCGGCGGCATAAAACACCGTAAGTGTAATAAGAAACATATAAATTTGATCAGAATCAAGAATCAATCCAGTTCACTAAACTATATCACAAAAGAGAAGGCCCAAAATTACACTTTGCCTAGCATTCGCCGAGTAGAATTGAAGCTCTTTTCCCACCCTAGAGGTAGGATTATTTCCATCACCTCCGGACAGGGCTCAATTGTCATAGAGGAAGTAGACTCGACAGCAAGCCCAGCCGGGCCATCGTTGAAGAACGACGACTTTCCGAACAGGTTCGGGTGATTGGAACGGAGCTTGATCAGGGGTTCACTTGGGGTCTCGAGGATGTATCCTTTGTCCTTCATCGCCTCGACGAGCGGGGTTTCTTTGGTCTTCCCTACACAGTTTATGATGGCATCGACATCTGGTACTCCGCTAACCTTTTCCCCCTTCTTATTGCGGACACAAAGTGAGAACTTTCCGTTACGAAAGACAGTCGTGTCCCCTTCTAGTCGTCCTTCCACGTCGTGCCAGATGCATCCGTCCCTTGCTTCTCTAGATCTTCCTCAAGTTCATCTGTCCGTTTCGAATCGCGCGAGACCATTATGACCTGAACGCCGTTTTCATTGAAAGCCTAGCGATGCCGCCAGCACCGTGATACAGTCAATCATGCGATTGTATCCACCATTCACTACGATAGTAGCTTCGCGATCGTTTCGGTTGATGAGCCTTTTAATCTCTTTCTTCGAGACTTCGTCATCTTCGAGTTCCATTGTGTAATTCTGTGATCCGACACATGAGCTTTTGGAGATTGTCATGTCCACAGATCGCTTCAGCTCTCAGTAAACCATTACTGAGGTTATGCACATCCAGCAGTGTCGTAAGCTCATCCTGTGATTTGACTAGGATACGAAGCCTGGAATAGGTTCAAACTCGATTCCTGCCGGTGGCCTTCTTGTCTGATGCGAAACGTCAGTCTTCTTTCCTTCCGGACGAATCCAAACAACCTCTAGTAGCATACATAGGATCAACTCTCTGTAGCAGATCCAACGCAGAACCTAGAGCACTCGGTCCACCACTAATAATTGCAACTCTTGGACGCTGGGCTTGTTCCTTTTGTTTCTCTTGAGCTTCTCGTATTTTTTGCTGCTGCTTGGTGATCATGTCGATAACATAAGCTGTGTCTGGACTGTTCGCTCAGAATTCCTTCACGAGCTGGGGATGGTGGTCAAGATGATCTAATCCCATCTTCTTCAGATTCACTTGTATACCACTGGCCATACAAACCGGCTGATTCGCTTCGAGCCATGATTGGACCATGTCAATCGTTACTTCCTGATGTTCAATTTGCAGCGCTCCAGCCGCTTTTAATGTCTCCCGTATAACGTTTTTCACCTTGACCAATTCATGTTTCGGTATCCCCTCCGACTTGCTAAGGCTGGCGTACTGCATTTCTTTTTCTTCGACTGGTGTTCCTTGGTCTATCATGAAAACCATGGCTATGTCTTTTTCTTTTTCCCCTCCAAGTCTTGATAGTTAGCATCTTGCGTAATTTTCGTGATGACATTTGGTAGATTGGCAAGCTGTGCCTCGGTGAAATTTGGCATCAATATAGCAACCGGCACAACCTGTCCAAGTGTAAAATAGCCATCTGCTCTCGTTAAGCCAATTTGCCTTAAACCGATCTTTTCTGCGGACATTTCGTATGCCACCACTTTGGCGCCGGCGGCTACGATAACAGTCGCGGCAGCAGCAAAATGCCATCCTGCACCTATAACGAAGACTATCCGAGTTGCGCTTGTTGGATCTCCAATATAGCACCCGGGAAAGCTGTCCTCCAATGTTCTGATAACCTTCGTTTCTCGCCTGGGCAACTTCAGGAGTTCTGCTATTTCAAAGTCGACCTTTGGTATTCCTGTTGAACGCTTTTGTTTCATCTCAGCCATTTCCGTAAGAATTTTTTTCAAGTGATAACTTTTGTCAAGCTAAATTTCCACGAATTAGACTGGTTCCAGCAAAATCTATCCAAGAGATATCGTACTTGCGAGAATGCGGTGCGAGTTAAGGTCAATTGGAAGCAATGTGAAACCGTTGTCTTTTGGATTCAAGGGAAAGATCTTTACTCAATTGCTTTGGAGCTGTATTTATATGCTTGCCTCTGGTGTTGATAGTACTGTTAACACAGAAATGACCCTTACAATTGACTCGTATTTTTCTTTGTGGCTGAGAAACCATTCCCAAGTCATTTTAGCATCTCCTACCTTGGCTGCAAATTCTTTGTTCTTGCATATGATATTAGATGATTCAACGAAGTCTTGTGAATTTTGAGAAATGGGGATGCGGTGATTACTGCACATTTGACACTGAATAACATGACTTCCAAGGTTCTGTATCATGACATTAGGATTTATGTATTCTTCCAAGGTTGGTGGTATAAAAGTGCTTGCTTGATTGACAAGTGCCTTTATCCCCGAACAACATGCCGCAGAAAATGAAACTGCAAACACTTTCAATCACATGCTTCGTCTTTGATGGTTCACTCAAGACTCGAATTTTTTCCCTATCTTTTCCCAGCCATCAAGACTTCTTACTCTGCCTAGCAAACACTTTGCACAAACCCCAGGATGTCTTCTTACACAGAACGTCTGACCCTCGAAGGGAAATCTTTCTTCTATCTTGGAAACGAAAAGGTTCTCACGCACATGGCCCCGTCAACCATCATCAGAATGTCGACAAAAGAGAACTTGAACACGGGGCCGCCAGCGTTTCTCCCGGCGAACGCCAACCATCCGAGAGTTGCTACTATATCAAAGAAAACATCTGTTTGTCCGTCATTGATATACTAGAAAGCAACGAAATACATTTTGATGTCGTGGACTGTGTCCGTAGACCACGGGTGTGCTCTTTGCTCCAACGCACCCATGGCGATGACCATTTTATTGTTATTACAGTGAGAGAAATGCCAGATCCGTCATCTTCCGCCAGATACAGACTCCTTGATGTCTTCCAGGATATCCACAAATGCACAGGTAGTACTAGCAAAACTTTCTTGCGTTATAATCCAATGGCTGACATGATATAGAGCTTGCTGTCGAAATACGCCCTGGCAAGGTTGACCTTTTCACTGCCCGTCCCTTGGTTGGCTCTAGCATTGGGTCTGACAGCGATCCTGAAACTGTAGGCACCCTTGGAGGGTTTGTGAATCTCATTAATGCAAGTGGAAATATTGTGGCCGAGTGTGCTCTTACATCTGAGCATGTTGTAAGACCTTACCTAAAGGCAGCAGATACGAAGCAAATGGCACAGCCAATGGCAACTTGTTTAGGTACTTGCTACTCTACTTTCCGGTATTTTCCAAGGTTTTAACATACCCAAATTGCAACTACAGATTCGTATCTCTTCGCTGCCAACAATGCAGAGGAAGAGCAACCCATTTATTGCTTCAGTCCTAGTCTGTCCACTCATCTAGAGGATGTATCCCACAGCAAAAAACAACTTGTACAGCTAGGCGCGGACATACTTGCATACAAACATAGTAACAACGAGGAGGCTTTTCCACAAAGCGAGCTACGACAATTGAGGCAACAGCGCAGCAAAATCCAGAGAGATACTACCAGAGCAATTGTTAGTGATAGAATTCTAGGCACGGTGTATGCTTCTTCTGGATATGCATTTTCACGCCACTATCATCGTCTCGACTGGGCACTGGTTCAAGTTGACAGTGATCGGCTTTTTAGCGCTCGACGCAATAAAGTTCAGGACCGCAGTGGTCAGCAGCTAGATTCACGTCAAATTTTGGGTTCATTGAAGCCTGAACGGAACGCTAAGGTATACAAGCAAGGGTGTGCGACTGGAGTTACAGACGGAGTAGTCAACCCGCTCCAGAGCTATGTAGCCACTTATGACGCTGACGGGATGCGATCTGTCACTTCCGAGTGGTGCATTATTCCAGAGGACTGTGATACCTTTGCTGGGCCAGGGGATTCTGGATCGCTTGTCTTGCAGAGGGATTCAGCCAATGTGATGGGGATGGTATTTGGAGGCCACGTCAAAGAGGGGAAAGGGGGTCCAGCTTATTTCACCTCGATTACCGCAATTACCACTGATATCGAGAAAGTCACTGGGTGGAGGACTCAGCTTGCAGGAGGAAAATTCATCAACAGGTCTGTTATGGCCCGGCCCATTTCCGAGAGTGCGTTAGAAGATGAGAATGAGAATGAGGGATAGGAGTGTGTGCCACCTTGCAATAATGTAGTTCGTCGGAGTGAAAACAGCTGAAGCATGGGTACATGCGAGTAACTTCATGCGAAATATTATTCGGGTTCAGATTTCCATGGTTCCTAAACCTAATGGCCTTTGACATTTGAGTCCATTCAGCCACCGGATATCGTCTAATATATGTAAGGTACGATAATTGGATGTATTTCTGTCTAGTCACTTTTCTTCTACAGCCTATTCTACCTACTATAACGGAATCTGGAATCCGTCTAGACAAGATTTCCTGGTGGTGGCGTCCCCTCATTATCCCCGCACCAAAACGCCCGACTCCATGGGGTTTCCCCAACAAAGGTATATAAACACCCTTCTAATTCTACTCGGACATAGAAAATTACTGTCAAGTTTTCTGAGAGATTTATTTTCTCACGCTACAAGTAAAATGCCCGGCATCGACCTCCAAACCGCAGGCCTTGCTGTCAACGATGGCCCTCTGCTCCCAGGAAGCTTCGACTTTCTTACGCAGTCATCGCCTTCTGAGCCCTTAGACGTTCTCCGTGCCCGCTACGAGGAGGATGGAATGCTCCTCTTGAAGGGCCTTATCCCACGCGAAGATGTCCTTCGCGCGCGCACCAAATACTTTGAAATGATGGCACCTTCCGGTGTGCTCCAGCAGGACACTCAGCCAGTCCAGGGAATATTCAACTCGGATGGCTCCCCAGAAGATTTCCCCGGAATCGGTGCCGGTGCAACAGGAAACGATGGTCGTCCCGGCGGCGAAAGTGCGCAGGCCTTCGTCGACCTAGCCATCCAGGCGCATTATGAAGATTGGTATACGCAGGACCTCGCGGGGCACCCTGCCTTGATTGATTTTGTGGCAAAGCTTACGGGTTGGAATGAAAATACCCTGGAGTTGAAGCGATCCTTGCTGAGGAATAATGTTCCCGGCACAAAGCCCATTGGCGTTCATTACGACCAGATATTCTTGAGATATGGCGACCCGACCAGCGTGACGGCATGGGTCCCGATAGGAGATGTCAGTCTGACTGGCGGGGGTTTAATATACCTCGAGGATGGTAAGGAAATAGGTGTTCATACCTTTTTTTTTTTTTTTTTTTGTAACAGCGTTTACTAACGGGTTAATGCTTCTAGGTGACGCAGTAGGAACGCAGATCGAACAAGATTTCACCAGAAAAGCGCTCGAGTCCGGTTTAACGGAAGAACAAGCTAGGAATGCCTTCAACCAAAACATGATGTCCACTGGACTTCTGTCCGAATACCCCGCAGAATTTGCTCGGAAATACAACCGGCGGTGGTTGGTGTCGGCGTATGAAGCCGGAGATGTTGTCTTACACAAGCCACATGCTGTATGTTAGCCTATTTCATAAGTTTTAGGCTTCTCCTAACGAATATGGTAGATACATGCCTCGACGGTGAACAATGACCCGGATAATGTCATTCGACTGGCAACCGACCTCAGATTCGTGGATAAGTCGAAGCCATATGATACGGTAAGTCTGACCTCGGCTGTCGATGCGCATGTTCATATCTAACACGACATCCAGAGATGGACAAAGTATTATGAGTTTAATGATGGTGTTTGATCAGTTGTTTAATGAAGAGTAATTGCGCTACCACGCGTTAGTCGTTCGGTGTTCAAGATAATCCATCTATCTGATTTGATCGTAATGCAATTATCAACATCCATAGACCACCTGTCTACTTCTATTATGCCATGTTCTGATAATAGTAATTTGGAAGGTTGGAAAACCATAAAAATTCCATTGAAAAGCACTATTTGCTTGTTAACAATTTGTAGCCAGCGAGGAGAGTATTTAATTCGAGCCTATTGTGCTATTCCCATTCTCATTGAGGTAGTAGCTTTCTTTTGAACTAAAAAATGTATTCGCTTGATATCAACTTATATGCTTTAACGCTGAATATTATCTACCTCCTAGAATTTCTTGAATTTCTTGACCATTCATTCTACTCTGATGGCGGGCGTTGGACGAACACCATCGACAATCGTACTCTTATCTTGATCTTCTGAAGGCTTGCCCCAGCCACCACCACCTATTTTTGTTCATTAGCATAGAGTCTTCTGGAATATCGGGTAAGAGAAAAACTCACCTGGCGAATTAATCTGAATATAATCCCCAGCATTCAGAGACACAACCGCTTTAGCGCCAATATTGATCTTCTCCAATTCACCATGCACATTCTTCTTGAAAATGAAGTTGACTCCTACACTCCCCGGCTCTCCTCCCTCAAGACCATAAGGACTATACACTCTCCTCTCAGACAAAATACTGAATTTCATGGGTATGCGAGCCTCGACTTCGCGCGTCATCCCATCACCGCCTTTATACAAGCCTCTGCCGCCCGTGCCGCGGTTAATGACATCGCGCCGCACGATGACCGGCGTCCGCTTCTCAATGACTTCCGGATCCGTGGCCTTTGTGTTTGTAGAGTGGACATTGACTCCATGTGTGCCGTGCCATGTTGGTCCTGCACCGCTTCCTCCACCGACCGTTTCGCCATAATTCCATCCTGGAGTAACAACCCCCGTCAGCGGATCTTTGCCACCCATGCCCCAACCAAGACTATTCGCACAGCCCTGACTGCCAGCAGCGGCGCCGAAGGCTTGTAGGATCACGTCTGTCACGCGCTGACTCGAGATGGTCGAGCCACAGATCGCGACAGTTGATGATGGGTTCAAAATTGTGCCTTCTGGAATGCGGATCTCGCACGGGTACAAACAGCCCTGGTTCAGAGGAATATCCATATCAACCATGCATCTCAGAACGTAGATGATAGCCGAGTGCGTGATGGACACCGGCATATTCATATTTCCATAAGTCTGAGCCCCAGTGCCTGCAAAATCGAACACGGCGGTTCCACGCTCACCATCGATTGTAATCTTCACCTGCACCGCAGTGCCATCGTCAAACCAGTCCACTGCTCTGAGCGGCTTGCCTCCAGTTTTGACATATAGTTCGCGGAACAGTTTCTTTATTGCGTGTTCCGCATTGCGTTGGATACCCCCCATATATAGATGCACGACAGGCAGAGTGAATTCCTCACAGAGCCGTTTGATCAGCAAGATGCCGCGCTGATTCGCGGATATTTTAGCCTTGATGTCGGATATGTTATCGTTAATCCGACGTGTTGCGCTGCAACCGGGGTATTCTGCTACTTTGTCGAAGAGTTCTCTGACTTGGGTTTCAAGGAAGACGCCTTCGCTAACGATCTTGATCGACTTGACTGCCATGCCTTCCTGCCACAGCTCCTTTGAGTCCGGAATCATGCTAGTAATGCCGATTCCTCCAATATCCGTGTGATGGCCGCGGGAGGCAACGTAGAAGATCAGTTGATTGTCATAGAATGCTGGTGTAACAACCGTTAGATCAGGCAAATGCGTGCCACCAGCTTCCGGGTGGTTGGTGAGAAGAACGTCTCCGGGTTTCAGCTTGTCGCCCCAAAGCTTGTGCTGATACTGTATGGCGAACTGCATGCTGCCCAAATGGATTGGGATGTGTGGTGCGTTAGCCACCAGGCCGCCGTCAGGCGAGAAGATGGCACACGAAAAGTCTAGTCGCTCTTTGATACTGGTACTGATTGATGTACGCTGCAAGGTGTTGCCCATTTGCTCGGCAATGGACATGAATCGATTGGCGAAGCAGGAGAGTTGAACAGGATTAATTGTTTCTGTGCTGATTTGTGATGGAATCGATGATTCTTTGCCCGCGACTTTGTCGATTATAACGTGACGTCCGGTGAGATGGCATTCATAGTTCGGTTCAATGAGGATGGTCTGCGTCTTGTCGGTGATGATTGCCGGCCCGGTGATACGAGAGCCTATCACTAGATTGTCAAGTTCAAATATAGGGGTGGACACCCATTCATCATCGATGAAGACTCGCTGATGCGTTCTCGCAGATGGAATGTTGTTGTTACTTGACTTTGCAGCTGCCAGCTCATCTGATACAGACTGTGACTCCTTCTCATTGAAATTCTTTGCTGTTGCCCGCACGCGGATACTATCAACCACGATCTCGCGGTTCGTCGTGAAGGCAAATTCTCGCAGGTGCAGGCGAGTGAAAGCCGCGCTATAGTCACCATCAGACGGTTTCTCGACGCTCAGACTTGTGTCCATCCCCTTGTACTGCAGATTGAGGAACACTTCAAACTCAATTGTATCGCCAATGATATCCTGACTGTGCAACTCTTTCTCCAGTTTTGACTTAATAGCACTTTCTCGTTCCTCTATCCGGGACATTGTTTCTGGTGACAATGCGACCGATAACGACTCGCTTGCCTCTGAGGTGATCTCGGCGAGACTAATTCCATACGCCGACAGCAGAGACGAGAAGCGGTGGATGAGAATCCTACGAATGCCGAGATTGGAAGCAATCGCACAAGCATGCTGACCTCCAGCTCCTCCAAAACTGACAAGATTATGGTCCAACGTCGCAAACCCTCTGGCTTCAGTCGCATTGCGTATCGGCCGGCACATGCTCTCATTAGCGACCTTGATGAAGCCTAGAGCTACCTGCTCAGGCGTGAACTTGACTGCGGATTCCGCATTAACGGCTTCAGTCAACTGGGCGAATTTTTCGGCGACGATGTCAGTGTCCAAAGGCTCGTTTGCGTGCTCGCCAAATATGGCGGGAAAGGACGATACTACTAGTCGACCGAGGAAGAGATTTGCATCGGTAATGGTGAGTGGTCCCCCTTTTCGATAGCATGCAGGGCCTGGATGTGCGCCGGCACTCTGTCATTTTTTGATTGAGTTAGACGAACGCTTCAGATTCATTTACAACGTTGGTTTCCATACCTCTGGACCAACGGCCAATAGCCCATTTCTCACAAACAGCTTCGATCCACCTCCTGCTGCCACGGTGTTCAGGTTAAGCATTGGCGTGTAAACCTTGCGGTCTGAAATCGTTGTATCGCTTATATGGTCGAATTTCCCATCGTAGCGACAGACATCGGTGCTTGTGCCGCCCTTTTAGGTACCACGATTAGACGTCACAGCATTCTCGTTGCATGAATCATGAAATAACTGACCATATCGAAACCAATTAAAGCCTTGGGATCCTTCAAATCGTAACATGACTTGGCAACACCAACAACCCCACCGGCGGGACCACTGAGCAAAGCCGCATTGCCTGTGTAATTTTGTGCTGGGCGCAATCCGCCGTCCGAAGACATGAACTCGACTCGCTGCGGAGGCACGGCGAATCCACTTAGAAAGTCTTCAACATATGTTCGAACAATGGGAGATAGATATGCGTCGGTGCACACAGCGGTTGCTCGCTGGAGTATCTTTATTCGTGGACTGATCTCGGATGAAAGTGATATAGAACCAAACCCTTCTTCCCGCGCAATGCCTCCCACAAGTATTTCGTGATCTAAGTCGACGGGTTAACATGTCAAAATTGACAATGTGTAATTTCCAGACATATAAGTACCTGGGAAGATGTGGGAATGCATAAAGCAAACCGCAATCGATGTAAAACCCGCATCGCGGAGTTTCCTGAGCTGCTGGCGAGTTGCTTCAACATCTACAGGCTGCAAAACACGAATAACCTCGCCACTGTTCGTTTTAACCAGTGCAGGGTCTGTCGCATCAAGATCTGGATGGGGAAATGGGTCTAATTCGTAGTTTTCTATGGTCACTCGTTCTTCGACTTCTACAACCTGGTCGAATAGAACTTCAGGTTTCCGGATATTCAAGTCAAAAAGCTTTGGACGGGAGCCGTCGCCAATTTCACACAGATCTCTGAAACCTATAACAATCATCAACGCTGGCTTTATGATGGCTGGAACATGCTGAATATATTATTAGCGCCTACCCTTGGTTGTCAGGAGAGCAAAGCGCTTTCCTTTATGTTCCAGAAGAGCATTGGTCGCAATAGTAGTTCCAATGCGACACGACTCTATGAAGGTTGTTCAGCGCAAATTTTGACAAGTGTCGAATAAGCGGATGACATACCGATTGTAGACGCATTCAGCTTTTCACCAGCTGATATTTCACGACCCTCAACGGTCTGCAATACCCGCCGGATTGCCTCTGTTGGCGCATCACGGTAGTTTTGAGGATCGACGGATAAAAGCTTGAAAACGAGGTCATTCTGTCCAGGTATTTGGGCAATAACATCGCAGAATGTGCCGCCTCGGTCTGAAACGTATGTCAGAAACGGCTTCTATGTCGATATGTAGTATTACCATACCTATAGATATCCGGACGCCGCCTATATCTCCGTGAGTATTTGTAACCGCCATGTCTGCGCCGTTGACCTTCAGTACCTGAAGTCGCGCAAGTACAGTTTTGCTTCGTCCAGAAATAATATTAGTTTGCTTCAACAAGTCAGAGATTCATACTCCTATCGATAACGCAATAACTAACTATTCCCTGGTGGGGCTCCATACAGCGGGACGAACAAAACCGATATCGCAGCACGTGGCAAAATTTTCACGCGTGCGACTCCATACATAACCCAAATCCAAAATCTGCAGTTTTCTCGCCGTTACAAGTGCCTAGTATCTACTCGTCAATGCCGTGGATGCGGATGTATACTTTCGAGTCATCGGCCAGGCTACGGAGTGCCAACGCCGCTCCGTGAAAGAAGAAGTAAGAAATAAGCTCTAATGGCGGGGCTCAACGAGATTGGTCTCGGAGAAAAGCCCGCGCCGGGACCCAACGTGCGAGATAAGACTTATCATCGTGTTCAAGTGCTAATACTCCCTACGGAGGTCCCCGTGCTGGCATATTCTTATAATAGCCATCGTCCAGACTGCGTTTCTGCTGCTCTGCAAAATGCGCAGTGCAAGGTTGAGCTCAGATGAACGCGAAGATACCAGCAATACCTGTGCAGGGAGAGGAGGTTAGCCCTAAGTTTACGTTTTCGGCAACTTCCAGATTTTTCCCGATCGGGGCAGAATTGCCAGATTCGGCACTGGGCCGCGATAACGCAGAGCCCCTCTGCCATCACGCCATTCTTATACTTTGTGCTTTTTTTTTCGCTTCATTTTTCTAAACTACCTTTTTATCCTGTTTCTCGTTGCGTTGCACGCAAAACTCGCTCCAACTAATATAAGTCAAGCAGGAAACAGTCATAGTAAAAGTCATAACATGCCGTAAGCCCATTGCGTGTCAACAATCACGCCATTTGGGCGCCACTACCGGCAGTTTGGTTAGCAACGAGCCAAGCTTCAAGCTATCGTATTAGTTGGGTCGAGATATAGGTATATATATAAGAAGATTATAAGTCGTCTCGCGTCTCACATAAAGAACTGTTCACTCCTCCTGCGGCACCTTTATTGAGTTTATCTCGGTAGTGTTAGTGAGAGATGGCCGCCACTACATACGACCACGACCAGAGTGTCGCCAGAACCGAGAAGAAGAAGCCCTCCATCGGGAAGAGGATCCTTGGTGTCCTCTGGGATTCGCTCGATGACAAGCCCCAAGAAGAGCACCGCCTAGTGCGGAGGCTTGACTCGTTCTACTTGATTTGGGCATGCTTCTATTATTTCGTCATGTACCTTGATTCCAGTGTGTTTTCCCGCCTCATTATCTGTATCTGGGCGTCTTGCTAAGAACCGTCTAGCGAACATCAGCAATGCCTATGTCAGCGGTATGAAAGAAGATCTTAATTTGTACGGCAACCAGCTTAACTGGATGACTACGTGCTGGACTATTGGTACGTTACTTTGCGACTTCAATACGTGCGCATACTCACATACTAATCATAACAATAACAGGCTATATCGTCGGCACTCTTCCTTCCCAGTTTATCCAAATGCGCATTCGTCCGTCGCGCTGGCTTCCTGCCCTGGAACTGATCTGGGGTGCTCTGGTTATGTGCATGGCTGCTGCTCCCAATTACAAAACCATATACGCCATCCGGTTTCTCGTCGGAATCTGTGAGGCGTCCGCCTACCCTGGTATGATGACCTTGCTCGGAAACTGGTATACGCCGCAAGAACTCGGCAAGCGATCCGTCATCTTTCAACAGAGCTCTGCCGCCGCCCAGATGTTTAGCGGCTTCTTGCAGGCCGGAATCTATAATGGTATGAATGGGTACGATGGACTGAAAGGGTGGAGATGGCTGTTTATTTTTGACGGCGTCATTTCCATTCCTATCGCGATCCTGGGGTTCTGGCTGATCCCCGATGCCCCATCCAATTCACGAGCTTTCTATCTGAAACAGGTCGATAAGGATGTGGCTATCGCGCGTATGAACCGTGCCGGACGAGCTGCGCCCAAGGGAATAACATGGTCGACGCTGAAGAAGGCCCTCACCAATTGGCCTCCATACGTGATGGTTATTCCATATGTGTAAGTTCTGCTCTTCTTACTAACTTAACACACACAAACTTACCAAGAAACACTAGGGCATACGTCCTCGCACTGCACATTGCCTCTTACATGAACCTCTGGCTTAAGTCTCTCGACATGTACTCCGTGGCCAAAATCAACGTCATTCCCTCGGGAGGCTATGCGGTCGAAATTGTTATGGCTCTTGTTTATGCCGTCGCCTCCGACGCCATCGGAGTGCGATGGCCCGTTATTATGGCTGGTGGCGCTCTAGGCTTGCTTGGGGGCATATTGCTCTCGGTATGGAACATCTCCTTCGGCGCAAAGTACTTTGCATGGTACATGACTTTCGCACCCGTGGGAACTGGTGCTTTACTTTTTGCCTGGGGCAATGAACTATGCGGACAAAGTGCCGAAGAGAGAGCAATTCTGCTCGGCTGGCTGAACACCATGGGGTATGTTTTCAATGCCTGGGTGCCCCTTTATGCCTATCCTGCCCAGGAGGCTCCGAACTACAGGTATGGGTACAAAGTCAATGCTGCCTTCTGGGGTATATATATCATTGGTATACCGGTCATTGTCTGGTTTGCCTATAAATTTCCGACCAAGAAGGCAGTTGAAACAGAGGCGGACCAGACTGATGAATATATCGAGGAGAAGCTGAACAAGGGTGAAAATCCTACAGAAACAGTCACGGAGGTTTAACATTTCGCCAAGTTTTAGTCAATTAATGTCAGTATATTCGATAGAAATAATAACATAGTGATAGCATCAATTATGAAAGAAAGTCTAAGTCGTAAACATATGTGTAGGTCGCAAATTAAAAGTGTAATAGGGTAAAAATATAACACATGCCAATCAAACAGCCAACGAAGGCTCTAGCCCACCCCCTTTCTCCTTCTTAACACTCTTCCACTCCACAAAAAGACAGACAATAAACGCCAGGCAAGTCAGTGCCAAACTCACTCTGTAAGCGTTACCCAGGCCATTCATATAAGCATTTACCACGGTAGGAAGCTCATTCAACTTGCCCATTTGCGCAAGTACTTGTCGAACACCAGTTGCACCGGCACCCACAATAACACTTGACTCGATATCCTCAGAGTGCGAATCCAGATAGCTGACCAGCCCATTTTGGAAAACCGATTGAGCAACGGATATGAACAGCGCACCACCCAAACTTTGGGAAAACACAACGATCGCAGACCCGATAGGTATATCGTCCTGGGATAGAACCGTCTGCACAGCTGTCATGGGCACTTGGAATCCCGCACCGATACCACTACCCGCAAGAATCTGATATCCGATCCATTTCCCAGTCGATATAGTAGGACTGTAAGTCGTCAAGAGGCCAGTACCGATACAGAAGAGAACAGTACTGAATAATAGAAACGGGGTATAGTAGCCAACAATGGTAATCACACCACCCAATAAGATCGACGATATCACAGATGCAAGAAGAATGGGGAGCAGGTCAATGCCCGATTTTGTCGCCGAGTGGTCCTTGACCGATTGGAAGTAAATGGGGAGATAGTACATGAGGAGGTAAAAGGCTCCTCCAAAGCACACGGCAAATATAGAAGCTGACCATACCGATCGCTTCTTAAGAATGCGTGGTGGAAGAGTAGCTCGGTCCCCAAGCTTCCACTGTGAGAATGCGAACAATATGATAATCAATCCAAAACCAATAAACAGGCCGATTATGCGAGAGTTGGACCATGCGTATTTACTCCCACCCCATTGCAACGCGAGGAGAAGACAGACAATAGCGGGTATCAAGAGTGCTGCGCCGATAAGATCGAGCTCCATCATTTTCTGTTTCCAGGATGGGGTTTCGGGGCTTTCTTTCTGAGGAATATGGAGGATTGCCAGGACGACTACGGCCGCAAGACCTCCTATGGGCAGGCTTGCAAATATATTAGTTTCGGCTGAATACAACTGAAACAATGGAACTAACTCACTTAATATAAAAACACCACCGCCAGGAGACGTGATCGGTGAAAGCACCGCCGAGAAGCGGTCCGACGACAGATGCCAGGCCCCAGACAGCACTGAAAAGACCAAACACCATAGGACGTTGTCGGAGGGGGACTATAGATCAAAGCAATGTCAGGCATAGAATCACTACTAAGTTCTTGCCAGGCAAGTACTCACTACAATAGCTGAGAATAATCAAGGATCCTGAGAAGATTCCCGCAGTACCACAGCCAGCCACGGCTCTACCACCGATCAAAACAGAACTATTCGGAGCGACACCACACATCAGGGAACCAAGTTCGAAGACAAAGATAGCAGCGAGAAAGGCCCATTTAACCTAGTGTCGCATTCGTCAGAAATAGAGGTGGCCAGACAAAGGAGCGGGGTAGCATTACGCTCAGAATCTTGTAGATGCGACCGTATGTTGGCTGAAGAGCCGTCGATGTCAGGAAGTACGCACTTCCATACCATCCAACGTCTCCAACGGAATGGAATTGATCAGTGATTTTCGGAATGGCTGTGCCGATAATTGTCTGGTCAAGTGCCACTAGGAACACGGTGATAAATAGCGACGACACTATCAAGATGACTTTGACTATACCTGGATATTCAGGTTCATCCTGCTCGTTCTTGGTTTGGGGTTGGTCGGGATCGTTCTGTACATTGAGTTTTTGCTCTTCTTCGTTCTGCTGGAAATAAGCATCATGCTCCTCCTCTTTCCCAATGGACTTTGCATCCACATGGACTGTCATCTCTATATGTGATGAGGAGCCCGTACTCTCTGTGCTCCCAGACATTTGCCGCTCCCGTTACTTGCTCTCCTGTCTAGTTAGTCGTGTCGTTGTTATCGGTGGATGGACAATATAAACATTTGAAAGAGTTGCAACAGCGAGATTTACATAAGTGTGGTTTAAGAATTGTGATTTCAATATCGTGATCCAGGGGAAGATTAAAGAATTGAAAAATAAATAAACAAAGTGGTAAGGAAAGGCGCACATCAGTGTCTCCCTTGCTTGCATCAATGCCAGGAACGAGGTTGTGGAATGCCAACAGATGAGTACATATAGATCCTTATAAGCCTTCATTTAAATGATTGGCTCAGCGGCAATGTGCCAAATAAAATTGACGTACGACAGCTTATTTAACACCAATGTCTGTGATATTATGATCATTGCTCACTGTGCATCTACAGGGCACCGCAATTTCCTGTATTGTTCTTCTTACTTGTGCGTAGCAAATCATGTCTCTGTGTATAAGGCCATCCAATTTACAGTTAGTATTGTCTTAGGATATCGCTCATTATACTCGAGTACTACAAAGTTATGGGTAGAGATTTGCACATAGCTGTTTAACATCAATTGAGATTTTCTCTACTCAGAAAATGCAACACCCTCTCAATCATTTCACAGTGCTACGACCAATGAAACTTGGTAAGCATATACATATACTTATTGCATACAGCCATCTAATAGATAGTTTACATCACATACCAATAGCATTGTAGTCGATGTATTCACAAACCACACATTAAAATGTAACCCTCAAAAGGACACTCTGAGCCAATGGCATCCGAATAGAATAAAAGACTACGAAAGGCAAAAATCATGCAGCAATTGCAACATACAGCTTGGGAACCCCCTGGAAGCCGCCTTCGTGATTACGAATGGGTACGTACATATAGGGGATATTTAGAAGAAAAAAATCTTGCAGTAAAGAGAAATTGAGGTTTCTGATGAACATAAGTAGCAGGAACTCCCTGATTTGATCCTCAGTTTCTATATCGAGAAGGATTTTGAGGCGCATAACCCCCCCTCCCTTGCGGATATGCGAGTATACCTAATTGTTATGGATATGGCTTCCGTGTTACACAGACTGTAGATCCCCCTTCGTCGGAGACTCCGAAAAATCCTGCGAATGAAACTTTTTCGTGAGAATAGTCGAGATCGTGGTGGCTTTTGAATTATACGTAGGTACGGATAGGTGTAGTATATACTTGGTAATCCTGTCTAGACACGATAGGACGGCGGGCTGGGAATTGCCTTACTAGGCAATAGTATGACCCGAATTGGTCCATTCACGTCTGACCCTTTATGAGTTATAATTCTTACGTACATGCTTAACATGTTCCTACCTTCCAAGAGACTCGGAGTAGAGGAGATACTCCGTATAGACACTCCGACGCAATTTTTCCTGCATATACGCGGCGATTTCTGCCGGTCTTCGGAGCGTGCTGAAAGTCCGACTAAATCTGGATTTAGATGGTGTATAGAAGTCTCTATCTCGTACTATATTCTGAATAATTACCTCGTCGACCCAAACTCTAAGCTATTCTACCTTACGTACTTTGTCGCCGAAAAAATATAACTCGATATATGCAACCACAATGGTCCCGGTAGTAGTGCTCTGGGCTCTCTTCATGCGGTGTGCAATCGCACAATCCGTCACAAGTCTTTTCCTGCCAATGGTCGAACCGCAAACGCTGGTTGGGTCTGTGATCGGTAGTGTATGGCAATCAACAACTTGGACCATCCTCAGCTAATCCTTTATAGAATCATTCAACTACCACCTATTCCATTGCCTGTCCTCCTGGGACTGATGCCGAAAAATGCGGCGTCGATGGTGCGATGACAGCTATTGAGGGCCCTCAGACAGCCATGTATAATATAATTGATGCCGCGGATGAGTAAGAATGGCTGCAACATTATGAATAGATGCTGCAAGGCGGTACCTCTGATGAAAGGATAAATAATAGCTGACTTTTACCATGCTGCTTTAGTATCTCTGCGTATATATCATGTGACCTGGCCGATTCTGCCACAGTGAGCTGTACATCTACCATCAGTGGCTCAGGTGCCGGCCAATACACTGGCACTTCAACTACCACCATCACAGCTGCGTCAACAATGTTTTTACCTGTTACCATTACCGCTGCTGCCTCGACAGGAGCGACCGTGCTTGAATCTACAGCATCGCAAACAGCGGCGACACGATCATCAGTATCGAATACAAATGGTGTTGGACGAACAACGAGTGATGACCCCTGCGCCGTCGGTAGCTTTGCGGCCGCGTTGGCTTTGGTTATCTTGGGACTGTAATGATTATTTATTTTATCGAAACAGTTCAGGGCACACGTCGTTGTCACCTCAAGACAGTTGACATATCAAGTGTATTATACATTATTATACCCACGTGCACAGACCCTTGATATATCAGGCTAAGAAAACCTTTGGATACCCTAAAGAAAAACGCGAAACTAACTAGAAATGCCCGAAAAGTATTTCAAGGTTCTCTCTTTATGCTCTGTTTTCCCAAAGTCCGTAAACAGCCTTATGTGCCATCCTTTTCGCCCTCCGTCCCAACCCTTCAAATAATCCCGATTCATCGGGTGAAGAGCATTTTCAAAACTAATCCACGCTGTCCAGTAGCCTAATGGCGTCACTTTTAGGAAGTACTCTGCTATCAGTAGCAAAGCATATTCTGAGCATAGCTAGGAACGGCAAATTTCTCAGCAGACAAAGGACCACAGACAGCCATGTCAGTGCTAGGAGTGTACCACCAGAGGTTGCCGATATATCATACAAGACCCCATGATGATTGTGCAATCTCACGAAGCCACTGGCAATGAAGGTCGACAACGAAGCTGTTATGATCATTATTCCGAGACTGACCTGCTGTCCTTGTTAGATCATGGGTTTCAAAATTTGATACGAATTTAATCCGTGGGTTAGGTGAACCGTCGAACATAGAGACATACCAGTGAAAAAGCTCGACTAGTAGTAAGATACAGATAGCCGGACCGAGAAAATATGAGTCCGTCAATCAGAATTCCGATGCCCATGATGACGATGATCAATATAGACAACACCGAAATTGTTTTGGAGGTAGCAGAAACCCAACCAAAATCGGAAATTGCAGCATATGGCCAGCTAATATCGTCTTGTCCGCTCCCACTCGCAGCGAGGCTCTTCAACAGTGCAGCTGCCAAATCAAAGGCAAATGGCACGCTGGGCTGAGTGCACATTGTCGTATTTCGCCCGCCATCGTCCATGAAGTATCCCGCACAGTAGGTCAGCACATGTACCGTATAGAATTCGTATAATCCAAGCTCAGAAGCGAACTCTAACCCGTCTGGATTGTGGCTAGGGTTTGTTTTCAGTCCTGATACATCGAGCTAGGTAGGTATGATCAGTCAACGCCAGTCAGATGTCGACATACTCTGATTTTTACTCACAAGGACTATGAATACGTCCTCCAGGGCACCACCGCACTGAGTACCTGCAAAGACAACAATCAAAATCAAAATCAGGGCAGCTAGAGAGAAAACCCTAGCCAGGATATCCCCAAGTGCCATGAGCAACAAGCCGGCCCGCCAGAAGGTGGCTTTTGCTTTGGTGAGTAGGTATTGGTTACTGTGGTTCTAATGATTTGATTGAAAATAGAGTTCAAATCGTGGCAGGCTATATACACTGGAAAAAATTCCTCTCCAACATTCGTTCTCGACATAGAAAATATCAGTGCAGCCCTAGATTGAACATACCTAAGAATTGACTCCGCGCGGATGCCAGTATTGACTGCATCGACGAATCATTGAGTGATAAGGGCCTTACCATGAATGTTGTTTGCCGCTTTTTGCAGCGCTCAGACATCAGATCTTGCGTGATCTCTCTCCAAAGCTGTGGATATAAGTTAACTTCGCAATCTCGATCGCCCTAAACTTACTTTGAACGTTGATCCATTCCTTTATCTTATTATATCGGGAGAACGTAGAGAACGTATGGGTATGCACATAGGTGTGTTGTACAAAATACCATTGAATTCATCAATGCAGTCGACCACCTATCACCCTTACATCGCGGAATTACTACTACTACGTGCGAACTGATTGGTTCGATCGATGTGCTCAACGGACAGGCTTTTCCGAGTATACATTCCATACGCCTCAAGGCCACGGAATAAGACTCCGCACTTAAAATGCAAGGAACTCCCCGCTGAATGCGGAAATTATATGGATGGCGACTCACATTCGTCCTCGAATATTGCGGAAGTCGCATGATTGATCCTCAGGAATTCTAATTACACCGAGAATGGACGCACGTGGTGATGCATTTTTGCAACTGCATTAATCGTACGAAATCTCCGTGATGGGAAAAGCCTTTTGCAGCGCAATGTTCTAACGTTTCATTACGAGGTCTGTTTGGCTGGCCAGGGTAGTTATGCATAGCGATTAACTATCCGAGAGTAATCAGGTATTACTACTTTAAAAACTGGCGTTGCCGGGCTCTAGGTTTGGCTGCACAACCATGCAAGCCCTGGGAGACATTACCAGCGCAAATGTTGGGCAGAAGAATGAAATCCTACATAGCCAAGTCATCCTGTTCTTTTGTTTGAGGTCTTGCCACCGGCGCTAAAACAACGTCGATGATTGGGCTGATTCAACCTTGTCAAGTTTTCGACCTCAGCGTTCACATGAGGCTTCTTCCGAGGTACCAACCTCATTTATGCTAGAATTTGTTTAAGATTTTCTTGCGGCGGCCAACCGGAATCTCTCTCTGACAGTCCACCTAGTGGAGACTAATTCATTATTCTGATACAGCGTTAATTTAGCCTCGTTCAGGGGTGCCGCAGACTAAACATTATTGGACGTGTACTCCGGACAGGATCCAGAGTATTCTAACTTGGTTGCTTCAGTACTATTAACAGAAGATTTATGCATAGCTTTATTTTCAGTTGTTTATCACCGATAATGCGAGATTTTCCTGGCGGGTAGAAACACCTAGGCATGGATGTGACTTATCAACATGCCCGAGCATTTCTCATTATACATCATGGAGTCTACACCGAGAAACTACTCAATCTTGCAAAAAGAAGTAAAATAGGGTGAATAAACCTGTCAGATTGTGTAGTTCGATGGAATCAATCCCTGTTTATATTAATGTTTCGCCATGCCAACTAGCCGCTGGCCTGGAGCACTCTAGACAGAAGCAAATCAGCCTACATATATTAGTCGTATAATACCAAGGAAACGTGCATCCACCAACCATCGCCGCTGGAAGCAATTTCACTGGCGCCACTGTGCCAGCTTTATTACCTAGGTAATTACTTTAATTTCATTCTGCGGCCTTGAAACTGTTTTTGTAAGAGCAGTCATAATGGCAGATGGGGTCGTCGATATTGAGGCTGCCAACTGCCTATAATGTTCCCAATACTATATACTCCATAAGCAGGAAATATATTATCAGGGGTAGGCTTTAAGATAGCACATATATAAGTAGGAAATGCCGCTCGAAAACATTCAATCGTGATCCCTCATTCAATCGTTCGTTCTTGTTCACATAGTCTACTTTCCTTTACATTCCTTTTTTTCTTCGTCATTCTTTTAACCCACACGGTCTTTATCTTTATTTTGAAACTTTCGTTTTGAACCACAGGCTGGGAAAATGAAGGCCAACTATCTTTCACTATGGGCGCTCGCAGGCTCGGCGTCTGCCTATCTTGCCACAACCACTGTGAGTTGCTTCACTGGAATCTAGCGACTCGTCTGCTGAGGCACGTCTAATAATGCTTCTAGCACTACTACGACGGTCAGAAGGGTGCTTGCGGTTGCGGCACCGACTCCGGCCTTGATTCATGGCAGGTTAGTATACGTCCCATCCTTTCAACTGCAGTATAAGGCCTCGTAGTAATGTCTTGGCTCTTCAATAGCTCGGCATTGCTACCGATGTCTACACTGCTGCAGGATCTCAAGCGCTATTCGACACCGACGACTCGAGCTGGTGCGGAGGCGGCTGCGGTAAATGCTACAACTTGACATCCACGGGCGAGTCGCCATGCAGCACCTGCGGTACTGGAGGAGTTGCCGGCGACAGCATCATTATCATGGTCACCAACCTCTGCCCCTACAATGGCAACGAGCAGTGGTGCCCATCGGTTGGTGCTACCAACGACTACGGGTACAGCTACCATTTCGACATCATGGCCGAAAGCGAGGTTTTCGGTAACAACGTCGTCGTTGACTTCGTGCCCGTCGCATGCCCCGGACAAGCCGTCACTGATTGGGAAACCTGTGAATGCTACGGCGAGACTGATAGCGATACCACTCCTGCCGGAATGACGTCTGCTGTTGATAGCTCCGGAACATCAGCCACGTCGTCCGCGTCTTCGGTTTCTTCTACATCCTCCTCATCCTCCACTGTTCTTCCAGTCTCTTCAACCACTGCCGCAGAGTCTTCCCCCACGACTACACTGGTAACAGAGGCTTCTAGCGCCGCGTCTACACAAGCAGCTTCAACTGTTGTTGAACCATCTTCTGTCGCCTCAGATGTCGTGGCGCCTTCGTCAACATCTACCTCGGCAGTCGTTGAGCCATCTTCCGTTACTTCAGCTGCGGTCGCACCATCTTCGACTGCCAGCCCTGCGGGTACTACAACCACCACCACCACCTCCGTGACAATCAACACCGTCGTCACGGAAACAATCACTATCTGGGCTACACCATCTTCGTCGAAGGCTAGCTCGACATCGAGCTCCGCAGCTGCCGTCCAAAGTCTTTATGGTCAATGCGGCGGTATCAACTGGACTGGTGCTACGACCTGTGCGACAGGTTCAACCTGCAAGGTTCAGAACCCGTACTACTATCAGTGCGTCAGCTCATCGGATTAGGTGCAATATGTGCGTGTGTTTGGACTTTAAAAAATACATTCTTGTCATCTATTTGTTTGCTATGTTTTCTTCACTTCTTCGTTCCCGAATGGTACCTAGGCATTGTCTGGATAAACACCTAGGGTTGGAATCATTTGTATTATTATTCAGTTTTTTCTAAAACAGAAAAAATCAAATGCACCATTGCGCCTTTAGTTTTGTGTCTTCTTAAGGAATTGACGGTCGCCAGGCGACAGTGTAGAGTGTGTAAAGTCCTGTACGAAATATAGCAGTGCAAATGTGGACTGTCTTGAAGAGTTGTCATATTCAACATGTTCTGCTGGGCTAAATTCCATGACAACTCGACGGAACACAGCGGATAACAATGTCATATGTCCAATTTCAAGCACTTAGTCAAATGTTAATTAGCCTCAGGTCTCAGTATTCGAGAACAAGTTGTTTCGTTGTTTTTGTATGAATGAAACAAAAATGTAGTAATAAAGAACCCAGCACGGAGAGAGCAGCAAACAAAGCCGATTCCAAGATAATTCATGTTTTAAAATCCACAGTGAAACCGTAACTCGCTCCTGTTTAACTATGAATACTGAGAAATGCAGCAATTAAAACGGCTTCAATCCTGACAAGTACTGGTCTCTCCTCCTCATTGGTTTCGTGGGAGCTACTCTGTCTGTGCACTTTAGCCTATGAAAATTATTTACCTTTAGCTTAGAACTCTAAGCTCGTTTTGATTGTTTTATATTTACATCGTCCAAGGAATTTCCATGCTGTTTCTCACTTGACCTTAAAAGGCCATGTTCACACTACAGGAGGAGTTTCCAATGCTGCGGAGGAATCGTAGTATACCTAGGTAGTTTGGATATTCTTAGTACTTCGCTTACAGGTCGCTATACTTCGCGAGAGTATCTATAGTATTTCCTTATGGACATTTTGTCTGTTCGATGTTGAATAAACTACGTTTAACTAACGCATTGAGCATTGTTATGGCGTAGCGATATATATATTCCCATTCTTCAAGGAAGGATTTTGGTTCGTCAAAAGTCTATTAAAATGCCGTTAGTTCTTGTTAAAGTTTTACATACCGGGGTATCCTTCATTCTGTATGTTTATCACCTTGAAGCATCTTTTCTACTTGGTACAGTACCTGGACACAAGTATTTGGACACCCTTGATTTTGACCCACTTTACGCATCACACTATCTTTCTATTTAGGTTATATACAAAGTTCCAAAGGCTCTAATAAGCCGTACACCACCTATCCGCGTTAAGTATAGCCTGTATTCTATGAGGTATATGTCACGCGCCTGGATCCACCCTAGTTGTCACTGGTTGTGTCGAGGTACAATACGATAGATAAACTACATAAAGGTTCATAAGGATAACTTGTTAATAAGATTAGACATAGTTTAGACTTGTCAGTAATAAAGATTTAATTAATTATAACTTAAGATAGAAGAAGTACCTTAAAATATTATAATACTTTAAGTAGATTTGCCTTGCTAATCCTCTTAGTATATAATTAAGTAATTTAAATTAAAGAGCTATGCTAAATAGGAATTAAGTATAAGAATAAATATACTTATATAATTAGTATCTCTTACATTTATCTTATATTTTAAAATATATATTTAATTATATATCTAATAATTTTATTTAGCGCTATATATATTTTTTCTATATTTTATAATATATACTCTAATATATACTGGTTATATATTTCCTTATATCAGTTATAAGCCTATATATTTAATAACTGCCTTGCATATTAATACATATAAATAATTAGTTATAGTATTAATTATTTTAATTAAACACCTTTCCTTAATAATACTAGTTTCTGCTTAATATTATATAGATTAGTTTTATAATATTATTCCTCTCTTTTAGGATTTTTATCCCTAAAGATATAAATAAAAAAACTCACTCTTATTTCTAGTATAATCCTGCTTTCTTTATAAATAAATATCCAAAATATATTAATATGTCTATCTTTAATTGCCTTATATATTATATTATTTAGACTAATTTTATTTAAAAGAATAATCTTTCTTCTAATTCTTTATATGAATATTATTTATCTTAAAATAAAATTTATATTATAGATTCTAAAAGCTATAATTATACTTTATATATCTATTATAATTATAAATATAAAAAATATTTTTATAATTTAAAAAAGTAATTACTTCTTAAGAAAGAGTAAGATAAACTAAAATTTAATCTTAAATTAGCTAAGCTTCAGTTAGAATAATATATAATAGTATAATAAAAGTTATTTATTAAAATTTATTATATTTAAAAAGTTTCTTAAAAAGTATAATAATAAAATATTAGATTATAATATAAATATTATAGATATTTTTGATAAGAAAGATCTTAAAGATCTTATTTTAATTTTTTTAAATAAGTAGTATCTTAATACTATTATATATTTTTAGATATTAAGGTATTACTTATTAATCTTAGATTATTTTTATTAGATATACTTTTATTTTAAAGTTTTCTTTTCTTAGATTCTAATATTAATAGAACTTCTTAATTGCTTTTCTTACTTTAATAAGATTTTTAATAATTTTCTAGATATTTTCTAACTTATTATATTCTTTTTATTTTATTAAATATCTCTTATGGTTTTCTAACATTTTAATTGCTAATATTTTTTTAATCTTATAGATTTCTTATTTAATGATGATGTTAGTTTATATTTTTATATTCTATAATACTAGTTCTAGTAATAATATATAAAATATAAAATAAATTTTTATAAAGTCTAATAATTTAAGTTTATAATTAATTTTTTTAATTTTTTTCTTGATTTTAAATAGTCCTAGTTATAAATAATCAAGTTTATTACTTTCTTATAGTATTTATAGATTTTTTTAAGAAAGATAGATCTTCTCTTTCTTTTTAAAATTAGATCTCTTCTAATTTTTATAGTTGTATTTTTCTATATTAATTTATTCTTTATATTCTATTTCTTATTACAAATAAAGATATATAGCTTTTATATTATTAATTATTCCTTCTATAGTTTCTGCTACTAGTTAGTTGTAATATGATTATCCTAGTATTCTTACTTCCCTTTTAGTATATACTATAAATAATGTTATTTTTATTATAAATTATTTGTTTATATTATATGTTAATTATACTATTAGAAGTAATTCTGTCTAATTATCTTGCTAATAATTTATATAGCTTTATAAGTATTATTTAAATATCTGATTTATTTATTCTATTTATTTATTAATTTATGGATAATATATTAAACTTAATCATTGTTCTCCTCCTATTAGATCTATTATAGATTTCTATAATTATAATACAAATGCTGGTCCTCTGTCTAATATCATAATTTCTAGTATATTATAATATTGGAACACTTATTGTAATAGTATCTTAGCTAATAATAATATATTTATTTTTTCTATTATTAATATAAAGTGTGCATACTTTATTATTCTATCTATTATTACTAAGATTAAGTTATATCCTTCTAACTTTAGTAGTTTTATAATAAGATCTATTATCACCTATTATTATGGATATTCTAATACCTATAATAATTATATTTATCTATATAATTTGTATCTTATAATCTTGTTTTTTTAATATATATCATATTCTTTAATATAATTGTGTATTGCTTTATATATATTTAACTAGTAATAATTTCTTAATATTTTTTCTAATATATTATTAATTTCTAGATATCCTATTATTAGTTTATTATAATATATTTTAATAACTTTTTCTCTAATTATTTTTAGTATATAGATTAAACTATACTAAAATATAAGTCCTATTTTATTAGTAATTATTTTTTTATACTTTTTTCCTTATTATATATCACTCAGTATCCCTTAAATAATTTCATTATTTGCCATTTCTTTAACAATTAAATCTTATAACTCTAAGTTAATATTATATTCTATTATTACTGCTAGAGTAATAATTTATAGATTATATTCTAGATTTCTATTTTCTATTTTTTTAAGTAATATAGATTCTAATATTCATATTTCTTCTTTATAATCTAATCACCTACTAAATACATCTACTTATTCATTATTTTTTCCTTTGTAGTATTCAATTATAAACCAGTATTATAATAATATTTCTAATTATCTCACTTGTCTTCTTATTAACACTTTAATTAATAGAAAATAAATAAAGTTTTTATAATCTATGATAATTTATATAAGAAACTTGGTTTCTTTCAGATATATTCTCTAATATTATAATACTATTATTATTACTAGTAATTCTTTATCATATATATTATAATTCAACTCTACATTAATCATTTTTCTTAAGTAGTATATAATTATTCTTTATTTTCTATCTTATTCTTCTTATATTATTATTACTCTAATAGTATAATTAGATATATTAGTTTTCAGTATTATTAGCTTATTATTATTAAACTATATTAGTATAGATATAATTATTAAATAATATTTTATTTCTTTAAAGGCTTTTTCTTATTCTTTTATTTATTCATATCTAACATCTTTTTTGAGTAATCTGAACATAGATGTTATAATATTTATATATTCTTTAATGTATCTTTAATAGTAGTTGATTATTCTAATAAATAATTATAGTTTTTTAATATTTCTTAGTATAGACTAGTCTTTTACTATTTATACTTTTTTTTTATCTATTTATATTCCTTTTTATATAATCTAATATCCCAAGAAATTAATTTCTTATATATAGAATTTGTATTTTTCTAGTTTTACTTATAATTTTGTTATTTTTAAATTTTATAATATTATCTTAATATGTCTAATATAATCCTCTAAGCTATTTAAGAATATTATAATATTGTTGAGATAGATAATAGTAAAATTATATAGATAATCTTTAATAATTAAATTAATATATCTTTAAAATATTACTAGTATATTGGTCAATCTAAATAGTATAACTAGATATTTATAATATCTATATTTTATTCTAAATACTATTTTCTATTTTTCTCCTTCCTTAATTCTTAA